AGGAGTCTGCTTCCTAGTAAATGTATTCCCAGCATCAAGAGAAGTGTATATCGTAGTCGTATTTGTAACCAAGATTACTTGACCAGGTACATGACCCACATAGAAAGATTTGATATTATCTGGACCTGGAACCTTGTTCAACTTCATACCTCCATCATTCGAAGTATATGCACTCCCGTTTCTAGTGATTAAAATCATGTTTTCAGCCCCAAATCCTGCACCCTCTTTCAAAAAGGCAAAATCTTTGATCTGATCTTCTAATCTAGTGAATGATGACTTAATCCGGAGAAGCGTATCATTACTATCGCCGCTGCCCAACCTAGAGCACACGAACCTGTGCTGCAATAAATGGTCGTTGCCCAGACATTTGTTTCTGAACCGCTTTTGCTTGGCCCACAAAAATAGTGCTGAACTACCCGATTCTTTACACTCAGCAGCAATTTTTGGTATATCTGGAACACATTCATTTTTGTCATTTTTGGAAGACTTAAAATTTGGAGAGCATTCATATTCATTTGTAGTACATTTACAAGGAGCAGTATCGTCGAGACTCAAAATTTGTGAAAAGCAGCGCGCATCTTGTGGGCGTCTTGAAATAACAAAATATTCTCCGTCGAGGCAATTCGGTTCGCTTCTACCTGGGTGGATATACTCAATTTCATCATTAGCACACCATTTGTATCCAAAAATACCCTCGAAGTCAATTGAGTACAAAACCTCAGATAATTGGCTTCCTTCTGTAGTTTTGGATGATTTGTCCATCAACCCTGAAACGGCAAATTTCTCAATAAATCCGTCAAAGGAAGTTAATAGTTTAGAAGGGTGAAACTCAATTTCAACGGATTTCTTAGTCCACGTCTTGCCTTGATCTAAAGAAAAATAATAATTCAGAGTACTCATTTTATTCATGCCCACGAATGGGATAGCCAAAATAACTTCACCCCAGGAGCCGAATGAGAACAAACACGGTTCATCAATAGCACTGGACCATGTAGCACCAAAGTCTCTGGATACCCAAGTGGTCATTTCACTCAAGTCTTTCAGTAATCCTTTTCCTTTGTTACCCACAGCCATTAAAATTCCTGAAGAGGACCCCGACTGGAAATTTCCCAAATCGTTCTGATTATTTGGGAATAAAATATGAAGAGAACAACCTTCAGATACCTTACAGCTATCGTCATCAACTATGGCCAAAGTACTCCAGTCTATACCCTTATTGAACGAAAATAACGTCTTAACATCTGAGGCACCTCTACTCATATTATCATCGTCTAAATGAATTTGACTGTTCTCCTGTACATCATTATGATTGGATACGGAGGCAATATTGGCCAACCATGTGAAAGAATTGGGTGCTTGGATTGACTTACCAACAACATTTTCCCATCCGCTCCATGAGATAGGATCGGGTGATTGGATTGAGTTTCCAACAATATTTTCCAATCTCTTCGTGAATTTCAATCCTGTGGTATCCGACGTGTACATCGTTGATAATGTACTTCCTTGCTTAGATGGAAAGTTATTCACTATTGATAGGAATACAGAATTCCTTGATAAGCTCAAAAAGGTCACACCACCGTCAGAATAATCAAATTCAAGGTCTGCCTTATTAAAGGTAAGATCTGGGTCCGTACTGACCAAAAATGAGCCTTTCGAGTTAGGATCGAGCTGATCGTTTCGAACCACGGCAACAATTGCAGATTGACCCACCCCCAAATCTGTGATAATACTCGATTCAGCTTTGGGGATTTGGACAAGTCTATTGTCATTGTGAAAAAAGTCCGACGATACCCTCAAGCTAGACTCCAAGATCGTTCCGTTCGAGTCGAAATTGTTACATAACACTACCAATGAATCTCCAAATTGAGGAGGTAAGACACGTAATATACAATTTGAATCATCAATTCCCAATTTTATAGCAGTAAACTGACCTTTCAAGAAGTAGGTATTCTTCACACATGATTCATCTAAAGATGAGTGTGTAGGACAGGTCCAAAATGATACCATCACAAGACCATCTGGGTACACGCTAATGCTCTCATTGTGATGTTGTAGTTTCCGGTTGTAGTCGGGAAACAGAATTTTCTATGTCCTTCATCTCTACCCAAATAATACTCGTTATTGTCTGTCAATGCCAAAGCATAACCAAAGAGTTCAATCATCTCAAAGGACTTTACATTAACGCCTCTAGTTTCATTGACAGGGTTGAACGACTTGCCGTTATCAAAGGAGATCATGAGCTCATGGTCTTGCAACGATAATATGTTGCTAGAACCACGGAAGTACTTCATGCTCGAGGCAACCGTGTGATGTGTCATAGTGACATTGGGGGAGAGCTCAGCTGTGACGGCAGCGAGGATGGTTAGTACCACTCCCAAAATGTGCGTTAGCCACATTGGTGTTGGGAGTTGTAGAAGGTGGCTTCTGGAAGGCTTCTGGAAGGCTTCTGGAATGGGTATTCGCACTTTGGCCCGTTCTCGCTAATTCCTAGCTCCACCACTCGCCCTACCGCGCTAGCCACTACCACTACTTGCAAAGCGCAGCCCACCTACAATAACCGCCAGCCTTCTATGGACGCCATCTCCGACAGAGTATTCACAGAGTCGGTAGATTCGTCCAACGACGGTCCGTCGCTTCTCACCGTAATTCGCCTGCCAGTTGGTACAACATCAAAGACCAGATCTCCATCAACGAGATCACCAAGTCGCTTCTCGTGTTCATGAATGCTCACCTTTCGTTGAACAATTCCAACCAGGTGGCGTTCATAGCCAGCGGTCGTCAGGGCTCCAAGGATTGTACCCCAATCCAGGCAAGTACGACGAAATCCGAACCAGAGAGGAAGACGTCGACAGAGAGCCATCGCCCGGTTTGGTGTCCAAAGAAATGTACAGAAAGTTCAGGGTGGTGGACGAGGCTGTATTGGAAGAGTTGAATCAGTGCTTGAAGGAGGTGCTGGCCACAGACAGTCACCAATCAGCCCTCTCAGGCGCCCCCAGCATGGCATGGACCTACACCTACCGTATTCTGACACTTGACCAATCCATTTCCTCCAGTTCCCTCTAAATATTACTAAATTCCACTTCTACCGATAAATGGTCCGAATCAGCATGTCCTGCCAATATCTGGTGTCTCTATCTATTGCTTGACTATGCTAATTTGCTTTCATCAAGTCATTGTCACTATCCCTAGGCCTGTAAAATCATACACATAACAATAATCCCCTTGATTTGAAGTAAACATCTCTACTTCCATCAGTGCCATGCTACTCTTACCTGGCCATTATCTGCCCGAGAATCAATACCCTCACTCACTTCCCTCACTCACTTACCTCTATCTAAATCCATCTCAGAATGCGCGTCCATCAACAACACCATGTCGTCCATCATCAGACCCCTTGTGGTAAAGAGGGCTGTGGCCGCCTCGCCATACCTCGACCCGCTCCAGTGGTCTGACAACCATCAATTGGCCATCAACAATGACACCCAGATCACCATCCTCGAGCCCAAACTCCCCAGTCTTTCCAACGCCATCTCGTTGGTGGGGTCAGTGGTGGTGCTAGACTCCAAGGAAGTGTTCCAGACCACGACTGTACTCCGTCCTGAGTCCCATGAGGCACTTCCGCTCCGTAACTTCAACAAAGTGGTGGTGGAGTCCTTGGATGAGCCCTACCTGTTGAAGCCCTCTAACGAGATGGTGATTGTGGGCCACCAGTGGACGCCATCCCAACACACCACCAGGGACAACTACCTCGGGGTGTTGTTCAACTCAGGCGAATTGCTCATCTTGGAAAGAGAGAACCTCCAGGTGGGCCAGTTCAAGGTCAAGGTCGATCTCTTCCGCACGTTGTGCCAGGAGTTTGGTGTACTCTACGAAGAGAACGAGATATCCATCTCCAGCTCGGTGTACCACTCTTTGAAGATCAAGTGCTTCTTCTTCTCCCAGGTGCCCATTGGCTCGGAGTCCGTGCTTTTTGTCACCGTCATCACTCATCTGGGTAACATTCTCGTGTATCAATTGACTGGCTCAAGGAACGATGAATTGACTCTCAGCGCCAGAATCGACACCAACCACAACATCTTGAAGCAGTCCTGGTCCGATTGGCTGGCCCAGGACCACATCTACACATGCCATTTCTCGATTGTTCTTGCTGACAACTCAATCCAATACTACCAGGTCACCTACGATGCAGTTGCCGCCAGCTTGCTGTTCTCCGAACCCGTGCAACTTGTCAAGAGCTCGAGGTTCCTAAACAATAAGAATGAGTGGCTCTTAGTGGATGGAAATGCCGTATTATTGACCACCTCAACCGGGAGCCTTCGCATAGTCACAATCAACAGTGCCAACGAGATCCAAGTGACTACCCAGAAGCTCTCCCACTACTCTACTATTGCTGGTATTGTCCATACCTTCCATGGAAGCGATCTTGATATTATTATTACTTTTGAAAATGGGGTGTTTGAGACCTATAAGTTCCATGTGGAATCGAAAATCATCACCCAAGCCCCAACTCCCAAGGAATTGACTTCCTTCGTGGGCAAGTGCTTGTATTCGTACCAAATGCAAAAAACTGAGGATAATGCCGGTGGTGAAGAGTCTACCCAAGTAAAGCAGGAAGAAGTAACGTCGTCAATCAAAGACTCGGTCATCCAGAATCTCAGTCAGCCTCTAGAAGGCTCTTTCATCAACTATGGAATACACCTAGGAAAGGATGGAATTATCACTATTGTCTACAAGGTGATTCCAAAAGATGTATTAATCTACGAAATTGCTTCTTTGAGTGAGTTCCAGGTAGCGTTTATCAAGTCAGAAGTGTTTCCAGAACGGGCCAATCCTGATACCCTCAACAACACTTCCCTTGGCTACGTGAGCAACTTTTGGCTCAAGAGATCGAGCATATTACCGGTATTTCCCTACGATAAAGGAAGAGAAATCACTCCGGAACAATTCGAGAGATACCTCAACGATGTAGTCCAATTCAAAGACACATATTTCCCCAGCAACAGCTTGGATTTAGAAATCCGTGATGAAGACATTTTCCCCAGCTTCCGCTTTACCATGATTAGTAACTTAAATCACAATAGTTTTGTCAAAGATCTACAGGTGGTGACTAATTTGAATAAGTTGATCCTTTCCGCTTTGAATCAAGTTCCCGAATCTGAACTAAAGGCCAAGCTAGAAAAATCGATCCGGGAAGAGATCCAGGATATAAAAATTAAGCTCAAACTGTTCCTATACAAGATAGTCCTCAAGTATGTCAAGATAAACAACTTTCAGCCCACTGATCAGGTTGACAAATACTTGATAATAAGATTCTATCTTGAGTTAAAGGAGTTGGATGGCAACGCCAGTGTTGAGTATTTGCACAGTATTCCAGAAGAAGCCGAGATTAGCATCACTACCAAGTTTTTCGAGGAACTGTTCAAAGTTACTGTCCATGACATAGCTGAAGACAACTCTGAGCTTGTAAACTCTACCACCAATCACAAATGGTCCAAATGTACCTTGACCAACATTCCCTTGTTGCAAATGAATAACAGACAAGACGAGGCGGGAGAGTACAACTACATACTCTATGACCAGGTGTTGATGGGGCAAAGTGTGCTTGTTAAGGAGTTATTAGAAACTTTACAATTCTGCTACATCACCGGTAACAGGACTTATAATATTCAATAATGATTAGGATCTGCAGGCTTTCGATACTGTACCATCATCTTTATACGATAATTAATATTCAATAGTGTATTACTATATAGATGCATTTGCGCTTTTCGTGAGTTTTGTAACATAAGCATATGGAAGGATCAGCCCTCATTTTCTTCCCAAATAAAAGACCCTGGAAACGATGTGAAAGGATCGTTGATAAACTCGCCATCAATGACTGAATACTGTTTTGTCCATACCAACTGGCTAGAAGTCCAATTGATCAAAGCATTGGTATTGGAAGGCGGAACATCGGTCAATTTGGTGATGAGGTATCCCATGTTGAGCTGGGCCAAAGTATAAATAATAACTGAGAATGCTGGGTAGGATTTGATCAACCAGTAATTAAACAACCCGAATCCGAAGAGGACACCTTCGCGGGACTTGAGCCATTGATTTTGCTCGAACTTAGTGAAGTTGATTCTGTGGAAGTACGCAAGTAAGAGGTCCTGGGAGAGGTTGGATACACCGTAGTACCCTGCCAAAAATGACCCGATATAGTGAGATGGAAGGAGGTTCAAAACTGCGATCACGCCAAAGGTGGAGATCGATCCCAACTTGTCGAGTACCGTCTGGAACAAAATGAAGCAAAGGATAAGGGTCGAAAGTCTGCTAGGATACGAGACTAATGCATAGATGACGAGGTTAAAGAGGTAATATTTGGCGTATCTCCTGATAAAGAACTTGAACTGCGGACAGTTACGGAGTAAGTCGTGGAGATGCTGGCTCCACGTGGAGCCCTGCTGGACTACCTTCTTGCAGGGAAGCTTGGTCAAGTTCTGGTGATAGGTGGTGTTGTTAACGGAGTCGCTGAACTGAACATTGACCAAGAACAAGCGATCAGACTGGGGGTCGTAGTAGCCTGCCAAGGTGATGAGGAAGATGTGGAGATCGAGGTAGGTGTGCATAAATTGGGTCAACGACGCCTGGACGGTCCTGCCGTTGACGGTGAACAAGTTGATGTGATTGCCGCAAAACACGATGGTCTTCGAGAGGTAGAGCGGTCCGTTCAAAAGCACGTACACCACGAGCGACATCCAGGCGATCCTGGTGAGACACGGAATGTAGGTGGGGTGATATAGAATGGATGGATTTTGGAGCGACCGGTAAGTGCTGAGGATGGCAAGCTGAAGGCCCCGGAGAATAACCCATATGGAGAACGCCTCCGACGGCTTGGAGATGAAGATAGGAGAGGGCATGCTAGCAAGTCATGGGAAGAGATGGTGGAGATGGTCAGATCGAAACGTTGCGCGCGCAGTGAGTGCGATGTAGTGTGGGGCAGGTACTGGAAGTGGCAATAGAAATAGTGGAGGTTTGGTGGTGGTGATGGTGGGAGGTGTAGATGACTGGTGGGGGACAGTGTGGATGTGTGTGTAGACACCGTGGTGGTGGCAGTGGAAGTGGTGTATATTTGAGCAGATCTGGCGCTGGACTGGCAGCGCCAGCGATGGGCCCATCGGAGCACACGTGATGCGAGTTGGTTGCTGGGCCAGCCGTATCACCAGAGCCCGAGTGTGCCGGCCATAGCTCGGAGGAGCTGTCATTATGTAATGACACAACGGCCGTGACGCGTGTCGGAGATAACACCCGCCGCCAGGCGCAGACACCAGACACTCTGCTGTCACCACCCGTGCACACCCCGTCTCTACCCCGTCACCACCCGGTCGCTCCACCCCTCCCTGCGGGAGTCACTTCCGTCCACCGTGGGGCACCATCCCCAAACCTCCGGGCTTGCCTTACCCAGGACGGCAGCCCCTCCTTCTCCACCTGCCACTCCCGCTGGTAGCCGATGCCAGCCATGACTCGGTTGCGGAGCTAAACCCCCGGTGCCTGACTCTTGTACCCCAGAGTCGCACTCCCACCTGCGCAGTCCCCCCCAGAGTCAGACCCTGCACTGGCTGCGAAGTCACACTTTCCTGTTTCAACTTTGTGTCTGGCCAAATGCCATCCAGTTTGGCTCATCTGGCTTGTCTGCCAGGCGGATAAAAGCAACGGGAAAGCCTCCAGTAGGGCTCAGCACTGTCGCTCCGTGTGGCTTACCTGGTATTTAATCTCCCTGCTCCCACTCCCTCTGTTCACAACCAATTTCGCCATGTCTGTTCAGTTGTCCTCGCCCTTGCCCCAGGCCCATGTCACCACCACACTTACCGATGTCACTGACAAGCTTCCCATGAAGCCACCCTGCCGCATCCTCTTGAAGAACGAGATGGAGCAGCCCTCGGGCAGCTTCAAGTTGAGAGGCATCGGCAACCTCATCCACAAGTCCATCATGGAGGCCACCGCCAGCTCCACCAACGAGATCCAGGTGTTTGCGTCCAGTGGCGGCAACGCTGGCTTGGCTGCCGCCTACCTGGCGTGGTTTTATAACGTCAAATGCACCGTGGTGTTGCCAGTCCACTCCAAGCCTGTTGTGCAACGGATGCTTCTCAAATTCAATGCCAAAATCGTGCTCTTTGGCAACTCCATCAACGAAGCCGACCAGCACTTGCGCAACCTCATGACGTCCTTGGACACCTCTACCACCACCCCCATCTACTGCCATCCATTCAGCCACCCATTGGTGTGGCAGGGCCACTCCACCTTGGTGGACGAAGTGGTGCAACAGCTCCTGGCGCCTGAGGTTGCAAAAATTCGCGCCATGGTGTGCTCGTGTGGAGGAGGCGGACTCTACAACGGCATCTACCAAGGCATGGTACGGAACAATATCACCAACCTGGACATCTTGTTGATCGAAACCAACCAGGCACCCACGTTGGCCGAGTCGCTCAAGGCCGACAAGCTCATCACCCTCAACTCGGTCAACTCGTTGGCCACCTCACTCGCATGCTCCTACACAACGCAACAGACCTTGCTGAACTACAAGGACACCTCGGTGGTGTCAACCAAGTTGGAGCTCATTGACGACTTGGACGCCATCCGTGCATGTGTGGACTTCGAGCGAGACTTTGGCAAGGTCGTGGAGCCTGCGTGCGGGGCTGCGTTGTCTATTCTCTATAGCAAGATCAACTTGCTCTACAAGAACTTTGGCCACCTTAAGGAAGATGACATCGTGGTTTTGGTGGCTTGCGGAGGCTCGTGCACCACTGCTGAAGACATAGGTGGCTTCAAGCAGATGTTGAACAGAAACGACAACAGGTTGTGAGTTTTCATAGTCCAACACAGAGAACGGTGGTTCGGCCATCTTATAATTTTAATAAATGGATATCGATAGAATTGGCATGTAGATGGTCTCAGTAGAATTGATGAGGGGTTTCTATTTAATCGAGTTTCAATAGAATTGCACATTGAGCTGTTTTATTGGACCAAGTGAATATTAATAGAATAGATATTGTAGATTATGTGGAACAGGTTAAGCATATAGTAATTCTAACGTGTGTGCTATTGATTGAATTGCATATTGTAGTTGATTGATTTAATCATCTGGGTATAAAGAATTGCATGTTATTTAATTTAATTACGTGGAATTCAATGGAGAATTCAGGATTTTAGTTGTTATGACTTTGCAAATTGTGTTTGGAAGGGGTAGTTTCCACGGAAAAATCATAGCTGAGACTAGAGTATAAGCTACATTGTAGTATTTGAAAACCAGAGGTGAATATCAAATTTGAACTAAATTGTGAGAATCACCAAACATAATGTATCAGATTGAAAGGACTCCATTTGTGTGCAATTCTCGTATTTGCAATCGCCAGCTTCCAGGATATTAATTCTCGAAACACAATAAACCTTCAGGTGACATGTTCATCCAACCCGAATTCTTTTCATTTTTAACAAAAAGTTAACAAATCAATAAAAATTCAAATTGACAAAAAGTCCACTCTACAGTGCTCCAACCTGTTACATCCACCTCCGAATTCATTTCTCATGAGGATAACTACGCTCATGGAGAGTTACAATGTCATTTCATGAAATGTGTTCCAGCCGCAAAACCTCAGCTGTTTTGTGCGACTTGTGGAGAACCTCCCAAAACAAATCTACAGCTATTGCCAAAGACCATAATGCTATTATTATTCCGGCCAACGCATCTGTTAAGTAATTTAAACCTGTAATAAGACCGTGGGTAAATTGTCACCATGATACTTCGCCGACTTCTTCATTATCCTCACTTGGCTACATTTCTGACTGGCTTTGCAAAACATCCTTACTACTCTGGAACGTGTTGCCTGACCAACAACCATGACTCGCGCCCCTCTTCTGCTCCCTACCCACTGACCATGCTGCAGGGGCCTAAAAGCCCCAGCCAGGGCCCCACCAGCCGTCTCCCTGACCGATTCTAGGCACGCCCCGCGCCAGCAATCGCCACACGCACCATGCAGTACACTGATAGCGAGGTCCATTTATACACTGCGTACTTACTACTACCTCCAAGCAGCTAGCCATAGCCACCACCATCATACCGCGTTGGCACCAGTGTCAATATCATCCCCGTCACACGTAGCTGCAGGCCTCCATCATGAACGACAGTGTGTTCGAGGACATCGAACAGGACAACAATCCCTCTTTCTACGGCAACCAGTCCATCTTGACCGACCCCTATGGACACCAACAACCGCCTCGATACGAGCCCCCTACGGGATCGGACAGCCTCAACCTCGCAGGATCGGCCCATAGAAGAGCATCCTACTCCACGTTGGTGCCCCCCAGCAACGACCTCATCAACAGCTCCATTGGGCTCTCCAACCAAATCCAGGAGTACATCAACGACCCCAACTTGAAAATAGAGATTGTATCCAGCGAAAGGCTCGTCAATTCGTCCGTTATTGTCTACTCCATCCAATTATACATAGACAAGGGCAAGGACCACCCCGAGAACAACCGCACCTCTATCATTGTCAAGAGACGTTACAGTGAGTTCAAGTCGTTGAGAGATAACCTCTTGAAGCTCTATCCCACATTGATCATTCCCCCCATCCCTGAAAAGCATTCCATCTTCAGTTTCATCGTCAACTCAATCAACAATTCCAACGAAGTCAACATAATCGAAATGAGAAGGAGATACTTCAAGAACTTTTTGAACGACCTTATATTCGAATCCTCGACCGAGTTGAGGAATTGCGTTTTGCTACACAAGTTTTTGGACCCTAACTATGAGTTGTGCTGGTACAACGCTATCAACGAGCCTCCCGTGAACTTGATTCCAGATAATTTACTATTGGCTAATCCCATCAACCCCATTGACCAGAATGGGCTCTACTCCTTATTTCCAACCGTCAATGGGTTTGATTACCATTCCAATATTGATAATTTGAGCTCTTTAAAGCGGTTGAACGAGGACTTAGCAAATTTGAAAGATCAAATCAAGTTATTTGATTCTAAGGGTAGGGAATACTTAAGGATACATGGAAATGATAACACAGAAGAAGAACCGGACTTTTTAATAGACAACTACGACCATTTTGAAGAAATACCCAAAAATCTAATCAATTTTGAAGTGAAGTTCCATCACATTATAAAAATCTTATACGATCTCGATAAAGTTAATGCCAGAACCATTAAGGACTACAAGTCGGTAATAAATTCATTGATTGAATTAGGTGGAAATTTGAATAACTTCTCATTACAGATTTATGAATCCTCTAGTTATCAACAATCCAGGCCTTCTTCTGAGATCTCGGAACCCAATAGTTTGAGTTTGGCAATTGAAAAGTTTGGTTCCACCATCGATTCTAACTTTTTGAATTTAGAGAGTTTTATTGTTAATGATTTAATACCAGAATGGCAGGAACCAGTTCACCAACTTGTGCAATACTACATTTCAAGTTTGCACCTTATTAAGTTTTATAAGTACAAGGTCGTACAGTACAAGTTATTGTACAAACTCAAATTTGCCAAGTTCCAAGATCTCATGAACTTATCTACCAACCCAGCATTATTAGCATCTGCAGATCCGTCATCGCCAAACTCAGCATCGAACTTGGACCATTTGAAGGACTTGAACAGCCCCAGTTTAAACAGCACGTTGGAAAGAATCGAGGCCAGAAAAAAGAGAGGTGGATCCTTAGCTACTAAGAAGTCATGGTACGGTCTTTTTGGTGGCAATAATGGATACAATAAACAGTTCTCGCAAACCTTACTCAGCAATGAAGATGAACCGGTAGTGGCCAACGGAAACGCACAGGGCAAGTACAAAAACGTCGTGATCAAGAAGGAGTTGAATAAATTGAACCAGTTGATTGAACTTACCAACCAAGATATGATCAAATTGACTGCACAACTCAGTAAGACTTACGAGGAGTTCTTGGAGAAGTTGGAAAAGAAGTGGCTAGAGTTGATGATCAAATTTATACAAAAGGGCAAGCAATTGTTCGAGGAGAATCTCGCCAACTGGACCGAGTTTAAGGATTCCTTATCCATCGCGTAGCTGGATGAATGATAAGTACTTTGCTAGATATGAAAACAATACATCAGGATAGATAAACCCGTCACTGACGGTACTCGTAGCGAGAGATCATAGTGAGATATTCCCCCTGCTCTCCCTAATTTTTCGGGCGCCGCGGTACCCACCTCCCACGGTGGAAGCAGAAGGCCCCCTACACAAACTCTTTCAGACAGCACTTGATCTAGGCCTAGAATAGTTCAAAAACAACCTAAATTTGCTAATAATCCCAGGGGACATATTTAGCTCGGTAAATCGCTTTCTTCACACCAATAATCTCCCATTTACCCGTTCCTCTCTCCAAGCCCTGTTGTCACTCGCCAACTGTGCCTGTGGAACCTCCCACTAGTTGTTGCTCGCACGACAATCGGTGGCAACAAATCCAGCTGCGACCACTCTATCGAGACGGCTAATATAACACTCCACAACCACCGCATCATGTCAGCAATGGACGTAGATTACGACGCATCCACCGTCTTGGCTACTCTCAGACTGGAGACCGAGTCTGGAGACTTAATAAATTTGATCTACCAGCTCGAAGACTACTACGAGAGAAAGTTATGGCATCAACTCACATTAGCGTTGGATGAACTCTACCATTCGGAAGAGGCTTCTGCCGACTTGAAATTCAAGATCTACAGATCGTTCGTCAATCAGTTCTCCTCCAAATTGAACCCAATAAAAGTGGTTGACTTCCTCTTGGAAAGTTACCACAGCCAGCCCCAGGAAACCTTGGACAACTTGTTGGAGTTGAAGGAACAGTACATCAAGGAATTGAAGAGAGCCAACAACTACAAGGCCGGCGATGATGAGGCCTCCTTGCAATCGTTAGTCAAATCAGACGAATCCGTCGCATACGTCAGTTTACAAATAGCCAGATACAAGCTTCTCTTGAATAAGGTATCCGAAGCAGAAGAAATCTTGGACGAATTGAAGGACCTGTTTGGGGCCACTGGTGACGAGGGCCACAACTTCGAGAACCCAAAGATCAACTCTGCCTACTACTTGGCCAAGTGTGAACTTTACAAGATCAACGAAAACTACAACTTATTCTACTCCAACGGATTGTTATACTTGTCATCTGTTGACAACAATTTGTCGGAGGCACAAAAAGTCAAGTTATGCTACGAATTGTGTATCGCCGCTTTGTTGGGAGACAAGATCTACAACTTTGGTGAATTGATTTTGCACGATATCTTGAATGCTATTAAGGACGAGTCCAGCCAGTACAATTGGTTATACCATTTGATCCAGAACTTGAATTCCGGTAATTTGACCCAGTTCAACCATTGGTTAGCCACTGCCTTCAAGAAATCTCCATTTTTGACCAAGTTCGACGTATTTTTGAAGCAGAAGATTATCATCATGAGTTTGTTGGAGTTGATCTCCTTGAAGTCAACCACCAACAAGCAGTTGACCTTGCAGGAAATTTCGAGCTTCACCGGAACTTCGATCAACGACGTGGAGCACTTGATCATCAAGTGTTTCTCGTTGAACTTGATTAAGGGCTACATCAACCAGATTGACGAGATCTTAGTAGTCACCTGGTTGCAGCCCCGTATTTTGAACTTGGACCAGGTCAATGTGTTGTATAAGCATTTGTTGAGCTGGGACGACCAGGTCGAAACATTGGCCAAGAACGTCTACAAGAATGGAGGTTCTGTGTGGGCTGGAATATAGTGTATTCAGCTTAATAGAATATTAGAAACCGCACACTGTGAGTTGTAGAACGAAAGAGTAGAGCGAGAAAGAATGCAGACCCGCTACCAGGTCTTCCCAGGAGCCATTTCACGAGTCGACTTCAGGCAGTCAATTCCTATCGCCTAAATTGGGGTTAGGATGAGGATAAAAAACCATACACTATTCACTCGATGCCCTGGATCTGTCTTGCATGAAGCTTTGACGATACAACCCTTCAAAAATTGTCATAAAATAGTCATTTAGGTTCATTTAGTAGGATCAATAGAATTAGGTCGAATTGTCTTGGATTAGGCAAGATGAGCATAAAAGTAGCTCCAGAGACAAATAATGAATAGTGTTTGATAGAGGTAGTCATGCAGCAGAGAAAGACTCGATACTAGCCAGAGGTCAAGTCTTAAGCCGGAATAATGGGTTTGGCAGGGCTGGAGAAATTTAATTTCGTGGCTCACTACCGCAGCTACCTATGCGATAATGCAAAAGAAGACCAGCGTATGACCATTGTGTAACATTGAGTGACCATTCCAGTATCCAGCGTTGCACATCCAATTCGTATTGCGGGAATTGTCCTTTACAAGGTTCATTCCGTGCAGCTGGTGGTAAAAGTACATCAATGGTTGTTGCGTGGGAGCAGCACACCGGCTTCTTCTGGCTTCTAAAACGATGCCCTAACTGTAGGCACGGGTAGCAGTACCTCCTTCCCACCCTGAGCACTAACACTTTTCTCTAAGCAGCAACCTCAATCTACCCTTGAACACTACAGACTTCTCTCACTAGTACCTCCTCTCCATGAACCCACTCTACGCTCTTTTTCACCTTGGAACTCTCTCAAGACTCCCACAGCACTGAATAATGAATGCACACTTCGTCTCCCGCTTCTCCTGCCTTCGTCCTCTCCATTCCTCTCCGTTCTTCTTCCTTCGTCTCCCGCTTCCTCCGCCAATGCCTCCACGACTGCCTGGTTCCTTGGCGTGTCCCGCGCCCATACTTGCGAGCCACCGCGACATCCTAAATCATTCTCCACCACTACCCTCTTCCTGGTAATGCTCCTTCTACCATACATCAGCGTACTCCCACTCCTCTCGTTGGTTGCTGCCAACAGAGTGGACTTCGACCAGGACGTCAATTCCCAGGTGTGTGCTGGCATATACTCCAAGCACGACTGGGGTGGATCATCCAAGCCCCACATAGCGTTCACCCTCAACCAGTATGGGGATGAAAAATACAGTGGTGGCGGCAAGAAGGAACTCGAATACAAGAACAAAGACGCCATAGCCGTAAGCTATGTGGTGTTCGAGTACAAGGACTTGAGCAACATCGGAGTGCGTGACCAGGACGGCAAGATGAACTACATCTGTGACGACATAGCCATCAACGAGGGCTTGTGTGACAAGAAGCAGAAGGACAAGTTCATCGTCAACAACAACGTCACCAACTCGACGGTGTTGACCAACGTGTTGACCCACTTGGGCCCTGCCCAGATCGACTACCCCATCAACAAGACCGGCTACTACTGTGTGGCCACGTTCACGTTCAGCGACAAGAAGTACCACGGACGGATCAACTTCCAAAACGCGTTCGGTGAGTTGAGTGCCAGTGAAATCCCAAAGTTGCCCGCCTACGGCATCTTGGCGGTGTGTTACGCCATCGCCTCCGCGCTCTTTGGATTCCAGTTCTTCAAGAAAAGAAAGGAAAACCAGATCTTGCCCTTGCAGAAGTACTTGTTGGCCATGATCGGCTTCTTGACCTTCGACACCGTGGTGGTGTGGTCCTACTACGACTTGGTCAACAGAACAAAAAACCCAGCCTCTAAGTTTGTGCTTGCCTACATGGGGTTCTTGTCCATCTTGAACGCCCTCAAGATCACCTTCTCGTTGTTTCTCTTGTTGTTGATTGCCTTGGGTTACGGCGTTGTCACTCTCAAGTTAAAGAAAAAGGTGATGTTGAGATGCAAAATCTTGGCTGGTGTCCATCTTCTCGCAACCGTGGTATATCTTGTTTCTACCTACTATAACGGACAGAGCAACTCTACTCTGTCTTCCAGGGATTTTGGTGAGGACGATTTTGGCGGCTTGTTGGGCATGATTCCTTTGATTCCAGTCACCCTCACATTATCAGCATACTACTTGGCCATCTTGATTTCTATCAAGGCCACCACCGCCAACTTGCACCAGCAACGTCAAGTCATCAAGTTGCAATTGTATGAGAGACTTTTCAGAATCATCTTTGTCGCTGTGGTCATGACGCTTGGTGGATTTACCTTCTCGTCGTTCATATTCTTAGGAATGAACAATACTGAGATCGTGGAGGAGCACTGGAAGTCTGCGTTCTTCCTCTTTGAGTTCTGGCCCAGTGTTGTGTTCTTCTTTGTGTTTGTGGGGATCTCCTGGTTGTGGAGACCCACCGAGACCAGTTACATGTTGGCAGTGTCCCAACAATTGTCTGGAGGGGAGAATATTGGCGAGGATGGCGAGGAACAGACGGGAGCTGGCTACCACCAAGGTCACGAGTTCGAGTTGGACGACTTGTCGTTATTGAGCCATAGCGATCATGAACAGGCCCGTGACAACGACAGCTTCGAATTGAGAGACTCTTCGGGTCCCTCCACCGCTCCACCCGTGTACGAGGAGTTGGAAAACGACAACAATAAGAAGAATAAGAAGGACCTCCATGTGGAAAACGATAACACCTTATTTGACGTGGGTGAGGACGAGAGTGACCATGATAGAGACGATAGATTAAGAGATTAGCGCTATCAACAAAAGATTTAATTAGAGATATTGTTCTTTAAATTAATCACATATCCAAGTACTGAGTAGAATGGTTAATTAGAAGATACACAAAGTATGACCAGTCAAACCTCTATGGTTGTAGAGAATGAGGGCCCTTCACACCCTATGGAAAGGTAGAATGGGAGAATAGCCATCATGTTTAATTCCAGAAGGTTCTTTGCACGTAAGTGCTGAGCAGAATGGTGAAGCTAGGGCTTTCTATTATAATTCCATATCAAAGTGCTAGGATTAGTTAGGTTATTCAATCACATAAGTACAGAACAATACATTGCTGAAATGTAAGATCTTTTCTTAATCACGTATCGCTGCGTAGAATTGTGTGTTAATAGATTACATACCAAAATACTGAATAGAATGTTCAAATTAGAGAATGCTGGTGGACTGTGCAACATGTATTGGTGTCTTCAAAACCCACATGGGTCATCGGTGGAGGTTCAGCAAGCCCTTGGAATTTCCTTGCACAATATTGCTTCCCTCCGCGTATTACAACGTGTGCCCTTGCAGAGCTATTCAAGCAAATTATTATCTACATCTTATCAAGTTCAATTTTTGAAGTTCATCCTCGCACCAACATTTGCTCGCCTAAAATACTAATTCCACTTTAATTAATGGAAGCAATAATATAGATAGAAGTAAAATAATTCAAACTCATTTCAATAATTTAATTTAATTTACAGCTAAGTGTTACAATTTTTAGTACCACCCTACCAACCATTGTATTCCTGTTCGGCAACCTTATCGGTTAACTACGAGTCACCACCAGGCAATTTCACTCGCTCTGTTACGCGTCATCGTCGTAATTCACTCAACAGAACCCCACTACTCTCTTGAATACCCAGACTCCACACACCCTTCAGCTTCTGACCATTTTAGACCCCTCTTGACGCGCCAAACCCGTCCCTCGCCATCTCGTTTCTGCGCACTCTGACCATCGCGAAAAACGATCAATTGCAAATAATCGCAGGTGCTCCAAACATCACCACTTCTACCAGCGCTTTGTCCGGTACTATTGGCATCTCGCAGTCCTCCTCTGGCAATCGCTGCTATAATGATGTCCCGCCAACAGCCCCAGTCGTTGAGCATGACCGCAACCAGCTCCCCAGGAATAGCCGACCCCAGTCTCCTCAAATTGCGCAACGACATCAGTCCGCAAATATGGGCCCAGACGCCCAAGAGCTTGCCTCCAACGACTCTCACTGCTCTGCTGAAGTCTCCCTCGCTAACTGACAGCGATGTCTCCGCAGACTCCCGTGTTTTCCTCCAAACTCCGGCTCCTATCAGTGCGGTTGCACCACCGTCTGTCCACAGCGGGTCCCCCATACCGTCCAGAGCTCCACCAGTGTTCCTGATGGGGCCTGTCACCTACACCGACCATGTGGCTGTCTACAAGCCTGATCGCAAGTTGAACCGAAAGTATCGCAGCTACTTGAAGCAGCACGGAGTCATGCTGTTCTTGACCCAGTTCATTCCATCCACCGTCTCCAAAGCCGATCTCTGTAAGTTGATTCTCGACTTGGGATACTCCAAGTACCTGCTTCGTACCGTGGAGTCGTTGACTCCCAAGCAGGTGGTCAAGGTGCTCATGAATCTCTTGATCAACGACAAGATCGTGGTGTCGCGTACTTCCACGCCAGCCCCCATATACTCGTTTGAAAACTTGTTGGCCCACTTGAAGACTGCTAAGAAAATCATGGTAATCACAGGTGCAGGCATCCTGACTCCGTTGGGCATTCCTGACTTCCGGTCGTTCAAGGGATTGTACACCCAGTTGAAGCACTTGAACTTGAAGGACCCCCAGGAAGTGTTCAACATCGACACATTCAACCGCAACCCCAACATCTTCTACTCCATAGCCCACATGATTCTTCCCCCAGAGGACAGATTCACCATTTTGCATTCTTTCATTAAATTACTTCAAGACAAGGGAAAACTACTCCGAGACTACACCCAAAACATCGACAATTTGGAGTCGAGAGTCGGCATCCCCAAGCACAAATTGGTCCAATGTCACGGCTCGTTTGGAACAGCCACTTGCATAACTTGTCACAGCAAATACTCTGGGTCCATGATCTTTGATCATATCAGACATAAACAGGTCCCAAGGTGTTTCTCCTGCTATAAAGATATCAGTATGAACGACGAAGTCGCAATCAACTATGGTGTGATCAAGCCGGATATCACTTTCTTTGGGGAAGAGTTACCCAAAAACTTCCATGGATCAATCAAAAGCGATATCAACGACTGCGATTTGGTCTTGGTGATTGGAACCTCGCTAAAGGTCTATCCAGTGGCTGGAATCATAGACAGAGTACCCAGTTACATTCCTCGTATCTTGATCAACAAAGATGACCTACCAGGTAAGAAATTCGACTTGAAGTTACTTGGCGATAGTGACGATACTGCTTCTTATATTTCGAAAATACTCGGGAAAGATTGGGATATACCCAACAAAGATTACTGTAATGAAAATGAAATTAGAATTGAAAGAGACGAGCTGGATAGAAGTATATATAGGGTAAAGTAATGCTAAGGCAAGTTAGTTTAAACTAGAATGGATAAATAACAAAAGCTGGACTGGCAACTTTGTAACGCTTCATTTTAGTTCATCCAATCTTTGGACCAACTTCAGTTCAACATCGCTCCAGTTATCAACCAAGCCCCTGTAGAACTTGATCTCTTGGTCGCACAACCCCAACATACTTGCTTTCAATTCATTGCGGTTGAATCTGTCCCAATTTGGATACTCCTCGGTGATTATCTTGTGGGTTAAATCATTGACCAATTTAGTTTGAGCTTCAATTTCGTTTTCCAATTGAATAGTTTTTTGCTGTAATTTCTGCACCTTTTGGTCACTAACTGTAGAGCCAATATGGGCAGTGGCCGATGTAGACAATGTATCTTTTATGAGCTGTGTTGTATTGTTAACCAAGCCACCAGAATTATGATTCATCACTGGTGTTGGTGGTGGATGGTGCTGGTGACTTCCGCCACCCCCAAGATTAGCCAACTCCGATCTAGCCTTATTGAGATAATCCTGTAGTACTTGCAAGTCTATCTTCTTATTATGCTGAAGCTCAATCAAATTTGTCAAGCTTGCTATGTATTTGGCACAATCCTTAAGGGCCACCAAAAAAGACTCGTCGATATAATGATGCAACTCGGACCAGTTCTTCAGGAAATAGTCTAGGGAGGAGGAAAATATTTTGAAGTTGTTCAAAATAGAATCGTTTTCTCCTACGCTTGTTCTTTTTGAAGGAGTAGATGGTTCTGACTGATTTTGGTCTACCAGCTGAAGGATGGACAACTTCATAATTTGTGCCAGGAATTGTTCGTAGTCAATGCTTAAGTCATGGTTTTTCTTATTCAACTTGACAAAAATCTTATCGAGTTTAACCAAGTTCTCGTATAGTCTCTTCAATTTATCATTGATTTCTAAGATATCCTTGTTGGTTTCTCTCTTGTGCTTGGAAGGAGTCAAGAAATTCATCACGGTTTCTGTGATGAGGTCTTCATTCACAACCTTATTGACGAATCCTCCGTTGGCATCTTCGTCCTTGTAGTTAATCTTTAAGTTTTTGGTAAAGGTGGTCCAGTCATTGGCATCACTTATGAACAAGTGAAAAATGGACAGCTGGGAAAGATACTTGTGTTGGAGAATGAACTTTACAAATCTGTCAAGCGAGTGCAATCTCTTGTGGACAAACTCGGTACTGAAGGTGTCACCCGTCAAGTATTTGAAGCTCAGTTTTGAAGGCATTGGGGGTATCAATAGCGTTGGATAGTCATTTGTCAAACAGTCGTGAAGTATACGGAAATCTCCGTATCTTCTACGCACCTTGATGGTAGCACTGGGGTCTTTCTTCAGGGTCGAGAGCTTTAACACTGCGGGATGATCAGTTGTAGTGGCTAATAAATATGAGATGAATGGTTTGGAGCTGGCATCAACATCTCTTATGGGGGTAGTCACGGTGGCCGCGATCGAGTACTTCTCAAACTGGGCTGCAATGGCTTCGTCTGCCGCACCCGTATCCTTGTTATTGTCGCTCGTAGCACCCTTGTCTGATACAGAAGGTGCAGGAGAAGAGACAATGGTGGTTTCTGTCTGGTCAGCATCTTCGGTGTGGTTATCGGTGGTGGTGGCTGGCTCTGGACTAGGCCTGGTCTCAGGGTGAGGAATTGGTGCTTCAAGCTCAGGAGAAGTTGGAGCGGCTTCTTCTTGGTGTGGGGGTTCCACAGGATTCGTCAATTGCTCTTTAGGGGCTTCCTCGACGGGGTCTTCGTGGGGTTGTTCCTCTTGGTGCAACTTGTGGGTGTCTTCAATTTCTTCCGGAATCAGGCTGTGGGCACCGGAAACGGAGGGGGAGGCTGGCGGGTGGTCGATCTCGCCACGGTCCCACTGGATCGACGTGAATTGGTCCTCGGAGCTCATGGTAGAGGATTGTGTTAGCAATAAGGGTTGAGTGTGGCAATTAATTTTGGGGAGCCCTCAGGTGCGCAGGAGGGAGTTCGCGTGACCTATATCACGTGACTCGTCTACGCCAGATCGTACTATATGTCAATTACTATACTAGAGAACAAGCCAGACACCCGAGGCCACGATGGACACCCCGATGATGGCGGTGATAATGCCTGCTCCGGCAGTATCGCCAGCACCCAATTTCAAGGGACTGGCGTTGGTGTTGGTGACCGCGTAGCCTCCAGCAGGATTGCCCTGGGACGATCCACCAGTGGTGGCGGTGTAAATAGGGAATTTGTTGGCCTGGAGATTTGTCATGGCTTCCAACGCACACATCTGCTCACCCAACCCGAATTTCCCGTCCCAGCCGCCTGTGAACCAGTTCAAGCCGCAGGTGACACCATCAGTACCACCAGAACACGAGTTGGCAGCAGCGTTGGCTGCATTGACGAGCCAGGGCCTGATGACAGCTTCGGTTTCAGGCACCAAGGTCATGGTCAACCCTAAGAACCGCGAGAAGTACGCCTTGAACGATCTTTGATCCTGATTACAGGTATTGGAGGGCTGGCACGCAGCCTCGTACATGATGTCGTACTCGGTGCCAAAGAACACCACGGCTCCCTTCAACAATTCCAAGGTTCTGTTTCTCCATTTTTCGTCCTCAGTGTAGTTGTACAAGTAGGCGCAGCCAGCCAAGAACAACCCGTGGTTGTAGGTCCACTGGTAGGGCGAGATGTCCGAGCAGTTGTCGACCTCGAGCCCATCAACAATCTTCCAGTAGGGGCCGGGGATGATCAAATCGGAGTCTATCATCCAGTCCCATACCTTTTCGGACCAGTCAGCGTAAGAATCGTTTCCAGTGTATCTGGCCAACCTGGCACCGATGTGGAACAAACACCCGTTGGAAACCGAGTTTTTGTAGTTGTAACCCGAGTTCCACTGGAAAATCTGCCATCTCAACCCTCCACCGCAGTGCTCGGGGTCCCATCTGGCACTCATGGTGTTGAACACCGCCTGGGCGAGCGCAAGCCACTGCTTCTTGGGGTCCTTGGGGTTGGTGAAGTTCTTCTCGGCCGCAGCGATCACAGCCACGCCCCAAAAGCCCTGATCGTCATTTCCTTCGGTGGTGGACTCGTTCAAGGGAATGTAGTTATAGTCGTCTCCTGTCTGGTACTCCATCGCCTGCTGGATGACGTCGTGGTAGGTGTTGTTTTCCATGTAGTAACTGTAGTCGATCAACGAGCCCCAGGCGCCACCTGCCTCCCACCAATAGTAGGGAGGGATGAACTTTCCGATGGTACCTCCACGGCGGTAGCCGTCGTAGTAGTTCATGAGCCCATCGGCCACAAGTGCGGCGTTTTGCTTGATGTTGGTGAGGTTGTTGGTGTCCATATGGAGCGCCTGGACCATGCCCACCACGGAGGCGAGGATGATGTATGGATGGAGCTTCATCTAGCGAGGGTAGTCTGGATGGTTAGTGAGATTTGCCAGTTCTCATAAACGTCAGCTGGGAGTGCAGGTGGGAAATACGCGTGGCAGGGGGAGCCAAGGCCAAGCCAAGGTAGGCTGAGTACAGGGAAGGGCAGGTACTCAGAGGGATGGCAGAAGCGATGGCAGTGGCGAGCCAGTACCACCAGTCACTAGCGGGACCGGCCTGGTGCCAGCTGGGCCAGCCTGGTGGCAGTTGTGGGCGGGTCCTGGCGTCGGTGTCCGATCCAGGCTGAGTATGGGGTAGTGCGAGCAGATGAGCAGATTAGTGGGATCGGCATTGATGGTTGCTTGTAACTGGGCTATTGCGAGAAGGCATTAAATTTGAGCTGTTCCCTGGATGTTAGCTAGAACAGTAATGAAGTTGAGCTGTCCGCTCGATAACTGCCTGGTGCTAGAAATGAGAGGGTGTATAGTACTATTCACTGTAAAATAGTCTACTAAAGTATAGATCCTATGCCCTGGTGTTTCAACCATAGTAGCATATAAGAAAGAAGATGAGCTCTAGCGACTCATCATAGCCTATTTTTGGGCCATATTTGAACTCCTGATGTAATAGCATAGTTCTCTAGAAATTATATCAGCCAAGTTGTGGGGTCCAGATATAACATGCAGTTTTGTTAGTGTCATCGATTACATTTATGTGAAGTGGTTTTGAACAGGTTAACAGCTGTTCTTGGTCATATTGAGGAGTTGTCAGGCCAATTAAGAGAACATCTATGGGGTGCGATGAGGTCTAGTAAGCTGAATGCGATGGGTAAGCTGGGATTTCACTGGTGATAATAACTAAGCTATCTGGTGGTGGTACCTGGTGCATAACTGGTACAGCACTCTTCTATATGCTATACCAGCTGGTGCCGTGCCTCCTCGATTCTAGCACCCCTTCCCCATTTCTACTCGCTTGATACTGATACATTTACTCTACTATACACGAGAAGGGAACGCCGGAATGTAGTCCAAAACGTGCACCAAGCAGGGCTGTGGTAGAGACTCTCATCTAAGTCACTTCAATAGCTTCTCTCATCCCTTCTTGTTTCAAGTCATGGGAATATGTCTCGTTTGACACAGAAATGCTTGTAAGTCACTCCGATAACTGTCCTCTACCATCAAATCCCCTCCCAATCATCTTCTTCCTATCCTCTACTTGAACGCAGGATCCAAGATCTCAGCAGTGCCCTCCTTTTTGTAGTCGCCTCGAGCATTGAGCACCGAATTGATATGGTTAACCTGCCCAAGAGGCAAACCTGAAGAATGAGTGTTCTCTTCGCTCTCCTCGTCGGTGTCGGCCTCGGCCTCGAGACTCTTGCTCTTGAGAATACTCTCATCCTCGAAATCGTCGTCGCTGGCATCTTCTTCTTCCTCTTCCTCTTCTTCTTCTTCCTCCTCCTCTTCCTCCTCTTCTTCATGGCCATAAACTCCAAACACCTCTTCAAAGTTGACAAAATCACTGATGAACGCATCCTTGCTCATGTTCTTCAAGAACAGTTGAACCTCCTCAGGAAACAAATCCAACACTCCGATCAACTTGTCGTACACCACCTTGGCAGTTGCCAAGTTATAGTCAATACTTCCGCCAGGAATCTCGGTCCGTTCATACTTCAACTTGTTGAATATCTCACTGACCTTGTCCTTGACCTCAATAGAATACTTGGTGTTGCTGGGCTTGAAGATTTGATGGTTCACCTTGACGATCAACAAATTGTGCTTGCGGTTGTAATTGAAGTACACTGACGAGTTCTTGATCTTTATCAATTGCTCGTGGTTTTGCTCGGAAAATCCCAGATAGATGAAGTTGTAGAAACTCTTGATGGATGAAGTGTTCTTGATATCATTCAAGTTGGTGGAGATTTGGTTGAACTCGATGCCCACAATTGCTATTATTGGCTCAATGTAAAGTGACTTCAAGTTGTTCAATAAGTGGGTCCTGACCTGTTTTTCGGTCAATCTGAGCATGTTGCTGTTATTGGACTCACTCTTGCCCACTGTAGAATCAAACTTACCCAAATTACTGGTGAAGTCTTCGTTAAATTCCTTGAGGTACACTAAGTTGGTGATGTTTTCGTTGTTTTTCTTCTTTTCCAAGATAGTCACCAAGAACTTTTGGAAATCATAATACACATTCTTGTAAGAGTACGGATCGACGTCTTTAGTAATATTACCATCTTCTTCCTCGCCCTTATTTCCTAATTTCGACAACTCGCTGTAGATATCTTCTTCTTTTGTTTCGATCTCAGCGTAATCATAGTGCTTACGCTTGTAGTAGTTAGGAAGCTCTAGTTTGTTGATTTTTGGTAAAGGTTGGAATGGCTTAATTTGGGAGATCTGTGCGTTTTGGAACTGCTGGGGCTGGATTGCCTGCTGCTGCTGTCCTTGGGGCTTGTATGATTGTTGCACATGCAAGTTTCTTCCGGGAGTCTGGGTGTAGTTGGATTGTTGTGGAACGGAGGTGAATGCCTGGATTGGAATGGTGGCAGATTTGAACGTGTACTGCTGGCTCGAAGCTGGGGTGTGGGTGGGAGCAGCGGTAGCAGCCTGGACCACTGGACTCACGTAATTGGGATTGCTGAGGACCTCGTTGATTTCCCGCTCGTAGTTGAACGGTTTGTTATGGAATCTTCTGAAAAAGTCGTCTTTCAACAACCCTTCTTCCTCCATGAAATTTCCCGTCAAACTCTGCTCCTTGAACTGCTTGAGCCCGTAAAGCATGGTTTCTTCGGCCAATGGCTTTCTGGAGTTTTTCTTGTTTCTTTCGATGATTCTACACTTGGCACACGTCCGATACTGCATGACTTCTGGAGGCTCGTCGTCGAGTCTCTTTCTCTTACAACGACGGCATCTTCTGACTTCGTGTGACATGATGGATCAGGAACTATCTGGGTGTTGTGGTTGTTTTGATGCTTAACGTGGGGCCAGAATCAGCAAATACCTGGTCAGGGATGAAAACTAGGGTGGTGTGGAAGGAGTGGCAGGCGCTCAGAGGGCCAATGGTGTGTTCTATCCAAGCTGGAGCCGTGGTCTCTAACTCAGTAACTTAGTCTGTCTTAGAAGACGGTTCGCTCTGAAAAATCGCACTGTTGACTTTGTAGCAGTGAGAACGGTAGCGGCAGTTCAGCAAATGGAGGTATTTGCAAATCGAGCGTGGATTGATGGGTGCAGAGCAGGTTGTTGCGTAGCTGATGGATCTGGGGGGGCCAGGGAGTACACGGGGATTACTTACAAAGAAATTGGGGAAAATTTTTCCCCAGTAGTTATTTTCCATGGTGAAGTAAAAAATGGATCACGTGCAGTCGCCAAATTGGCAGTGCCAAAAAACACCGGTGGCGACCACGAAGAGTTGGGGGACGAATGGGAGGAAGGAGAGGAGACTACGAGTGGTTCTGACGGGCGATGGGCCAGCCAGAGGTGGTGGATTTTCACCGGTCGAGCGAACTGAAAAAAGCGCGGGTGACAGAAGCTGGCCATGGAATGGCAGCAGGTCGAGCACGGGGCCTCGTTGGGAAGTTATAGTGGGCGATAGGGCCAGTGGGAAAAGGGGCCAGGTGGAAAGTCTGTCACGTGATCTGTGCTCACGTGACGTGTCACTATCGGTATCTTCCCGGCGCCCCGCTGCAGCCGCAGTGGCCGTCGATTGCGGAGTCCGACTTTCACCAGACCAACCAGACTGGCGAGCCGTGGCCACCAGACCGACACAGGCCCCTCGTACGGCCGTAGACCCCTCCTAACACCATAGATCCCTCTTACCACCATCTCTCGCACCCTCTCCGGCCCTCACACCCTCCCTCTCCCTTCCCTCTCCTACCCAGCCTCCTCGTCCATCGTACCAGGGTGTGCGCGCACCACGATTGATCATTCGGGGACTACCACCACCAATTGACGATCCACCACGACCTCCTCCACTACTCCCCACTACCCCCACTAATCCATCCCTAGACCAATCGGCGTAGCACATCCATAGAACCAAAACAGCACAGCCAGAATGTCTAAGATTGTCCGTTCCATCAAGAATGTGGCCAGCGGCTATTCATCAGTCCAGGTGTTGGTCAGAAACGCCACCTCCAACGACCCTTCGGGACCCACCACCTACGACATGGAAGAGATCTCGTCGTACACCTACACGTCGCAGACAGACTTCATGGAAATCATGGACATGTTGGACCGTCGATTGAACGACAAGGGCAAGAACTGGCGCCATGTGGCCAAGTCGCTCACAGTATTGGACTACTTGGTGAGATTCGGATCGGAAAAGTGTGTGCTCTGGTCCAAGGACAACCTCTACATTATCAAGACGTTGAGAGAGTTCATCCACATCGACGAGGCAGACAACGACCAGGGCGCCATCATCCGGGTCAAGGCCAAGGAGTTGGTTTCGCTCTTGCGGGACGACGAGAGATTGAGACACGAAAGATCGCTCGCAGCAGACGCCAAGGACGGCAGACGCTCCCGTCCTAACAGATCCAGAAGAAACACCACCACTAGACCCCCTAGAGACCAGCCCTACGATGAAGACTTGGAACGTGCCTTGGAAATCTCCCGCATAACTGCCGAAGACGAGAAACGCCGCAAGTTTGAGGACGAAAACGACCCTGACTTGGCAGCTGCCCTCAAGTTGTCCATGGAAGAAGAGGAAATGAGAAAGCAGAGCCACCTGCAGAACCAAAACTTGTTGGACTTGGATGACGGTCCCCAACAACAGTACGCCATCAACACCGGTTACTACCAACCTCAACAATTCTATGTCCAGCAATCCCAGCCCCAGCAACAGTATGACATGTTTGGAAACCCTATACAAAACCCAATTGCCACCGGCTTGTATCAACAACAAACTTTCCAGCCTGATTACCAATACCAGCAACAGTTGGCTCAACAACAGTATGCCCAGCAGCAACAACAGCAACCATTCCAGCAGCAACAACCCCAATTCACCGGCTTCAACTTCGGTCAATCGCAACAACAGCAACAACCCCAGCAGTCTTTGCAGCCATTGAAGACAGGAAACAACAATCCATTTGCGATGTCGTCCGACCGCCCACAAAGCCAGCCACAATCCCAATCATTGAACGAATTATCGGACAAAAACCAATTCCAACAACAACCTCAGCAGCCTCAGCAGCCTCAACAATCTCAACCCCAATTTTACACCCAGCCCACGCAACTCAAACCCCAAAATACCTCATCTTCGAAGTTCAACGATTCTACTCATTCAGAATTGAACAATTTATTGGCCCAAGGTACTGGTATTGACACCTTTGGTAACACTGGAGCTAATAGAATTCCTCACCAACACACACAAACTCAGAATTTTATAAACTCAAGCGGTACAGGTTACAAGCAACAACTGAATGAAGTGAGATTGAGCTCCAACGCCACAGGAAATCCATTCTTGAATGTTGGAATCGGTTACCAAGGACAACCTCAACAGCAGCAACAACAGCAACAGCAACAGCAATCTATTAATCCAGCATACACTGGTTATGGATTTGGTAACCAACCAAACACTCAAAAGAGGAACGACGGTCCTAGCTTGATAGATATTTGAGTTATACATATAGACTATCTCTTACTTTGGTAACGGACCCATTCCCAGCGATCAATCCTAGAGATTGGTCTGAAAATCTTTTCTTCTTCGTATCATCTATACAGTTTTTGTGAGTAAATGTATTACAATCAAACAGCTTCTTGACCAGTACCAACCCCTTGGCAATTGTAACATGATAATATAGGCTACAAGTTATACATACTTCCGTAGGCAATTCGTTTAATCTACTGTGATCCTAGTAAAGTGAATTGTTTTTGTATTATATTACATTACTTGACTCAAGCTCACTTCAACTCATAGCCCTTGTATGCTTGCAATTGCATTGCAAATATGCTCTTAACACACCAGTCCCACTCAATGATTACTCCTTGCACCTTCTTATCTTTAATCAATTTCTGAAAACTCTTCTTCAATTTTGTATCCTTGCTACTGTGAGCTACGAGAATCACTTGTTCCTCATCATCTCTGGACAGGATTAACGACTTTTCCAAGGCAGCTGCTGTCGCGTTTCCATTAATGGCCTGAGCTTTGTTCAAGCCATGGTCCTTCAAGATTCTTGAAATGACATCAAAGCCACCATTCAAATTGCTTGAGAGATTCAAACTCAATTCCCTGAATAAAATGCCATGTAGGTCAGATTGAAGGAGTTTTTGAAGTCCATCTGACTGTTTGGGAAGCCCAAGCTCCGTGTTAATATCCTTAATGGGCACGAACTTATCCAAGGAATAATGATCTATGTTGAACTCCATCGAAATCAGTTCTCTGCTGGCAGAAGAATCTCCAGAACATTTCTTGAGAATCTCTCCTAAATAGTTTGGGTGTACGATTTTCTCCACTTTACTCAAACTTCGCAAAAACTTCTCGGTTCTCAAGATCTTGGGAGCTATTAAAGTATTGATGGGGTACTTGTTCAGGAAATCTGAAAGCACTCTGATACCGAGAGACAAGAGCTTTGCAATATCTGCTTTGCTCAATGTTAAGTCCAGCTCACAACCTGTCATTATTGCGACTACCAGAGGTTGTTCCTGTGTTTTGCTTCCCGGTTCTTGAGTAGCTTTCTTAGGTTTTTTGGATGATTTACTTTCCAGTTCTTCCGAAGTGGTTCTTTTAGAAGGTGTTAAAGTTCCCTCCAATTCTTGCATGTAAGTTTTCATCTTTCTAGAGCTCTTCGACATTTCTTGGTACAGATTCAAATCTGACATGTCAGTGTGGAGCTTCATGGCCGCTTTTTTGGCAGCTGATCTACCCTCTCTTGGTTTTATACCATTGTCATCAATAGCATTTAAATCTGGTGTCTTCGTACTTTCCTGTTGTGGGGTTTTCTTTAAACCATTGTTATCCGATTTATCCACAATATCATCAATAGACTCTTGGCTTTTGGGATTTTCGGTGTTGACCTTTACTGCCTCTGGGGCGCTAGCCGGTTCCACAAGCTCTTCCTTCTTTCCCATTTCTTGGGAGTTTTCATCCTCGCTGTCGCCGATATCGGCAGCCTCGGACTTCTCTTCTTCGACCTCCCATTTCCTCACCACCGTTTCATCTAGTTTTGTCCTGCCTAGCAATGCTTCTACGCCATCCTTACCATTTCCAAGGAATTGGTACTTCGGATCTGAAGCGTCCAATAGCTCCCACTTGGAGTAACACTCTTCGAGCCATAAATGATTAACAATTTTGACCTTTTGTTCCCCGTTCAGATCCAACCATTTGAACTTTGCCGTGTCATATTTTTTACCTTCTGCCTTAGCTGCCACTAAGTAGTGGTTCTCTTTAGTCATGGTCTTTGTGAAATTACCCCCCAAGGTGGTGATTAATTTTGAAAGGTAGGTTCTGGCATCTCCGCTATAGTTGGTGACGGAAATATCCAAATCTTTGAAGGCTGGCAACAGCTGAAGTGGAAGTGGGTAATGAAGCAAGTTTGAGTTCTTGGGCAACACCCATTTTTCGGTCACAATAATGCCATACAACCAGTTGATGTTACCCACAATGATTCGTTTGGATCGACAGCTATGGTGATAAGCATTTCCTGACCGGTATTTTCCTATATACACATCAACGGTCTCGATATCAAATCTTGGGGATACTTTCCCCCCATGGTTTTCGATCAATGTCTTGATCGAACCAGTCAATCTTTCTGACAAGTTATAGTCTGGGGCAATATAAAAAGATTTCTCCTGGAAGAATTTAGAGCTGAACTGGGTTCCAACGGGCAAGTCTTCGTGGCTAATCAAAAGATTCAAATCAGGGGTCGAATACTCCCACTTCTGTTTTTCCTTGGATGTCAAAAGATATGGAGTTTCATCCAACTTGTTGCCCATGGTCAAGCAGTGGTCCACCCAGTGGGGCATCACGATCTTGATGTCTAGCAGCTCCTCTTGGGGCCCGTTCACAGCACTGTAGGCGATGATACTCTTCTCATTGGTGAGGTCCAACGCAATCAAATGGGTGGTGTAGCGGGTCAACGCGTCCAAATAGCTCCCACCAAAGGCACTGACGGCTCCGTAGATCACCTCCTTGTCTCCCTCTGGCAAATTGTCTGCCACGCATACAAAGCAGTCCTTCAAAAAGAGCTTTGGGTCTGGGTTGTAGAGTTTGGGATTGAGGGTTCGTTTGGCAGCGATAGACTCGTACACCCATTTTGGTGTCGTTATGGGGATCATGGCACTTCTGGCCAAGTCGTATTCGATGAACTCGACGCTGTCGGTGATAATATGGGTGATTAGACCAGATTTGTTGCTGGACGAGGAGACACCATCTTTGTCAATATGCTCTAGGAAGTTGGTGCTGTTTTCGTAGTCGTATTTGACGATAACTTTGGCCCCAGAAGATTCAAGAAGATCCTTCACTTCCAGGAGTGGAAATGCGTCTGACTGGATAACTAGAAATACCGAACCTTGCCACATATGAATGATGATGGAATCGTGTTGATGGCACGCGTTTACGCGTAGTGTTTGATCACGTGAAGTTGATTTCTGGCGATGGAGGCCATCAGTCACTAGGGAGCCAATCGGGACTCAAGGAAGAAGAGAGTGGCTTCGATACATCAGCACGATCTGTGGCATTACCAAAATAATCAATTGTATTCATATTCTGTGGCGTTCAAACGTAGGCACTTTTTCGATTCGGATTTCGCAGCCAGTATGGAAATTGGAACTGGGAGTCGCTACTACAACGCTTCAAGATTCAAAGTAGAGGTTTGGTAGCTGAGTGAAGTAATGAATAATGCGATTTAACTGGAGTCTTTCCCTTTGAAAGTAGCAATTGCTAACGATACCAATCAACGAGTATCATATCAACGAGTATTTGGAGACTAAAACATTTCCGAATCCTGGCCCATTCTGCTTAATTTGACTACTCGCCATACAGAAATGAGAAGAGCACCACATAGAAATCGCTTGTTCGAATACATGTTACTCAATTTTAATGGCGTGAAGTACGCATTGTGGTGCTATCTAAACTTTCTCTACTTGAGGTTCGAAGATACAATAATCAATGGACTGCTTCTGAGCAATCGGAAATCATGATCCACCAACAAGAACACAGCAAGCTTTCTCGCACTAACACAGACGATAATGTGCCTTTTCTACATCCAGTAAACTGGCCAGTTCTTAGCAATGTATATTATCTAAAGGTAAATCAATGAAAATGAAAGGAAACAAACGTGACGGGTGTCAATGCAGATTTTAACGAATTATTGGATCTGAAGATTTAAGCATGTAAGACGAATCATTAGGAAGTGAAGGAAAAGTTCATGACTTAAGGAAATGACTGGCTCTATTATGATGAATGGTTCGTAAGGACTAATTGATGTGGACATTAGGATATATGGAGGGATCCCCCTGATTACTCTTTGGAAACTGGTTCCTCGAGGGTGATTCTGTGTGTGGATAACCTCTCATCAAATAAGTCCTTGCCCTCGGAATGGAATTTCTTTGCCCAGCTACGACATAAAATACTAGCTTTCATGAACTTTCTTGTGGCATATTTCTTGAAAAACTCGTCGTGTTCGACGGGCGATATTAAGTATTGGAAAATCAACTCCGCACACACCTTCATATCATTGACGCGGTATCCGCCTGAATAGTGTATCAAGTTACCATTCCACACGGGAGACTTTCCCAATATTAATCTTGCCAAGTACATGGCCGAAGCACAGCATAACGAGGGCTTGAGACCAATGAACCTGTAATCTATAGCTGTTATTTCCAACAAGTATTTACCCAAGGTTCTGGACTGGACGTCGTAGTCATCGGCCTTGGAGATTCTTCTCAAGAAGTTCATCGGATTGGGGTAATTAAGATCGAAATTAAGGATAGTGAGAATGTACTTTTCGGCTTGGAGAATCTCTTCCTCGGTGTATGAGCCGTCTGTGAAATATGCGTAGTTTTTGACCGAGGGGGAGAACACCTCCTCGTATTTGGCGGCGATGAATAAAGATCCGGTGGCCAACAACTGGAGCTTGTCGATCTGGACCACCTCCAAGGACATGAATCTGTCCATCAAGTTGATGGCCAAAAACAAGCTTTCCGGCAACAACCGGAAGCGCAAGTGCATTTCGACGAGCCAGTCCACCAAAATGGACCGCATCTTGGGCTTGAGGTGCTTCTGCTTGTAGAGATACTGGGAGTCGGGCAACATGCGCAGTTCCAACTCGTAGAAGTAGTGGAAGATGTCAGAGACGTACTCACTGGCCATCAACGGGTCGTCCAAGTCCTCCTCGTCGAGGTCCTGCCATTCGTAGTCGATGAGACGCGATTTCTTGTGGGTGGTGGTGGACGACGAGTGGAGCTTTTCCACCAAGTTGGTGGACGACTCGGTGGCCTGTCTCTTCTGGGGCAATCGCGAGGGCACGGCCAATGCAGAGGGTTGGAGTTTGGATGCTGGGGGAGGGTCGGAGTCGGAGGACGTGTGCGAGGTGGGCTTGTCGTCGGATGCTAGGGAGGGTTGTTGGGGGTGTTGTTGCAGGTTGGGGAGGGCGTTTGTGCGCTGCTGTAACGGAGCGTGGTCGCCTCCCAACGGACGTCTTTTGGGGGCCTGTTTGGCGCCAGCTGCTCCGTACTGGTTGGAGACGTCGCCCAAGTACTGGCGGGCAGGCACTGGGGGCACGCTGGCGGAGGCAGCGTCGCTGGCAGCGTCGTCGTCCACGGAAGGCACAGGCACCAAGCCCTTGGACCGGGTTAGTCTGTAGTCGTTTTCGTTGGTGATGGTTTGCGGCATCAGGGTGGTGGAACTAGCCGGGTGCTGGGGTGGAGGTGCTGGTGGTGGTGTTGGTGGTGGTGGTGGAGTAGATGCCAAAAGGAGTGGATAGTTGATGAGGAACACTCGTCTGTGTGGAGGCCAGGGAGTGTTTTGTGGGAGCAGCTTTGTGCGATTTGGCGACGGTGCTATTTCAGGGCATGCCAATTGCGGTGGTTGCGACGGTGTCAGGAGCAGCTACAATACAAGCAATTCCATAACAAAGTGGCTTTGTGGTGTTGTTAATTTACTGGAAGTAGGGAGATGGGCGCGAGAAAAGAGAAAGAAAAGAGAAAGAAAAGATGGGCGCGCAACGGGTGGGGGACTGGGGCTAGTGCGAGCGGTGGGAATGGAGGTGGTGTTGGGTGGTGGGGCTTCGTGGCTACTGGAGGAGGCTACTGGTGGCTGGCTACTGGTGGCTGGCTACTGGTGGCTGGCTATTGGTGGTGGCTAGCGTTGGTGGTGGCAGCTGTGCCCGTGGTACTGTCTCTCGTTACTGTGGTACTGTTTCGTACCATCCTCTGATCTTCGAGGCATGCGAGCGCGCAGTGTTTATTTTTCCCGTTGGGGATGGAGAGACGTAACCAGATGAAACGGCCCAACCAGTCATGCGTGGAAGCACAGATCCACGGTGGCATCGCTTGGCTCTGGTGGAAACAATGGCTGGTCCAAGACTGGTGCCAGCCTGGTGTAAGTGTAGCCACCGCGACGGTTGCGGCAGTTACTGGTCGCTGCGGCAGTTACTGAGCCTGGTCGCTGGAGCTACTGCGCGCACTGCGAAATAGCGGCCAAAATAGCGGCCGCGACGCGACCGCCGGCTCGCCTAGCGCGCTCACAATGCGTGAATCGGAATGACGTATTTTAGATCTAACTAAACACTCCACTGGTACTCCCCCATAAGGTTTAGCGTGTCGTTGCGAACGCTGGAGCATCGCGGACAGGCGCTGGCAGGAGCCCCCAACCGTTGCGAGGCCTCGAGAAACACCTCGTCCGACTGCGCACCTCCACTACCGGCACTACTACTACCACCATCACCACCACCACCACAGCGGCAGGCAGTCTCTGCGTGGGGGACTCCGTCGCTACTGGCGTGAGGGACTTCGCGGTCCATGAATCGCGCCAACAACTGGTTGTTGACGTCCACTGCGGCAGTGAGCCGCCCTAGCTGCGCGTCGCCCTGGTGCGGTTGCATTTTGCCCACTAACTGGTGCAACACCGCCACGAGCGGAGACTCTGGCACGGGAGGTGCTGCTTCTGGCACGGTGGGCGCTGCTTCTGGCGCGGTGGGCGCTGTTTCTGGCGCGGTGGGCGCTGTTTCTGGCGCGGTGGGAGCTGCTTCTGGCACGGCAGGCGCTGCTTGCGGCTGGTGGTGTGATGTGTTTGCGGAAATGTACTGGGCCAACCTACGCACGAGCTCGTGCTCGCTCTCGTGGCGCAAGAAGTGCGCGATGAGCAGGGCGAGCGACGCCAGTGAAGTTGTAGATGAAATTGTGCTTGATGAAGGAATTGTAGATGGGGGATTCGTGGCTGGTGGTGCTGATGATGCTGATGGTGGTACACTCCTCTCTGGTGGTGCACTCCCTAGTGGGGACTGATTCCTCTCATGTCCCACACTGTCTAGTCTACCGCGAATCTTGTTCATTTCCTCGCGCATCACCTCCACCTCCCGCTCGAGCTCGCTCGACCGGTTCTTGTACTTGATCAACTTCTCCCGCAACAACTGGTTCTCCTTCCCCACCTGAGCATTGATCTGTGGTACCTGCTGCCCGAGCTTGCGGGTCAACTGGGCGTTATCTTCCCGCAATCGCGAGTTCTCCTCCTCGAGCCGCGAGTTCTGCGTCTTGAGCCTGCCCATGGCTGCGTCCGCCTGTACGCGCTCGTGGGCATGCTTGTCGCCGGCTCTGTCTCGTTCACCTTTTAATGCTCTGTTTTCGCTTTTCACTGCTTCCAACGACTTGATGATCTTGGCCAAGGACGAGCCAAGCAATTGCGAGTACTTCTCGCCCTCCTTGTTGTTCAGCACCGACGCAGGCACGTTGTTGATGAGTTTGTGCGTTTCCTTGATCACCAACTCTGTCTTGTCGAACTCCTCGAGTCCTGCCGTCTCTGGCTCTCCCTGGGCCTTGTTTCCCGCCAAAAACCTCTCGATTTTATGCTCTATGCTGTCGTAGCTCGGCGAATCCTCAAGATCCAACCGCGACCAGTCGAGGTCCGGTCGCTTCTTCTTGACAGGACTGTCTAGATTGCCAGATCTAGCACGGAAAATGTGGTCCTGGTAGTCGTTTTTGAGCTTCTTGGTAGGCGAGAGCCTCAACGGACTGCTGGTCTTGAATGGCGACTGGGTGATCGACTGGGAACGCCGTATTTCGATGGAGTCGTCCTCGAGCATGTCGTACATCTCCGACAACTGGTGGTTCAGCTCGCCGGAAATCGAGTATAGACTGAGGTTGTCGTCATGGGTGGACTGGTAGTTGCTGAGCAAGTCCTGTGTGGAGTCCATTGCCATGGTGCTGGGGGTGCTAGATCGATCTCTCTGGTCAGTGTTTGTGTGGAGCCGTTTGTTTGTGGACGCGTGTCGCGTCAAGATGCGATGTCGCGCGACATCGGGACCCTATGCATGGCTTCAGAAACGAACCTGCAGAACATGTGACAGCTGATAGTGTGCGGACAACAGTAGTCAGACACCAGGGAGCACCGGTGCCTTGGAAGGACTGTAGCTAGACTATGGCTAGTTCCCCAGGCGTAACCAGCAATTCCGAGCTTTCTGGCTCCCGAATGCCGCTGTTGGATCTCCCTCCGTACACCTGATGATAAGACATCTGGTAACCTGCAGATCCCCTGCCCTCGATCTTGACACCTCTGCCGCGCACGACCCGAGCTAATAAAAGCCCGTGCTCCTCCGAAGAACTGTAACTTCACCCATCCAGAATGTCCTCTACCCAACAAGAAATCGCCGAATTGGCCAAAGAATTGAAGGCCAACCTCAAGCAGATCCCCGACTTCCCTTCGCCAGGGATCTTATTCGAAGATTTCTTGCCCATCTTCACCAAACCAGACTTGTTCCAAAAGTTGGTCAACGCCTTCAAGTTGCACGTTGGCGACCAAAAGGTTGACTACGTGGTGGGTTTGGAAAGCAGAGGCTTCTTGTTCGGTCCTACCTTGGCCTTGGCCTTGAATGCCGGCTTTGTTCCCGTCAGAAAGCCAGGAAAGTTGCCAGGAGATGTCCACCAGGTCGAGTTCCAAAAGGAGTACGGTTCCGACAAGTTCGAGATGCAAAAGGGGGTTATCCCAGAAGGTGCTAAGGTCTTGATTGTCGACGACATCTTGGCCACCGGTGGCAGTGCCTACGGTGCTGGTGAACTTGTCAAGTTGAATAAGGGTGACATTGTGGAGTACCTCTTCGTTTTGGAGTTGGACTTCTTGAAGGGCAGAGACAGATTGGGCAAGCCAGTCTTCACCCTCTTGAGTGGACAACCCGAGAAGTTGTCCAACTAGGTTAGATAGCATCCTATTTAATAAGTACACAAACTACTGAAAGTAGCCATAGTGACGATGGTGTCAGATTCTTCCAGCCGACGAGATTTCCAGACCCAGCTGGTCATCTTTCTCCATACTCTAGTCTCTCGATACTTTGTAATCACGCACTTGATCTTACGCTGTCTAGACTGCCCAGGGCCTACGAGCACTACGTATCACAATCATATATTCATAAACCGTTAACCACTCTTGAAGATTAAAAATGCCAATTCTCCAATATAGAAGTAAATGAAGTATCCCTGTTCGTGGGTGACATAGCTGCCAAAGCTCTTGCCCACGATAACATGCCAGGTAGGGCCGTACAACTGGTCCAATTCCTTCTTGAGGAAGGTGGCAATGTCCTTCTCGACTTTGTATGTGGTGGCCTGCAACGACAATTCAAACACTTTGGTTTGTATTTCTTCAGGAAGATCGGATGCTTTCAATATGGCTGTGGGGACCGAGGCTCCAGAGGCAAGCCTGGGGCCAGAAGGGTCCATCAGTTAGTATTTGGTGCGGGTGGGATGGCTGTTCGGGTGTACTTACGGGTCTTTTGCAAGTCAGACATGCTGGTGTGTAGTATGGAGTGGAAGGAGGTGGTGTGTCGCTCGTGTAGGCAATTTGCATCAACGGAAAATGTCGGCCAGTGCTTACGTAAGCAGGTATGGGTACCACCACTGGAGTCTGGGGCTCTAGCATGCTGGAAAATCGCCAAATGTGTATTCCAGGCAAGCGGTCTCCTGCTACTCAACGAACATCTTACTGCCATTCAGCGTACAAATGATCAACTACGGTCTCGCAAGTATGTACCTGATATTATAATATATTGTGCATAAATATATCTCTGGTTCAAAATGGGATAGTCTGGCTACCCCTTTGGCTTACATTGCGACGGACGCGGTCATATGATTCCGCTACTAGAGCTTCTCGTACTTCAACTTGTTGCCCAAAACGCCTCTTCTGAAGTCTTCCGCGCCCAAGGCACTGGTGTGGCCCCATGGCTTTTCGCGGTTTTCCCTGTCGATGGCGCCAGCAAAGCAGTTCAACCAGCCCTCACGGGAGAACTTCTTGTTGACAGCATCCAAGGTGTCGGGGTGGATCAAGTGGCTGTTCAACCCCACGTTGTCGAGAATGGTGGCGATCTGCAAGATCAACCCCAAGGTGGTGATGAACCCGCTCTCACCAAGGTCCTGGTGTCTGACAATGGCCTCTGCCACTGCGTCCGCGTAGTCCTTGTCGCCAGTCTCCTTCAACACCAAGTCGCGCGAAATGATTCCACCGTAGGTTTCGAACGACATCTTGGTGGCGTTCATGTTCTCGTCGGTGGTTCCGATGTCGTGGAGCAAGCTGGTGACGTAGATGACCTCGGTGTCGAGGTTCCATTCAGGGAATTGGTCCTTGATGATGGCGAGCGAGTACAAGTACACCCTCAACGAGTGGTTGAAAACTGGTGCTGGAAGCTTTTGCTGGGCGTACTTGTGGACAAAGCTAGCGAGCGGAGTCTGGGGAAGCTCGGTAGTGGTCTGTGCGGTAGGGGCCTTAGGGTTGGGGATGGCCTGGGCCACGTCTCTGGAGATCTTGACAAAGCCGTAGTGGGACATGATGGTCAATGGGTGGTCAATGGGTGGTCGATGGGTAATCAATGGCTGCACGGATTGTGGGAGCGCCAGGATTATATAGCGGGAGCTCGCTGCGGATTTAGGACGATTGCGGGGAGTGCCCCACCAAAATGTAGCCGGGGCTATTGCTGGCACGGAGTTGGTGCCACGGTGCGGCTGGCGGGGTCTGGTGGTGGTGGAGTTAAGCAGGGATATAACGTCCTATGGTGGAGTGCCAGCTGGACTGGTGGTGCTGGCGGTGCTGAACTGCACTGTGACTTCGCTACGGTGCTGATTTCTGTGCGGTGCTGACTTCGCTGCAGTTTTGACTTGCCTCTCGTGGCTCTGCCTGCACTGGAACTTCTGGCCCCACAAATGCAGCCGCGGTACGGGCTTTGGTTCATTTGTAAGCCTATTGTGCTGTTGCCGCGACCGCCAGCCGCTAGTGAGCTACCATCTGAATATCCGCTTACAAACCGAAGTTCGGCTAGATGGGCTAGCAATGATCTGCTTCGGCCTAGATCTGCCCCTCAACGGGCCGGACCATCGCTGGGCCTCGGATTGTGCCGGATGGCATGGATTTGCTTGACCTTTCGGTGGGAGTTAGACATGCCATCGTTGCAATCTATTTCATTTTCCATTTTCAACCCACACTCTGACTCTCCAAATTATTTTTCATCCGGGTTCACGGAAAATCCTCCCATTTCAAATCTGAAGGGAATTATTCTCTTCGTGATTATAGGCCAACTTCCGCACCCATGTTACCAATTTCTGGTGCCTCCTTGCAGCAAGCGCAATCGTCTTATTCAATGCGATTTTGCTCTCCACAAAATTGTAAAAAAGATATAGGAGAATAGTTGTTTTGCAATACTAAAATTTTGCAATGTAGACACTTGGATGGACAACGAGAGCCGTTAAAAAGCGTGCATTCTGGACAACTAGCACTGAAGCTTCTTCCCTGCGAGTTAACGTACTGTTTTCGATTGCTTCCACAACCCAGAACCCACTAGCACCATACCAGTATTTGTGTCGCTCCACGTGCAATTGTAGTTATCGGGTGTCGTTATGAAGATTGAGCCGGTGGAAAAAGGTGCAAAGAAACATTTCCAAACCTATTTTGGATGGGTGTTCCTGTTGTATTAATGTGTACTTGAGTAAGCCAAAAATGGCATCGTTTTGATTTTTGGTGCCTACTGGCCTGTCGTGTACTGGTGGGAGTCTCCGCTATATATTGACAAAAGTCTAGAAAACTACTAAGGTTGCATTTTCTCATTGATGGGATTCGGTTACAAAAGTACGGAGAATGCACCATGAGCCCCCGTAATTTTGCCAGACAAAAGTATCCAGTATAATTTAAACACGTAGAAACTGCGGAGCTCCTAGAAGGGCTGGAGCAATCCCACCTGGAAAAAGTACCAGGTTAACTGGAGTGCCAATTGAAGTTCAAGCCGCTTGATAGCGTAGATTTAGTATTTCCTAGCAGATAACATGCAAACAGGTATCGAAGGGCGAATAATGTAGGAGATAGTTGTACTCCAAGCTGATTCTGGCTTGGTTTAGCAGAATGACATTTTTAACAGAATTTTAATTTTTTTTAGTTTTTCACCACCATGGCAAATACATAGAGACCTGCAAAATACGTCAAATATTTCAACTTTCATTCCATTGCTCCCAGGAGAGTCCTACAAAGGACATATCCTAGGAGAATTATTTTCTCCATTGCGATGCATATCAGGAGACTTGTAGGATTCACTCACTCACATTCCCAGTAACCACCATAGAGACCCTCAAACTACCCCGTAAATGTTGGGGAAAATTCCACCACCTCTACACTCTACACCTAAATACCACAAGACCTACCCTGCGCAATCTAAGCCATTTCTATCCCATCTTTGCCCGATCTCTGCCCCCTCTCTGCACCCTCCATCTCCCAACTTCCTCTCCTGATGGGCACCTATTTCTCGCCAACCCGCACTCGCCTGTTGGCGGCTGCACTCCCTCTGTGCGACCTCCACTCAACCCGAAGCCATCTCCTCCACACTGATCCATCAATCCCAGTGCCACCACTCCATTATATGCCACAAGGGACCCCCGCATCTCCGCCAGCAACCGCTTGACCAGCTGCCAGACTCCCGCCCAGTACCCGTTGTTTGTGACCCCAAACTCCCCATTCTAGACCCTAGATCCACGCTGTACACCAGCTCCGATCCACAATGTTCGAAGCAAGCCCTTCCAACATATCCACCCACTACTACAAACTAGCACACATCAATTCCATCAACTACTCCATCTACACTTCCAATGGAAACGACCAGTCGCTCCTCGAATTGGAGCTCCTCATCAGGCACAACCATCCCAAGATCTTCATAACCTATTACAACAAGTGCCTCTACCACTTTACGTTCGGCAACCAGACAGCCAGCGCCGACTTGCCTGAGCTCGTCAAGGGCGTGGAGGCCAATTTCGACTCCAACGTGTTCGACTCCTCCAAAGAGTACCCCACGCTCCAGTTGAAACACACCAACCTCGTCAACGTGGATGTGTTGTCGAATCCGCCCAAGCCGTCGCCCGGCGCCCCAGCGTCTCTTGACGAGAACTTGTCGTTGGCCAACCTAAGCTTCTTGAAGGCGGTGAAGAAGATGGTGTTATATAACCTTTCGTTGCACGGACTAATCCAACTCTTTGGCAACTACTGTGTTCTCATTAACGGCAAAAGCTCAGACGGAATGCACTCCATCCTCTACCTCGACTCCATCCTCTTGTCCAATGGTGATTTGTTGGTGTCGGTGGTGGTTAAACAGCAGTTGTCACTCTTTAGTTCCAGTGTCTTGGCCATCGAAAATGAAATAGACTCACAAATCCCGGCACAAACAGACCTACACTTTGTCATATATCTCATTCCAAGCGGAATCCGATGCCATTTGTTCGACACGGTCAACTTTCATAAAAATTTCATCAAGAAAACGATAGACAACGAGAATTTATTAACCTTGATAAAACTCAGCACCGGAGTTGACTATTTCGAGATGAAGCAAGAGATTATATGGGTAAAATTAATCCCCAATCTCAAGCATCTTAATAACCAAACTTCGTCAATATGCAAATTCATCCATTCTGTCGACAACAAGAAGTTCATTCTCTGGCCATGGAACTTATGTTTACTTCAGTTTGGGAAGTATGAATCCACAGACGAGGATTTTGAGGATTCAACAGATTCGTCAAACACCAACCCATTGTCATTGATATCAGACTTCATTGACTTCAATATCACTAATCATCAGAATAATCTAAACAACAACAATAATTTGCAGCAAGCAGGTCCTGCACCCTTTAGTATCTTCAGTGTCAACTCGTCTGGTAACGGTGGTGGTTCTACAGGACCAACTGGGCCTGGTCACGTAGAGCAATCTAAAGATTTAAATTCGATTGAGCACAATGACATAACGACTCCAGCAAACAGTGATATATTTGGCCTTCAGCAAACACCAAATGAATTTTTTGGTAAAGACGATCAATCATTCCAGGCATTTCCTGCAGAAACTGATCCATCAAAGAAAATTGATAACGAACCACAAGGTAACCAGGATGACATGGAGATAGACGACTTGTTTGGCGATGACGGAAGCGATATTGAGGTGTTAGAGCCCGAAGAAGCACAAAAGGCTAATCTGCCAAATAAGGAACAAGAAAAATCAAAAGATGACCCAGTCGAAGACGGTGACCATGATAAGAAGCACGACGACGTGGACACAGTTATGTCTAGCGAAGAAATAGGTCCCAAAGAAAAAGAAGAAGACGAAGAAGCAGGAAGAATTGACAATTTATTTGGTGACGATATTGGATACGAAGAGCACAATGAACCATCTTCCGTCAATGAAGCAAAGGGCGATTTCGACAATAGTTCGGTTAAAACGCAACTTCCCAAATGTTTTGAGAAACCTACATTCATTGATATTCCTAAAGACCAAATGATCAAGAAACTTCTGACACCTGATTACAATGATCCTGGTGCTCCTCTACCAATCATGCCCACTCCAGTGATCCCCCAAAGCACTAACTTCGGTTCACAATCTGCAGGTCCAGGATCTGGCCCGGCTTTCAATTCGGGTCCCGCTTTTAGTTCAGCTCCAACTTTTAACTCGGGATACCCCGAACTCCAGGATGAAAAACCCACTCAGAAGTCCGTTTTCTCGCCTATTATCTTCAACCCAATAATTAAGAGCAACATTGATACAAAGTACGGCAAGGGTGGTAAATTTTACGTTGATAAGGAATCTTCAGCTGATCCTGATATGGAGAAAAAGAGGAGAAACATGAGAGCTACCAGTGTTAGTGGATTCGAACCTCCATTTAGTAGAGAGGCCTTTATTGAAGGGGAAAGATTACAGAACAAGGCATATAATCCCTTGAACAATCCTACGTTCGATGATGATGAGGATGAAGAAAGTGGAGCTTCAGAAACAAGTGAGGAAAGTGATGCTGACGATGAAATGGTTGACAAAATTGGAATTTCGCCACCCCTCAAATTAAATACCACCGAGGATGTCTTCCATCCAAATGGTGCAGGTATTGGGGTAGCTGGAGTGTCGAACGGAACTGCAATTCACGAAAATCATTTAAACTCAAACAATTATGGATTGAACGACAAATCCATGATAAGTAATCAAGTTACTGCATCCTTTGGATCACCAAGCTCAAACCTGTTCATGAAGATTCCTCCACTCAAGCCAGACTCGCCATTTTATACTGGAGATCTTCCTAACAGCATGTCACCAATCGACCATAGTCCTCAACATCCGAACCAGACACCATCACAGAACCAGAGCACTCCTTCCAATCAAGCTCAGAATACCCCAACACCGAGTCATACACCAAATCAATGGGGCGGAAAAGCTGAAGATATCAAAATAGGTGAAGCTTCCAATTACTTACCTCTTATTTTGCGTAATATTAATGTTTCAACGATTCCAAACACATTCTTATTGAACAACTTGATAAGTGATCGTCTTATCCCGCTGTTCACAATTAATGTGGACGATGACCCTGATAATGATTTGGAGCTCACTCAGAATAATGAAATGATAATTACAGTGACTCACCTCGACATATTCCTTGAATGCATTGGCCCAAATTTGATCTATGACTTGGGATTGAATTCAAAGGGCCCCCAAATGGGCTATTATAACGATAAGCTCAAGAAGCTCAATGATGCATGCCATGAGCCCATTGATTATAAGTTGCCTCCTGCTTCGTTCAATGAAAGTTTTAAGGCCATTTTTCCAAACTCGTATCAAGTGAAGCTAGCAGAATTTCTTGCTGATCCGAAAGCACAGGAAGGAAATCTAGATATTGACTCACAATTGAACTTCTTGGACGATATAACCAACGATGAGGACATTTTGAACCCCAATTCATTGCCTATTAAGCTCAAGACCTTGGAATGGAACAGTATTGACACACAAGAGCTGAATACTGAAAATGCAAACAAGTACATGTCGATTATGAGTCAAATTAAAGATACACAAAAGATCAACGAGGAAGATCATTATTTCAAGTTACCCGTAATCAAGTCAAGAGTAATGAAAAATGAAAACATAGTTAACCTCAACACGATCGGTTTCAATTTCTGGAAATACCTCAACTTCAGCCCTTTAAAATCACCCAAGAATTTTCAGATATTGCTCATCAGTGAAGACAATGGTAGAGGATCATCATTCAATGGCGAATTTCTCGACTTGTTGTGCAACAGTTATAATGAGAATAACCTAGGGAACATTTCAAAGATCAATCTCGCATCAGTTGAATCCAGGCCAGATTTGGAGAGTATTATTGATGGCCAACTTCTCATGTCACACAATGAAGATGATGCATACAATGACACATACAAGTATATTAATAATAGATTAAACTCCTTGGTGGAACTTATCAAGTTGGATTTAATCAATAAGACCAATAATTTCGAATTTGACCGTCCCTTGTGCATACTTTTTGCCAATTTTAATGAGAAATTCAATTCGTTGTTGCAAATATCGAAGATCTTCAGGAATTTTAGGATCTTCTTGACACATCACCAGCTTCCATTAGTTAGGATTTTCACAAAGATTATTCCCGGAAATTACATCGTCAAGCAACGCCCTTACCAAAGAAACCAAATGAGGATTATCTCCAACTACAAGTTATCAAAGTTATCTTTAAATTTGTATAATCAATGTCCTACCTGTTCGAGCAACAATAGGGGGCCAGCCAATGGTACTCAGAATGGCTTGGTAGCAAACCACACTAATGGGCAAGGAAAAGTTTCTGATACTAGTCTCTATACACAATTGGTCCAGGAACCTCCAACAAAAATCCATTTCAAGTTTTTAAATACAAATTTGAAAGATAATAACTTCAAAGATGACATCTTCTTACATTTAGCATATGAGAGGTCAATTGACAAGAATTGGATTTCGGCAGCTTGGTCGGACCCATTGGGTGTGGTTACACACAGCAAATCATGGTACTGTGGGCAGAATGCAAAAAGAAGTATTCATGACTTGGGGGCGATCAGCGACGATATCTGGTCCATCTCCTGTGAATGTTTCAAAAAACTAAACGATGAAATGGGACGATCTAGTGGAGGAGGAATGGGAACAGGTGGAAATCCAAGTGGAAAGAAGTTTCTCGTTTTAACTCGAGTAAACAACGTCATTCCTGACGACGAATTGATTCATTGGAAGCGATTGAGTATTAAACACAAGGATGTTTCATTGATCGTGCTTTCGGTCAACGATTCGACAAAGTTGCTATTCTGTGATGATTTGCCAAATTCAGATATCTCGAATTCCAGAAATCTCAGTTCCAGTATCTCAGGACTCGGTAGCTTCGCTGCATCAAGCAACCTCCAGGCGTCTGTGAATTCATTTGAGAAGGATAGTAACAACGTTGGATTCAATTCTTCACCATTGATGACTTCTCCATCACTCGGACTCAACTTTCATTCCCCTCAACAGTTCTTGAACGTGCCTTCCAACTTCTTGTCTCCAGGAGACTTCGGGCCAGGCTCGACCAACAACAGTGGCGCAGGGGCCGAGGGTAATTCAAACGAAGGAGCTAGTCTTCCCCAGTCTATACTTCATGACTTGGACTCCGACATGATGGGTATCATACCTAAGGTACCCTTGCCATCGTTCAATTCGCCTGCGAGACTAGGAATGAAAAACGGATACTTATTCAAAAGACTCACCAACTCTGTGGTAGACTCTGCGGACAAATCTCGATCATCGTACCTCATATTCGAAGTGAACCTTCTCAGTTGCTCGAATTATTGGGATTTGGAAGTTTTGATGAAGTTAATCTTGGGTCATTACAACAAACTTATTGTGTTAAATGATATTCTCGGTTTGAGGGACTACGATGGGAACATCAACATGTATGATTTGAAAGAGGATCTCAAGAGAGAAGTTGAGCTCGGTAAGTTGAAGTTCGAGGTCGAAGGAATGATTCCCTGGCACATTGCTGCCGTGCGTAAATCTCTCGGGTACTTGACCCATATTTTGGTGGAGGATAGTTGAAGAATAAATTGCAGATAGCTTATGTGAAGAATATGATGAACCTCAAAATAATACGAACAGGTAGAGAAAACAACTCCCATTTACGCAAAAGTAGTATCTAAATATAATCTGTCTGTATTTATCAACCTAGATATTATTGATTTGAGTATAGTTGTTGGGTTCCCCAGAAATATGATAAAAATGCAATGGCTCATAGGGCTTCTAGAGATTCTACAGTAATTTACTAACATAAAACACCTGTAGTCTATAAAAAAAACCAGTTAAACCGTAATATTAAACAAATTAGTGCAAAATGAACATCCAAGTGAGGATAACGATCTTAGTATTGAATAAAACGATCATGAATAAAACAAAATACTAATGTCAATTTATTCTTTTTAATGCATTAGTCCAAATCCCCACTTACCATGATTACGCGGCTCGTGCAAGTAAATCTTCCTGAATTCTTCATGCAAGCAGATACCCAACTAGCCCAATAATGGCTACGGAAATTCCCAAGCTTCAGTATCTCTGCCTAAGTATGCTTCCCATATGAGAATCGGGGGCAACCCGCACTTTTTCTAACCCGCACACATAACCTGCAATCACTCCAAGGTGCAGGTTCACCATTGGAAAAATCCTCCATCAGTGACCCACACAACAAGTCAATCACACAAGAAGACGTTATCTACGATGTCTGATCCTGACCAATTAACACACGTCAAGGCTGATGACGAATCTTATGACGTAGTGGACAGAGACCAAAACGAGTTTGATGACGATGCCCTCGAAAACTCCGTGAATGAGGAGGCTGCACAACAAGAAGAGGACAAGCAGAATCTTAAGCGTCTGCGTGATACAGAAGAGCAAGGCGAGGGAGGAGACGAGGATGATGATGAGGAGGAGGAAGAAGAAGACGAGGATGATGATATCACCAACAAGAAGAGAAAGAGAAGAAGAGCTGCCAACCAGTTCGTTGATATCGAAGCAGAAGTCGATGACGAAGAAGAAGACGAGTTGGACGAAGACGATGAAGAGGCCGAACTCTTGAGGGAACAGTTCATTTCTGATGATCGTGATAATGCCGAAGGCAATGATGGAGACAACCAGGACGATAGATTGCACAGACAGTACGATCGTCGTCGTCAGGAAGCCGAAGATCAGAATGCTGAAAAGTTAGCAGAGACCTTAAAGCAAAGATACAGAAAGACCCACACCGTCTACAGAGGTGATAGTGCTACCAGTGGAACTGTATCCCAAAAGTTATTGATGCCTTCTATCAACGATCCTTCCATTTATGCTATCAGATGTACCCCTGGCCGTGAAAAGGAATTGGTGCGTAAATTGTATGAGAAAAAGAGAACTTTGGATAGACTGAACCGTCCGTTAGATATCTTGACTGTTTTCCAAAGAGATGCATTCAAGGGTTACATCTATATTGAAGCAAAGAGACCCGATGCTATTGATAGTGCATTGGTCGGAATGGTTAACATCTTCGCCAGAAACAAACTCTTGGTTCCAGTCAAGGAATATCCAGATTTGTTGAAGCAAGTCAAGTCTTCTGATGTCGAAATTGTTCCTGGAATTTACATTAGAATCACCAGAGGAAAGTACAAAAATGATCTCGCAATTGTGGATAACTTGTCAGAAAATGGTTTGGATGTCCGTTGTAAGTTGGTCCCAAGACTAGACTATGGAAGAAATGACGAGATTGATAAAGATGGAAAGAAAATAAAGCTGAAGGTTAGACCACTTCCAAGATTGTTCAACGAACAAGAAGCCAGAATGTATGATGGTGAATTCTTGCAACCAGGAAGAGGACCTCGTAGTTTTGTTTACAGAGGTGAAGAATACAATGACGGCTTTCTCTTCAAAGATTTCAAATTACAATTTATCCAAACTAAAGATGTCCATCCTTCATTAGAAGAACTCGATAAATTCCAAGCGGGTAACAGTGAAGAAGATGGGTTGGACTTAGCTGCTATTGCTGCATCATTAAAGAGCAAAAACAAGTCCGATGGAAAGCAATCAACTGCATTCCAGCCAGGTGACAAGGTTGAGATTCGTCGTGGTGAACAAGCAAAGACCGTTGGTTTGGTTGTTGAAGCCTCATTGAATGAAATTACTATCTCGGTTACATGGAGTGGTGATCCAAAGTTCGTAAATCAAAAGTTGACAGTTCCAGCCAATGATTTGAGGAAGATTTTCAACGAGGGTGATCACGTTAGAATTGTCGAGGGTAAACATTTCGATGAAACAGGTTTGGTTATCAAGATTGATGGTGATTCCGTGGTCTTAGTTAGTGACCAAACCAGAGAAGATGTGAGAGTTTTCGCAAACTACTTGGTTAAAGCCACTGATTCTTCCCTGAATATCGACACAATGAACAGTAAATATGACATTAAGGATTTGGTTGAATTGAATGCCTCATCTGTCGGTGTTATTGTGAAGGCAGAAAAGGGTATTTTCGAAGTTCTTACCTCAGATGGTAGAATTTTGCCTATGAAACCTTCAGGTATTGCATCCAAATTGCAATTAAGTCGCCGTGAACAAGTTGCCACAGATAGAAATGGTTTCACTGTCAAGGTGGGTGATACCGTCAGGGAAGCTTTGGGAGACAAAAAGAAAGAAGGTGTCATTTTACACATCTACAAGAACTCCTTGTTCATTAAGTCCAATGAAGTGGTGGAAAACTTAGGTATTTTTGTCACCAACCGTATGGATGTTAGTACCATCACCACCAAAGATTCCATGGTATCCAAGAGTTTGGGCCCAGACTTGAGTCGTATGAATCCTAACTTGAAGCTCCCAAACCCAGGCGCTGCTACTGCAGGTTTGAAAACCAGAGTTGGAGGACGTGACAAGCTTCTTAACAAGGATGTTGCTGTCACGAGTGGTAGTTACAAGGGTTTGAAGGGTAAGGTTGTGGAAACAGATGATATTAATGCTAGAATCGAGTTACACACCAAGAGTAAGAAGATTAAGGTGAATAAGAACAGTTTGAATGTTTTGATCCGTGGAGAAGCTATCCCATACTTGAGATTCATTGGAGCAGCATCCAATGATGCTCCTCAGTTCAACAAGCCTTCAGCCCCTGCATTCAGTTCTGGGGGAAGATCTTCCTGGAACGGTGGCGCTACCCCATCTGTTGGCGGTGGTGGGTCTTCGTCTTGGGGTAATGCAGGAGGTGCTTCATCCTGGGGTGGTGCAACCGCCTGGGGTGGTGGTAAAACTCCTGCCTACAACGGTGGAAAGACTCCAGGAGCAGGAGGAGCATCCACATGGGGAGGATCTGGAGGATCTTCTAGCTGGAACCAAAATGGAGGTAACTCTACTTGGGGTGGAAGCGGTGGCAATGGCGGAAACTCCACTTGGGGTAGCAAAGGTGGTGCTGGAGGTAACTCGACGTGGGGTAATAATAATGGAGGCAACTCTTCGTGGGGAAATAATAATGGAGGCAACTCGTCCTGGGGAAACAATAATGGAGGCAACTCCACTTGGGGATCCAGCGGAGGAAACTCTAGTTGGGGAAATAAAGGAGGAAGAAGTTCATGGGGACAGCAATAACCCATCAAGAGTTGCTGGCAAGCACTTGACTATTTGTATATTATGAAGTCTATTAATATATTGTACATTAAAAAGCTAACATTTTGGGATGTAGATACAATTTTGATGTGCCAACTGAGATTCCGATGTGTGTTGATGTCAGTTCATATCTGATTAGGTAGGGTTGTGAAATTGCTACACCCATCCAAAAGGTTTAGTCTCAAATCATCCTCTTGCAAGCTTTAGAGCCCATTTCATAGCTTTGATTTTATTACCAGAATAGTTTTCCTAGATTGATTTGCAATGGTTTCAATTGTTCTCACATCCTGGACAGTTGTGCAATGCTTCATGAACGAAGACATCGCAATCAATGCAAAAATCGTTGGAGCACTTCATACATCTGTACCGGGAACTGGTCATGGACTCCAAGGACGCCTTCGATTTTACCGAAACACCCTTTGGGAACATCAAGAGACATCCGTAGCAATACTGGCTGGTATAGCTGGAGCTGACTGGAACTTCAGTGAATGGGGCCAACGGCACCAAATGATGGTACGACCTGGCCAAGTGGGTGGAAAGAATCAACATCAACCCACAAACAGGACAAACTGTGGGTAAATTACTTACTTTGTTTTTGCATTGCGGGCATTGGTACCCAATAACATTGTTCGGGTTCATGTCGCTCCCAAGTTCTCCAGTTGAGACCTCGACCACTTGCTTGGAGTCCTCGGAACCCTGAGTGGGATGGGAGGCACTCAATTGGGGGAAGTCGATGTTGAAGTTGGGGTTGTTGATGGACACTGTGAACTTGGGCTGGATCTTGGATGGGAAACCCATTTTGATCAAAGGCACCCCGTTCTTCTTCTCATTCTGCTCGGCCTTGTCCTTTTCAGAAATGGGCAACGGCACCACACAGTCCATCAAAAGTTCCCTGAAATGGGTCTCGTGCATGATGACACCGTAGTTTTTGGAGGAAATGCTTTTCTGTTCGTTGTTGGTTCTGTTGACCAACTCCTGACAAATTGACACCTGTGCCGAGAGTCCGATGATCTTTACCTTGATGTCGTCCCGCACCAAGTGGTCGATGGTCTTGTGTATATCGCCCGGGTCACTGGTGAACAAGGCCCCAAAAATGAGGAGGATCTCCTTGGAATTTTTGGTGTCGTTGGAGTGGCCCCCACCAAAGTTGTACATCAACATGGAGCGTGCCATTTCCAACGAGTTCTGCAACGAGGGGTCGCCCTTGGGCTCGTATCTGTTGTGCTGTCTGGCTTTCAACTGTCTGATTTTGTCGATATGGTACTGGGGCAGCCCGCTAACCTCACTGATCACGTTGGAAACCCCGTTTCTCATCATCAATATCCCCATTTGCGAGATGGGATTCTGGTCGAAGAACTCCACAATGAACTCCTGGATCAACGAGAGGGTCATGGCGAATCTGGTGGGTCTGAGGTCCTTTTCGAGCATGGCCAGGGACCCATCAATCACCACGATCAACGTCCGAATAATGCCTCTTTGGAACGGGGTTGACGGGTTCCGCATGATCTTCTTCTTGCGGGCCTCGATCATGCTCTGGATGATCGACTCCAACGACCTGTCGCCATTCTCGTCGTTCTTGACTATGTCCCACGATCTCTGGATCTCGTCTTCCCACGCATACCCATTGGCCCCCTTGAGGTCGCTGATGGCGCCGTTGGCGCTGGATCTGGTTCGTCTCGACACACCATCGCCCTTGGGCGAGTCGGTGGACCCTCTGGATGGAGGCATAGAAGGACTGAGGTATTCTTCATCTGAATCGTCCATGATCACGGTGTGGCTGGCAGTGGCAGGTCGAGGCAGGTGTATGGATGGAGACGAGTGAAGTATGTATGTGCTGGCAGTGGCAGTATAGTGCGATGGCGATGGTGAGTCTCTTCCTGGACTTGTATGGAATGAATGGTTTGGTTGTAAATAGTGATAGATCTGGCGATGGGGCGCGGCGGTGTGCGAGTGCCAGTGTAGGAGAGTGAAGAAGAATGAGGAAGTGAGAATGAGAATGAGAATGAGAATGTGAGAATGAGGAAGTCAGAATGAGGAAGTGGAATTGAGAAGTATTGGGGCTGAGATGGTGGAGATGGGTAGAGTGGTTAGCCTGCTGGTGTACGAGATACGGAGAGAGGGTGTGGAACGGATAAGAATTATTGAGCAGGATTTATCAGTCTATTGATAGCAAGTTGGTAGTATAGACAGTAGCGATGAATTAGGCTCTGACTGAAAAATGCTCATTTGACTACTTGTGTAGAAAGTGCTTATTGCTATTAATGAGATAATGCTAGTTTCGAACTACAATTAGTACGTGGCCGTCGTTCTAGCTCATAGCCATTATTTGAGTTCATTCACAGTATCTTTCAGTTAAACCCAAAAGATGTCCTGGAGTGGTAATCATAAACTAAGTGCAAAATTGCTGCATTTGTAATAGTAGAAGAGCAATGAGGGAAGGAGGGCAATTATTTCAACATTATCTAAGAAACGATTAATCCAATTAGGAACGGAGCAGCTCTCGCAAGAGGCTCAGGATGTCATGCAATTACTTCACTCCTTGGAACCTTCCGCCAATTGAGTACAAATAATTAATTTCAAATACTTTTTCTACTAGTCTTCCTTTTGGATACATGCCTTGTATGTGGTAACGTTTCCAGCCATAGACAAACGGAGCAACCTTGGGGAATGCTGAAATTTAGATTCCAGTGCATAGTTCTCTAGTTAGGCCACATTAGCTGGCATGGAAAATCTACGCCATGACTTCCAACAGATGGCTGCGAATTCGAATACTGTGACCACATAACATCGTTGCAATTATCCTACCTATGCACAATAACACCTACTCACTTCTATGTACATCTGCCCTCTTCCTCAGTTTATATCGTACAGGTAGATCTCTTCTCCCAGCTTATGTTAGCGCCGTGTGCCTCAGGCAAAACCACCATTGAATCGAAACTGGATCTAGGTAATCCTCTGCCCTCTTCTAGTGTCCACCTGAGGTTCCACACCATCGTTGCCAAGATTACCCCGAGTTGAAGGTGTGCAAACTGCTCACCAATACATCTGTGTCTACCGCCACCAAATGGCAAATATGGAGAGGCCACTCCCTTGGAGACCTTTCCGAACCCATAGTCAACAGTTTCGTCTGAGTCTTCTGTTTTCTTTTCATCCCATCTATGGGGATCAAACCTGTTGGCATTTGAAAACCATCTTTCGTTGGTCATAGCGTATGCAACACTAACGAGTACGTAGTGACCCTTGGGAACAACGTAGTTGGTGCCAGGGACTTTAAGCGAGTTTTTGACCTTTCTGAACGTCGAGTGAAGTGGATGGTGCATGCGCAACGTTTCTTTCACGGTGTTGGTGATCAAAGGCATTTTCTGTAAATTTTCGTAGCTCAAGTTGTCCAAGTCACCATCCAAGACTGTCTTCATCTGCTCGTATATTTCATCCTGGATTGCAGGATTTTGGGCCAACCGCAACAAAAACCACGCTGACGTTGTAGCAGAAGTATGCTGGCCACCCATAAGAATACCTATCAAAAGGTTAGCAATTTCTTGGTCTGTCATTTTCACTCCATCCTTGTAGGTTGAATGTAACATCAACGAGTCGATTAGGTCCCTTCCAGCTACTATATCACCGGATTCCCTTCTACTCTTGATCAAGTCCATATAAGCCCCAGAGATGGCCCGTTGAGCGTGGTCTCTCTTCTTGTTGTGGGGCAAAGGGATGTTAGGAAATACGAAGTTAATGGGCACGAAGGCCTTATCCAAGTCGGTGTAGAGTTGGGCAAATGAAGTGTCAAGCTTGGAACGCATTTCTTCTCCCAAGAGGCATCTCGACGCAGTGAGAATGGTGACTTCGCTCTGTGATTCAAGCACGTTAGTGACTCCTCTCTTGAGGATCTGCAAGTCGTACTTTTTGGAGCTCTTCAAGTAGTCCACCACTTCCAGCTTGATTTTATCCACATATGTGACAAACGAGTTTTTGGTCAACGCGAACTTGGCAAACTTCTTCTGCTCGACTAGACGCGAATTGGGACAGTCATAGATCACTCCCTTGCCAAATGCAGGCGTGGTAAGGTGACTGTAGGCCTCCTCAGCCGAAACGTCGTTGAGTTTGGCATTGAACACAAACTCGTGTCCTTTGGGTCCGAGATACACTGTCATGATTCTGCCGAGGAGCATGAACGAGAACACGTCGCCATGGATCTGCCTGCATTCCTCAAAGAACTCGTAGGGCCTGAGGCCATAGGCGACTGCAGATCCGAGCCATGGGATCCAGTAGAATATCAATGGAGCTCTGTCTCTGCGGAAAGAGTAGCAATACTGCCAGGCGAGATTGAGTACAAAGGCTCCAACGAGAATGTAAAGTAGCACGAGCATTCTGAATAAGTACGGTTTGGTAAAAATTCAGACAATGTCCAGCCTGGATACTGCTGATTGGATTGAGTCGGGAGGTGGAATGGACTCCAGCCTGCTGGGCTGTGGGACTATTTATACCGGGTCCTGGCAGTGGTGGAGGTATCAGCTGATACTGCGGCGTGCGCGGTTCAATTTGGTTTTTTGCAGCCTTTTACGATCGTTCCGCGTTCGTATAGCCAGTAACAAGTAGGGAGAATGTCAGGAACGAACAAGGACTACAGTCTCGCATTCCATGGAGACAGCCTTGTAGCAGCTTTCGTGAAGACACACGTACCGGGCGGTGCTGAGCCGTGGCGGGAGCTCGCGAGGGCGCAGTGGTGCCAGTGACGACGGTCCAGTATTGATCACTTAGTGGTGGCGCGAGGGAGAAGGCAACTGACGAGGAGGAGGAAGATTCGATGGAATTGATGGTTGACGTTGGTTGACTTTGGCACACGGTAGTGGTAGGAGCACTCCGTTGGATCTCGATCTTTCACATCGGTGGTATTGGATCCACTGCTTAGTGCTGGATCTGCCGCTAGTGCTGCTCGCACTAAACTGGGCAGATTTTCCTGGTCGCTCTACGGTGCTAAACGACAGTACGACGCTCGCGATGCAACGTCGTAATGCATACAGCTGAAGGTGTCAAGAACGGACTTTTGCATTTGCGTCCATCTGCCAAGTCCGAACGATGAACGAGCCTCTCTGCTCGTATAGACTGAGTCAGAGATACTGGGTCAGTTTGAGTGGTGAGGTAATGTTGCCAACGTGTGTTAGGGAGGAGAGAGAGCAGGAAGGCTAAGGCTATTCTACGGTCCTAATGGGAAGTGTTCTATATTTTCTCTAGATGAACCGTTAGTTGCTTGAAGACACCAGAATGCAAGCATCGTGTTTGTTCGTTGCTGCTGAGCCTGTGTGATACGACTGGGTGCCAATCGAGTGGTAACCAAGAATACCTGTTAATTCGTGTCGGAGTTCAGTAGTCTATCATGTCAGATTCAAATTGAACGGATCCTGAACTACAGTTTAAATTTAAGATCAACTGATTTAAAGCGATTATTGCTTAGAGTTTTATATCTCGGTCTTTCTTTGTCAAGCTGAACAGATTCTGAACTGCAGTAGAGGTTAATTCTTTGCCGGGTTGAAATCCTGGCCAGTAGAGATTTTTCTTTGTGACAATTAAATGCTATTGCTGGTAGTAGGCGTACGTGGTGGTATTATTGGTCGATCTATATCTATGGCACCCGCCTCTGCTATTTACATTGACTCGTTGGCACAAGCATGAGCCGCCAAGTTTTGAAAGCCTTAGAACTCGCACAGATCCATCCGAGCCTAATCTCCTGTCACGGTATGAGTTTCCCTGTAATTTTGGATGCTTGTTAATTTATGGATTTCTGGTGTATAGTGCTTTGAGACTGTGATGTTTTTGTCTGTATTGTTATGTGGATTAAGCACAGGTGTACTTACGATTGTGGTTTTGGTTGTGCTTGTGCTTGCCGTTATTTCTCCTGTTCCACGGACCAAGACATCACAGTCACTCCTCGTGACGCCGCTTCTTTGGGTTGTATTTCTCAATGGCCTTCTCGTACACCACTCGTCCGTCGTCACCGATGTCATAGAAAAGACTGAGGAACTCATTGATCTGATTTTCGTCCACCGTTCCCATTTCCTCTTCCATGAATGGAACTTTACGCAATTCGTCGATATTGATGAATTGTTGGAGACTGTACCCTTTTCCTGGCTTCACTGTGATTTCCCTGTCCTTTCCCGTGAACACATCGAGCCGTTCCTTGCCATACATGGTGACAAACTCGTCCTCACTCAAGTTGAAAAAGTTATCGGGGTACAATTTACTTTCAATCTCAGTATTCTTCTTGGTCTTGGGAACAGGTGCACTTTCGTTCTCCTGGATATAGAAGTTTCGCAACAACTGGATAGCTTCCGTCCTCATGACTCCTCCATAGCTGGGATAAGGTGGATCCGTGCCCAATTCATCCCGGTGAACCGATAACACCGTGCCGTTGCCTCCAAAACGGTCGTTTCCACATCCATACACCACTTCTCCAATTCCGATCTGGCGAAGAAAAGAAGCACACATGATGCACGGCTCCACCGTCACATACAAGCGCATCTTGGAAAAATCCACGTCCTGGTCCATGAGCCTGGCAATGGCAATGAATTCCGCGTGCTTGGTGCCGTTGAGCGAGATGTTGGTATAGTTATACCCGATGCTGACGATGGCAGAGGAAGCCATGTCTTGGATTACACACGACACTGGAGTCTCGTTGATGAGTAGGGCCTTGTAGCCCACGAAGAGGGCCGTGGCCATGTGGCGGAAATGGGAGGACAAGTCCATAGTTGGTGGTCCAGGACAGGAAGAGAGCTTTGATGGATATCGCATCATGTGATACGTCACGTGTGGTAAGATGTCCAGATCTATATCGACCCACCTGCCTTTTCTTATCCCCACCATGTCTGACCTCCACAAAGCGTTCATGAGACGCATGAAGCGGGGCCCTGTCCCTCATACTGGCGTTCCGGGAGCGGCTTCAGCTTTACCAGAATTGACTGAAGACGAGCTGCTTGACGACCAGGCCACGATAGCTTCTTTGGCCCACCACAACCCTTCCCAGTCATCCTCGCCCTCTCCCACCCCAGAAGACGACGAAATCCACAAAGCCTACCAGGCCTTCAAGTCCAGCTTCTTCACGGTCCACGAGACTTACCATTTCAACGGTTTACCATCCATCAATACCTACTATAGACCTCCAGAAACCCCACATTCCACCATTTTCGTGTGCCTCCACGGAGCAGGGTCTTCAGCCCTTACATTTGCCAAATTTGCCGAGGAGGTTGCTCGAGCAGAGGACGATGTAGGTATATTTCTCTACGATCTTCGAGGGCACGGAGACTCAGCCAAACTGGATGACTTTGGCTTGGATTCGTTGGCCAAAGAGCTCAGTGCTGTGGTAGACGAATTTGTCCTTAGACACCTCCCAGCATCCAACGAGCTGCGCTCGATCTACTGCGTAGGTCACTCGTTGGGTGGGGCTATAATGTCCAAGTATTTGAGCGATGATACCTACGAGCATCGGTTGGTGAAAGGGTTGATCCTTCTTGACATTGTGGAAGAAACTGCCGTCAGGTCTTTGGTGGCCATGCCCACGTTCATTGCAAATCGTCCGTTCAAGTTCAAGTCCTTGAGCCATGCAATCGAGTGGCATATGAATTTTCTCTTGTTCAACGAAGACTCGGCTCTTTTGAGCATACCAGACTTGTTAAACCCGGACTTGACATGGAAAACCGATTTGTCGTTGACACAGCCGTTTTGGGACTCGTGGTTCCATGCGTTGACCGAGAACTTCCTTAAGTTCAAGAGTCCAAAGTTGTTGATTCTATCTACCCACGAGACCTTGGACAAGAATCTCATAATAGGACAAATGCAGGGCAAATATCAACTAGTGGTGTTCAACAACAGCAACAAGTCGGGCCATTTTGTGCACGAAGACCTTCCTAAACAAGTATGCATCTGTGTGTTGGACTTTTTGAGAAGGAACGAGAATCCAGGCAAGTTTTTGAGGCACAACTTGGGTGTTGTGCCCAAGTGGGGTGGCCAAATCAATAAATAATCTGGCTGATTGTTCTTTTCTACGACTATTTGTTGGGAGGGCCATTAAATGGCATGAGAAAATTTTATTTTAGGTAATTTCAATTGGAGTTCATTCCAAGGTACAAGTTGAGTCAAAATAAGCCAATTTATTACCATTACAATTACAGAACCTACTCCGTGTCGACTTGGAACTCCATACTAAATCATTGGTCATAATAGTCAATTATTGGGTTCTTTTGTTACAAGTGCTATCCTTGCTTAATCCACGCTCATGTTACTCCTGTTGATCTCCTCCTGTCTCTCGTTAATCAACTTCACTACTTCATCGATCTTTTTGCTGGCAAAAGGAAATCTGGGGTTAATCAAAAAAGGTCTCAAATCAAACCTATTGTCGTCTGGCGAGTATTGTTCGGCATGGTATGCAGGGGTCATGGTGGTCATCTTGTGTCTGTTAATAGCGTAGAAAAACCAGAAACGCTTGACCTTTTCTGCCACCTGTTCGGCGGTCAAGTTCAATGGAGGCTGCGACCACTCGTGGTATAACTTAATAAACATTGCGTAAGGACCACACTTGTCAACCTTTCTCAATCTTCCGAATTGAGACAACTCGTCGTAGCTCATTCCCATGTCGATTTCGTCACTCTGGACGTAGTTCTCAGTGATTGGTTCCAATTCTGCGGTTGGGGTGGCTGTTAAGAAATCATTCAAAATCGGGATTTTGAAATTGACTTCAGCCCAGGCAATGAATCTTTTCAAGTCAGTCTTCGAGATACCTCCGATGGGGTTAACATCGGCTGATGAACAATCGTACTTTGTCAAATAGCCTCTCAAGCACTCGTCGACGTTGGCACTTCCCAACACCAACATGCCACCAGTGCTCTTGTTTCTCGACCATGGTAACAATTGAGCAAACAAGTAACTCAAAACCATTCTTAATCTGGCCTGAATGTTTTGCAATGCCAAATTTTCAGTCTGAGTGCCTCCGAAGATCTTGAAAATGGGTCTCTTTCCGGTGGCTACTTCGAACACATTGACCACAGCCGTGACCAATGAGTCCATGTTCATATCAACGTGGTAGGAGCCAATTTCTGCGGCCAATTCCTTGGCTCTGGACCTGGTTTCCTTGGAGGAGTTTTCCGTGCCCATAAAAGAGGTGTAGAAGAACTTGGCTGCGATATCCTGGGGAGACTTGGGCACGAATTCTGGGTCGTGGGAGAGCGATCTGAGATCCAGCAACACTTGCGGATCATCCAAGGAGTTGAAGACGAGACGACACATCAGATGGATAATCACAGCTGTCGCACAAGAGTCAATACCTCCACTGAGAGGCAAGAAGTATCCTCCACACTTGGATCTTCTCAAGTAGTCCCACAACCAGCAGGCAGGGCCCAAGGCAATTTCCTCCTCTGGCTTGTGGATGCGAACCGCAATTGGCTTGGTGGGTCTGATGGAAAAGTTGAGCAAATTGGAGCTGGGAGACAATTCAATGCTCGTCTCAATGGTCTTGTAGATCTTCGTCTGTTGCACTGCCTGGTTGTTGGCTGACTTCTGGTTGCGGTACGATCTGACATCGTCGAGATCGATGGTGGCTGTGACCACCTCGACGTCCGCAAGCGAGAACTGAGACCCTTGCGCAACCATCTTACCGTTCACGATGATGCACGCACAGCCATCGTAGTACAACCGGTCTCCATCACAACCCTTCTGGTTGGCGTAAAGATACACCCCACCACATTTGTTGGTGGCCTCGGTAATCAAACTGAGTCTGGTGTCCAATTTGCGAAGCTCATGGTGAGACCCAGACGAGTTCGTGAAAATCTCTACTCCATCAAGACTCATGTCGATGTGAGGCGACTGAGGAGTGAACAACTCCTCACAGGTTTCGCACCCCAAACGGGTCTCCAAGGTCTCGATTACACAGTCGCCAAACGTACACTTGGACTGGCCAAACACCCTCTGGATGTCTTTGGGCAATTGGTGCTCCTCCCAGTACTTGGGACGGTTCCAGGGAGTAAAGTAGCGCATTTCGCGGTAGTTGCCGTCGTTGGCCAAGTACAACTTGGGTCTGATGAGAAGAATGGTGCCATCGTACGAGATCACTCTGCAGTTGTACTTGATGGATTTGTGGATGATTGGCATCCCAATGTCAAGGAGAATACCGTGGGTATCTGGGTTGCCTAAGATCTCGGCGTAGATGGCCCAGCTGTGGTCGTAGACGTCATTTTCCGAGAAATGGTCCAAGCATCCGTACCCACACACTTCCAATTCTGGACCCACACGAAGAGTGGCGCCCTTAGCTTTGGCTTGCTTGATGGACTCGACAATCCTGTCGCGGTTGCCCTCAAAGTCCAATGCCCACTGGTTCAAATTGCAGGTTGCTAGCGTGATATAGTGGCCCATGGTGTTGGTGGAGATAGTGTGTCGCGCGATGTTGGTTAAGAAATGGAGAGTAGTGCGACATCGCCAGATGTCGCGGATCGGTTCCTCTATAGAGGCGGACAAGGCTGGGGTAATTACAGAGATGGAAGTTGGATTCGAGATTTCTCGAATAGTGAGAGATTAGGTAGTTAGTTGGTTTCTAAGCTCTCATATTCATTTTTTTACTAGTAAGTAGATTGTTGGTTTTTAAGGCCATACTTGATAATCAGACCTTCAATTTGTCACTAGTAAGCAGATAGTGATTGGTTCAAGGTTTAAGCCATATCCCCTCAATACATTTATTGCTACTACTGAACAGATGGTATCTTTGGGTTCATCTTACCCTTCAACTTAGTAATGGCTATTGGTCCAAATCTCGCATTGTCTCTATTGAGAACCTATATTTGGATGGCCCTGGCAAATACTATTCAAGGGAACAGCAAACGAGCTACTGGCTTCAACCTGTTGACCCAAATTTTTACAGTAATTTGAGTCTTTCAACCTTCTATCGATTAGTCAGGCCAAAATCCCTATGTAATTTGTGCCGAAAACTATAATTAGCCATACGCTTTCGTTTTATTACTTCCGTAGTCAGGTAAGTTTTCATCGATAATTGCCAAAGGCAGGGTGGTTAGCTTCTATACTTGACAGTCTGGTTTAGTGAAAATTAAATAACTTGTTGAAAACCTCCATCAGAGCAAAACGACTACTGTGCACTAAAATCCATGATGAAAGATAAACGAGCAATTTACAAGTAACCAGAGCCCATGTTCGGCACAGAAAGAAGATGAATATTCTTTCAGATGAATACTTTGATTCAATATCAAAGTAAACGAATTGATGCTCGCGGCCTATAAGAAATATAGTAAGTGTATCCTTTTTGAATAGTCTGTCGATTCAACGTAAATCCAGTACAGTCTATAGTTGTATAGTAAAGTTATCTTATTTATTTACCAATTAAAATTTTTATACAATATTTTACTTTTGTAGCAGTGAAAATAATAAATACAACAATGTCCCAATTCAAGGGGGTCTATCGCAGCTATTCAAACTATTAAAATTACTATTCAATTAGGACCTTATTCTACAGGTATTGCAACATACAATAAGCGTATTGTATTCAATTACATTCAACAAGAGGTCCAGCCCTACACAACCTTAATTTATGAAGTTAATAATGGGATCTATTATAGATTTTTAATCCAACACGAGGTGTATCATGTTCCGTCTAGTAATTCAACAGGTCTAGCAGTTACACCCTAGTGGATAAAATAACATATCATTAAAATAGGCCTAGCGAGTTCACATTCTAAGATTGTAATATTCCAGTCCTATTTGTGTTAATCTCAATTATAATCTGCCCTATAGATTCCATTAGACAATACAATGCGACACTAATAGTTGGACCCTGATAAGATAACGGCCGGAACTGCCAGTTCCGAGGGCGTCTTCGATTTTTCATTCCCAACAACGACACTATTGGACACTCTGACAGGCCTGCTGAATCGGCATTCTAGTCTGGGAACTCTCTAACGCCTCTCTCGTCCCACCTTCTTTCCACCCTCAACGCATCACCTCTTATCAACTCGGTGTGCCCCGTCTGGTCTCCCACGGTGGAGCCTCGGAGGCCCCGCGGGCCTCCGCACGAAAGCATCCGCACGCCCCACTGATAAGACTATATAAGGATGGGGTTGCACCCACTTCCAACGCCAACAATGCCTGCTGCCGAAACATTGTCAGTGACGCCTTTGTCAGACACCCCATTTGGGTGCACGGTGCAATTGCCATCCTACGCCAACAACGATCCTGCCAACTTGAACGACTCCGATTTCACCGCGTTGTACGAATCAGTGCACAAGCACTTGGTGGTGGTGATTCCTGGCCAGGCGGAATTGAGCCCCAAATCGCAGTACGAGTTGACCAAAAGGTTTGACCCCTCGATCCCCCAGCCCAAGGAGAGCAGCGGGGCGGGTTATGGCCACGGCAAGGAGTTCCGCCACGAACAGTCAGTGTTGCGCAAGGACGGTACTACTGTCAAGTCCCAGCCCCAGGTGCAGATCTTGGGCCAGGGCACGTTCGAAGCCAACGAGCCAGGCAACGAAAATGGCGAGTTCATCTCGTTGACCCATCCGTCACACACCTCGTTCCACCACACTCCCCTCACAGACGCCCAGATCAAGCATGACCACAGAACTCGTTTTTACCGCTGGCACATCGACAGCGCGTTGTACGACTTGTCGCCACCATTGGTCACCACGCTCTTGGGCATCAAGGTGCCGCCAGCCACCCAGACCCAGAACATCGTGTATGAAGACTCGGACGAGAAGCTCGAGTTGACTCAGGGTGCCACCTGCTTCGTCAGTGGTGCTCAGGCGTTCCGCAACTTGAGCGAAGAAGATAAGGCGTTCGCGCTCGCCACCACGGTGGAGTACGCACCCCACCCCTACATTGTGATTTCTCCCGCGGGAGCCACCTCCGACGGCCTCACCATGGTGTCTGAGGGCAAGGAGATCCCGTTCGACAAGCTCCCCGAGTGGGAAGCCTCCAAGGTCAAGAAGTTGCCCATGGTGTGGACCAACCCCGTGACCCACGAGCACCACTTGCAAGTGCACGGGTGCTGCTTGCACAAGTTGCACACAACCAAGGACGGCCACACCACCACGTTGGAGTTGGAGGCTGCGCGTAAAAAGGCCCACCAGTTGATGCGTCCCGCAATCTCGCCCCAGAATGTGTTGGCACATGCCTGGAAGCAGGGCGACTTGGTGATCTTCTACAACCGAGGCGTGTGGCACTCGGTGACTGGTGAATTCAAGGGTGTCAACAACGGCAAGGACGAGCGCCGGTTGATGCACCAGTGCAACATTGCCAGTGGGTACGATCCCAAGACTGAGGTATAGGAATAAATGGGAAGGATAGGACAAGTGTAGGATCAGTAGCAGTAGAAATGGGGACGGAATAGCCATAGTGCCCAAGTTTAATGTGATAATTGTCTATCAAAATTATCATCTCAAATACTTGCAACTCAATTTCAAGATAATTCTTAGATCAATATCTGGATAACAATTATTATTATCGTTATGAAAAGAACGAGGGGGTGATGCCTGAGTGTTGACAGCATTTGCTGGGGATATAGTAGGATGAGCTGGAGATGTCGAAATGATTTCTTTAGTATCTTTAAACTTAAAATTATTTCAGGCAGCGATCATAGAACTCTCTACGAGTTCTAGTACTAACAGTACTGTCTTCCTTTCATCTCGGTTGAAAGGTGCAGATAGTCTTGCGAACACCCCAAAGACTTTACCTCCTGTCATCCTCGACCCATGAAATTGTTGTCAATAATCCAAGCTAGAGCTACGTAAAATCATACAGAACCCAGAAGGTTAATATCAGGATAATACACTATTTCCGAGCTGGAAAGTTGGTTCTGCCATAGCTATAAATTACGAATAAATTTGCACGAACTATGTGGAATTAGGAGCACCAGCAAAGACATGGTCGGAATCCAGCCCTCACAGGCAGTAAATTAGTCGCATCTTAACTTTGGATTTTATGCTACAACGTCTTAGAAAGGTTGCTACTAGAAATGTAAATTTAGTCTTAAACGGATTCCTGAGTGGTTCCAATCTTCAGGGCCAATGAAGTGAGTGACTGCACCTAACAAGGATTTTTTACATTGGGTTGAAGTCGAATAAACATTAAAAGGATGTTCTATTGATGTGGTTAGTATCGAGTGGTTGCTAAATCCACCAGTTGCTAGTAATTTCTATTCACTTTATATTTTATACTCACCAGTTCGGTAACACTTAATCCTGGAAGCTCATTCGTTGGCGTGTTTACTGCCTCTACGCAGCAAATATGAACCAACAATCTAAATATAAACTCCGATACGAACAATTCGAAGATCTTATTTCGGTAAATTGAACCGTGAGCAGAAAGCAATTGTTCTAGGAATTCAAGGAAACAGATTAATTTCTGACATCTTGATATCCTTCCATTTCAGAGGTCAAGTAGTGGGTTCTGATAATACTAAGTTGTTTCGCCGGACTAAAATATCGTGGTCTCAAACGATAATTCAATTTTAGCAAGCGTAGCAACTAGAAAATAGTCTCTAGACTGAACATCCATTTCACAGTAGGCTATTCTCGCCCTCGCCCATTTCGCTTAAGAGAGCCACTGATCAGACACAAACATGAATTTCTATAATTTCCTCTCCTCCCCTCATACTCCTTTTACCACTAGTCGCACCAGGCACCAGGTCAGAATCCCGTTCCCTTCCCACTAGGCCCATTTTAATTACATATCTCTTCTAATTACATATCCGTCTGATTAACTATTCCATCTAATTCCAATTAGAATCCCACCTAATCCAGAAAGACTCCTCCCATCCCCTCCTCTTCACCCTCTAGCCCCTCTGCTAGTCACATGCCGCGCACATCCATTCCTCCACATACACTCCCATATAACCACAGCGCAACTGACATCTTTCTTCATCACATCCAATGCAGTACGTTGGCAAAGTCGGTGGCTACGTCTACAACCAGTGGAACTCGTTGAACCCTGCCACGCTCTCCGGAGCAATTGACATCATCGTCATCGAGCAGCCAGACGGATCGCTCCACTGCTCGCCATGGCATATTCGGTTTGGCAAGTTCCAGATCTTCAAGCCGTCCCAGAAGAAAATCGATCTCTACGTCAACGACATCAAGACTGACTTGCCCATGAAGTTGGGTGAGGGTGGTGAGGCGTTTTTTGTGTTTGAAACTGACAACATCAACGACCTCTCGCTGTCAGTCTTGACGTCGCCAGTGATCTCCCCCGTCACTTCAGCAGCCAGCTCGCCTGACGGCTCGCCCAGAGCTACTCCTGGCCCTGGAGACGACGTCGCCAAGGAGCCAGAGCTTTTGGACTTGAACGCAGACGTGGAGAGCAGGATCAACTTGAGTCCAACTGGCACTGGCGACAGCATCAAGGGTGAGTCTCCCGTGCCGTTGCACACTCAGAGGCTTGCGTTCGAGAAGGCACGCAAGATCACTCAGAAACTTAATATCCCCTCGAAAATCGACATCAACGGAGACATGGTCCTCGACATGGACGGTTACAAGCCCAATGCGCAGAAGAACATCGACACCTCGGACGAATTCTTCAAGAAGATCTTCTTCAAGGAGATACAGGCGTTGAACAACATCAACCACGAACGTAACGGCGAGTCGGAAAGCGGCGATGCCGGAGCTGAGAACATAGATGAGGAGATCAAGCTCTGGGACGAGATCATCAGTAAGGACGAAAATGGCAATGTCAGGATCTTGAATAAAGACCCCGCCAACTTCTCGATAAATGGCACCGAATTGAGCCTCGTTGACGACTTGTCGAGCACAGAAGGCTTGCAGAGCCTCGAAGATGTGGCCAACAACATAGAGAACGTGGCCAAGAACGAATATGAATCAGCAGAAAATGCCAGCAATAAAACCTACTTCAAAACTTTGAGATTAACCTCAGAACAACTACAAAAAATGAACTTGAAGTACGGTGAAAACTCCCTTAAATTCAAGTCCAGCGAAGGAACCTCGCAAGTGTTGTCGAACTTATATTTGTGGAAGTCCCACACCCCCATAGTTATCTCTGATATTGATGGTACTATCACCAAATCGGATGCCTTGGGCCATGTCCTCAATTTGATCGGAAGAGATTGGACTCACCCAGGGGTGGCCACCTTGTTCCAAGATATCCACGCCAATGGTTACAATATCATCTACTTAACAGCAAGGTCAGTAGGTCAAGCAGATACCACGAGACAATATTTGAAGGGAATTGCACAAGATAGAGGCACTAGACTCCCCAAAGGACCAGTTATATTAAGTCCTGATAGAACTATGGCAGCCTTGAAAAGAGAAATCGTGTTAAAGAAGCCCGAAGTGTTCAAAATGGCCTGTTTGAATGACATTAAAAGTTTGTATTTCAAAAGTTTGCCAGACTCGAAAGAAGATGACGACCGTACACCATTCTACGCTGGTTTCGGTAATAGAATCACTGATGCTATCAGTTATAGATCTGTCAAAATCCCCAGCCATCGTATCTTCACTATCAACCCTAACGGAGAAGTCCATATGGAATTATTGGAGTTGGCGGGTTACAAGTCTTCCTATTTACACATTGGTGAATTGGTAGACCACTTCTTTCCACCCATTAAGGAAGTCTCTACTCTCAACACCTACTGGAATAATAATCAGTTGAATGAGTACATTAACAAAAAGGATTTGGATCAAGAAGATAATGGCCAGAATAGAGACTACTTCGATCAAGGCTCTATTCGTAGTGGTCCTGATTCTCTTGGATCGCCTGGATCTCCTAGATCTTATGCTGGATCCCCTAGGTTGGGTCAATCAAGTATGTTTGAGGACGTAAAGATCGATGAGAAATACAATGATGTGAATTACTGGAGAGAACCTATTAACTTCAGTGACTTGAGTGATGAAGAGGATGCCAATGAAACAGCAGGTAGCCCCAGAGCGTCACCACCTTCATCGCCAGGCTTATTGTCTCTCAGGTCTTTTAATTCTGAAAACAAGAGTGAAAATTCCTCCGATTTGCAACTTGCTAGAGATATAATTGAACAGGGTAGAGGACGCTCTAAAAGTGCAAGCAGCGGTGAACGTCCGGTCTCCATGACATCATTTACCTCTCCTTTGAAGAACTTCATGATGTTTGGCTCGAGCAAGAATGATGGCGAGGATGAGGAAGAAGATGACGACGATCACACCTTTGATAATGCACTTGCCCATAAAGATACATTGAACAGTGGTGATTTTAACAACGATAAGTGGGCTACTCCTGACCCTGATTCCAGTTTGATCACCAACGAAAGTGACTTCACCGGCGGTGAAGAAGATGACGATGACGACTACACCGATGACGATGACTATGAAGATGACTACGAGGACGACGATCTAGACGAGGATGATATCGATGAACAGGACCTCGACGAATATGACGACGAGGATCTTGACTATGGCGATGATGCTATCCCTGAGGATGCAAAGGTTGCAAGCCCAGGTGCGATCCCTATCACACCCGATCCTTCGAGCAAAATTTCCAGATGAAAAGCAACATGAGAACAAGTAGATGTATAATTGCTGTTTAAACGAATCATGGGCTCCTCGCTAACACACAGATATAGCATTGCATATATATAAGATAAAGGTATAACATATCGACTCCTGTAAATCGCTTGTAGTGGTCGGGAATATAGACTAAATTGATTCTTCCAATAATATTGTTGCTACAACTTCAGCCCCTCTAACTAGAGCACATTTTATCTAACACCTTGGAGGACTATCATTTTTTTCGTGGTTTCATATCGTTTATTCAACTTTCCATAATCGATGTATTGGAACAACACTTTTTAGTTTGGTTTCTCAAAAAATTTATGAATTTTTGGAAAGAAATAGAATACTTGGTGTTCGAACTGAAAGAGCTAGGCCACTAACTGGAAAGCATCCCACCAAAAAAGAACTGTTTTCTTATAATGCAACTATCTGTATTAACTACCAACGAATAGATGGCACGTATGTCAAACGTACTGTTCATCTATCGGTGAAGGATGCACTACGGTTGCGAAAAATGGAAAATAGCAATTATATCGCAATTGAGAAGCAAAGAACGAAATTTTAATGTTGTCTAACAGCATTTAAAAACTTTTATGGTTAGAAAATGCACAGTAATTCGTTATACATGAATTTCACCAAATTAGCTCTTACTTTTTTTGCTTTTGGGAAGTGAATAATAATCTACGGACTACCTATTGCAATAGATCTTAACTCCAGTATGCCATTGACGATTTCTGATTCGCAACTGAGCATCACTAATGTACGAAAAGTGTTGGGAAAGTATGAGGGTTCACCTTGGTAAAATCCTTGCTTAAAATGTACAGATTTATTTTGATCAATAATCAATTTCTTCAATTTTAGGAGTCTTGTTTCTTCAATGCCTTAAAATCAAATGAAAAAATACCAGTAGCAATTGTATAAAGTGACGTTTTTCGTCCTGCTGTAGTTTTTATTGGCTAATGGGAAGTATATGACAATCGCTAAATCAACCAATATCCAATATGCAATCGTGCGAATACCAATATTGACGCTCATTTTTGTAGGGATGTTGCGTAGAAAATATTCTTTTTCAACAAACATCCGATATAGTGTAATGGCTAGCACGGTTCGCTCTCACCGAGCAGATCCGGGTTCGATTCCCGGTATCGGAGCTTTCTTTTTGATTTTTTGCTGTCTGTTTGAGGCAGTACATAAATTCCCAAGCATGTGTAGCATAAACTTTCGCAGCCAGTTTGTTCTGCGTAGTTTGCCATAAAAGGACAGATCGTTCCACTACTCATTGTGGCTCCCTAACTGCTTCTCATGCTTTCATATTTGATCTTACTATTATTGGTTCTTCCAGTCCCTGCTTATTCTGCTACTCCTTCCGATGTACCAAGACCCAAACCATACGAGGTGAACAGTATTCGTGATATAGAGCTCAACTACGACAAACTCACCCAAGATCCAGATACCGTATTCTACTTGAAAGATACAAAGACTTTCTTAGCCAGACCAGAGAGTGCTGAGAACAGTCCTGAGGACTTGGACACCCTAGCTCGTCGTTCCTGGTTTGGAAGAAAACCTGTTCAGGACTGGGTGGAGTACGACATCGCGTTGGAGAGAGAAGTGACCTATCCGGGAGTCATTCCCGTTAGTGCTTGCCAGTCACAGCAATACGGGGGGTCGGGTTCAGTTACATTCTCTTATTCCTTGAAAGACTCGCTTGTCATAGAGCCCGTTATCCAAAATGTACATAAGCTTGGAATCGGAAGATACGGCATAGCTTACGACTATAAGGCCCAGCACGGTTGGGGACTGACTGCCTCCACTAGTGGCTCTGTCACCTGTTCGGTGGGACCTGGCCAGAAGGCACAGGTGTTCATGACCCCCACCTTTGTGAAAATCGTACCCAAGCTCAGAATGGTGAAATACAAGCTAAAGAAGTTCGTGACAGACCCAGACTTCACCACAACCACTAGCATGAATATGCTCGTTGAGAACGCCAAAAACAGAATTGATTGTGCCACCAGTGATGTAGTCGAGTTGTTCTGCAAATCTGAAAAAATTGGAACCCCCGACTGGAAGAATCCCAGCCAGCTTCGGTTCGTTGACTGAAAGGGTTGCAAATAAGCATAGCACCATTGAACAGTTGATACTTGTTAATAATTTATAATCGAGTCCTAGCTACATCTGAAATTCAGTCTTATTGTCTCATTAATTACAAGATTGTACTAAATACATATTGAAACGTAGTCTTATTGTTCCCCTTTTTCCATTTTCTTCAAGTCGACAAGGTACTCGTCTATTTGAAATGGATCCATATGAATGGAATTTTCATTCATGAACTCCTCGAAATCACTGGCTGTGTTTTTAAAGGTTTTCTTGTATGTTTGTCCGTATACCTTGCAGAATTTCTTGGACCCTTCAATGGCACATTGTACGTTGTCGTCGTTGTAGCCCATTGTAGCACGGTAGGCATCGTCACTGAATCTGTTGGGGTCCAAGAGGCCAAGCTCGCGGCGTCCTTCGTCAGTTTGTTCTGTATTGTCGGCATGCAAAACAAGAGTGGGGCTGTTGAAGTTCAAAATTTGCTCCAAGAGGCCCTGTATGTTGATGTTATGGACGGTGAAGTCAGCAACCGAGACCATCAAAGTCATCTGGTCGTCGACCTTCCAGTAGCCAGATTCGTCCTGGTGCAAATCCTCGGCCTTCCAGGTGGCTATTCCGTTGGGAATGAGCACATTGCTGATGTAGCACAACTTTTTGGGTTCGCCAATATCCCAGCTAAGGATAGGAATGTCGAACGACACCGATGACGAGATGTGGGTGATTCTGTAAAAGGACTTTATCTCCTTGTTCCCGTCCCTGTCGACCTCGATCGAGTCCTTGACTAACACCACCAAGTTGGGCCTGTACATTCTGTCTCCGCAGCCGCAGTCATCCAAGTGAGCTCTGGGAAAACCAGCCCAGATTTCTCTTCCTTTGGGGATAATGCTAGCCAAGTCGACCTTGGTTTGGGTCTTGATGAGCTCGTTGATATTAACCATCTGGGTACCTCCACGAAGGGGTCCCACTGTGGTCTTGGGGTCCAATTTTGGATCCAACTTGAAATCGGACGAACACAAGCCAGTGCCTTCACTGATGTCACATTTCAAGGTCTCGAATTTGGACCATCTGTACACAAAGTACAAGTCGCGGTCGTAGCCATGTTCCTCACGTTCTGAGTGGCTCACCAAAGGCACCCAGTTCTTTTGCTTCTTTTGGCGAGGCTGGTTCGCGATCTGCAACTCCATGGCCTTGGAGTAGAGTTTGTCATCGTAAGCCTTGTTGGGCTCGCCATCCGTGTTGGCCTTACCCTTCTGAAGCTGGAACGGCCACGACACAAACATAGACCGGTAGGTGCCTGCCTGCTTTCTGCCAGCCTTGGAGTTAGGATCATATTTCGGATTTTGGGTGAATTTTCTATGGTACGAGTTGTACACCAAGAGAGGCTCCTCGTAGCCAGCCTTGTTCTTGACGAGCGACACGTGGGCATCCTCGGGCCCGTAGTAGCGGAGCTTGGGGTCGTCGACGTCATGGAAGAACGGAATGGGGAGGAACGACGGAAACTTCATCACGTTGAACGAGCCCTCGTTGGAGGGAACCACCAAATGCGAATCAGTGATCTCCTCCCAGTTCTCGTCGTAGAGCTGGGCGTACACCACCGAAAACACTGGCTGGTTGCGAACAGCTTTTGGAGTGTAGATGATTCGTGAAATGACAAAATGGACACCATAATCCTTCAACCACACGCTGGAGCCGGCCAAGCGTGACCAAAAAATGTCCACCACATTGTGCTTGACCATCAAACGCAAGTTTTCTTCAAAAAACGGGGCAATTTGGCCCATGTAGCCGTCAGGATTGGTGTCGATTTCCTTCAAAAGCTCTTCCATGAGCCGTGGAAGCGAAACCTTCAATGCTGCGGCCTTGTCAATCTGCACGGTGGCCTGCTGGTTGAGCACGTCGCACTTCAGCTTGTCGAGATTGATGGGCTCGATGCTGTCGTAGATGTTGAGGACATGGTCGCGGTACAGGGAGTGTTCTGGGGTCAAAGGCTCGGGTATGGGCGTCTCCACATGGACTATGGGGGGATTACCCAAGTTTTCGAGGATTTCAGGATGCTCATCGAGGAACTGGAGCGAATCAGCAGGTAAGATGAGCAGACCAGACTTGGAGCTGGGAGGCGCTTCGTATGCGGGAGTGATTTGCTCGACATAGCCAGCCTCGTTGTCGTATTGGATGAGGTGGAAGGCCAAGAGAAGGGTGGATACAAGCGCGGCTGCAACGATGTAGCGCAACGAGTGCCTTATCTTGATCTTGATGGTAGTAAACGTAGTCATGGGGGATGGACGGGAGGTCGCACGCGGATGGGGGAGCGTGGACAGTTGGGGATGACTGGGTTCAAATAGGACAGGCAGGCTCGGCGAGGGAGGGTAGCAATAGGAAGTATAGCCCGATATTTTGGAGGGAAGGCCCAGTATATATATACGAATGATTATTTTTAGGCAGTGCATGGTGCCAACGTTGAGAGTGGATTATGTACAGGTGCCTAGGTGCTGACCGGGCCTGCCGCGCCGAGTGGCGCATGTCGGTGCTGTTGTCATTGCTGGGCCAGCCCGATTGGGAATTAGTGTTTTACGGTTTACGTCAGGCCGACGGGGAACAATACGAGTAGGGGGGAGTTTTGTATTCCCAGCACATGGATGGTTCCGTATTGGTGCTGGGTGGACGCTAGCAAATATATCTAGGGGTCTGGCGGCAAGCGTGCTCGTGCAGGATCGCACATGCGGGTTAGTGGCCATGGTGTGCACAGCCTTTCGTTAGCAACGATGGTCGATTGTGTCTGATGTCACCCTCCGGTGGCTATTGTGGCCAGTTCCGAGGCCAGGGCTGTGTGGTTTCAGGGGAGCTGGAATGTGCGATCGTCACCACGTTCCTGGATTGAGGTGACAGGCAGATAGTGCGTTTCAGGGCCGATTGAGATCAGGGTTCGTGTCAATTCAGTAGGTTTCACTGGTGTCCTCGGACGGAGGGGCCGGGTGCTCTTCCCCGTACGCCGTACAGTACGCAGAAGACAAGTCCATGGCACATTTGACGTTGTCGTTGTCGTAGCCAAAGTGGCCGTTTTCGTTCAATCCTGGCAACAAGTACCGCAAGAGTCCCTGGATGTGCACCATGTCCACTGTGTGGTCGTTGACCGAGAACGACAATGTGAGGTAGTCCAGGACGTGGGTGCCCACCTTGCGGATGTCCCAGGCCGAAACTCCGTTGGGAATCAACAGATTGGGCAGGCCATTGATGCATTCCTCCAGGTCTCGCGATAAGTCCCACGACGTGACGGGCACGTTGAGCGACATGAACGACCCCACGTCGTGGAGCTTGTACTGGGACTTGTAGGTGTCGACGTGCTCGTCCATGTTCTTGGCAAAGTCCTCTTTGACGGCGTTGTCCTTGACCAAAGTGACGAGATTAGGACGGTAAAAGCCCTTGCCGCACCCACACTCCTTGAAGTGGGCCCTGGCAAACCCGAGATACACCTCACGTCCCTCGGGAATGCGGTCCAACTCGTGCTGGAGCTGGGGGAATTTTTCGACGTGCTCGTGGAGGAGCATATTGACATTGACCATTTCAGTTCCGCCTCTGAGGGGTCCCACCCCGTCGAGAACCTCTGTGGTTCTCATCTTGTACTCAAACGAGCACGACGACACCGAATTGTCGAAATTTTCAGTCAAAGAACATTTCAACACCTCGATGTTGTTCCAGCGAATTACCATATAGATATACTTGTCGTAGCCCTCAGCAACACGCTCCTGGAAGCTGATGAACGGTGTCCAGTTCTTCTGCTGTGCAAGCAGCCGCATGGAGTTCTCGATCTTGAGCTCGATCACTCGCGTGTAGAGGTTGGAGTTGTGCTTGGACTTGAGGTCCTCCATGTTGAGCTTGCCTCTCTGGAACTGCCATGGCCACGACATGAACATGGAACGGTACTCCTTGAAGAGCACCTTCGATTTGGATGCCTCTTCGATTTCTTCCTCCAAGATCTTTCTGTGGTTGGCGTTGAACAACACCAATGGCTCCTCGTAGCCCTTGGGGTTCTTGACCACGATGATACGTGGGTCCTCGGGTCCGTAGTACCCGTCCTTGTTGATATTGAACTTATGGTACGCTGGAAATGGAAGGAAATCGGGATACGAAATTGCTGTGAATTTCTGGGCCTCTTCCTTCTCGTCGTTGTGGATATCGGGATTGTTGCTGGGAACCACCAACTCCACGTTGGGAAGCTCTTTCCAGTTCTCGTCGAAGATCTGGCCGTACACGAGCGACAATGCAGGCTTGTCCCGTCTTTTATCGTAGGAATACACCATTCTCGACACCATGAAATGGACTCCGTACTGCTCCAAGTACACCAGCGACCCTGCCAAACGGTACCAGTATTGGTCGACGGTGTTGTGCTTGACCTGGTCGGAAATTGGGTTCTCCTTGAAGAAGTAGGCGAATTCTTTCGCGTATTCGGACCCAGAGGCGAAGAAACGGTTCACGATATCGCGTCGAGTCGTCGTGAAACTTTGTGGTTTCGACACCTGGATGGTCTTCCTCTTGTGGAGGATGCTGCACTGGCCGTAGTCGCCGTTGATGTCGGCAGAAGCCGCAAAAATGTCGAACGAGAAGAACGAGTACGTGCTTTTGATAGTCAGCTGGCTGAGGGCGCTGGAGCGCATGGTCTCGTAGGCGGGCTCGGGGTCGTCGAACTCGGAGCTGCCAGAGTGGTCGTTGGGCGTGTGTTCGTCCAACTCCTCGTCCGTGGGCTCTGGTTCGTACTTGTAGTGGTACTTGACGATGTTGTCGCTGGGATGCAACTTTTTGCCCAACACTTTCTGGTAGTAGCCCAGCAACTGTTCGGTGGTGTTGAGGTGGAAGTTGCGAGGGAAGATGATGAGCTTGTTGGCCTTGTCGAAGGCACTAATGAGGCTAGTTTCTGGCACGAGATCGGGTTGGATCTCGTCCATGTCGTGGTTGATGTGGATGGGACCTTGCTGGGATGCGTCCTTGACGCGGTGGGACACCTCGTCGTAGTCGTATGAGTGTAGTGTGTAGAGGAGGAGGCATGTCATGGCCATCAACACCACGAGGGTGATTTTCTCGAATCGCCTGAGGACCTTCATTGGTGGGAGATGTTGTGAAGGAAGGTTGTGGGAATGGAGGGTCTTCTGGTGATTGGGGAGAAGTTTCTGGTGGGCAAGTCTTGGATTAGAAGCTCTTTGGATCTTAAATCTTCTGGTGGGTTCAAGTCCTCTTTGGTCCTGAAGTCTTCTGGTGATTAGAAGCTTTCTGCTATGAAAGTTTTGGTTGTGAAGTCTTCAGATTGAGGCACTGGTGGCACTTCTGATGATACTGGAGAAGTTTTCTGGTGCCGCTTGATGAAGTCTTCTGGTGTCTTCTGTGAAGTCTTCTGGTGTCTTCAGTGATGTCTACGAGATGCTATGGAAGACTTTTCTGAAGGCTATCAGTTGAAATTTCTGAAGCTTCTGGTGTCTTCGGATTCTGTCTGATCAGTGAAGTTTCGGAGTCTTTGATGTCTGAGCAGTCTGAACTCTTCTGTCTGTCAGTTGCCTTCGCCCTGTCGGTGGTCGCCCCTTGCGATGTCTGCGTCGTCAAATTTCCTTCAAATGCTGCCTTGTTGTGCAGACGGCAGGATTATATGCTCCGATGTGTGGTGCCCGCGTATCGCCTGGGACTGTAGTAAGGAGTGGGAGGCCGTAGCACAAGCTGTGGGAAGAAGAAACTATTCTAAATATAAAGATTCCCGGAAGACACTTTTGGAGCACACAAATCGGCAGGGCACTGCAGTGGTCGGCAGGTGGTGGGATGGAACATTAAATTATTTACCTGGACCACGAGGCATAAAAACCGATCTTGTGGTGGCTTATCAGAGGCAGAGAAGAGCCCTCGGAAATCAGTTCCGGAGGAAATAATAGTCGATGTCCTGCATGTCTGGCAGGCGTTTTGCATGCGATCCTGTTGTCCGGGTGTGAAGGATAGGTGTTTGGAAGGGACTTGGGGGTGGTGAGAAGTAGGTGAGGCAACGAGAGAGTCGGTGGTGGAAAGGAGCCACTGCACCGGTTCTCTTGACAGAAGAATTGAGATCGGCAGTCTCCTATCGTAGCCTATTTTGCACGCCGCACATTACCCGCGCGCGGGACATTTTCCATGTCGACCGCGCCAGCCCACACACCCGCAGAATTCGCCGAAATGACGTGCGATTGTCCTGTGAGTTCTCGTGTGCTGGTAGGACGAGCTATGCCCGGCCATCCAGTCTTCCTCTACGTCACTGCCATCAAAGCCTGCCCTTTTAGGGGGCCTAAAGTGCTCATCTTCTGGCGACGCAGGCGCCGCGCACGCCATAATCGTATTTCGTGCATGATGTTCATGGTGCGCCGGACCCGAGTCTAGTCTTTTGCTGTGTGCATCAGCCTCTTGTGGTACATTTACGGTGGGAAGTGGTGGGGGCGGGTGGTGGCGCCAGGTGGCGACTGGTGGTAGGGACGGATGTAGCTTCAGGGGTATCACCACCTCAATTACCACCCTACAACCCACCACCCTCTTCCACTGACATGCCCCTAATTATAGCACCATGCGTCATATTCCTGGTGCACGCCTGGCAGGTGCATTTTTGACAATTGGCACGTCGTGCAGTTTTTTTTATAGAAGTTCGAATCTCGCTGCACCAGTGACAATCTCATGTTCCGGGCATGCAAGATCCCCAGACCACGAACCGTCACAAGTGTCAACAGTGGCTAAAAGTCGTTGCCGAGACTTCGAGCTTCTGTTTGCCTCTACGATTCAGTCACACATCCCACCGCTTGGTCTTGGAGCGCCACGTGCCGAGTTCTCCCATTCTATTATGCAACCGACGCATGCACGGTGCACAACAGTGGGATCTGCCGTTTGGTAGGTCTAAAGATAGCCTGGTTAGGGAGGAAAGGGTTGGGGTATTGAAAGCTGTGAAGGCTTAGGTGTAGTCCTGCCGTGAGGCGGTCAGATCGTGGCCCAGTTGGGCCAGTAGGCAGCCGATGTATTGTTGCTTTAGTTTAGCCACGTGGCTGGATGTGTCAAGTGTCACGCGAGCGATGTATCACGTGTTATTGATCACGTGAGTATCACGGATGGATCACTGTAAGAGAAATGGTGATTGGAGAAACTCTGAAGATGTTGAGGATGGTGAGTATCACTGGGATAATGCCAGTTCACTACTGTTATCCTAGCTGAAACCAAGAGGGACTGTGTCTCTCGTAATTTCTCTTAAAACAAGTACCTTTTATAATTGTTATTATTCCTTGAACTGTGGTAAGCACAAACAAACAGGGCTGTTTGGCAACCTTCGGTATTAAACGTATGCAATTTAATATATTCTTATTGATAGTATATCGACGAATGTATGTGTTGATGTCGTGGCGTTAATGCTTCAGAAGTCCCCGCCCCCGGAGCAGTCACTGCCACCAACAAAACTTCACCACTGTATTTATAGATGCTAAGCATGGATGGAATTCTTTAAACATGGATGAGAAAAGTACCCAAAATTGTTCGTTACCAAAAAGCAAGTGAAGTTAAACTAATTCATCTAGTAATTTAACCACTGCCCTCCACGTCCTAGTAACTAGCTTGGTGAGCAAGTTGATTAATTTGGATTCAGGAATAAGTCATGCACCGACAGCCTAGACTGAAGTCTGAAGAAAAATACCCAAAGCTCATAATGTGTCCTCTGTATGTACCAGTTTATTGAAAATGAACCTGAATATTGGAGGACATCTAGACCCTTCCAAAGCGACCTGTTGATATTTACTAAAACTAGATGGAGTGTCATCTAGCTAATGTTACAAGAAAATCGATCAAATCACCAACAAATACTACCTGTATGCTATCTGATTAGTGGATGCAAAAATGCGACATTAACGACATTGAGCGGGATGCCACCACCGAGAACGTTGGGGGACAAAACTCAGTGATCTAAGACGGAACGGGTGTCAGATGGGAGGAAGAGCCGACAGGAATACTACCAGGACCTTGACGGTAAACTCCAATGGGACATAAAAGAGCCAGGTGCCTGCATTATGTGTTATTACTATAATATCCTCGCGAGTCAGAGTAGTGCCGGGTTTAAAGGAACTAATACGTTAAGTATCAAAAAAAAAAATTATGGAGTGGTCAGGTCCAGTATACTGAATATTGTTCAAAATAAGACGTAAATCACATTCTCTCAAATATTTCCCGCAAACACTTACTAAAACCCCTAAATATAGGTTCAGTGTCTTTTTCTTATTTGCAATAAGTAAAGAAATTAAAAGAAAGTGGTGTTGGTTCACACAGGTGTTATAACGGTACCATTTACCACTATCGCACACAATAGAATGCCAGTAAGGATTAAATACTCTTTACAGTATTAAAGGCATCTATACCCAGTAAACAGCTCCGGAGATGGCGAAACTAAAAAAGCTCCAAAGTAATCTAGAAACCTAAGAGCAATTTCTATTCCAAACGGCACGCAGCCTCTAACCTCCGCATAGACGAACCCAGTGGCCATAGAACGAAAGATGTAACAAGCCGTACAACCACTGATCACGTGACTCTCCGCACGTGACCTTATCGGGTTCCCAGCAGCGCGCCCAGCCGCTACCGCACCAACTAGCCCGATTCGGCGCCCGCTAGCGCAACTGCCCCAGGCCTGTCGGAAAGCGAGCTCCTGAAGGTGGGGTTCCACCTGGGCTATATAAACCACCACCAGCACCTCCTCCACCACACTCATACCTCACACATACCCTTCCCCATGCTCAGACTCTCCAGACTGCTTTCCAAGCGCTGGCTCTCCTCCTCCAAACCCGCTGGCTCCACAGCCGCGCATTACTTCCCCCACGAACCAAAGGGCCCCCACTTGGCCACCGACTCCATTCCTGGCCCCAAATCCCAGGCGCTTAACGACGAGTTGGGCCAGGTTTTTGACAACAGAGCCACCTACTTTGTTTCTGACTACACCAACTCGGTGGGCAATTACATCAGCGATGCTGACGGAAACCAGCTCTTGGACATGTACTGCCAGATCTCGTCCATTCCTTTGGGGTACAGCAATCCCGAGCTTCTCAAGGCCGCTCGTTCAGACGAAATGGCAAACGCCTTGATCAACAGACCAGCTTTGGCGTGCTTTCCATCCACCGACTACAAGCAGATCTTGCAGGACGGGATCTTGGCAGCTGCGCCTCCGGGCCACAACAAGGTGTGGACAGCGTTGAGCGGGTCCGATGCTAACGAGACGGCGTTCAAGGCTGCGTTCATGTACCAGGCCGCTATCAAGAGAGGGTCACGTGACTTCAGTGCTGAGGAGATGGCTTCGGCCATGGAGAACAAGGCGCCAGGCTGCTCGGACGGCGTGATCTTGTCGTTCGACAAGGGCTTCCACGGACGGTTGTTTGGGTCGTTGTCGACCACGCGTTCGAAAGCCATCCACAAGTTGGACATTCCTGCGTTCCCATGGCCCAAGGCTCCGTTCCCAGCGTTGAAGTACCCTTTGAGCGAAAACGTGCAGGCCAACCAGGCCGAGGAGCAACGCTGCTTGGACGCGTTCGAGTCCATCATCGAGTCGTACCCTCCCCACACCGTGGCTGCAATCATTGTTGAGCCTGTCCAGGCCGAAGGAGGCGACAACCACGCGTCTGCTGCTTTCTTCCAGGGAATCAGAGACATCACCTTGAAGCACAAGGTGTTGATGATCGTGGACGAGGTCCAGACCGGTGTGGGTGCCTCCGGAAAGTTCTGGGCCCACGAGCACTGGAACTTGACCACTCCTCCCGACATGGTGACATTTTCCAAGAAGTTCCAAGCTGCTGGCTTCTACTTCCACGACAAGAACTTGCAGCCCAACCAGCCCTACAGACAGTTCAACACCTGGTGTGGAGACCCTTCCAAGGCCATCATTGCCAAGACCATCTACCAAGAAGTGGTCAAGCACGGATTGGTGGAGAAGACCGCTGCCACCGGAGCTTACCTCTACCCCCAATTGCAAGCTGTCTTGGACAAGCACCCCGACAAGGTGCTGAACTTGCGTGGTGAGAACTTCGGTACGTTTATCGCCTGGGACTTTGTGGACGCTGGCGCCAGAAACAAGTTGTTGGCGGAGATGCGTGCACGCGGAGTGAACGTGGGTGGCTGCGGAGACGTTTCCGCTAGATTGAGACCTACGTTGGTCTTCGAGAACAGCCACGCCGACGTGTTTTTGGGAGCATTAGAGGACTCATTGAAGGCTTTATAGAGTGAATGCACGTGACAGATCACCTGTGGCATTGACGTAGTGCATATGCAGCAACTCCTGCACCGACACCGTTTTGATTTTGCGCGATTTTGTCTGCCCCACTTGACACATCCCCTGGGGCCGTGATGTTGACTGTAGATCGGCCCACACGCCACGGGGTGCCTGTGGGCCCAAAGTGGCACCGTAGAATAGCACAACAACGTAGGCAAATAACCGCGCAGCCTGTTTGGGCCACGAAAACAACCACACATCGATCTCGTAATATATACGTGGCGTCATCGCCCATCGCAGTTCAACGATCGCCTGGAGATGCCCTTCGGGGTCGGTTGCCAGATCCTCCGCCAGGCTGTGGGAAAGGCGCTCTGAGCCTTGTTGATGTGTCAGCTGGACGTGTCTGTCTGCCAGCCCACGGCCAGAATCACAGCTAAACCACGGCCAGAATCACAGCTAAAACGACAGCCGGAATGACAGCCGCTCCAGACGCTACTCGGACACCCCGATGTCTCCAAGATCTGTGTCGGGAGATCGCTAGGCGACCTCCTATTGTCTCCATGTGTCCGGAGTGTCTGACCCCCAGTGCGCCTGTCACGTGCGCGCCTCCGTGCATCTAACCCGCCTCTGTTCTTGCTTACATACTAATAGTTATACCACCACTCCCTCTTGACGTTATCAGGCCAGCCGCCAGTCACCAGCATAGTCAGTTATTGTCACTCCGACATTTCCTTCCAGCGTGTGCCGCACGCTTCAACAACCAGCCACCAGACTGCACTAAATACCGCAGCGGCTACTTCTCACGAAGTCACGAACTCCCAAATTACTCCAGAAGTTCACCAAATCGTTGCAGCGACTTCTACAGCGGCCAAGAAGCTCCACACATCGGCTACTACCTTAGCCACTACGCCCAAAGTCGCTCCAGAACGCCGTCAGTCACTTTAGCAAGCACTTCCGAATTACTCCTCCAGTCACACCAGGGCTACCACGGCGGCTAATTCTTCTAGCAATCACGACAGCGACTACTGCCAGAGATTCACTTACAGTCACACCCAGTCACACCCAGTCACTTAGCTGCTCCCACCACTAATTTACACCCCTGCCTCAGGCTCGATGTGCCCATCCCACTAATCCTCTACTCACAATGTTAGGACGGCTCTTCAAGCAGCAGTCGGCTCAGCCCCACTCGGGTCCTTCCTCCACCCCTCCGGGCCAGGTCAACTCCTCCACATTCTCCTCCTACGAAGACCCCTACACCCGCGAGATCCTCTACGGCACCCACAACCCCAACCAGCTCAAGCCCTACACGTTCAACAACCAGCTCGTGCGCATCATCGTGTCGCAAGACGGAGGCAATTTGCGCTCCAAGCAGGTCCTCTTCGACTCGGCCAACGAGCCTGAAAGTCCTGGCTCCAACAGCGTGTTTTGCAAGTCACCACTGGCCTCCAAGCATGCCTCGCACAACAGGTACATGATGATGTCCAAGATCCACCACAACTCCAGCGAGCTCAACGACTATATGTTTGGGTGCGGGTTACCCACCAACCAGACCCACTCGTCCACTAAGATCCACATCCTCCCAGCGTTGAACAGCCTGGTTTATGGTTCGTCGCGCTCGGTGCTCATCACCCGGTTGTTCTCTATCACCGATTTGGACAGCTCGGAGCCTCCAGGCTTGTCCTCCATCGAGGGACCCTCCTCGTCTTGGAACCCCACGCCTACGTTGCCCATCAAGGACTCCTCTATACGAAATCACCCGTTTGCCAAAATGTCCAACTGCCAACTGGCCTCGTCCCCTTCATCCAAACCCAATAATAACATCAACAGTCGGTTTGCAATAGGAATAATTGTGCCTTTGGAGTCCCTATACGATATTGGCGATATCGTGTTCAACAACTGGAATGAATTATCCCACTACCTAATTCTCTTGCAAAGATTCACCACCAAGAAGTTGATTCATGAGCTCAATTCAGGTTTAATGAACAACTTGAATATAAATGATTCCCCAACTTCGTGTCCCTGCCCATACATCGTGAATAAGAGAATTCAATTTCCTAGCAGCCTTCTCCAAAGTGATCCAGACTTGGGCAATCAAGTAGTCAAGCTCATCAAATTGCTCCACTATACTGCAAATGTTCCAAAGTTGATGTGCGCAAACAGCTTGATACGGAGCTGTATTCTCTCCAAATCTACCAGCTACAATTCCATCTTGTTGAATTGGGTCTTAGAAGTAATAAACTGGTTGGAGTTCAAAGACGGAAAAACAGTTCAACCATACACCTCAAGCTATAATCCATTGCTACAAACCGGTTATAATGCCTCCCTGATAGCTCAATCTGACTCGAACAGTTCCTCAAATAATGGGAACACGTTTTTGGCAAGCTTGTTGGCTTTGATAATACCATTACGTGAGCTGTTAAGCACGAAACCTTTCTACAACGTCCAAGGGACTAAAACAAGGGAATTGACGAGAATTGTGATAATGACTGGAAACCCAGTAGTGGCTAAGAAATTAATTTTCATTATCAATGCCCTAATACCCAACCATATTTTCTCATTCTCGATTTCCAGCTCGGAGTTTGATGACCTTAATGATAACCAAAACCACAATAACCATGATGATCTCACAAACACAATTAATGAAGAAATAGATACCGATGATGATAATTCAAGCAGCCGCGAGAATTTGTATTCAAGCAAGATGAAGTCCCCCATGGGTAGCGATGGCGCATCGACGATTCCAACCCCTAATAGCAGGATGCTTTCTCAATCTCCCAGATCGGAATCAATTTCGTCAAGCAGAGGCTCGCCTGTTCTCACAAGCACAGGTACAAAACCTATACCGATTCAGACATCCAAATATTCAAGCTCCCCGAGCTCGTCTGACAATTCTCTTGTGGGGTCTACTCCATCAGCAAAAGGCTGGGAGATACCTCGCAAGGCTCGAGTCTCAACAACGTCAATTCCCAAGTCTAAAATTGAGACGAATGCTCAAATTGCACCAATTTCTGTGGTGAGCAACTCGTCAAAGGAAAGACAAAACTCGCTATCAAAATCTTCCTCGATGTCGCAACTTTCGTCATCGTTGAACTCTTCTTTGTCAAACTATTCGCTAACTAAATTCGGAGGGAGCTTTATGGAGAAGTGGAAGAATTCTTTCGGAAGTTATACAAGTAACAACTCCAATCCATCCAACACATTCACCAACTCGCATAACACAACTGGATCTTCGTATAACAGCAGCATGATGGATAGTAATGAGTACTTTCCTCCGGTTTACGGAGGAAGTTTGTCCAAAAGAAATTCCATTCAATCATTACGAACTCCTCTGCCTGCTATTGAGCAAGACGAATTTACGTGGCACGTAAATGGATCCAGTAATCACGGAAGTATATCCAATGGTACTTCTGGTGGAATAGTCATAAATAATACCTCTGGCAGCAACCCCATCAATGTTAGCAACGGTCACGCTTCACACTCGAACGGAAGTATTCTGATGACTCCCACTAAATTGTCTCGAACCCAGTCAATGTTTGATCTATACAACATGCACAGTGGTCATCAAAACAACCCTGTTCGTGAAGAAAAAATGAACGTTGTGGGCTTTAAGAATGGTCCAAAGAATAATTTGGAAATAAAGAGGTCTAAAACAGGTGTGTATACACCTTTGATCAATGATAATATGGTGAAAAACATTTCAGAACATAATAGAGATGTTATTAAGTTGAAGTGTTCCGAAATAATGAATATGAATGTTTCCTTGAAATATTCTGATGATGATACGCTTGAGGCGGCTCCTCTTTCAACCTTTGCTAACCTGTGTCACGATCAAGATGAAATTTCTAAGCTGAGCATCAATAGTAGTCAAGAATTTGATGATATTGATGAGGTAGAAAGCTTTGTTAACGATCAAAGTACGATAACTTCAAATCTCAGTCATAAGGCAACCACCCTTACTGCAGATTCGACTGATAAATTGAGCAATTCAAATGCTAAGTCGAAGTTCTCGATTTATAAGCAGAAACCTCTTTTGCCAGCAGTTGCGTTCAGTGACGAATTCAGGTCAGAATTCACCGTCCAATCATGTCCTATCAATCCGAAATTGGAGGCACAAGTTACCACAGCAATGAAAAACGATTTATTGTTTTACCAAAGCAATGGAGGGTATGAAGAAATTATTTCCCGGACAGTATTCATTAGCTTACGGGCAAGAGAAATCAAAGTCATCGAAATGAGTTTCACCGACCAGGTTGAATCGAATCAGAGTGTCCCTAACAGCGGGCCGGCCTCCCCCGAGCCTTCATACCTGAGGCGCAACTCAGCATCCAGCAGCAGGCCCAAGAATACATACAAAACCAAGATCAAGAAGGTCTTTACGCCCAGCAAAAATTCAGGTAATAGGGAGTATATTGACAAGATTGAGCTGGTGTTGGATGAAATCAACCGTGTCTTTATTGAGCAGCAGCAGAACTACCACGGGGAGGTCAGCGAGCTGCAAAAGCTCTCTGGCAGTTACAAGGATAATTTGGATGGGTGCAGCAAACATAACGAAAATTGCAAGTATGAGAGCTTCACCAAAAAGCTTTCAAACTTGGTGCTTCGAATGATAGATTGAATTATGGCGCGGCAAATGTAACAAGGGTAATTCTGCGGATATTCATATTATCACTAGAAAAGGGTACCCAAACCTGTACATGTGCGCCGTGCAAACCCTCGTTCCAGTGTTGCCGATGCCCCATTTAGGAATACACGAGACCTAGATGTCTCTGTCAGATCAAAATAGCTAATCACTCATAACCATTTTGGTGTTGACCCGACAAAACAAGGGAATAGACAGAAGTTTAAACAGATGTAGTGGTGTGTATTTTTTACCCGGAGAAATTTGGTCCAGACAACTTACACCGCCAAATTCGATTGTTAGTAATCCCCAACAATTGTAGCGACCACCGTGCAAATTATGGCTTGAGTGCGAGGAGCGTTGTTGTTGCCTGGATCGAGTTTTTCGATAGTAATTGCACAGTTCGCTGGCATTGTCAGTTTTCTAAGCCATGTGCATGCTGATTAAAGAATCGTCTCGCCTCTCGGTGTAGTTTTGATAGTATGTGTTTATTTCAGAGAGATATGCCGCAAGGCTGGAGCATAGGCTGTTTTGGATTGAGAACCGTTAGATAAGACCACCACAATGGGAGGCAGACCCCCACGTTTGGCGGACCACTCTACAGGGCCCAGGTATGTACACCCCATGCGTGAAGTCCGTGCAGTACAGAAGCGCACGCACAATATGCCTCTCGCGGCCACCAGGTGAGAAAATAGTTTGGAATGAAATATGGACGGAATCTGGACATCTTGATGAAACTAAAAAATAACTTAGTGGCTAACTTCTGACTATTCTACATGAAGCGGAACACAAAAACTTTCATAATTGAACATGAACAAGTCCGTTATTTCTTGACGGCATCGATAGATGACTCGTATGTAGGATTCCCGCACGAGCTAGACCTTTTCCAAGACACTTCGGTGAAACGCATTTGGTCCGGGTTTCACTCCCCGCCCGGTACGGGCTTTGGTTCGCCAACCCCCCCCCCCTTTGTGGCTCCAGCCATTACTACCAATGATTTCGGCCGAGCCTGCGTGAGGGTCCAATATTTAGGGAGAACTTAAAAGCTTATTTACAACGCACGGAACACCATGCAGACAAGTTTTACCGACGAGCATAGGATGGTTGGCGAAAGCTGTTACCCCCGTATTTAAGGCATAAACGATGTACAACCACGAAGCGCATGGGCTACCGTCGAATCCCACCATACGTGCGCCGGTATTGTTCCACATGTAAAATAGAAATTCTCACTACATGTACATACCTGTGGGTTCTGCACAAGCGTCTGCACATCGAATGAGGGACTGAAGAGTTAAAAGATCCCCTCAACTCGAAAATCTGGGCGCCTGATGGACTCAAGCAGTGGAGTTAAAAAACGGACTTCGGAGTTACGCATATGACTGCCTCAAGTCCAGACCAGAATGTGGTGTCACGTTAGCCAGGCTAATATGCCTAGTTACCGTGCAGTTGGGAGACTAGCTCTCTACTGCAAGTGGCGCCTATTTGTTGTTACACCTTATTGTACTTGGTGCACCAGCAAATCCGTTGGCCACATGCATACTGAAATTATCTATGCATGGCTGGACTGAATTGGCTGTAGAACGAGCATTATTGGCCACCGCCATGTGTGGGAGCCTCCTATTCGCAGGGATCCGTACCACGTGACGGCGGCGGGTGGTTTCCACATTTCCTATCTTGGCTGTCAGGTTATTTTCTTGTTGGGGACGATCATAGAACAATTGATCACAGTTATTCACTCCCGTCTGCTGGGCTGTATTATCTATGCACGGGAATAAAATAGCAGTTGGAACTCCAATTGTGATGTCAAAGCACTGCACTGGTGAACCCAACGCACTACATGCGCATATTATTTGCTCCCTCTACCTGGCGGGAGAGGCGCCCGGTGTTCCACAACACCGTAGTTCCATGCGCAGGTCTAGCCCTTTCTGGAATCCCGGCTTGGCCCAAATGCAGAGGGTGCATCGTGCTAGCGCATTGTGTATTGTCTGCCCAGTCCAATTGTTACTGGTGGTATTGTTCGCCCTCCACTACTGCAGCTAGTGCGCAAATTCTAACCATGCATGCTGGCTTCCGCACCGATTGCATACACTTACAGTAAAGAACTCAATAGTATTGGTGCACAGTGCAGAAACTTCCTTGTGAAGAGCTCGGCATTAATGTACAGTAATAATCTTACAGTAGTGAAGAAAGTCAATTGTATTAAAATGCATAACATTAGAAGTAAAAAGGTGGAGCCCAAGCTCCAAATCAGTCATTAACAAAGCGTCCCGTCGTAGCCGTACTTCCCGTACTGCTGAATATCTATAACTCAGTAACCGTGGTGGATAACATTTCTGCCAATCCGTTGTCGTTGCGCAAACCTGCACCGTAGCCAGCATTGAAGTTGTTCATCTCGATGCCTTGGTTGATGCCAAGCACAGGCGAGAGGTTCTGCAAGCCGAAGTTGTTGTAGTCGTCAGCAGGCATAGGCATGTTGGTGTCGAGCTCGGCCATCATGTTGGTGAAATCGTCCACCTGGTTAGGCTGGAAGTTGTTCACCATGTCGGGAGTGCTGTTGAGATTGACGTCGATGTTGCCGAGAATGGCCTCCTCCACCGAAGGAGAAATGTTGCTGAGCAAAGGCGAGGTGGTTTCCTGCTTGACAGCCTTGTCCTGGGCTTCCTCGAGCTTCTGGGTGTGACCAAACAACGTGGATGGGTATTCTCTATTAAACTTGGTCAAGTCAGGCACCGAAAAGGCTCTGGTGTAGTTGTTGTTGGACATCTGCGATTCGAACATGTTGAAGTTGTTGTTGAACAAGGGCTGGTTGAACTCAAACGTGGCCTGCTGGGGAATTGGGTACTGGTTCTTGGTCTCGTCGAGAGCTGGAGTCAACACGTCGTTGAAGTCCAAGGGCTGGTTGAGCTGCGCTCCGAGGTTGTCGTACTGGTTGACCACATTGAAGCCATTGGCCTTGGAGCCAGGCGAAACTTGATCGGGAGACTCGATCTTGACTCTCTTGGATGGTGGGAGGGCGAATTCTGGCGAGGTGGGCACGGATTCACTCATGCTGTGGGTGCTGGAAGCAGGAGTTTGGTAGCCAAGCGAAGGAGTCTTGACTCCGGCAGTAGCCACGGTGCTGCTGCGGTCTTCGGGCGACGAAGAGAAGAGCGAGTGCTTGCCAGACTCCTTGTGCTTCTTGATAAATTCCCAGCATTTATCACCATAAGTCTTTGGCGTCAAGCCCGTCACGGACTTGAACACCCTGTGGAAGTGCCAAGCCGACAACTTGGACTTGGCTGCCAATTCCTTGAAGCCCAAAACACCGCCCCTTCTTCTTCTTCTCTTGGAAGCCGAAGGCGAGGAGGGGCTGTTGCCCTCCTCCGGAGTGGAAGGGTTCTTGGAGGATGACGTCTGGTAGATGCTCATGGCTGCAGCCAATGCCAAGTGTCTGCAGGCCAAGTCCACCAAGCGGTAGTGGTCAGAGTCGTTTTTGGACAACGAGGTGGTGTCCTTGGAAAACTTGCCGTCCATGTTGATCACGGGCAACGACAATCTTCTGCTGGAGCCGGGGGCGGCGTTATTGATGGTGTTCAAGATTTGCTCCTCATTGGCGCGCTTGGACTCAATGATGTTGGCCTTGATTCTCTGGTTGTTTCTGTCCTCGTTGACGTCCAAAAGAGGAGGCATGAACCCGATTTGCTGGTTGATGTGGGCCACGCATTTTATCAACAACTGCACATCAATGCATGGCGAGCTGACAGGGTCGCATGACTCGCAGGGAGTGTAGCCCAACTGTATGGCTTGTGTGGGGTGTTCGACAAACTTGATTTCCGACTTCAAGTTTGTGATAGGACGGGCGTCACAGTCTGGGCGGCAAAAGAACTTGTTGATCTTGTTGCAGACAAAGAACGACCCGGCAGCGAATGGGTCGCTGAATTCGTAGGCCTTCCACTTGGCGGCGTCTGTTGAGTAGACCATTGTAGGTGGTGTGCGGTTAGAGCTAGGGGGGCTAGTGAAGGGGTAGTAGTAACTGTTAGGTCACAATTGGTTAGTTCAAAACGTGGGTGTGAATTGTTATTCCGTTTTTTTAGAATTGGTACTAAGGTTTAGAAAACAGTTAGGGATAGTTGCATTTATATACTGAGTATGCCCTGAATTATACAAGGGATTTTTCACAGGGAGTGTCTATGTAATCGTGCATACAATTAAATGGCAGTGCGAAACCCTAAAATCGTGCATAACCCATCCGAACCTGGCTCTGTCTAGAAATAAAAAGCCCCGAAAAGGACGCACACATAATTGTAAAAATAAATTTATGCGCATAATCCAACCTTTTTATTTTTTTCGTTCGATACCTGCAAGTTCAGGCGCCCACCCCCTAAATTTCGTCACTGATTATATGTATGTTGAGAGATGTCAACCCCAGGGCTCCGAACAGAACGGTATTCCGTCTGAGGCTGATGAGCTTGTGGATAGTGTTTTCCAAACATGGAACATGCCGGAGGATTACGTTTTCGGCCTGCCTCATGGATTATGTCACTCACCTGTCGTCACCGCTCCATAAACCTGCCATTAAGGCCCAGTGCCGCCCTCAAAGGAGTTCCGCCCCAGCCACATCCATCTAGGCCCTGACATTCTCCCTTGGTTTCCATTGAACTCGTGCTAATGACACCGGCACTTCCGGATACCATCGCCTCTGCTCCGGCTCTCTTCCGTGCCGAACCTGATGCTGTCTTCTTCTCGTTACTGCAGCTCCAGGCTTCCAAGTCTGGAAAATCCCCCACAAAAACTCACCTTTCTCGCCACATGTGTTCAACGATCTGCCTGCATGTAGTCAAAAAATAGGTGTACAAAAAAAAAGTCTGCGAAGTATTTTGCATGCCACCGATTGTAATTCGCCATGGATACTACTTTCTGCAAATGCACCACGAGTAAAATTTCAGTTTCATTTAGAGTACCGAGGCGTCTTGAAATTGGGCATTGTAGACAGCCCGTCTCCCCAAGTGTCGATACTGGTGAGACGTTAGCGAGATTCGTGGGGCAGTTAGGAGGCCATTGTAAGTGCTGGGAATGCTACGGTTGCTGTTGACCAGGGTGAAGAACCCGAGATTTCCGTTCACTCAACCATCCCGACAATCCTGCAGTTTTGGATCCCCCCCTCCCCGCGCCCCATCGCTAATTTTGAGTTGCATTGTGTGTGCTGCATGGCGCATTACTTGTGGCGAGTAAGCCCTCGAGCAAATTCAGGGTTCTAGTCCGCTCAGGCGGATATCCTCCAAACTGATACTACATTACCCCCTATAAGTCCCCTCCATCGATGGCACTATGCAACCCTTCCAAAGTGCTCCCCAAGCCACCAAGTGCAACTTCTTTGCTGGGTCTCTGCCTCGTATCGCATGTGACCCAATAGGGTTGATGAGACAATTATTGGCTTCCCAACAGCCAATCGTCTAACTGCCTCGGCACTTCTGGCCATTTTCCAATCCCGAGCCTTGGCTGTCTCCCCCAACGAAAATTAATCTATGGTAGATGCGCGGGCTCACCACCTCCGTGCCTTCTAGATCACATTCTGCACATATTGTTGGCGATTATGATCACCTCCCCCACCAGCCCGTCAGATACTGGTTCCTGATACGAGCTCTGGAGAGATACTCTGATGATCTTGCCGTAGTGGTGACAGGGGTGTTCGAGACATCTCAAGACATACTCATGCTCGGATTTCCGGTATGGTGCGCCGGTTAAAGCCACCATTTTGGGGCTCTATGCGAGCTACGGGGGTAAGGTGTCTTCTGCATTTTCATACGCCGTGTGGTGGGTATGTAGCCTTATTGGATCCCCCACCGTGTAATAGTACGTCCGGTCTTCGATGTCATAAACCCGCATGGGGCGATCGCTATCTGGAGTCTATACGAAAATCAGACCATCAGCTACTCTAGAGTATTTTCTGAGACGGAGATTATAAGCACCGTTTTCCGCTAGTCCCGGCAATCGTACGAGGTGGCAAATGTATCATAGATCTTCGATTGCCGATAGAAGCCCCTACAAGCAAGCACCATCCTCACGCAAATATGAAGGCTCAATTTTCTTGACATCACTTGCCTCACTCGTGCCCGTGCACGTAACCAGGGGCCTATGATGTAAGCTTACCATCGAGATGGAAAAATAAACTACTGCTATTGTATTGTATTCCCAGATAGTGTCTTGAAAGGAAACGGTGGGAGCGCAATTCAATCTGCACGGTCATAACAAGCGGATCGACCCCTGCTGTAGCCACATGTATGGCTGGTGATGTGTGCGATCGGATACTGTTTTAGTGAAAAAACGTGTTTGGGACACCGTGGTGGCGGAACGCGTGGCTTGACAAGTACATGTTGGGTACGTGCTAGCGGGATTCCCGAATTTCCCGGGCATCCAGCGAAATAAATTTGGAATAATATTGCGAGACACCAAATGCGAGACACTAATATTGAGCCAGTGAGACACGATTGTGAGACACTAATATTGAGCCAGTGAGACACTGTTTGAGACACTGTTTGAGATACTTTTTGAGACACTAATTCCGAGACACTTTTTGAGACACTATTGCAAGACAAAAGTGAGACATAACTTGATGATCCAAAAAGCTTAGATTGGCAAGCTTTGCCCCAGAACCGAACCTGGCCACATTGCGCTCCTCGCCACAGGCTAATAGTTTCCCGGAATATATGCCGGTTTTGGAATGTCTTGGAATTCAAAAGAACAACAAAAGGCTAAGCCTGTGCGTCAGCGCTCTTGTGCGCACACCCCAACTTAAAATAAAAGTCATGCAGCCCCTTGGGAAAGGCCGGATTGGGTGACTATCGACCATGGAATAGTACTAGGATCGGATCAGGCATGGAAGCTCTCAACCATGTGGCTAACCAAGCAACCACGCCTAAAGCGTGGACGTGCAATTTCTCCCGTCCCAATGGCCCAATGGCCAGGCTCGACGTAGCATCCCTGCAGTGCTCTTTGAACGGTACCCCGGGAATAATGCCCCCCCGCTGGATGACCTCAGGGGAGCGCCATGTGGGTGCAGTGACTATCTGTGGGAGTTCTTTGTGGTATGGTGTCCAAAGCTTAAATCCCACGCACCTCCAGAATTAACTATCCCTGACCACGGGCCGGGGATGCACACCCCATGATTATGTACCCGATTTATATCACCACGCAGACGTTTCCACGCTCATGGTACATGAACTCCAGTTACAGTGGCTAGTACAACAGTGACGTTATCTGGTCAAACCATACATGCTTCCGGTGCTGGCGCACAAACGTCACTTTAACGGGCCAAAACGAGTGCAACCAACCGGACTTATCCCCGTCCGCATATTAGCACTCGTCGGGGCCCGCCCTTAGGCGTTTGCGGAACTCCATCCAGGTGTCTGGGAAGTTTCTCCGCTTCTGGAGGTGAAGTTCGTAACCGCATTGTCAGAGTCTGAAAGTGTCTGAAACATTATCGGTGAGAAACGGCCTGTGCACCTACTGGCACGGAGATCCACCTTAGTCTGCGACGACTGTGCCTCGGTGGCGATGCGACGTGATGGGGCTACCAACAGAAACGTTTTGCCGTGGTTTACTGGCAAAACGTGTAAACCGTGCCAAAAACCACTAGTGCAAAATTCCTAGTCCAACCTGCAAAACCACCACTGGTGTGGAAAGTACGAAAACCCGCCACCAGGGCCAACCTGCAAAACCAGCCCGCCCAGTCCCAACCTGCAACCTCCCCCTCCCCCAACCTGCACCCTTGATTACTCTCTCTTCTTCTATTGGCACCAATGCTTCCCTCCCTTCAACCTCGACACGGCCATCTCCACACTGTCAACATCAAGTATGGCTACCTCGTGCTCGCATTGACCGTCCTCCAGGCACTTGCCGCCTGGGCCCTGTTCCATGCCTACCACCGCCAATGGCGCCAGTCTGGCACTCCCCTCCATCGACTCGCTGCCATCGTCAAAATGCCAGTTTGGGTGACGATCTCAGTATGGACCGTCTTCATTGCCTCCATCGGAGTGTACCACATCGAAGACCTTTCCGAACACTATCCCACCGTGGCCAAGCGCTACGGGCGCATTGCCTACGCGTTGCTTCCGTTCAACATCTACCTCGTGTTACGTCCCACTAGCGCCCTGAGCCATCCGTGGGGCTACTACCTCCAGCAGCTTCCGCTCCACAAGTGGCTCTCTCGGCTTATCTTCGTGTGCGTGGGGGTTCACGCGGGCTTGTTCTTTTACAAGTGGACTGTCCAGGGCACCTTGGGCAAGGTTTTCCAGGTGTGGAACTTGATCGGGGTGGTTGTTTTCATGGCGGTGGCCGTGGTGCTGGTGGTGTCGGTGCGGTATCTCCGGTGGCGGTACTACCGGGTGTTCTACGTGAGCCACAACGTGATGGCATGGCTGTTTGTGGTGGGCATCACTCTCCATGCTCGCCCCGGGGTGTTGCCGCTCGCAGGGGTGTGCGTGGTGTTGGTAGCGGTGCAGGCGTACCACCGGTTCGCTGCATACACGGTGACGGACGCCGACGTGGAGGTGGTGCAGAACACCGCGCTCTCGTCGTTGCAGCTTGTGCGCATCAGACAGCCTGCCAACTTCCCCAAGTATCTCCCAGCATCGCACATCCGCGTGGCCTACCCTACCGCCAGCTATTACGCGTGGCTCACCCCCACCCATCCCTACACATTGGCGTCGTTGGCCGATGATGACTCCGGCACCCTCGAGTTGGTGGTCCGCAAGTCGTCGCGCCTCGAGTTCAACCCCACCGCCCCCAAGTACGCCCTCACAGGGCCCTACACATCGCTTCCTCCGCCATTTTTCTCCTCCGCGAAGTCTGCAGACATTGTCTGCGGCGGCAGCGGCCTCTCGTTGGGGGTGCCGCTCTACCGCCATTTCCGGTCCCAGGGCATTCCCGCTACATTGGTGTGGTGTGTCCGCAGCAAGTACGACCTCCATGTGTTGCTGCACATGGCGGGCGTGGACGGCATCAGGATATATGTCACTGGCGCAGACGGCCCTATTTTCAAGATCGACGACGAAGACAACCACGGACTTCTCGATGAGTCGGCAGAAATCGAGTTGGCAGCGCTTTCGCCTACAGATGCTGCCTACACGCTAGGCCGTCCCGTGCTAGAAGAGGTGTTGGGCCAGAACGCGGCCGAAAGCAACCACTGGGCAGTTTCGTGTGGACCCGAATCGCTCAATTCCGCTGTCAAGGCGTGGGCTGCGCAGCACCAGACGCACAGTTTTTCCGAGTTGTACCAGATGTGAGACATACAGCTAAGTATTTCCAGGTAGTTATCCTTACTACCTGAGGAACATTTTACCGGATCCATTTCTATCTAGCTACTTTGGAAACGTTTCTGGATGATTACGTCTGTCTCGCCACCTGTGGAATCATTTTTTCCAGATGGCTACTTACGTTAATCTTTCTAGCCGTGAGACCGTTCTCCCAGATACATTTTGCATCTGGTTGGTGAAACCCATTTTTACCGGATGGTTCTATTGTCTAGCTTTTTACCTAGTGGTACTTACTTCATGTGTGAGTATTACCCATTTTTTTGCAAGGGCCAGATGTGAGAGCCAATTTTACAGGCTTCTTCACATGTGGCATTCGCGAAACCATATTTACCATTCCTTACTTTACAAGGGCCAGATGTGAAGCATTCTACTGAATACGTAGCATCAGCCATTTTCCGAGATACATTGCCTAAGGGCCAGATATAAGAGTTATTTTTACTGCACACCTGTCTAACCATTTTCCGAGATATATTGCTAAAGATCTAGACGTGAGACCTATTTTTCCAAATACACTGCTGTACATTGCTTTTCATGGCTATTGTGGAACCCAATACTCGATACATCGCATCTGTAACCCCAATGGTTGCATTTGCCCTCATACACAGGTGTCTCCTTTTTATTCTGATAGCCAGTCCATATCTGCGTGTTTGTGTTTGAGATCGTCACCATATTTTGCCAGTTAGGTGCATGAGCCCCATACCATGTCCTCTCTATTGGATCTACGTTATGACGTCACGTAGGCGCAGGTTTAGACCTGCGTTCATCCGATTATTTATTCAGGGGGTGCCGGTTGATGCAGCCCCCCCTCCCATACCTTCTCTATGATGTCATATTCAACAAGGGGTGTAGTGTTTAGAATGCATGACAATACTTGCAAGCAGGTCCAGTGATGGTTACTTATTTTTTCTGCAGGCTCTCAATCGGTCAACGCCATGCCATCGTCAACTGGGCTGATTGTCTTGGTGGTGGTGACGACAACAGCCACCTGACGTAGGATGATGTGGCCCTAAGCCCACTGAGAAGTTACCTGATTTGCCTGTGTGGTATGGACATCGCCACAAACCGTGTGGGAGTGCGAAATGTGTCTCGAAAGGTGCATTTGTAAGGGCTTGTAACGGTGGGATGACACATCAGGGGTGGATCTGGAACAAAAATTAAAAATAAAAGCTCGCACTCAGGATTGAACTAAGGACCAACAGATTTGCAATCTGCTGCGCTACCACTGCGCCATACGAGCTTCTATTGGGAGTAAAATGTTTGTCACTTAACATAGCAAGCATGATAGCTAAAAAATGCCGGTATTTGACTTCATTCGATGTACTTGGCACTTCTTGTGCTTTAAAATATCGCTTAGTGCAGAAATTACTGAAAAATCGCTGATATTTGAAGAAAATAGAGCGAAAAACAAATTTCAAAAAAATTAATTTTGGGCCACAGCCTATGGACATTCACTAAGTCTGGATGTTAGGTACGTAGTCAGTAGAGTATAATATAATTCCCAATAGCAAAAAAATTGATGACCAAATAGTAGAAAAATAGTAGAAATTTTCGAAATTTTTAGAAACCGTTGGTTGTTCTTTCCACATAATTGCAAGCTTTTTCAATTAGCAGAGGCAAAAGAGAAAGCAGGATTTCATAAGTCCGAATTAAGATTCTCTTGGTTCGAGGAATCAAGATAAACTTCCCCCGAATACCGTGTCGGCTTTTAATGAGGGTAAAGAACAAATCTCAAAAATGAGACAATTCAACCCAAGCCCGTCCAACAACCATCAACTGTACTTATACTTGTCCATTCAATGCTTTAAAACTAAGTAACATCTAGCATGAATTGCTTCTACAGGGCAGCAGCATATTGTGCCAAAGATCTTGCTTTCTAAACGTTTGACCATATAATTGACAAAATGTGTCTCCACTACACAATGTGTATAGCTAGATTAAATTAAATATTCCAGTTATAGTGTTAGCGTACTGGATCTCCGCTAGAGCCATTTTTTCTCACGGACGCATCATTTGGACTTTGCTTTCGTCAACGAAATCTCCTGTACTGGTAACTATCCATCCGTGGTCGGGTCTCACTACCCATGACATCTCAATAGAAGAATTGGGGCATATCTGCACCACTGCCTGACGTGTTTTTTGAGATATTCCTGTTTTCCAGCTGGGAGAGGAGACTATGGACAGAAAACTTAGGTATTGACCTGCCATGGCTGGGACAAGGGGAGGCATCTGGAAGAAGAGGAATCGAAGCTATGGGAATTAACTTTGGGGGATAATCTCAAAGAATTTAATGGTTATATGGAAGGGGCACTAGTCTAACGAATTGGAAGGAATCTTTGCGAGTTACTCGGTCATATGTAAGTTAACGGCAAATTGACACTGGTAGTACTCTGGGATTAACTCACGAGATATTGCTCCTCTGGCAATAACTCGCCATAAGGGAGTCCCGTGAAATTCACATCTACATCCAGACTCCTCGGAGATTAACTCGCCGTATGGGAGACCTCTGCAATTAATTCCACAGCTCGAGTGCTCCCTCATCTTTGTTCCCCCTCGCCCATCACCATCCTTATCGTCCTCCTGCACACGCTCCATCTCTTCCCACCATGTCGGTTCTCCAACAGCCTCCAGAGCCCCAGTCGTTAGCCACGACGCCTGTGGCCTCGTGCTACACCTACTCGCACCTCGACGACTTGAACTGCCCCAAGACGTCGTACCGCCTGCCCTTGGCAGTCATTGCGCTCGTGGACATGAACGCGTTCTTTGCTCAGGTAGAACAGATCCGCTTGGGACTTTCTCCACAAGATCCCGTGGTGTGTGCCCAGTGGCAGTCGCTCATCGCCGTGTCGTACGCTGCTCGTAAGTACGGCATCAACCGTATGGACACCATCCAGTCAGCACAGTCCAAATGCCCCAACTTGGTGGTGGGACACGCGGCTGTGTTCAAGAAAGGCGAGTCCCACTGGTCGTACTTGAACGAGCCTCCCAACCAGGCCATCCACAAGGTATCACTCGACCCCTACAGACGCGAGAGCCGCAAGATCTTGAAGATCTTCCAGGAGAACTGCGATCTCGTGGAAAAGGCTAGTGTGGACGAGTCGTACCTCGATTTGGGCCGGCTCGTTTACCAGAAACTCATGGAGCTCTTCCCTCAATTGGCGCCTGCCAACCGTGGCCTGGCCCCAGTATTGCCTCCCATCCCTTCCAAACTTCCTTCCGAGCTCCACTGGGTGGGTGAGGTGATTTCTACCGACAAGGAAGACGCATATGCTAGCGAACAGGGCTTGTTGAGCGAGTCACAGAAGGGAGAGGCTCCTGTGCCGTCAGTGTGTGACTGGGACGATGTTTGCATGCTTATAGGGTCGCAAATCCTCCTCCAGTTGCGCCAGCTAGTGTACCAGAAATTGGGCTACTTCACCTCAGGAGGCTTGGCCAGAAACAAGCTCGTGGCAAAGGTGGCAGGAGGCTTCAGAAAGCCCGATAACCAGACCATCGTGCGAACCAGGCTGGTCCACAAGTTCTTGAATAATTTCCAGCTCAATGACATCTCAGGCATGGGTGGAAAAATGGGCGACCACATCGTCCAGAAATTCGACATTCCGCCAGGCACCAATACCATCAGCTACATCAGAGAACAGGTGTCTCTCGAGGCCCTTGAAGAAGAAATTCCCGAAAAATCCCTTGCCAAAAAGGTGTACGACATGGTCCGAGGCGATCACAAGCTGGAATTGACGCATAGGGTCGAGGTCAAGTCGATGATGTCACGGAAGAACTTCATGGCCCGCAAGCCGCTAGAGACATTTCAGGATGCTTATGACTGGATCGTGGTATTTGCAGGTGATCTCTACAATAGGTTGATTGAGTTGGACGATGAGAGTTTGAATTTGTCCATGCTGCAGAGCTCCAATAAGGATAAGGGAACGATCAAGAGGCCCAAAACGATTACAGTGGCCGCCACCTCCAGTAGCTATAGTTCTCATTCTCGCCAGGCACCCATACCATTAACCATTTCTTTGGAGAAACTAAAGTCCATTTTTGAAACTATGGGGATGAAACTCTTGAGAGACCTCTTGGACTCCACCTCCAATTTGGAGGTTTTGAATAAAAAGAGCCTTATTGAGTTAGAGAAAGACAAAACACCTCTATCAAAAATAAAGATTCATCCAATAGCGAACCTTTCGCTCGTTATATCTGGTTTCGTCAAAACTAATGACACCAGCCTTATTGACACTTATGGAGGGCGAGGTGAAAATGGAAATTACAAGGAGGACCTCAAGAAGATGTTTGAGGAAGTAAATAATGAGGCCCTTCTAAAAAAGACCAAGATTTCACCACGGCCGGTGGTGAAAAAGGACAGCAACATATCCAATGAGGACAAAAAGTACATCAATAAGCTTTTCACCGACTTCCATGCTCAAGATCCAGAAGTAAAACGCAAGACCCCTACTCCCTCCCCTCCACCAACATTCAAGCCTTCCACTAAGGATGATGCCTACATTAAAAAGCTATTCCAAGACTTCAACGAGGAAAATGTCAAGACTATGGGATCTGGTCTTAATCAAAGGGAGCAGAAGAGAGAAAAGAACACTCACTCTATAGCTAATTCCGAGAAGGTTAGGCGGACTATCAAAAGACCACAGGCAGATATTCTCCAGTCATTAAAGAAATCAAAACCAGTTGAAGAACCATTTTTGGACCGTCTCATTAGAACCAGATTTTGCAACAAATGCCAACAACAAATTGAAGATGTGTTCGAACATAGTGATTACCATATTGCGCTTGATCTTTCCGAGAAGCTAAACAAGAGTTAGGTTACTTCAGTGTATTATCTAGCTTTGGAGAGTTCCTTAGAGTACCTCGATAACAAAGATATTCTGTATTATAATATAAAACGTCATGGTGTTCTACTAAAATACCAAGTTATGCCCTTATGCGACAAGATATTTACACTTTAACGTAGGTTGTAAAATAGCTATAAAATGGAGGATACAATTCTTCCTGAGAAACAAGCATGTTTGGTCACACTGAGGACGTGACTAAATAATTGAGTATATTTACAAAGTTTTTTAATCCATTTCGTACACCAAATCCATAATTCTCGCTTTATCCTGCTTCTGGTTTGCTCTCTCCTTCAATATTGTAGCTGCAAAATTGGTGTCAGTCGGTATATTGACCTGTTTGGCGCTGGTCTTCTTTCCAGCCTTGGTCAATAAGCTGAAAGACATCTTTGATCCTTGTACTGGAACTTCCTCAGTCCTTGCATACTGAGAAACTGAAGGCATGTTTAACCTCTTCCCTAACGCACTGCTTCCCTTGCTTAATTCGTACGATTCACTTACCATCTGTTGGAATTGTCTCTCCATATCTTCCTCGAATTGTTTATCTTCAGCAATCTTGAGCTTTTCTTTTTCTGTAATAACTCGGCGAGGAGGAGTCTCAGCATCATAATCTTCTGATTCACCTTCAGATGTGGATTCTTCATCAGTTGTGCTGTCTTCTTCTTCGTCATCCTCTTCTTCTTCGTCGTCGTCTTCTTCTTTCTCATCGTCTTCTTCTTCCTCAACCAAATCTTCTTCTTCTTCGTCGTCTTCATTATCGTCATCTTCTTCGTCGTAGAAGTCAACCTCATCGTCGAAGTCGTCGACATCGTCTTCGTCGTCATATTCATCTTCCCGATTCAGATCATTCTGTAAACCCTTCTCTTGAACAATTTCCTGAAGTCTTGCTACAGTCTCTTTGAAACTATTATATCTCTCGGAGACCAGACTGTACTTGACAAACACATCGTTCAACTGAAATTCAATTTCCATTGGAACTGGTCCATTTTTGCAGAACACATAATATTGAAAGAACACGAGGAAAACTTTCAACAATTCCTTCTTTCTTTCGATGGTCTTGGCCAATGAGAACTTCTTTGACCTAGCAGGCTTTGACTTTATTCCAGACTCCGCAAATAGATCGCCTTTCATCGACAATAATAAGGAGCAACACATTTGAACTCGGAAAAAGTTGTCAGGAGGATCGGAAGTAACTTCGTAACCTGGCAATAGCTGATTGTTTGGATGGCCCGAACAGATGATTTTGTACATCAAATCTATAATAGTTTTGAAGCTCAACAATTCCTGATTATATAACTCTCCAAAATACTTTATCTGGGTCATCCTGGTACGGTTAGATCTGTAATCATTTAGCTCCAATCCACGCTTGACTTGTTCTATCAATGTATCTATAATTCTTATCCTTAATGATTTGTACTTGTTAGACGAGGGAATTAATTTGGCCAAGAAAGGAAGGTCGTCGTAATTGATTGATTCGGGATGTGTAAAACAATCCAAAACAGGCCCAATAATCTCCTCCGAATCCAACTGTAATTCCTTGAAAATACTGAAGATTATCTTGAATGTTGAGTGCTTGAGTTCAACTCTAACTAGCCGGTACACAAATTGTTGGATAGGTGTTAATACAACCTTTTTCTCCTGATTAACTTTAATGATAGGGGGATCAATTATAATCAATAGGTTATTAATGGCCAACTTTTCGTTTATTCCGTGAGCACTCCTTTGTTTCTGTTTGAGTATTTCGACCATCTCTTGCATCAACTCTTTATACTCTGGTTCATTGAGCAAGAATCTTCCGACTCGTTCATAGAGGATTGACAAAAGATCGATGGCACCAGGATCACCTATTCTGATGGTCAAAACACGGATTTTGTGAAAAATAACATGTGTAGGGATCAACTTGAATTTTATCATCTCCACGAAGAAGTAAATATACCTGAAACTAATGCTATTGTGATAGATCTGACTTCTGAAGCCTTTATCCAAATTATCTACCAACTCCTCAATTAATTCACTAAAATTTTCCTCATTGATCTTCAAGAATTTTGCGTAATATCTCAAAGTACTCATATTAGGACTGTCCATGAAAAAGCGGAGAATCCTGTTCCTAGTAGCTTTGTTATTAATGTTCAATTCATTGAAAAGAACCACAAGTGGCTCTAGGGTGGAATCGTCCACCTCATCCATTTCGTTTAGAAAGAGAGAGATCTTTTCACCATCTAACAGCGACGTCTTTATTTCTTCAAACTGTTCTGGAAGTGTTTTCTCTAGTTCCGACAATTTGGGAATCTTGGTGTAAAAATTCTTTTGCTTGATGTCTTCCCAAACTCCTTCCATGTCGTCTTCATTGCCTGACTTGCTCTTAACAACCTCTACCACTGCATCAGAATTTTCAAGGGTTTCTGTCGCTTGACTAAATTCGGGAACTGGCATATCCAAGGCCTCTCCTAGCGTAATCCCAGCAGCCTTGAAGTTTTCGAAAAGTTCACTTGTCTCCTCTAGTTCTGTCACGATTTCCTCCAAGAATTTACCAGTTCTAATAGATGCTTTATGGTTTCGTACTTCCAACTTGTGAACCTGGTCCGCCAAAACTTTTGCTCTTTCGAGCACAACCTCAGTGTATCTACGGAAGATCACAGACAAAACTTCCTGAATATTTAGCTCGGGTTGTTGTTCATTTTCAAGTAAAAATGAGAATCGTTTAACAAAAGACACTGCCACTGGTAGCGAGCCTCCTTCTGTGAACTCATAGTTCAATAAATCCTTTAGTACCAAAACCAAAATCGGCTGGGATGCAGACTTGCCGAACTTGGCAAGGATGGGCTCGGGAATGATCTCTTTGTCGCAATCTTTCAAGGTTCGAAATACCCCCACGCAAAAGAACTCTACCAATAAGTTGAAAAGACTCTTGGCTCTGCTTCTATACACCTCCTCTGACACCAATACGCCACTCTGCTTGGTAGACAATGCTGTGAGCATGTTGACCAACAAGTATGGAGTGAATTGGCTGGAGAACCGCTGGTGTAGCGCTGAAATCACCTCCACAGCTGCCCAGATGTCATCGTTCTTGGTGACTTTGCGTAGCCCCTCCGAAACCGCCACGATGATCTCTGAAAGGTATTTTTCGAGCGACACTAACTGGATATCCTGGAGAATACTGGCTTTCTGTTCGTGATGTATGGAAGTTCTGACCTTTTTGATAAAAGCGGTGTTCTTCTTTAACGAGGAGTCAGGCTTAGCAGAGACTCGGAAAACCAGCTCTCCGCTCCATGCCCTGATGTTGAGGTCATATAGTTGTGCTCTTCGGGAGGCAGGCACTGACATAAATGTAGTTGTTGACTTATGACAGAGATTGGTGAAATGATGAAGATAGCGATGGTGCGGGTTGTGGTACTAGAAATTAGCGAGAGACTAGTGAGAGCTCTAGCTAGCGATGGTGCGCGGCTCGGCGGGGAATGGTGCAGAGTGAAATTCTAGCGGGAGCTCGCAGATCACCCTCGCACTAGAAATTACCGACAGGCTACTCTGTAGTTAGAGATACTAGCGGATATTTTCAACAAATTGATTCTCAATTGTACAGCTCCACACCCCAAGGTCAATTCCTCCAAATGGAATCCGACTCCGTGCGACTGTTTATGACAAGGAGATGAAGTTCAATCTCTTTGTAGTTCGTCTGTAGAATAGTGAGAGCTCGCGGTGCCAACTTGGCTCGTACTAGAAATTAGCGAGACTTCTAGCTAGCGGGAGCTCCACTCTCGCTAATTCTACTTCCATGCCAGCGGCTCATCTACAAAACTTACTATTTATCATTGATTACCGCCAGCTCGCGCCAACAGCCCTATATACATGCTAAATAACTGGGTGGGCTTGACGGACTCTATGGTACACCTTACCCTTTTCTAAGCCATAGCTTCTTCTCACGTCGTTGACGCTTCTGTCGAAATGCTGTCTCCACACATGGGCACCAACTGGGTTCAAGGAGTTGGTTTCAACAAACGTTCTGATGTCGAAATGGGTGTTTGGACCGGCCAAGGCATCGAGGGCGAGCGGCTTGGCCTGTCTGAAGACCCACAAGCACGCCCTCTGGTTCTGGGCGTTCTTCTCGGGAGTCAAAGGTATGTAGTGCTGGAAGGTGTAGGAGTCACCTTGGGTCAACAACGTGGAGGTGGAGATGGTGTTGTCGACGTTGTTCAAGGGCACGTTGGCCAATCCGTATTGCAAGGTGGTAGAGAACGAGTTGGTGGCCAAGTCTGGGGTGTCAGGGTTGACCACCACCACAGTGTAGAGCTGTTCTTGGTCCACTCTTTCAAACTCCTGGATCCGGATGGTTGGTGGCTGGCTCACGGCAAATGCTGGTAATATTTCACCTGGAGTCACCCAGCTGGAGAACTCATCCTTGAGGTTGTGGGGAAACTTGACCTTGACGTCCACCTTGGGGTCCAAGGTGGGCAAGGTGTCCGGTATCACATGGAGCTGCTCCAATCTCTGCATGGTCACCATGAGATCGAATGCCTCCCATTTCTCCTTCAAGATCTGTCTGTAAACCGGTTGCGACTTGTCGAGGTCTTCAGAACTCAAGTATGAGGTGTTGTACAACACCTCGGGGTTGCTGGCCTCGGCTTCTACGAGCAAGGCTTCGATTCTGTCCTTGAGCTCTTTGACTTCGGTTTCTGATTGGGCCTGGGCTACTTGCTTTTCCAAGACTTCAATTTGCTGGTACTTTTCGGCACTTTGTTCTTGCAAGTACTCGTAGGCAACCTTGAAAGTATCGTCGATTTCATTGATACTGTGGTATGCCAATCTTCTGGAGTAGTTTTGGATGGAGGCAGGGCCTTCCGATGGGTCGATCTTGTCGAATATGTTCTTCTTGATGGCAGGGTTGGAGAGCTTTAACGAAGGCGATCTCTTGGAGAAATCGCTCCAAATGCCAGTGCTGGAGGATTCGGTGCTTTGGAACCTCTTGGAGGCCAAGTACCGGAGTGACCTGGCCCTGGTGAGGTTGGTACGGTTCAACATGATGTGGTTCGAGTGCCTGATAGTGTAAATTTTTCAGTATGAAAAAATGAGAATTTCGAGGATGATATTTACGCTGGGCCTCACAATTGAGGATGAACTTTACGCAGTGGATCCTCCACTGCAACCTCGAAAGGAGGGGATGTCTAATCTCCAAATAGGAGCCAAATAGGAGCCCATGACTTTAGTTGGGTGTAGCTGTGCGGAGATTGGCTGCATGGAGGGGCTGACTTGGCCAGCGAAATACCACAAGATCTGGAGCCAGATTGTTTAGATCTACTGGACTAAAATCTTAGAAAATAGATGCATAGCCATCCATATTAATTGTTTAAGAACTCTATACTGGTAAAACTGGTGGATAAAACTTGTGGAATTTGGTGATGTGGGTTCTCCAAGACTTGATGTATTAAATACGGATAATACTGTAGGTCTGGTCTGGCTGATATATTGGTTTGTTTGGTGGTTGCAATAGCTAATTAGGCTGTGGTTCCTCGATCTAGGTTGCATCCATTCGGCTAAGGGTCATATGGGAGGCAGACAGTGAAGACTGGATAGCTGTTCGCACAAGCAGAGAGCTTGCACCGTCTATTGGACTAGTAGTGTAGTCATGAGTATGCTACAATGTTAACAATGGGTCAGAATTGACTTGGCTGTGAATATTGGCAGACTCCGTAAGAGAACTTACCCTCACAGTCTCCTTGGTCGGTCCCAGTGAGCCGGCACCATCACAGAATGGCTCCAAATTCCTACGCTGATCTAATGGATGTACAACATCCGCCATAACCGTATTAATTAACCTATATCCCAAAAAACCAGGCTGTCTAGCCTGGCGCAAAATCTATGAACTGCCAGCAGGTATTAGCGTGAGACGTATGAGGGGGTGAGAGGAAGGGCATCGAATTTCATGAACTGGGCATCGTCGTCTATGTGCATCTGGGGAAAGAGTCCAGGCACGACGGGGTTGGCACCCGAGGGGTCGTTAGCGAGAGGAATGGACTCGTTGCTGGTGCTGAACACGAGCTCGTGGGTGCCGAAGTAGTCGTTATCGTCGTCGTCCTCGTCCTCGTCCTCGTCGTCGTAGTGGTAGCACGCGAGGTCGCAGTAGGACGGTGCGGCGGGGGGCTCGCGCTGGGTGCAGCACGGAGCGATGGGGGGAAACAACGGAGGGCGTTTATTTCTGGCGGTGTGAGGGTGGTGAGGGTGGTGAGGAGGATGATCAGCAGGATGAGAATCACGACGACGATCGGGAGTATGCGAGAAACCAGACATGGTGTGGGGGAGCTGCTGGTAGAGCACGCCTGTGGCCTTGTGGGCAAACGTGACGGAGTGGAGGAACTGGTTTGGGCCTAGCACGGGACCCAGCGTTGGTCGTATCTGGAGGGACTGTGACGATGGAGGAGGAGGTGGGTCGCTGGCGGATGGGGAGGGCGACGGCTGCACGGATTGCGACACGTCGACGATGCAATCGTTGTACTGGCATGTCTCCATCTGAGTGAGAAACTCGTGGTACAGTTCCACCGGATAGTCCATAGTGGGGACGTGGTGGCGGCGGCTAGACTGGAGATCGCGACTATATATAAACGGCGTTGAAATTTGACAAGGCAAATGGCAAGGCGAATGGATCTGCAGGCGGAGATAAACTAATAGGGCAATCCTCCTGCGTCTTGCAGCACGGTGGATGCGGAAGGAAGGGAGAAGGCGAGAAGGGAGAGGGAAGGCGGAAAGGCGGAAGGGCGGAAAGGCGGAAAGGCGGAAAGTGACTCGTTCCGCGTCACCTGGCGAGTCACTGGAGCCTGACAAGGAAAATGGTAGCGAGATGGAACGGCATCCACAACGGTTGCCTTGGCCAGTGCAGCCCAACAGATGAGCGAAGGGCATTCGCGCAGGCCAAGTGGCTCCAAAATCAGTGCGGTGACACAAAGCGCCGGTGAGCTCATATACGGATAGTGCCGTTTGGAGTGCGCACTGGGCTTCTGTATAGGAATAGGGAGGGCATTCGGGCGCTGTGGCGGATGGACACCCAGGCCGAGGGTCTCCAGGGTCCGTACTGCAGACGGAAACCTCTACTGCAATACTGTGGAAGCCTTTGGTACGTCTGTTACTATTCTGCTACATTTCTGCCACCACCGTGCCTCCACTCCATTCCGACTTCCCACTGCCACGCACGGTGCCGTTGCATCCTTGTGAAGAAACGGCTTTTCGCCCTGCACTTCGCCCTGCACTTCAGTCACATTTGTGGGGGATTCTCGCCCGCACCTTGACGCATTGGGGGCGCGCTAGCCTAAGCGCCTGTGCCGGCCTGGGCTTAGCCCAGAGCCGTTCCCAGCGCCCAACCTCGCCCCATCCCCCACATAACCATCTGGGCCACAATAGCCACGGTGCCAACAATAGACCATAGCCTTGCTATTGTTTTCGGGATGAGCTGCACTCTACGGGGGAGTTACCCGAGGTGTTCCGAGACTTCGGAGGTACGGCGATCGGCGTTCCATATAATACATAAGAGAGAGGGCCAAAGAAAAAGGAAAGGAAAGGAAAAGGTAAAATACAGAGGCAATAGTAAGGGTAGGCAAAGGGCCAGGAAAATAAGCAATAGGAGCTAAGAAGAGACAATAGGGAAAGTAAATGGCAAGGCAATGGGAAGGCAGGCAAGTGGCCCAAAATGGCACTGGATCCGATTCGGAACACTTGTAGTTGCAGCCCCAAGGGCCCAAGGGCCCTGGCGTGCACTTGCGATGTTTCGTGTTCACAGTAGGCCAAGAGCAGGCGAACCCCTGACTCCCACTGGATCCGGTCCGGAACATTCGTAGTTCCTACTGTCATCCCGATTCGGAAACTTCGTAGTTACAGTAGAAGGCTCGCTGCATCCCAATCCGGATAGTTCGTAATTTCCAGTAGGGCCAAAAGCCGAAAGAGTCCAAATGGCATTTGGTGCCATTTGGCACACCCAATGGTACACCCAATGGTCCAAATACCGCAAATAGCCCACTAGCATCTGATTCAAATGTCGTGAGGCAACAGGACGGCCTCCAATGGTCCCAAAAGCACCATCCCGTTCAAATCATCCGTGATCCAGTATAAAGAATGGTGCCCCCAAGACTGGCCTGGGCCTCCCACTTCGTGGGAGCTCCCGCCAGCTACTTCTCCCCGTGCTTGGCATTGAACACCGCAGGTGGCGTGGGCATTATGTTAGCACTGGCATCGCTGCCTGCCTGCACAGACGTCGCCTGGGCAATGGCCTGACCGTTGGAAGGCGAGAGCTCGATCACCCTGCTCTGCAAGGCCAAAGTGTAGTCTCGCAACTGCAAATTCTCAGCCCTCAACTCCTCGATCGACTGCTTCAACTGGTCTACCTCTGCTGCCTTCAACTCCAACTCCTTGACGTACTTCTCCTTCCGCTGTCTGAACGCACGCTGAGCGTTCCTGTTCTGGATCGCCCGCTTGGTGCCCGAGCCACGTACCAACTTGGACCCTGAGCCCTCGTGGTCCGACAAAGGAGAGTCGGGACTTCTGCCTGCGCCTTGTGCCACGGCGGCTGCCAACTTCTCTTCGTGGGTGTACTGCTCAGGCTGGGCCAATCCAGCGACCGCCTCCTGGGCGGCTCTCACCTGGTCGTCCTCCTCCTCTTCACTGTTGTCCCGTCCTCTGCCCCCGCGACGTAACGGCTTGCGAGCCCTCTGGGCAGTAGCCACGGCAGCGGCAGTGACGTCGTCCACTGAAGGGTAGCCTTCGGCACCCTCAGCGCCGCTGGGATGGCGAGCGAATGAAGGGTCGAACTTGTCGTCCTGGGCAGAAGCTTGGTCGGGCTTGTCGTTGCCCCATGAGGTGAAGGATGAGTTCATGCTGCAAATTGCGATGTAATCAATTATGTAAGTCCTTTTATGTAATGGATTACAAATCAGCAGGGTATGGTCAAGGTGGTGGTAGATTTGTTGATGGTGGGCGAGGGGCGTTGATGTGGTCGTGTCTGTGCCGAATTTGGTTGTGTGCAGGTGCCTAGAATCTTACTGCGATAGGTCGGGTGTATTCTAGCCTACTCCACAACAGTAGTTTGACTCTAGTGACGTAGCTTTCTTCACTGACTGATCCCTCATTTGTCAAAAATTAGTTGTTTCTGTTAATTAATTAGGTCATGTAACGTGTCAACCCAATCCGGTCCTAGACCTCACAGAGAGTAACATATTGGAGTACAGCAGGAAAGCGAGCTGGGGAGTCATGTAGAGTGTGGTATGTATATTTTTCAGAGTATTTAGGTCACTAAGAAAGAAAATGGATAATTTACTATTGAAAATAAAACAATAGGACGTTCACCAAAATCATAGGTAAAAGAAATTGAGTTTCTATTCGGAGACTAAGCCCTCCAATCACACCGCAAATGGGATGAAACCCGTAAAACCTGGCATTATTCCCGTTTCTCTAATTAATTATTACAAAATGATTGGTGTTATCCCGCTTCTCTCATAGATTACAATTTACTTAATTCCCGTCTCTCATTGAATACAACATAATTTACGGTTCTCTCATCCATTGGACTTGTAGGATAATTTTTATACTACTATTGAATAGTTTCTGCGTTCGTGAACAATCGCATCCTTGATTCTCTTCTTATCCTGGAGCTTCGCAGACAAGCAGTTCATCATATAAAACCGACTATTAGTAAGGTTAATGTATATGAAACATATGTAAAAGTCAAAAAGAATTGAAATTAATTAGTACTTGTTGGAAATCAGATAATATGCTATTATTGGTAACAAGGCTTAAACATCATGGGCAGGGGAATAGTAATCTATAAATTATCTAAGTCCTTGCATATATTATTTAAAGCACTCCACATTACTATCTCATTACGAGCTCGATTTAGATTTTTCCCTTTCAGTTCATTAATTTTGTTAACTCCATACGAAATTCTCAAAATATCGTCGAAGTTATATAAATAGCATTGGCCAGGTGACAGTCATTATTTTTACCAACTTCTCAACAACCAGAACGTAAGCATGGTACTTATGCCGTAGACCCAATGTGCCATTATAGGACTAATGCACTTATAAGCTGCTCATACTATGTCGGCTAAATGTCCCAGTGTAGCTCATACCTTCACGTGGGGCAAAACACGTGACCAACCCTCTCCCGCACCCATAACCGCTAACCGATAATTTGTCACCTCTCCCTACTCCATTCTCCACCCTCCAAGGAGTCCACCCACATCAGGCAAGGCAGTTGCGGGCTCTGTCGATCCCATCTCACTAGTAAATGCCCCCCATCTGCCCCCACGCTCCTCCATATTCCCTCCATGTCTGAACACGAAACGGTGGCGGCTCCACTCACCCCATCCTTCACGTCCTCTTCGGCGTTTGGGGTGGTCCAGCGCAGGACTTCCAACTTCTTCCCCATCAACGGAGCTACCTTGGTCTCCCTGGCCTCTGATCTCGACTTTAAGCTCCCGTCCCACCACTTTGATCCCGCTGGATCCACCCCTGATTCGTACCCAGTATCGAAGCGTCACAACAGCTCTCCGTTGATAGGAGCATACTCTGGAAAGACAGGCACCAATGCGTCGTCACGGTTCTTCAACTCCAACGAGAGTACTCCCTTTTTTACTACCCCTACTCCATCGTTCAATACCCCTTCGTACCACCATCCTCCTGGTCAGGACTTGTTCAGCGACCCAGTGGCCCCTACCATCGACTTGGCCCACAACTTGCGGTCGCTCGGGCTCGCAGACTCGCCCCCTCCTGCCAAACCAGCGTCGTCACAGTCGCACTTGACCATTCCCTCTCCTCCAGTGTCCTCCACCCCCATGATCAATTTGGCGTCCTCCACCACCACCAGCGGTAGTGCTACTCCGTTGTTGGCAGCATCGTCCATCTGGAATGACAACAGCATCCCGTCGCTAGGCTCGTTGTACGGCAAAAATATCAAGTTGGGCACGCTAGCCGAACAAATCGAACACGACGTATCCTCCTACAGTTTCGGACAACCCCCAGGCCCCACGTTCACAGGCTTGTCAACGGACGTCTCGTTTGATGACGACTTCGCTGCCCCAAATTTCCCAAGCCTCTCCAAAGATTTGTCGTTTGAAGACGAATTCACTCCTGCTGGTCAGTTCGAAGATTTGATGTCCCCGTTGCTACTGAACGAAGATACCCTGTCCAAAAACAAGCGAAACATCTTTCTGAGCGCAGTCAACAACCCTTCGTTTGTTCCTTCTGCAAAGTTGAAGCCGGCTCCGCCCATGAAAGAACGAACTGGACCCGATCTGGGGTTGGAACGTACAAGAGAATTTATCAACACCCACAAGAGACGAGGAGATGTCACACCCAGTCCCAACGCTAAATTGGCACACAAGATCCAGGTTTCCACCCACAGTAAATTGAAACAGATCGAGAAACCAAAATTGTGGATGAGTGAACAGAGATCGCTCCTACAGAAAACTTACCACGAAGAGAAACCATTAGACAGTACAAAGATCAAAGTTAGATTACCCAGGGCCCACAGCGTCCCTGATCCAAGAACAGAGTTATCGGTGACGGGAGCCACAAAGAAAACAGTCCATACCCGCAGTGATGATTTCACCAGGGATGTCCTTTCGTCACGGACATTCAGCAGCAAGTATGCGGAAGACTATTGCTCGACGTTCTACAAAAGAAACTCCCACGGCTACATGTTTATTCGAGAGCCCACCAATTCATTGAAAGTGAATAGCAGTGGAGGAAAGTCGTGGGTCGAGTTGAAAATCAAGCTTCCCAGCGACGGGCTTCCTCACCAAACGGATCAGCACCAACAGGCAGCATTGCTCTTGAGAAAGCTTAGAGTAGACATCAAAAAGCTTCCTATATGGAAGCCCATCAACCTCAATGGTTCGGGACCCGTCAAGAGTTCGAGCACGCCAAAAAAATACAATGGAAACTTCCAGCTGGGATATCACTACAGAAAACATGGCACAGGTCTGTCGAAAGAGACCAAGAAACACAAGAACCTAAATGTGTCAAAGAGGTTTGGTAAAAAGGAAAAGGCTTTATAGGAGAATGGCCCAGTGCCATAGATAGTGAATATAATACCCATTTACGAGCAGGATCATTCAGTAATGAAGTCGGATGTAGAGAAAAAAGTTGATTTTTATAGAAAAACTACCTAAGCTCCGCAAACCCTCTCGACTTTCTCAAGATCGCATTGGGAGAGGTTTCAGTTGACCAATTAGTCACCCAATACTACTTGCTGGATTGAGTAGGATAGTTGTTGCGGAATTATCAAATAATAGTGGATGCAAAAAGAAAGCGAAATTGATTCCATCGAGGATCGAACTCGAGACCTTCTCTGGGTGAGAGAGACGTCATACCGCTAGACCATAGAACCTATTTCTTATAGCTGAAATTATATAATTATAACTGCTTGATCCTCTTGGTTCCCATTTTTGGCTCTTATCTCGCTCATTTGGGGTGAAACAGTGCTAATACTCAATGTTTCTAGTTTTATACCCCTTGATAAGCTATCTCTGACAATATTTCGGTTGAATATCCAGTCATTAAAAGCCTATATCGTAATATGATTCCCATTGACAAAATAAAATATTTTTCACTCTTAGAGCAAGGATTTCCATACAGCTATCCCTCTTAACTAGGCAGCTCACATATCTAAGTTTTATCAGGTCTGTTAAAAAAATTCTAGAGAATAAATGGCTACCGTCGGTCCTAGAGAGCGCACGACAAGTTCCTTTCATGAGCAAGACAAAACCCGACTGGCTATTTACATTACGTATCGGTTTATTCTGAACAGTTCTGGAGTGGAATTTCTTGCTACTCATTTTAATAATCGGACATTTAGCTGTAATTTTGCAAAGATGCCCGCAGTTTCTACCAAAAAAGTAATGCATACAAACAATAGTTTTTTTCGCGGGTATGTCAGGAAATTTTTACCTGTTGTTTGGTACATAATTTTGGACAGTATAATCGCCTGGGGATACTCTTCCATACATTTCACTGCAAAAATATGGCCCCAGAAGGCAAAAAGAAAACCAGTGCCTTCAGCCAGATTCGAACTGACGATCTCCTCATTACTAGTGAGGTGCCTTACCAACTTGGCCATAAAGGCTTGATGTGCAAGGGCATTTTGGAGTAATTAATATCTCAGCCGTGTGTACACGAAATTGCCCCATTTTCGGAGCCAAAGACCAGGGGACGGGCCTCTATAGTATTCGCTACTTGTATTGCCCAGCGGGCGCGCATTGAACCCGAAACTGCTCTGCTCCAGCGGGCTTTACTTGACCACCGCTGCCACCATCGTCACGTGACTTCTCAGTCCAGAAATTGCCGAGTTCTCATTGGACAGTACTGCCCTCCCCCAGTGCCATGGGAATAGTCTCTACATTGGATCAACCACCCCTCCAGTCTCTAGCCCCGCCATTCTTCCGTCGCTTCCGTGTAGACCTTGTCGCAGCCCCCCTCGCCTGTTTCTGCCAATCGTATGATTTGTTTAGTCACTTCCCAAACAAATTTTCAGGTGAGTAGAAATTTTTTTCCTAGGCCAATCATTTACGTGGTGAAATATCGTACCAGAACTTCAAATTCAAAGTGAGGTTGATAAGACTTTAGTGATACTCATTCATAAACCAGCATAATGTTTACCAACACCATCCGTTCCGCCTTGAGAGTCAGAGTCGCCCCAGTTCCTAGAACTGTGATGGCCAGAACTAACTTGATTAGAATGGCTGCTCCACAACAAGTCAGAATGTATTCCGACCACCACGAAGAAACCTTCGAAGAATTCACCGCTAGGTAAGTACAACCACAATCAGGCAGTCGAGAAGACCTATCTCTTCCACGCTGGTGTCGCCCAGGCAGACATGGAGCCAGCAGTCGTCTGGGTGCCTGGATTCAAAGCCCGATGCAGGCCCCAATGGGACTAATGGCAGTGGCAACTCCACCAGGAGCCAGCAGCCAGAACACTAGCATGGAAATGAGGATCCAGACGCAACAGCCCAGCCACCAGAGACCAGAGACCAGAGACCAGCCACCACAGACCAGTACTAACATCTAGATACGAACAAGAGTTCGAAAACGCCTACGACTTATTCGAAGTCCAAAGAATCTTGAACAACTGTTTCTCTTACGATTTGGTTCCAGCCCCAGTTGTGGTTGAAAAGGCTTTGCAAGCTTGCAGAAGAGTCAACGACTACCCAACTGCCGTCAGAACCTTCGAGGCTTTGAAGCACAAGGTCGAAAACAACGAACAATACGAAGCCTACTTGGAAGAGTTGAAGGACATCAGACAAGAGTTGGGCATTGACTTGAAGGAAGACTTGTACGCCGACAAGGCCTAAGCATCCCAATTGCACGTCATATACTTGAGTAAATGAATATAATGGAAAACTGTAGACGAGACATTGTGTGGAAAGGTTTGTGAAGTCCTGGAGTCAGTACGGCAAGGTTTCTGGGGTTCTGGCGCCAATTCCAGCCTAATGGCCCCAGTATCTTAACCTGAATGCGATGGATGTAGGGCAACTCGGAATGTTAGAGCTAGATAGTTCTCGAGGGAACGGAAAACTAAACTGGACCTACTTTGCAACTCCTGGTATCACTACAGTCCTTTTCGGAGCAGTATTTACCTCATGGGAGTGGTTGGGAGATAGAACCAAATCCATTCAATGGTATGGATCACGTGATAATCACTAGGTTATACTGGCCTGATTTTAACCTGGTACCAGGTGTGTCGACCCGTGTGTAGAAACCTCGATCAAGGGCACTACAAATCTGTCTGTTCAATTACTTTGTGCGACCGGCGTAGCCAATATTAATTGCTAATATAGAAGAATATGGATGGCTAATTCACATTAAATGTTCCTAATGTTGGATCTGACGGGTTTCATTCATAGAAGATTACTTAAAACCAGATAGTTCATTGTTTTAAATGGAGAAAACTCTTTTTATGAGCTATAATACTCGTACTTCTAACATGATAATAGTCTGCTTCAGTCTCGAGGAATCGGGGTTTGAGAGCGAGGATGATTGTATCCTACACAAAACTTTGACTTTAGCACCATACAACTTTAACTGTCAGAACTTCGAGTATGAAACACCATAATGAGATCAAGAGATTATTCGATTTTTCAGATTTTCAAGGAGAAGGTATTTATGAATTTGAAGTACTTTGTAGTGGAAAGTTCAAGTATTATGCTCAATTGAGCCTTTTACCGTATACTGCATTGAAAGGTACTAAGTATGCAATTGGATTTCAAGAAATTAACGGCAGCGGACTCAAACGTGCATAGGTATCACCCAGTAATTAGTCCTCTTGCAATAAACTTACCACACATGATTCGACTACCAAGCGAGGAAATCAGGACTGTGGAATGTCGCAGAGCCTATGGTACTTCAGCAATTATTTTCAACTCAGTTGATATAGGCTGCAATTATAATTCACCATCAGGAGCATAAGAATTCAAAATCCACGCCCAAAATGGACCACAATGCACTTGACTAGGAGTTAATTATCTCTAATAGCCCCTTCAATCTACATCCAACAACTCTCCCATCCCAACCCATATTTTACACCCCCATCTCTATACCCCAGCAACCCCACGTGACACCTAGTTCACGCATAGCTGCTCAACCTTCACCAGTCACCACCACATCCATGGGAGTCTACATACCACCGCCCAACGACGACGACAACGACAAACAGCCGTCCGGCTCCGGCTCTGGCAGCTCTTCATCCGGAACCACCATCGTCATCCCCAATCCAGCTTCCTGGATCCCTCGCAACCCCAGTGTGGGCTTGATGTGGGGCCCTTTAACGCCAGCTTCCGACAACCTCCCTGCATTATACTTCATGATTGGTCTCCAGGTTGTGCTGGGGATGGTTTGCATGCGCAAGGCACGCCATATGTGGCGTCCAGTGCTCCACAGGCCCGGCTATCCCCAGCAATTGGCGCCTAAGCGCTCGCTCTGGAAGGCGTTGGTGCCAGGCATTGCTGGTACGGCAGCCATCTTTGGTGCTGGGTTGGAGATCACGCGGATGACATTGCCGTACGACCCGTGGTACGACGAGGCCAAGTACTACCGTAAGTTGGCCAGCAAAAACGGCGACAAGCCCAGCTTGTGGTTTGGCGCCTACAAGTACTACCGTCCGATGGACATGAACACCTGGACCGACAAGGTGGGTGCGTGGATCGAGAGCGTGGAGAAGGAGATGGTGGCGGACGCTGCAGCGTCCTCCAGCGAGCCACTGGCCAGGGCCTCTTCCGACCACAAGCATGGCAGCATGTTGGCCCAGTTGAATCGCAACGGCAAGTACACTGAGCTCTACGCACGGCTAGCGGGCGAAAACAAGAAGCGCCAACAGACGCTCCTCGAGGGCGAGTTGAAGGAGGTGAACGAGCTCAACAAGGCCGGCAGGATCGACCTCATTCTTGAGGGCAAGTCGCCATACGTGAATCCTTACTACAACAAGCCTCACATCCAATTGGGCCACCACACGATCGATTCAGATGATGACTTTGAGATGGTGTGGTTGAACTTCGAGCCGTGGGACGAGCTCAAGTTGGAGACGGATTATGACATCAGGTTGATTCCGCGGTGGCGGTGGGGCGAGGAGGAAGCGTAGCGAGCGGCGGAAACCAGGGAGGGGCACAGGGACACACAGGGACACACAGGGAGACAAAGAGAGAAACAGGGAGACCACAGATCGGTGGGGAGACCATAGATCCGCATAGACGGGCACAATAGCGGCACTTCTACCATCTGAGCTGAATCTCTACCAGCTCAGTACCTCCAGCGCCCGGTAGCTAGTGCGCAATTCCAGCCCGCTACGGCTCGCTAGGTCCGCGAGCGTGCCACTACAACTGCTCGCTGCGTCCCACCACTCATTCCTCGACGCTACCCGGCTCACTAGGTCCACCGCCACCACCACCCCTTCATGCCAGTTCACTCCCACCATTTCCATTCTCGGATACCGCCACAATCCAGCCTCAGTTCCTGGCCCCTCTGCCACCCGTTGCTCGGCACCCGCCATGCTCGCCTATATAGTCAAACAAAGCCTTACTAAGCCATAGTGCGGGAGCAACGATCCCAGTGCGGTGGCTCTGATAACAGAGCCGTACGTCAAGTAATTCAAAATATATAACCACTAGGGCCTGGAAGAAACATTCAGGGTACCACGGGACACCACCACCATCTGTACACAAGGGTAGCCAATCAGCTATTGTCGGTAACCAATCACGGTAATACCCATTCTCACGACACCCATCACAGTAACAAGTGAACGGTTCCCATCACGGTAATACCCATCACAGTGATACCCATCACAGTATCACCCATCACAGTGACGATCACTGACTACAGTACCCATCACAGTAATACCCATACTCATCAGGTAACACCGCTACCGCCACCCTTCTAATACCCCACCCTTACTGAATAGCCACTACCAATTCTATGTCGCTCATCGCCTCCAACAACCCCCAGTACGACGCCACCCTTGAGACTGCCGTCAACGACGTCTATGAGGCCGTGGTGGAAAACGACGAAGATTACGACAACGAGGAACACAACGAGGACGTGGTGTGGCTCCGCGAGCAGCGCTCCCTCAACAAGGGCACCCACTGGTCCAGACGTCCGTCCGTGTTCATGATCAGCGTCATCGCCTTTTTCCTCGCGTTGGCCAACACCGCGGGCGAGGGCAACCGCCAGATCATCACCCTCCAGTTGTGCTGCAACTACATCTCACGCTACTCGCTGGACGGTCACTGCAGTCCCGTCGACGTCCAGTCGTTGATGTCCAATTTGCAGATCGCCGTGTCGTTCGTGGTGTCGTGCATCACCTTGGTAGCGGCCGGAAAGGTGGGACCCATGTCAGACCAGTACGGGCGCAAGGTATTCTTGGCTCTCTTGTTGGTGATGTTTTTGGTGGGGCGTCTGTTGAAATTGTGGGTGATGTCGCACTTTGAGGTGTTGCAATTTGGCCTCATGATCGCCTGCGATCTCATAGGCAATATCGGAGGAGGCATCATGTGCATCTCGGCCTTGGGCAGCTGCTACGTCACCGACGTGGTGGAACCCCACGAACGAATTTATAGCCTTGGGCTTTTTCTCGCTGCGCTTCTCTGTGGCTTGAGTGCAGGGCCCTTGGTGGGTAATCTCATCAACTCGTGGGCCTCCAAGATCGATACTGTCCATGTGGGCAATGAGCTCGTCTCCCGCGCAGTGGACACTGCCAACTCCATCAACAAGCGCGACTTTCTCCCCATGAAATTCGAGCTTGTGCTCCTCTTCACCTTGTGCTTGTTCTGCGTGTTCGTGTTGCCAGAATCCAGGTCTGAACGCGCCAGAAAGAAGTCCAGATCGTTGTCCAGATCCGAGTTGCGCCTGTTGGCCGTCCCCAGTGACACCACCAGCTCGGTGTTGGGGTTCTTGCGTGCCATTAATTTCCTCCATCCGTTGAGATTGCTCTACGTGCCTGCGGAGTACATTCCTTCCAGCGATCCCAAACGCATCAGAAACACCAGAATCGCTGCCCTTCTCTTGGTGGTCATGGACAGCGCCATGGGAGCGTTGGTGTTCAGTTTCCTTGAAATCTTCATTTTGTACGGAATTTACCGCTTCAACTGGGACCAGCGCGACGTGGGCCACTTGATCACCTTGCTCTGCGGCACTAGGGCGTTCACGTTGGTCATCTTGTCGCCGCTCATCAACCACAACGTGTTCCAGAAGCGCATGAAGCTCCGGGTGTTGAAGAACCAGTTCGACATGGTAGACTTTGCCATGGCGTTCACCGGCTTCATAACCGACGCCTTTGGCTACTTGATGATCGCTTTTGCACCCACCAAGACCTCCATGTTCATTGCCGTGTGCTTGTCGTGTTTAGGTTCCATGATTTCCCCTACACTCTCCTCCGCCATTCCCAAGTTCTACCCTGACTCCAAGATCGGCGAGGTCTATGGTGCTGTTGCCTTGTTGAAGAACTTGCTCAGTTTAGTGACACCCTTGGCGTTGCTTTCACTCTATAAGTGGTCATTGAAGAAGGGGTTCCCCAACTTGGTCTTTTTCGTCATCACTGCCTTCTTGACGTTCGGAGCCTTCTGCATGTGGGCAGCCAAGCAAGTGTTGGGATTGAACCGTGATACCGTGGCATTGACCCGTGCCAGCTCTGTGGCATCGTTTTCGTCGTTTCCTAGTGTGCTGGCCAACACTGAGGATCTCCCTAATTATCAGGACCTTCAACGCAAGAATAGCTTTGCCGCTAGAGAAAGACCCCAGGACGTTTAGGGGAGATAGTGACGCTTATTTATCCTTCTCGTAATGTATAGACTGCGAAAATATGACTCTTTGTATCTGGAAAGGGGCTTTGCACAGGCCCCGTGGAAACGAAAGGGGTAAAGATTGGGGTTTATCTGTGACACAGGCACCGGTGAGTGCTGGTGGAGGAGCAGCTACTAGGAGAGTAGCTGCTAGAGGGAATGCCACGAAATAGTGCTATGGAATAAGCGAAAGTGATCACGCGATAAATACAGGCTCCGATATTCAGAGATTCTGGTAGCATGTACTATCTTGCCGCTCCAGTCTTCAGTGCTAATTCACTATCTAAAGACACGTCAGGATGAAAATCTCAAATAGATTGAATTTGCCTAAAAGTGGCCAAGGGTCTCAAAGTTCAACCTGGGACTAGCATCACCCCAGAGAATGGCAGTACGGACGCTCCTACTACCCCATAGCAACCCAGCACGTCTAGCACTATAATTTATAAATGCTATATGGGGTAATAAGGCTTTGTTCCAGCATATGGGGTTTTTGCGGCAAGAACCATCCCTTCAAGCATGAAAAATATACTAACTGTAGAGAAGATAAAAACTTGGCAGTTTATAAATTTGATTTAAATGTTAAATATCACTTTCGATAAACGTTCAACAGTTAATATAAATCATCAGAGGGGAATTCCACCTCTTCTACATATGCTCGCCTTGTTCACATAGTGTACTATGTACTGGAAGTGAACTAAGGTCATAAAAATTATATTAATCCATGTAAATAATTAGAAGTAATTTCTAGTCCTTCTCCAGTCGTCCTCCTAATCCTCTACCCATCCCTCTCCAGTCATCCTCACCCATCCTTCTGGCTCACCCATTTCTATCAGTGCGACACGAAATGCGAAATTAACAGACATTCACTCACGCTCCTCACAGCCAACCAGTCCACCACGCCAGCCACCAGCGTCTACTCAGACGAATGCCAGTGTACGACTTGTACGATTCACCAGCCGCTCGCAGTCTCCACGTTCTTGTGGCGCTTTCCCTCATTTTCTTCACTATCATCTATCTCATCAAGATCATCATTCTTGACGTCTACACCGTGGAGAACCAGCACAAACTAGCCCAAGAATCACACGCTGCCTTGAAGGCACAAGCACGCGCAAGAGACCACCAGCGCAACGAGCTTCTTGACCCCGAATCCGATCTCAGTGACTCCGAATCGGTGCTTCCGTTGCCGTTCTACCAGAAACCCAACAACTCGTCCCAGTACTTGAGAAGAGACAGCTTTTCCACATGAACTTCCAGATCTACTTTGCCAGCGACTTGATCCGTCAGCTTGCACGTCCCCAGCAGGGGTATTACGTGGTGGGCTACAAGATCGCCAAGGTGTACGTTGCCGTGCAACTAACAACTGAGCCAATTGCACCACCACCCCATCTCAGTAGCCTCACCATCATCGGCTCGTTGGGACTTCCACAAGTGGGGGACTTGCAGTTCGGTTATGACCCCACACTCAAGGTGCCGTACATCGATGTCCACGACGATTGCACCTACTCGATTATCTTATTCGAGCCACCTAATTTCAACAATTTGGAGTACCTTTCAGTGAGGCCCATTTTGCTTCAATCGATGGGTAAAGAATCGACCCCAAACGAGCAGGATAAGTACACCGCAAAGCTCGAGATATTCGAGCCTTCCACTGAACATGTGGAACACAATTCTGTTGCCAGTTCCGAGATCATGGACAAGATCAACCTGGTCTTGAAAACCAGAATCGACCTTCAGGCATCCCAAAAGAAGCACCAGGCCCCAAAATCTGGGTCCATACATCCCTTGGTCAGGATCATTGTTCAGTTGGTCACTTTCCTCCAACGAATAATCATCTGGCTGATCTGGACCCTCAACTACAAGGTGTACGGATATAGCTTGGTTTCTGTCTCCAACGTGGTGCGTCAATTGGACTTGAGATTGAAACAGATCAATTATTTCCCCATCCAATTCTTGTGTTACTACGATAAAAGCATTCTCTACAATGAAGACAGCCCACTTTTGAAGAATTTGAAGCTTCCGATATTTAACTCTGACTTGAACATCAACAACTCGAATTATATTAATCTTCACAACTCAGCATGGCTCATGTTCAACGACATCTTGATGGGTGTTTTGGTCCATGATTTGATAATCCAAAATTTCGATACTGTCACTACATTTCTCCATAAAACGTTCATTCAAAGAATCCTCTACAGCGAGATTTCCACCTTGATTCATTGGATTGCAACCCATCATCCTGCTGGTTTTAAATTGAACGATGAATTGGGCCATTTCATGGGCGATTTGTTTATGTGGTCACTTAATTGTTGGAAGTACGTTATCAATGATATCATTGAAAGTGAGATTTCCCAGGAGTCGAAGCTTCAACTCGTCCATTATTTCCAGGTGTTTTTCAAGGTATTATGCTACGGTGGAGGGTTGTCGTTCTTCCTAGGATTCATGATTGACATCATTGACAAACTAACGTTCCATGTTTCCTGCTTCCATTTTACGTCGACGAAGGTTTACAACAGGCAAATAGAAACACTCAAGTCGTTATTCCAATTGTTTAGAGGGAAGAAGTACAATATTCTCAGGAATAGAATCGATAATCTCAATAATTACGTGATTGGATCCAGTAATTCGTTTGAGATTGATCAGTTGCTCTTGGGCACATTATTGTTCATGGTTCTCATCTTGTTGCTCCCCACCGTCTTTGCATTCTATTTCATGTTTTTTGTTTTGAGGTTACTTATCTTAATATCATTGAACTTTTTGGAAAACCTACAAATTATGATCAGTTTCAGTCCCTTATTCGTATGTGTGTTGAAGTTGAAGAACTCCAAAAGACTACAGGGCGGAATCAAGTTCCAGTACTTGATGTACGAGCATTCGATCACATATACCAAATTATCTAACAAAGCATTGACCTACAACGAGATTTTCACCAACTTCATCAAGCTATTCACCGCATCCAAGAACTTTAGATCGAAGTTGTTGCAATCGTTGTCCAGAGGTGAGTTATTGTCCACGCACTATAACCACGAGTTGAAGTTCAATTACTTGATGTTACCAGAGCGGTATGAAAAGACTATAGACATCTGGAGCGAGGTGTCCAAAGGTTCCGGACAGTAGAGGCTGATCTGTCACCTTTTGTGTCTTACAAGTAGCATAAAACCGATTCTACGTGTTTCCGAACACGACTATATACCTAATAAAATGAATCTAGATACCAACCGCACAGCAGTGGTATTTTAGTATGCAGAGACTTCATGAATATGTACCCAGAATTTCATTAGCTCTTCTACTATCAGAGTCTGCACTGGCCCTCATTTCTTCGGGTTACGGGGTGGCTATATGCCCCAGTTGAGTAGCTAAGGAGAGCCTTCTGGCCACGAGAAGACATCCCGTGCACAGCATAATGATCAATGCATACACCCCAAACGACAAGTTAGCTACTTGGTTTCTAAGGCTGTACTTGTACAACCATTGAAATACTAGTGGTGAAATGATTCCCAATGCATTTTTCAAGATAGACTGTGCACTGAAGAACTCACCTACCTTTGATTCTGGATAAAATTTGAGCATGGCAGAAGTGATGGCAGGCCCACCGATCAAGCTGATGGTCAATAAATTTCCAGCGAAGAACATTTCCGAAGTGCTGGTGCTGGTGTAGAGCATGGAGAGACTGACGATTTCGTTGACCAAGGCCACCAAAAGCATGGCAAAGTCGATGGTGTCAAACTGCGACTCCAACGCTGAATAACCAAGTAGTTTGGCGAACAACACCTTGTTGAGCAACGGCGAAATGGCCATTAGCACCACGGCACTGGCCAACGAGTTTATTGACAGGAAGTACCCCAACTGCTTGGCGGACCAATTGAACCTGAAAATGCCGTACTGGGTGATGATGGTGCGGACGATATCGTCCACAAGTGCCATCAAAATCTCGATGGTGACAAGGAGCACCACCACATACCTGGACCTGCGGATGGAGAGTCTTTGGTGGGGACGAGCCACCGAACGGGGCAACGCCAATAGCTTAAGAGGCTTGAAGAAATTGATAGCGTCCACCAACGTACGAGGAGTACTTGCTTGGTCTGCTCTTGCCCGCAAAAGGGCCTGTTTCGAGCGAGACTCTCGAAGAAACATGAAAGTAAATACCATTACCACCGCCTGGATGCACAATTCCACCTTGATGGGGACTAGTTCGTTGGCAAGAATGTCCCCATTGATAGAGGTGATATCGCTGGAGCGATTTAGCACAAACTCTCCCAACATGGGCCCAAGAGTACTGCCTGCAAATATGGCAGCAGACACCAAGCCCAACGAGTAGATCCTGTTCTCGGGAGCCACGATATCCGATGCATAAGCGTTCAGGAGCGAGAGGAGCGAGTAGTTGCCTCCGCTCAAGCTCGAAATGAACGAAGTCAGTACAATCAACCAGAACTTCAAGGTAGAGTAGGTTCTATAGACCCAGAGCAATGCCGCCAGCGCAAGGAAGTTGGCCAAAATATAGTAGCAGAAGAACGGGCTCCGGCCGTAGGAGTCCGAGAGCGGACCCACGTTAGCCAGGACCACCATCAGCACGATGCTGGTGGTGGTGGAGCACACGAGATTGAGGTTGGACAAGATCACCTGTTTTAGCACAGGATCACAGTAGAGCTGACCCGACGCTCGGCACGCCAACTTGGCGTTGAGCGAGTCCTTGGTGGGCTGGCCACACGAGGCAGCCAATGCTATGAGGAAGAGAATGAACCCCATGGTGCCAAAGGATGGCCGTTTGTGCCATGGTAGTGTGGAGAGCTGGCGTCGGTGCTCGTGGATCCAGTGGGACTCCTGATCGGGCTCGTCGATGTGGAACTGCTCCGAGCGCTTGCGTGGAAGGAGGAGGGCCTCTTCATTCATGTGAACCTGGATCAGTCTGGTGAGATTAGTGAGATTATGCGCATTGCGCAACGAACATGAATGGGCTCGCCTTACGTAAGTGACAGGTTGAAGCAAGGGCCAGTAAATTGGCGGTGAAGCGGGGCAGGGAGGGCTTCAGGGGGGGCAGGCGCCTGGATAGGCCTTGTAGAGGTGACAACCAGCGCTTGCATGACAGTGCGGTGCCACCTGGCGACGTGGACCACGCAGTCGCTCCGTCGCTTGGGGAACCAAAGCTTATCTGATCGATCAGATACGTGCACGCCATGCGAGAGAAGGGGGCGGGGGCAGAGGATGGTCACGTGCATGTCACGCTCAAAAGCGCGCTTTAAGGGCCCCAGCCCTGGCCGCGCGGGCCGCGCACTACCGCGCTTTTTGTGCCACCACCCTCCTCCCACCACTATTGCACTCCGGATGCCAGCATCGGCACACCGCGCGCGCTACCACACCTCCCCCAGGAATCGCTCACTATACGCTCTCACCATCAAAAAATTTTCACCTCTACACTCCCCGGTGAATTTTTTCGCAAAAATCTTTCAGGCCTTTAGTTTCTTTCATATCAGTTTGAAGTAAAACATTAAAGGAGAACCAACCATCAAGATGTCTTTACCTGCTTCATTTGACTTAACTCCAGAAGATGCTAAGTTGTTATTAGCTGCCAACGTCCACTTGGGTTCCAAGAACGTTCAAGTATGTGCCACGATTTCGAAAGCATTTGGATCACTACTAACATAACAGGTTCACAACAAGCCATACGTCTACAAGACCAGACCAGATGGTGTCAACGTCATCAACATTGGTAAGACTTGGGAAAAGATTGTTTTGGCTGCCAGAATCATCGCTGCCGTTCCAAACGCCAGCGACGTTGCTGTCTGTTCCTCCAGAACCTTCGGTCAAAGAGCTGTCCTCAAATTCGCCTCCCACACCGGTGCTACCCCAATTGCTGGTAGATTCACCCCAGGTAACTTCACCAACTACATCACCCGTTCTTTCAAGGAACCAAGATTGGTTGTTGTCACTGACCCAAGAACCGATGCTCAAGCCATCAAGGAATCTTCTTACGTCAACATTCCTATCATCGCTTTGACCGACATGGACTCCCCATCTGAATACGTTGATGTCGCCATTCCATGTAATAACAAGGGTAAGCACTCCATCGGTTTGATCTGGTGGTTGATTGCCAGAGAAGTCTTGAGATTGAGAGGTATCATCCCAGACAGAACCACCGAATGGTCTGTCATGCCAGATTTATACTTCTACAGAGACCCAGAAGAGATTGAACAAAACGCCACCGAAGAAGGTAAGGCCGTTGAAGAAACCGAAGCTCCAGTTGCTGAAGCTGAAGCCGAATGGACCGGTGAAACCGAAGAAGTTGACTGGGCTGCTGATGCTGCTCCAGCTGTTGAAGACGCTGTTGCTTCTACCTGGTAATTGTAATATTTAATATGTAAAAAATATCATCAATTCGAACATCACATCTGACCCCATCTTTTGGCACCTTCTATGTTAATATAAATATATCTATCTGAGCGTAGTGAGCTGGGGCACTGGCCTCCAAGAATGGACCGTTGGGTGTAATTTGACTACCAGGTACTATCTAACGAATTTTTCATTGGACTATATTACGTTGACCAGGCCACGGTTGTAGCCGTATGAGGGGAATTTCGAGCCACAGGATCACTAAGCCCAGTGGAAGGGTCCGTCACCTGGCTTGTGCTCCTACGCTTCTCTCCAGCTCGTATCTGGACCGTAGACTTGGTTCCCTACCAGTGGCATCGGCTGCCTGGAGTAGGGTTACCCGGCGTTGAGCATGATTTAAATACCAAAAAAAATCTTTCTTAGTTCATCAATTTGTTTACCACGGATAGTGGCCCTAAATCAAAACCCCTAGCTGTCTGTGCCGTCGAGCAATCGGTCCGCTTACGGTGCCCTCGTTCTGAGGGTTATCGCTGTGGATAGGTGCAGCCAGCGTCCCCCTGAGAATCATGGCCCACGCCGTTCTACTGATTCTGACACCATTTGTTTTAGGTGGTTTTGTTCGCGGGCTCTTCCCAGATAAAACGCCCGGTTTATCGTGTACTTGCTTGTCATTGGCGTTTGCACTTCATGCCCGGGGAATATGTGTAGAATTGGCACATGACGATGTTGTCACGTGTGGGTAGAGGCTATAATCCTTGGTGATTCTCGATCTAAGGAGGCTTCCTGGTTTGAGAAATCAAGTAGCCATCGTTATGGTATGAGTTCCAAGGTCCATGTTGTCAACAGCAGCGATATGGCATGTATTAATTACTTACCCATAAGCGAGTGGAATGCCCTCTGGACTCACGACTGCTGTCTCAAGTCTTGAATATCCTAGAGTATGGAATTTGTCTTCATATCCTCAGGGCGACTACGTAAAATATCTCAAAGAGTAGAATTCGGTGTCGCCTTCCACAGTAGGGGATTTCAAAGTAGGACGTCGTCATGCTGGGTATGGTAGAAATAATGACATTTAGTTATGGGACCGTATGGGGAAATGGATGTCGCAAGAGAATGTAGATGTATATTAATACATTAATATGGAGAATATTCCACCACAACCCGTGATTCTGCCCAGATCGAAGTCCTCCGCATGCTTACTTTGGCACCACGGCTGTTCCAATCCAAAAAGCCATTATATCCAAATCAAAGAATACAGATTATGGATAAATCGATGCACGATATTATTGCACCCAGTCAAAATTAATTATTGTTCTATTATTCTACAGCCCACACCGGCAATCCACTTCAATGCTTCCCGCTCAATTCGCACAAGCACCGACTTGAGCCACTATTGTTACTCTCCCAACAGACTGCAATTCCCTCTCTACCTATTGTCTACGCGTCATTAGTAGTGTGCGCACGTTGACATCACGGGACGGCAATCACGCCAATAAACACCCCAGACTCGATACATCCACCACGTCCACCCCACCACCACCACGTCCATCCCTCCTGCCACATCACACCATGACGCTTGGCCAGAAGGTCCAGGAGTTCTTCTACTCCCTCAGCACCAGCGACAAGTACGCAGAGTTCGACCCCAGAAACTCGTTCAACCGTGTCAACAAGCCTGACGAGGCCAAGTTGCTCTTCTCCCACCACAACCACTCGGCTACTGAGTTCATCAGTGGACACGATGCCGACGCTGCTGCCGAAACTGCCACTGACGCTGGCGTCCACGAGGTCAAGTTGGCATGGCGGCACATCAACAACTGGATGGTGCGCTACGCGCCAGACCTCCATAGCTCGCTCCAGGACAAATGCACCAACTCCGACTTGAACGACTTCCAGAAGGACTTGAACATCAAATTGCCGCCGTGCGTGGTCGAGTTCTACAAGCTCACCGATGGCCAGTCCAACTTCGGTACCACGTCCACCACCTCGGGCGAAGGCTTGGTGTTTGGGCTCAAGTTGATGTCCTTGGACGAAATCGTGATCATGACAGAAAACTGGCGCAAGGTGGCACGTATGTTCAACGACGAGTTGTCCACCATCAAGCAATCGCACAAAATCAGCGAGTTGGCCAAGTTGCCCACCAGCTACGCCCAAAACCTGGCGGTGAAGAAGAAGTTCACTAACCCCGATGCTGGTAGTCAAACCGTTAGTGATGTGGACTCCGTCAACACCTCGTTCGACCTTGGTGACTCCAAGTCCAAGTCGTCTCGCTCGTCGTCCTCGGCCTCCAGTGCGTCTACGACGTCCCCACACCTCAACCTTCCCGTCCAGAAATCAATCCCGCCTGGTGCCATCCACAACTCGTTTGCCCATCCCATGTGGATCCCCATCATCACCGACGAGGTCGGCAATTACATCGGCATCGATCTCTCTCCTCCTCCAAACGGGTCAGGCACCTATGGCCAGGTGATCTTGTTTGGCAGGGAATTCGATACCAAGTTCAAGATTGCTGATAACTTTGGCGATTTTCTCTTGATCTTTGCCAACGACTTGGAGATTGGAAACTGGGATATCAAAACCAGACAAAAGAACAACTACGGAGATATCATCCTCGGTAACGAGGGATCTTTGGTTTACATGGACAAAGAAACGAAGTTGGAAGTGGGCTACCTCGATATCTTGAAAAGAAGAAGCATCAACAACTGGCTAGTTTCTTTGCAAAAAGCAGATGCCGAGCTTGATGAAGAAACAAAACAACTTATCATTGAGTTGAAGCGTAAGGAATCATTCATCCAGGACTTCAAAAATGGAAACTCCATCGACGAGCTTATCAACAAAAACATCTCAAGTATCGACACCTTGAACCAACCGTTGAATAGCGCAAAGAACTCGTCGGAGAGTTTACCCAGAACCTCAATTGCTTCGCAATCCAGTATTGGCTCCAGCTCACATATTCCCAACATAAAAAGTCCCTTGTCCCAAGACGTAACTGACGAGGTATTGAAAGAGATCGATTTGAACCGCCAGCGGGATACTACAAACAAATTAACGGAGATTGGGTTTTAATGACCATGGCGATATGAATAATGAGAAACTGTATTTTATTGGGTTATTTACCAGATTATTCTTTGTACACTAGTAGGTTCACTGATCCAGGTGAACTCATACTTGAAGAATACTGCCATAATCACCAAATTGATTCCATTCAACCAAAGAAATTCTAGCTTGGGCCTTTGAGTTCCTGATGGTTTGATGAACAACCGGTACACAATCAATGGCACGATGTAGTACCTTGGTTCGAAGAGGGGTGAAGGGATGATTGTGAGGCAGATCGCCCCCAAGTATGTTATGATTGTGATTGGACTTAAGCTAAGTCTTTTAGATTGATTTAGAGATGTGATAATGTTCCATGTACAGAAATGATACAATGGAATAGAAATAAATTGACTGTAACGGTGACTGATCAATTTCTTGAAGATGTAGAATGTGTAATGTCTGTTGTCTGCCAAAAGGAATGGATGTACCACAGTGTAATTATCAATGATGTGCTTGATCAAAGCCATCAGGAGTCCGTTCAACAACAAGTTGAACCCATAATTTTGAAAATTGAAGCTAATGTAGCGAGTTATTACCCGTTTGGAGAGCCACACCGGCCAGGTGAAGAAAGTGATGAAGGTGAAGCAGTATAATACTTGGACTATGTGTGCGTTTATCTCGTGGTTTTCCTTGTCGCCAAAAGTGATCCCACCATTAACCACTAAGAAGACACCAAATAACCCGAAGTTTATGGCAAAAGGGACCAATTGAGTCCATTCCTCAACCATTTTTTGGATGAATTTGACGATGCGAGCACCAAATGATAATTGTTCGTTGTGCTGGGTCTCGATTTTCCGGTCGATTAATACCGACATCACGAAGGCCAACCAAACAATGTTGGTCTGTCTGAACCACAAACTGACGAAGCCATACACACCACAGCGGACAGCGCTAGAAGGTCTGCTCACTGCCCACGACAACGACATCACAATGAAGATGGTGGACCAGATATCGGTGTAGAACAAAAAGTAGTAGGGAAACATTAGGGATTGCGATACCACGTTATAGGTCCAGAACTGGCCCTTGTCGATGTTGCGGAACTTTCTCAATGCTCTTGGAAGCACGAATAGTCCACCCACCAAGTTAAGGGACCGGAGCACGCCATAGCTGTCACAGGCGTTGGCCATGCCCAATAGCTGCAATGCGCGAGCGTAGAGCGTCCCGAGAACATAAAGGCCGGGTGGGGTGGTGATCTTGTTGTCCCAGTTGAAGTAGTCGCCCTTGCAGTACACCTGGCATTGGCGAAGGTGGAAGATCTCGTCTATGAACGGCTGATCAACGACCAGTGAGACCCTGCGATGCACGATTGCGCAGAAGATAAGGAAGAATATGCCGGCAACGTCCTCCAGCGTGATTCTGGCGGGTAAAAACCCCGTGGTGACAAGTGGCATTAGAAAGAAAAGTATTGAATACTTCTAAATCAAACGCCTTGGACTACTTAGGGTCGCTGGCAGTTTCTCAATCGCTAGATGTTGGGTCGTGCGGCGCCGTCTCAGACGATTACCTAATCGCTATAACCGCACCACTGTCTTTGGGGACTCCTACACAGTACACCAGACTGTTTCTGGTTTCCAGTCTGTTGGCCACTTCTGTGCTACTCCTCTGAAGGTCTACTTTTCTGTCAGTCAATTGCTGCAATTCTTTGCAATTCCTGTACTTTTGCAATTTTGCAATTCTTGCAAAGATTTCTTCTTTTGCAACCATGTCAAGAACTAGTATGGAGGCGGGAAATAGGTTTATCCCCACGTCTTCTTCTTCACTGATCTATAAAAATCCCACTACCAGTGGTGACCAGCTCCAGCCTCCACGCACCCCTGTTGTGGCCAGCATTACCCTAAGAGAAGATATCTTGTATCTCAGAGTGGGTAGCGGTAACAGAGAAATATCGCCATCTGACAACATCCCCGCCACCACCACGCCAGAGCCAGCCCAGCATCGCCAGGAAAAGCTCAGAGAGGCCTTGGGTATGGCTGCAAGCCCCAAGGTGCTCCAGTACCGTCCCAGTACCAGTACTGACACCCACAAACCAGGATCACTAGATCTTGCCGGTCCGTTGGTATCGCTGACGTCTCCACAGCGCATTGTCGAGGTGTTGAGCAACGACAGGCGCTGTTCGCCACCCCCGGCCAAGAAATCAGTGGGCTTCCTTATGGCCACCAACATCTTGCAGGCTCCAGGCTTGCGCAACGACTACTACTCCAACTTGGTGTCGTGGTCAAAACGCACCTACAGGGTAGCTGTTGGTCTAGGTGCCAAGGTGTACTGGTGGGGCCCTGACAACTCGGTTCGCCAAGTCCCGTTGGCCACTCGACAAATGGTGACGGCTGTGTCGGTGCATGCCCAGGGGTATCTCTTGGTCGCGGTTGTTGGAGGAACGATATTTTTGGTAGACGAGGCATGCAACTCGGTCATAGACACCTACGAACATGGTCTGGGCACGGTTTATTGTTTCCAGTGGAAAAGCACGGCAAACACGTTTTTTGCCGGAGACGAAGAGGGCAATGTCACCGTGTTCAAAGTGGGCAACAGCAAGATCGTGCGGATCTCGACCTTGCGATGTAACCAACAGCAGGTCTGCGGTGAGTACCAAAGACTGAGAGACCATTGTACTGCTGGCTAGCCACACTAAGGGATTCTCAACACTTCCTGGCACTACTAACCCGTAGGCATCGTCTTGAACCAAGATGAGACCGAGATGGCCGTGGGCAGTAACAACAACTGCTGCATGGTGTGGGACATTCACGATCTCATGGCACCAACCATGAAGTACATCTTGCCCCACACCGCAGCAGTCAAGGCGCTCGCGTACTGTCCGTGGTCCACCTCGTTGTTGGCTACTGGAGCTGGTAGCCGAGACAGGAAAATCCGCTTTTGGCACACCCGATCGGGAACTTTGTTGAATGAGGTACAGACCGATGCCCAGATTACCGGACTTGTGTGGAGCAAGTTTAGAAAGGAAATAGTTGCAACCTCGGGGTTTGCCAACAGCAGTAGTCCGGTTCTCGTGAGTGTCTACTCCTATCCGGGTATGATCCCGCTAAGAGAAGTGCCAGCTGTGCCCAATTTGCGGATTTTGAGCTCGTCCACCAGTCCAGACGCCACCTCCGTCTGCGTTGCAGCTAACGACTACACCATTCGTGTCTACAAAGTGTGGGAAGTGACCCACGAGCTCAGCTCAGAATCATACTTTACTGCCTCGGGAAACTACGGAAGTGCCTTGATCGAGCTCCGCGAGGGCGTGTCCCAAAGAGGTGCCACCATCAGGTAATCCCTCATTAGTTTCTAAGTTTGGAAAGTGGTGTACTGGCTTAGTCCGCACTGCCAAAAAACGTGATGTGCTTCATATAGGATCGGTTGATCCTTTGATAATTGCCAACTACTCCTTTTTATCGAAAACTAACAAGATGTCTGGTCCATTGATCAATCGTTCCTTAACCACGATAAGAACCGAGTTGGAGTTCTTGCATGACTCAGAGGTTATCACCCAGGGCTTGTACAACAAGCTTTTGGAGTCGCTTCCTCCCAAATACCAAAAGGACATGGCGCCTTGGGGAGTAGAAAAGTTGGACGGCTCGTTTGCTGCTCCCTCTGCCGCTCCACCATCTGGTCCTCCCCCTTCTAGCACCGACAAGCTAGCCGAGGACTTTGCTAAGTCTAGCATCACCAATAACGTTCCAGCCCCAAGTCAACCACCACGTTCATTCAGTGCCAAACCACTCGGCTACTGCAAGGCATTGTATGACTACTCCGGTGCAGAAGCTGACGATATTCCTTTGACCAAGGGAGACAGAATCGCCGTTGTGGAACACTTATCTGAAGACTGGTGGAAGGGCTACAAGAAGGGAGGCAGTCCCGAAAAACCAGGAGTATTCCCATCCAATTACGTCAGTGTGATATCGGAGCAAGAATTCAATGTGGGAACCACCAGTCGTGCCCCAGTAGTTCCTCCCCAAGAAGAGAAGTCGAGCTACGCTCCTCCACAACTGTACTCACCTAGCCCAAGCTATCATCAACCACCTCCACAATACGGGCAACCTCAACAACAAATCCAGCCACAACCTTCCTACGGTGGCTACGCACAATTCCCACCTCCATCTACAGGCTACTACTCTCCACAACCTCAGCAGCAGACCTACGCCCAACCCCAGGCCGCGGTTGTAGAACAGCAACAGCCTGAACAACCATCCCATTTAAAGAAATTCGGTAGCAAGTTGGGTAATGCAGCCATCTTCGGTGCCGGTGCTACAATTGGTGGTGACATTGTCAACTCCATTTTCTAAAGAGATCACTGGGTGATCAATATATAGGATAAATAAATTGATTTTTAAGCCCGAGTAAGGATACTGACAATATCATCCCTCAATAAGCAGGGTACTCTTTTGCACTAATTGCTTTCCAATTTCAACGCAAATTGGTACTCAGCATTTCCATTAGTTACTAAAGTAGAAAATTAGAAGTTACTAGGATGTGTAGTGGTCACTTCTGCCGTTCACAATTAATTAAAAAATTACATTGGGAGAATAGTTTGTGGCATATCCGCTGAATGAATCAAGTGACAATGTCCCTTGGCCAAAAATATGCTCTGATGTGGGAAAAAGATAATTCTGTCCTTTACTGTAGCCTGAAATTCTGACAATTAGGCAATTTATTAAGTTCATGCCCTACATTCAAGGAAGACATCAGGAAAAGTATCAATTCAAATCAACTTCCACCCGATTGAATGGGAACTACAATTTAGACAAGACCACATCTTACTATTTTTCAATATATTGATTTTTAACCAAAAGCTATTTACAAAGGAAACTTACTTACGACCGTCAGTCACGGTGTTCAACAACAAGGTGTCGTTATCCAACAAGATCTTGTTTGGAGAGTTGGCCAAGATCCCTGCGATTTCTCTGGCGGTGTCCAATCTCTTCAATTCCACGTAATCCTTGGACTTCTTGATTGCCTCACCAACCAATTCGGCTGACTTGGCTTCACCAGCAGCCTTGACCACCAACTGCTGCTTCTCTTGGATGGCCTTGTCGACGATGAAAGCCGCTCTTTGGGCGTCCTGCTGGGCAATTTGCTTGGCTTCCACAGCTGCACTGAATTCTGGCGAGAATGTCATGAAAGTCAAGGACACATCGTCCAACAAGATGTTAAATTTGCTGGCACGACGCACCAAGTTCTCCTTGACCAAACGACTGACCTTCTCTCTCTGGGTGATCAATTGGGACGCATTGAACTGGGCAACAACCGATTTCAACACCTCGTTGACAATGGAGGGCAAAACCTTCTCGTCGTAGTCGGTACCCAAGGTTCTGTAGACAGCAGGCAACTGAGCGATGTCAGGCTTGAACAACACTCTGCAGGTGATGTTGACCATTTGCAAGTCCTTGGTTCCGGTCAAGGAAGCGACGTTCCGTGGTTTGGCACGAACATCATACACGATTGGTCTTTGGATCCATGGAATGACAAAGTGCGTTCCTTCAGGATAGATCTGGGGCTGTACACCGTTGATACGCGAGTAGATGATACCACGCTGACCACCATCGACGTTAAACAATGCATTTTGGGCAAACACTGACACACCTCCCAAGAGTAACAAGCCACCAAAGCCTGCAAAAAATCCGAAAGGAGATCTGGGAGCGGAGCTGCCGGAGTTACGGGCCTGCTGGGCCCTCCGTCTTAATTCGTTGGACAAGTTCTTCCACTGTTGATCGCTCATTGTGTGGTTATGGAAAGCTGGAGTGAGATTGCCCTTGAACTTTTGCCTCTATGGATGTCGCATCACGCGACATGCGACATTTGTCTACCATAGTGAAATACTAATATTACAATATCAGTAGAAATACGAGCGATAAATGCTGATGGTGTATTTCGGGCCTTCCAGAGTCCCATTTAGTCATAGCAGAAACTAAGAATACAAAAATAACTTAAATGAATAGGACCCTTGAGTGAAGCTTAGGATTCAATGCCCCCAGATATTTATGCGTGTTATTGAAACTACCAACCTTCGTACTCGTACATTAACAAAACTATTCTAGCTTCATTATAGTTCTAACAGTACTATTAGTTTGTCAAGTGATTTATTCATGCTCGTATTTCTAAACTACGAAGGAACTCCTTCGTACTCATGCTTTTCGTTATATTCGTTAATGATGTGTTTCCAGTGCCTTCTTCTGTTGGTGTGGATGGGAGTCACTCGGAGAATCTTCTCCATGAAAATCAAGATGATAATCACCACAGCTACCACGAACGACGGAGCGATCATCAATACCAATTGTGACCGGGTCACCGTCTGTTGGTATGGACACTGGGCATAGGGACCTCCCGAGACAAAACAGTTCGATACTGTGATGTCATTGAGGTCAATCCACACTGGAAAGGGCAACTCGTCATCCACCACCCTGGCCTTGAGCGCTAGAAGTTCGATGCTCAGCCGTGGCAACGTGAACCGGTACCCGTCAGGGCAGTTTCCGGGCTTGTAGGCATCAAAATACCGTCTTTTCAGGTCCCTGGGGATGTTCCAGTCGGTGGGATCGCTTTCGTTTTGGCAGGCGTAGTGGAATGGGTCGTAGCAGTTGGAAAGCACAAATCCCTCAGGGTTGAGGGCCACGCAATGGGCCCTGAGTTCTCTGTCCGAGGTGTCGGGTTGATCATCGGTAAAATTGGTGAGGACTGTATTATTTACCCCAGAGATAGGTTGCCCTATTGCCCACGACCAGTATGAGCTGGGAAGCAAGTAGTCCCAAATGGCGCCCACCGAATGGTTCTGGCTGGAATTGTAGTCCTGCTTTTCGAACACGTACTCTGACGAGTTGAGGATCACTGAGTGCCCACATCGTATGTAGTTCATGTAGGTTTCGTTGGTAAACAGGTCGTCGTCGCCATCCATCAAGAATCGAAAATGGGTGTTAAGGGACACATTGGAGTAGCTGCTGGTAAGGTCTGAGCCGTTGATCATATCGAGACAGCTGGAGTAGAGGTTGTCGTCTGCAGTGTCTATGACCGTGGGCAAGGTGGAGTCGAAGAAGAGGGTATCTCTATCCTGGGTAGAGATGTTGTAGGAGGAAGAAGACGACTCATCCAAGTCGCTGGACACCACGTTGATCAATACTCTGCGAAAGTCATTCAACAAGAAGATCGACAACGGAGGCATGCGGGTGTCGGAGCGATTGTAGTAGGCCCCAGACCCTGTTCTCGGGACAGCAGAGTTTCTGAAGGAAGCAAGGTCGCGAGGAGTGAAGATGTAGGAGCCCAAGGAAGCCACAGAATCTGATAAGGTAGAGTTTCCCAAGCTAGCGAACTCTGCCGAGCGAGGCACGTAGATCTGGGACGAGTTCTGGGGAAACTTAATGGATTTGAGATTCAAAAGCAACTGGAGATAGTTGGCGTCCATGTTGGAGTTTGTGCCAGCAATGTAGGTGTTGATCCAGGCGTTGATCAGTCCAAGCGTCAACAGCACGCCACAGGTGTAGTTGTGACCGTTCCAGAACAAGTCCTTGGGGGCAATATCCATGGTGGCATTGCCAGGGAAGGGAGCAGGACACAACTGCCACTTGGAGGTTACTTCGTTCCAGTACAAGTCCAACATGAACGTCTGCACGCCCACGGCCAACATGGCAGGCAATTCGTCCAAAGCATCGGTGGTATAGCCTTTCTTGTCAAACACCAAGGTGTTCAACGAGAGTCCAAACGTGGAGAGCTGGTCGATGGGGATCTCTTCGGCAATATCTCGCTGAGATCGAGTGACGGTGGTGAGGCGGGGGCTGAGCTGGGGCCAGTTGACGAGGGCTAGCGCCACCTGGGCGTAGAAGAGGAGGGGGAGAAGGACCATGTGGCGGTTAAACGGTGTTTGGGCTGCTAGATAGAACGTGTCACGTGATACGAGTCACGATTATTACATTGACTCCCATTTATGTATAAGTGATGCCAATGCCAGATGTTGGTCTATTTTTTGGTGGTTAGATGGCTGTCTAGTGTCCTCGTTGGGAGTCATTCCGGCACTGCCAGAATGGACCAGAGGGTCAGAATTGGTGAGATTTTGGCTTATCAACAATCTGCTCTTTAGTTGACCAGTGGCCATGTATAAATTCTATTTCTTCAAAATTCTGGAAAGACCCATACCTTACTCATACCACTAGCCTCAATAATTATCCCTTAATTCATTCATGGTATATACCAACATCTTCATACTTTTCATCCCCATACTTCCAATTTCCAATTCTTCAAGATTACGCACTTTTCTACATTTTCCCCAGAAATAGTGAATAATTGAAATAGTGAAAATAGCCTCACGTGATGGAATATCAATCACCTACTATCAACACCACCATCACACCATCACGTCCCCATGGCCACAGGCTTGAACGAGCAGCAACAACAGGCAGTGCTCGCGCCCTGCCATGGACAGCTCCAGATCATCGCAGGTCCTGGGACAGGCAAGACCAAGGTGCTTGTTGCACGCGTGGCTCATCTCTTGCTTCACCACCAGATCCCTCCCCAGAACATGATCGTGACCACGTTTACCAAGAAGGCTGCCACCGAGATGACAGAACGGTTGGAACAGCTACTCCACGGTACCGGCATTGAAATCGACAAGTTGCTCATCGGAACGTTCCACAGCATCTGTTATCGCATCATCAAGATCTACGGCAACAAGCTCGGATTGAACGACTATACCATCGCTGACGAGCGCGACAGTCTCCATATCATGCGAGACGTGCTTGATGCGCTTACAGGCGAAGAGACAGCGTATTTGGCGGGCCTAGGTGACGAGTGCAGCGGGTTCAAAGGTGACTCCGAAGCCAAACACAACGGCTACGACCCCAAGAAGCTCCGAAAACAGGTCTCCAGGCTCAAGGCGGGTGGTGTGAGTGCGCTGGACTACTCACATGCCGTGTCGTGCAACAAGGCGCTCTCGTTCATCTACACCAAGTACCAGGCCAAATTGTCGGTGGAAAAGCTTTTGGACTTCGACGATTGTCTCTTACACTGTCACCAGCTCGTATCCAAGCACCCAGTACTCAATTTCGTACGGCACACCTTGGTGGACGAATTTCAAGACACCAACGAGATCCAGTTGCGGCTCATGTACCAGTTTGCACGAGGCCATCCCACCGACACCAGTTTGCAGAACAACGTGACGATTGTGGGAGACCCCGACCAGAGTATTTACGCGTTTCGGGACGCCCAGTCGGTCAACTTCGCCAAGATGAAGCAACGATACCCCAAGTGTGCTGTGATCACCTTGAGCCAGAACTACCGTTCCACCTCCGACATCCTCGATTTCTCGGAGTCCATCATGCGCCAGCAGAACGACAGAACCGTCAAGAGCTTGCAGTCCCAGCACAGCTCGTCCTACAGGCCTGTGTACGCCAATTTGGGGTCGCCAGAGGACGAGGCTCGTTGGATCGCCTACCAGATCGAGCACTTGCTCTCGTTGCCCGAGACTCCCGTAAAGTATAGCGATGTGGCCATCTTAGTAAGAACAGCCTACCAGACTCGAGTGTTGGAGAACGAGTTTGTGCGCAAACGGATCCCATACGTGATGGTCAAGGGAAAGGCGTTTTGGGAACGAAAAGAGGTGTTGGCGATCATGGACTACCTCCGTGTGGTGGCACACGACAATGACCGACTAGCAGTTCTCAGGACCCTAAATCTTCCCAAGCGTGGCATCGGTGAAAAGACGTTGGCCACGATTGACCACCGGCTCGAGCTTGCGCAAATGGCTAACCAGCTGGTGATGCAGGCATTGGCCAGACTAGTTGAGGACTGCGGGACAAAACTCACCTCCAAGAACAAGCAGGCGATCTCCCAGTACGTGCAGTTTGTCAACGAGGCCAAGAGCATGCTCGAGACTGGCTCCAAAGACCAGAAACTGGGGTGGTTGGCAGAGATTTTTGCGTTCGTTTACTCTTCCAGTGGACTCCAGAAGGAGTACCTGACCGACGAGACAGCCGAGCTCAATATCAGCGAGGTAAAGGGCCAATTCTGCGAGTTTTGTCCTCGAGACGAGAACCTCCCTCTTTTTATCGGAGGAACCAACGACGACGTATCACAGGACGGACGCAATTTCGTGGCCAAATTCATCCATTCGGTGGGGCTCTACGAGACAGACTCCACAACTGTGAACCACGAAGCCGATAGGGGAAAGGTGTCAGTGTCAACCATCCACGGGTCCAAAGGACTCGAGTGGCCAGTGGTCTTTGTGCCTGGGCTCTCGGAGAACTTGCTCCCAGCCAAGTTTGCCATGGACTCGGGAGGTGAAGACGCTGTTAACGAGGAGAGGCGGTGCTTTTACGTGGCCACTACTAGAGCCAAAACCTTGCTCTATCTCTCGTCGTACACCGAGAAAAACCCCAGTGGAAATTGGGGCCGTCGTCCCATCGTGGCCGTTTCTCGGTTCCTTAAGCTGGCCAGCAATACGGGAATGCTCAATTCTAGTCAGCAGGCGTTTGCAACATGGGACGATTTGACCAAACTATACCTGCTTTTGGGACGCCAAAGTCCTGCAACTAACAACTTTGACCTCCAGCACTTTGTTCAATTATACCACGCCAGGCAGCAGTCGTACGTCCGAGGGCAGGACCATGAGGTGGGCAGCTACTTCCAGGCACGAGACAAGCCCACCAACACCAATGGGCTTGGGTTTACCAGTGCCAAGGTAGAGATGGAGAGAAAGAAGGTGATTCCTGCGAAACGGGGGTTCAAGGCCCCAAGACTAGCTCCACGGGAAGGTGGAGTGGCCTTCCAAGCACGAGCTCCCGAAGGTATAAAAGCCCCAAGAACCCACCAGATACGAGCACCGATAAATAGGCCAACAGATGGAAAGCCTCTAGTTGGCGATAAAGGGATCGAAAATAGTCCAACGGCAGGAAGCAGGGCTCCGTTGGGCAACAAAGCACCCATTGGGGCAAGCCGTTTTTTAAGCAGGCCGCTAGGCAACAGAGCACCGATCGCAGCACAGGTCTCCATGTCAACGCCCTCTAATACCAACCGGGCGCCTCCGTACATCCCCAACCGTCGCCCCCTCAAGAAATCATAGACACAAGATAGACTGAGGTTATAGAGGAGGTTATAACAAGTGACAAAATGGACACAGCGATCTCAGACAATACGCAAGTTAATGATACCCAAAACCGAAAAATAGATCATTGAAGCGACGACATAGAACATTATACAAGTTGATAACGCCTGAAACCAAATATAGAGAATTGAAGCGATCTCAGACATAATACTGGTTAATTGTCTACTGAAATCGAAAAATAGATCATGGAACTTGCGAACTAAAGACCATTGTACATTAATGAAACCTGGGGAAAGCATAGATCGTAGAACAACGAGAGTTAATATACATCATCGCTTCAAGAATAGATCATTGAGGCGACAAGAAATATACTGCCCCATCACACCAAAATTAGATCGTTGAAGCTTGGAACATTATACAGCCTTATTCAACTGATCGTTGAAACTTAGAAACATCCATTAGAGCAAGGGAAGCGGGACCAGACCAGAAAGTCCATCGTATACTAACCAAAATATAGATCTATGAGAACTCATAACCAGCATGCTGGTGAATATAGATCTTGACGAGGATTCATAACCGGAGGCCAGAACATAATACTGGGAAATTAATTCATAACCAGAGGCCAGAACGTTAATGTCTAGAAACATATTAATACATAGCCGGATATGAAATTGATAGCCGGATATAGACCATAACAATAGAAACCAGTCCTTAACCGGATAAAGAACATTAATAGTGAAACCCAAACCGTAGCTGGAATGTACTTGCTGGAGGCATGGAAATCTTCTCGAAATCGCTGGAACCTATACAAATACAATAAATAGCTAACGCAGCTAATCCGGTAGAGTAAAGTTTATTCATGCCAAGCTGTACTGGTCTGATCACATCTGATGACTGGTAACTTACCACATGGCCAGGGAGATAATTAGCAACCCATCTACTGGAATGTGGTGGCTAGAAATAATTCGTCACTCGTCACAGTCGGATGTCACCTGTATCGCCTCCCTCGTCACGCCTACCGTAGAAACATAGAACATTAATTGTGTATATACTAGAAAACACAGATGGAACCGATGGAACCGATAGGATCACCTGGATATAATCACCAGGCCCTACTTTGTGATGGTGAATGACCATGGCACTGTCAAGTGGGTGTGCTTGTCGTCATCCACGAACTTGGAGGTGGCGGAGTAGTTGCCTCTGGCCAACATTCCTGAAGGAGCCTCCACTTCCGGGAACTTTCTCTCGTAGTAAGGCTTGTCCTTGGTGTTGGGGGCGTAAGAACCCAAAGGCTCCTCGAGCTTCTCCACCCTGATGCCTGCCTTCTTGACGGAGTGCAAGTACTTCAATCCTGTGACGATCTCGTGCTGGACACGGAACTTGACCACCAACTGGTACACGGCCCTCTCCTTGATGGAGAACTTGATCTCTTTGCCAGCGATGGTGTTACCGTCGGCGTCCTCCAAGTTGATGACAATGGGCTTCAACTCAGGCTGTTCCGGGAACTCCAATCCCAACTCGACCACGACCACTTTTCTGGTGTCGCCTGCCTTGACGGGGTAGGCAGACGAGTCGTCGCTTAAACCCAACGACGCCTTCCACTTGGCCAAACTTTCGTCTTCGGCATCCAACTTGGTGTATTCTTGGATGGTTTTCTTTTCACCTACGGTGTAGCCCTCCACGGACTCGGGGACAAGATCGTCCTCAGCGTTAGACATGGTGGTGGTGGATGAGTAGCGACGAATGGTGGTGGCAGTTTTATACCCAGAGGGACACGACCGGGGGTGGGTGCTGGCGAGGGTGTGGGAGCGCCGTGCCAGGGTGGATTTTTGGCGCGCTCAGGCGCGCGAGGGCGCCTGGTGGCGGGCCGGCTAGCGACAGCGTGGCGAGGATGCGGGTGCCGTGGGTTGGCGCTAGCGAGAACGCGCCCACAGGACTAACGTACGCGGACGTATGCATAACTGATTAAATACTCTATAAGGGTGGTGGGGCGGGGGACGGCAGAGCCAGCGAGGGGCAGTGAGCAGAGCCAGCGAGAGACCAGAGGGATCGGATCTGATCTGGGTGGAGGTGCAGTAGTAAAACGATTCGAGTATGGATGCTCACAGAGTCTTGCACACTAGGGGGATCTCACCCGAAATGGCCTCCCAAGTAGGCCAAACGATAACATGCTGCAGGTTCTCTCGTGCTGAGGATCACCTTAAGTTTTAACTCGGCGAGAGGATTGTTCTGTGTGTGCGTCGTGCAAGTGGGGTCTGTCAGTGGTGAGATGTTAATGGGCTATTTGGCTACTTGTGGGCCATTATGGTGAGTTTGAGCTGAAGAGTAGCAGATACTGTTACTGTCTTGAGCCGGAGACTCGGGGAGATGAAGGACCAGAGACTCGGAAGGAGGATCTAAGCTTACGGCGGATCCTGAATTTCCCCCAATTACCTCTGAATTCCAATTGTTGTGTAGGGAGTATTCCTGGTGATAACTCAGATTCCCAGACTTTCCCAGACACTCACATTTCCTCGGATCCTCTGAGTGCTCCTCTGCATTTCTTATAATCTTTCATACTGCTCCTTCAGGAGCCGACGTTCTTGACTCCTCTGACTGTAATTTCTCCTCTGACTTCCTCTAATTCTCCACTGCTTCTCCGAATCTCCTGCCTCTCCCTGCTTCCCGCTATTTGCCGTGGTTTCCAGGACCCGACTGTCCTGGGTGATGCCCGCCCTGGGTGAGGTTGGGCTGGCTCATGTTGCCAGAGTAGTGGACCAGTAACGGCGCTCCTAAGTTCGGCTGGCTGACATTAGTTGCCTGGTAGTACTGGGACGTCTGGGGACCCTGGGGCTTGTGGTGGTGGCCGTGGCCATGACCATGGCCGTAGTTTCGTCTGTGTTTGGGCTTGCCCTTCTTGGTGTCGTCGGGAATTATGATGTAGGGGTTGTTCAAGAGGCGTCTTTCTGTCTCTTTGTCGTAGGGGTTGGGTGGAGGGTACCCGAACCCGTAGTACGGTGGCATGGGAGGCGGAACAGGGTAGTAGCCGGGATATCCCATGGGTTGGCCCTGTGGGGGCGACATGCTGGCGGGCGGATAAAATCCGCCGCTGGGAGGTGTAAAGTGCTGGGGAGGTGCCATCATGGGCATCTGCATGGGAGGGTACGAGTAGGGGACGAATCCTGGCGGAACGCCGTTGAGGCTGGAGGAATGATGATGGACGTCGTTGCTGGAATTGCTGTGAGCGGTGCGGGGGCCATTGTCGTCGTCGTCGTCATCGTCGTCATCATCGTCGTCATCCTGGTCGAAGATCTCCTCACGGATCTTGAGGTACAACGCCTCTTTGGACGCTCTTTCCGACTCAATTTTGGCCGAGTCATCCGCCTGGGGACCTGGGACGTCGCAAGAACTGGCCACAGGGCCTCCCACGGCACGGTCTTTGCTCTTCTTGATGATCATCTTAGGCTTTGGGGGGTCGGCAGCAGCGCCGGCGTGGTCGACCACTCGGGCAAACTCGTTGCCCTCCACCAACTCCAAGAACACCTGGTAGTCGAAGTCGGGCACAGGAGTCACCACGATCTCGTTGGCTGGGGTGTTGGTGTGGTGGAGGTTGTAGTACTGGCACAACTGGTGGCTTAAGAGCCGGTAGTACGAGTTCTTGAGCCCTGCTGCACGGATGGTGTACTGGCGCACGCTGGTACCTGCCACCACGGCACGGACGAACTCGATCAACTCCTTCTCGAGCTGGAGAAGATACACCCTGTCTTGCTGCTTGGAGAGCGCGCTTTCAATTGACTTTGGAAACGAGTTCATTGATGGTCACTGGCGGGTGCGGAGGCTCGCCATACTACTGTGTGGATGGAATGGGCTGGGCCTGGATGGAGTGGACAGTGCCGTTCGCTGGTAGAAGTAGACGGTGAAAGCTAATGGTAGCTGAAGTTGGCGGTAAACGATATTTTCGTTGATCTGGTAGCGTGCGCATGCGCGGTCGTGTTTGGGTTGGGGCAATTGCCTCAGGATAAGTGGCGGTAAGCGATTGTGATCTATCCATTGCTTAGATGAGTGCTGACGAAGTAAGTAGGACGGCCGTGATGTGAGGAATTCACTAACAGAAAGATTAGAGCGAAGCGTTTGGCCAAGTTGGCGGCAGGCGCGACTGGCGGAGTGGCCGGCGGAGTGGCCGGCGGAGTGACTGGTGGAGTGACTGGTGGATCTGGGCCAGGAGGAGGGAGTGGGCCAGGAGATGGAAATCGCCAGCCAGAGAGCACAGGGAGCAGTAGTGGTCACCAGGCGAAGGAGGCAGTTCCAGAGAAGGTGCTTGTGCCAGAAAAGATACCAGAAAAGACACCAGAAAAGACACCAGAATCGGCGCCAGTGGCAAAAGTGGCAAAGGTGGCTCCAGCACCAACAATGCCTCCCGAAGAGGAGCTCTCGGCATGGCTCATATCCGAGATAGAGCACATCTTCAAGGCCAGCATCAAGCCAGGAGCGCTGCTCCACTTGGTATCGTTGGCAGAGGAGATCAATGCTGGCACCCTCTTATCAGAAGACCACTTGGAGGCAGTGTTCATGGAAATCTTGACGGACTTGGGCATTCCCAGCAACTATACCACCACCATGGACTACTTGCACGCGGTGTACCACCGCACGTTTGCCGCCAAGCGGTCGCTTCCCGTCAAGACCTCGTTGTACCTGGAAAAGGTGGCGCTTTTCAACAAGATCGTCAAGTTGGCAACGTCGTATGGGTTTATCTGCTTCCAGATCCCCGAGATGTTCATCAACAACAACGTCAACGACGCCGTGGGCGTGTTTGTCCGCAGGTACTCCGAAACCTCGTCGTTCTTGACCGACATCATCAACACCAGCGTGGACCAGGAGGGCTTGCTCGAGTTGTTGAATGTATTTTTGCCTGCCTTGAGTGCCTTGACTGCCACAGTTAACTTGGACGACCGTCTCTACGTCAATTACCTCTCTCTTTACGAGGTTTTTGTGAACTCCAAGCCAGTTGCAGCCATCTTTTCCCAAGTGGACGGTTTCCAGCCCCCAGACAAAGCAAACCCCCTCGACTACGAGCACAAGACCCTCTTGGGACCTTTGTTGAGATTATCTCCTTTGGTCGAAGAGGCAAGCACCTACTACTTTACCAACGTCACATCTCTCTCCCAACCCCAGATATCGAGCATTTACGACTCTATCCAGAACGAGTACAAATACGTCTGTGATCGTCTCTTTTACATCATTGATAAGTTGATCCGTGGCTCACCCGAAACAAGAAATGCCTTATTGAACTGGTTTGCCACTTTGATCAACTTGAGTCATCTCAGACGAGGCAGTCATGCCGATTTGAAGAAGATAGCTGGTGACGGTATAATGTACAACATTTCTATCATCTTGATAAGGTTGAGTTCTCCTTTCTTGGATTACCCAACCTACACTAAGGTGGATAAGATTGACGTTGATTACTTCTCCAAATCTTCGTTGATAGACATTAGTGAAGAATCCAGAGTCAATTCTTCAATTCAAGAAGCAAACGAGAATAAAAAACTTGAACAGGAACCAAATTTTATTTCCCACTGCTTCTTCTTGACATTATCTTACTTGCATTATGGTGTAGGTGGTATTTACATTCACTATGATAGGATCAAGAACCAAATCAAACAATACACCGAAAGAATCGAAATGATCACACACAACAGATTGCCACCTGGCAGTAACCCAATGATGTTACAGATCTTGAGGAATCAAATGCCTACCTTGGCTAAGCAATTAAATTCCCTTCATGCCGTGAAAAACTCTATCCAGGCCATTTTCAGCAACAGACCCATTCAAGAAGAGATCTTTGATTTTATTGTGGGTGCAACCACATTCATGATTAAGTTGGTTGATCCTGAGCACTTAGCTCCAAAACAGAAATTAAAGATTCCAATTTTCCAAATCAGCACAGTCTCACAATTGGATGATCAAGATTTCTTGAAGACTAAAACCCCAAGACCTTGGAAGTATTATCCTGAATTTATTCTCGAAGGAATTATCAACTACTGCAAGTTTTCAACCAACTTCAGAGGATGTCCTTTGGTATACAACACAGAGAAGCTAACTCTCTTTGTTGAATTTGCGATAGTGTTACTAAGGTGCCCGGAATTGATTGGTAACCCACACATGAAGGCTGATTTGGTGGAGGTATTGTTTATTGGATCCTTACCATTACCAAATGGAGATCCAGGATTTATTGCTTCTATTTTTAATTCCAACAAGTTGGTCATGGATAATATTTTGTACTCTTTGTTGGATTTCTATGTCATGGTTGAAAGAACCGGTGCTTCTTCTCAATTCTACGACAAGTTCAACAGCAGATACTATATTTCAATAATCATTGAAGAGTTGTGGAAGAGTCAAATCTTCCGTCACCAATTAACAGATTACTCTGAAAACAATGTGGATTTCTTTGTCAGATTCATCGCTAGAATGTTGAATGATACTACCTACTTATTAGATGAAACCTTCAATGAATTGAATGCAATCCACAAGTATCAACAAGAAATTAAAAGAAGAGCTATCGGAGAGGATCTGAACGAAGAACTCGGATCAGATGAGGAGCTAGCAGGAAACTTGGAATCTGCTGAAAGGAAGGCAAAATCTTATATGGGTTTGAGTAATAAGACTATGGAGCTCTTCAAACTTTTCACCAAAGAAGTTCCAAAGGGTTTTATCTTGCCTGAAATTGTGGATAGATTGGCAGGTATGTTGGACTACAACTTATCCGTCATGGTTGGGCCAAAGTGTGTGAATTTGAAGGTCGAGGCCCCAGAGAAGTATGACTTTAACCCAAGAAGAACATTGACTGACTTGTGTGAAATTTATTCTAATTTGGGTTCTCAAGAGAAGTTTGTAATCGCGGTATCAAGGGATGGTAGATCATTTGATCTTAGTTATTTCCAAAAAGCAGAGAGGATTTTGACTACCAAGACGTTCACCAACCCTGCTATCATTAGGTCATTGATTGAATTTGCCAAGAAAGCGGATTTGCAACGTCAAACGGATGAAGACGAAGAACTAGAATTGGGAGAAATTCCCGATGAGTTCTTGGACCCCTTGATGTACACTTTGATGGAAGACCCTGTGATTTTACCAAGTTCAAAGATCAGTATTGATAGGTCTACCATTAAGGCTCATTTATTGAGTGATTCCACCGATCCATTCAACAGAGTACCACTCAAATTAGAAGATGTGGTAGAAGACTTGGAACTCAAACACAAGATCGAAAGCTTCAAAAGGGAAAAAAAGGCACAGAAGTTACAAGCCCAAGACGTAGAAATGACGGATTAGATTAGAAATAAATATTACGTCTTTTAACTAACAAAAGTTTTATTAATATATACTATTGTACGGAGGGGGTTGATGATGAGCTTAAGCCTTGATAGCGAATCTTCTTTGTGGGTAAGCGATTCTTTGCTTTCTAGCCTTGACGGTTTCCTTGTTCTTTTCTTCCTTGGTCAATGCTCTTCTGAGGGCTCTGGTCTTCTTGGCTCTCAAGTCCTTTGGTTGGTACTTCTTACCGGCGTAGAATTCTCTGACAGATTCTCTTTGGTTCAAGTTGATGATGGTCAAGACTCTAGCAATGTTCTTTCTGACAGTGTGGATGGCTGGCAAAGATGGCTTTTGCAACTTTTGGACCTTCAAGTTGGCCAATTCTTGCTTTAATTCAACCAATTGGTTTTGCAATTGTTCCTTAGACTTGGTTCTTAATTCGAAAGTTCTGACGGCAGGCTAGAATGTTAGTAGTGTTCGGTGGTGCTGGAGGAGATGCTTAGATGAGGAACGAGGTTTATGTCTTTTGTGACGGGCATAACATCGGGTAGTGGGATGAGAATGATGTTACTGTAACTCCACTAGAATACACATGTAGTAAACTTCATTTAGGTCATTATGTCATTTCATGTTGGTAGGAGGTGAGGTTGGTGGACATTCCTCAGGGATGGCTTGTAGATCCTCTTCACGGATTCACTTGTATCTTGTCGTTGTACACATCATAACATCTCTCTTCTGGTCCATTTGTTTCGTTTCACATACCATTTTGACTTAGTGAATTGGTAGTAGCTAAAAGAAGTTTAAGATATAGTGAAAATTTTTTTTGTTCATCCAGAGGACGATTCTCCTCGCACGACTGCGAGTACCGTGGGTGTGAGCGCAACCTGTAGAAAGCTGGGGGAAGATAACCGCACCAATGGTGGTAATTATTTGCAGGTTGCACCCAGATGCGGCGCGCAGCATCTGCTGCCTAATCGGGAAGTGGTCCGCCTCAGGGTGCGCACACGTGACGAGGCTAGGGCACAAGCCCTAACAGTGTGGATCATTCTTTTGGGTATACGAGCCACGGATAGGAATGATGATCAGGGCCGGATTGTTCCTGCAGCACATGCCGATATCCAAGACCTTCCAGGCACAGACCAGCACACGCGTGCTCGGCAACGGTGGGATTGGATCGGGACCTTAACTGAGTAGCGAGCAAGCTACAGGATTGTAAGAAAGCTACCATCTAAATAAAACAAAACGATATGGGTAAAACTAGACTAAATACTTACTAGCATAATAGTAGAACTGGAACAGGATGTGAGGCATGCACAAACACCTTTGATGATGATGGTATTTCCATTCAAGACAACGTAAATCATGTTATATATTGTATGCTAAAACTAACAATTGTCTTGACAATTAAAATATGCTTCTTCAAGTGGAGTTCTTCAAGTTAGTGGACAACCATTCCAAACCTTCGTATAAACCATCACCAGTAGTGGCACAGGTGGCCTGGATGTACCATGGTCTTTGACGGATGGAGTGCAAGCCAAGCTTTTCGGTTATTTCGGCGGCGTTCATGGCGTTTGGCAAATCCTGCTTGTTGGCAAACACCAACAACAAAGCGTCTCTCAATTCGTCTTCGTTCAACATCTGTTGTAATTCTTCACGAGCCTCGGCAATACGGTCTCTATCGTTGGAATCAACAACGAAAATGATACCCTGAGTGTTTTGGAAGTAGTATCTCCACAATGGACGGATCTTGTCTTGTCCACCGACATCCCACACCGTGAAGGAGATGTTCTTATATTCAACGGTCTCGACGTTAAATCCGATGGTTGGGATGGTGGTGACGATTTCTCCCAACTTCAATTTGTACAATATGGTGGTCTTACCGGCGGCATCTAATCCAACCATCAAGATTCTCATCTCCTTGTTACCAAAGAGGTTGCTGAATAACTTGGAAAATGATAAACCCATCGTGTCCCCGTGATCGTGTTACTTCGTTTCTAGATATATCTACTAACTGAGTTAGATTGATTGATTGATTGATGAATTCAATTGAAGAAAGAAGTAGTTAAATAACAACAAATCAATTTCGATTCAACGAGGCCCGATCAACGAAAATTTTTATTCTCACACGCTCTTTTTGGGGGGGTGGTCTCGGGAACGAGCTCACTGTGGGGGCTGCTGGGGACACGCGGATGGTGCCAGAGTCCGCCAGGCTGAGTGGCTGGGAGCTTGCCAGCGTCCAGGAGGTTGCAGAGCCTGGCCTGGCGGTGTGGGACGGGTGGTGGTGGCAGTGGTGGGTGGCGCGTGCGGTGATATCGTGACGTGTCGGTATGGTGCGAAATTACACGCGCAGCGGTTGGTGATTGAGACAAGTAGCAATAATTGGTAGTATTGGGGTGGCCATGGAGATAGCGCGGGAAACGGGAGATAATAGGGGGAGAAAAGGATACGAGTAGAAGAGCGTGTAGAAGAGCGAATAGAAGAGGAAGGTCGCAGGCGGGAACGTGGATGCAAATTGGGATTTTAGTAGACTGCTTGTGAAAAAGTATCTAGATATATTCAGCCAGGGTAGACCAGAGTCCAAGAAATTTATTGTTCCATTGAGACAAAGTGGGATCCAGTGTCGATAGTAGCCGTAAGCTCGTGTATGGCAACTGGCTAATGATGTAGGTCATAGATCAGCTGGTAGAGACTACGGTAGATTCTCGCTGGGCACTACACTTATTTGGTGTTGGGAGATAGACCAGTGTACAGGGAATTCCGCTTCGAGTAAAATAGAGACCCTTTCGGGCCGGTGGAGGATAATCGATCTGGATGCGAGGATACTCAATTGGATTTTTGTTAAATCTAAGGGCAAGGAATGCAGATCTACAAGCAACTGTGAAGGGATTGGATCTAAATATAGTTAAATCTAAAAGCAATTAAACACATCTATAAGCATCTGTGAAGGTATTCTGTTCACATGATTTAATTAGAATTAAATCTAAAATAAACATATCTACAAGCAGTTGTGAAGTTGATCCAATTGGGTTCGCCATAAATTATCCGGACTTACACAAGTGAAGATACATTTAGTCCCACTAGTAAATCTTAGCGCAATACATCACAGTTCCAGAAGAACCTTGGAGATGCTCACAATTGATAATTGTTAAATCTAGTAGCAATACTTAAGCAGATCTACAAGCATCGGTGATGTATTCTGAATTAATTAAACTAGTTATAAATTACTAGATCTACAAGCTGTGAAGGTATTAGGATTTCATTAAATTAGTTAAAGCCTCCTGGAAAGAAACATGCAGCAATAAGAGGCACTGTTTCAGTATTGGAGGTATGTAATTAGAATGCTCAAGACGAATGGGTGTGGTATGAGTTGACTGGCAATGTATGCGCTTTAGCAATATTGATGCAGCGAGTTGAATGGACCTGTAACGACGTACTAGCAACATTATCCACCTATATCGTGGAATCGAATATCTCCAAACCAGCTATAATTCTGTTTATCACTTTATTGATCATCCCAAGCTAGTAATCGTGGATTACTTCCCCACGTTGATTTTACAATGGGCGTACAGCTTCAAGGCCCGGATAAATACCGCATAGTTTACGTCCTTGTTGTCCTGCTCCCAGTAGATCTCCGACAAGCGGATGTGCCACGGAGGGTAATCCTGGAGATCGAGATAAGGGGCAAAGCACACCACGAGGTCGGGCTCCGGACCCACAAGCTCGACGAGCTCCTCGTCAATCAAGTCAATGCTGATGTCGTTGACTGACAACTCGTTGTTGATGGCCAAGTCGCTCATGGTCTTGGTGAGCTCCACGATGGTGGGTTTACCGTCGACGCGGCTGAGAAGAGTGATTTCGAGGTCTACCTTGGTGGTGCCAGGAGCACTGTAGGTGATGATATTCTTGTGGGGGATTCGGATGGAGTAGGTGGGGATGGATGCGGTTCCAAAGTAGTTGGCCAAGTTCTTTGACAAGTCCTTGGTCAACAAGGGGAGATACGCAGCGTGATTGCGGTTGACGAGTCCCGTGTACTCGTAGATGCTGAGCTGGGGCACTCCTGCGGAGAGGGACCACGCAGCGATCTCGCTGATCTGGTTGATCAAGCCATCGATGCCTCCGTTCTCGTCGTCCTCGTGCTTCAAGTTCAAGATGCACGAGATGTTCTTGGGGATCTTGGTGAGCTTGTTGACGTCGTCACGGATCACATGCGGCGACTTGTTGGGGTAGTATGCAAGGGTAAGGTATTTCAACGCCACTTTGCGGTAGAGATACTGGATGCTTTTGTAGATGGAAAGGAGGAAAAAGATCTGGAGCAAGATCGTGTGGTTGATGACGAAAAGTACAGCACTGGTGATGGATGTTTCAGGCGTGGAGGGGGCTGCTGGCTTGTTTTTGCCTACCAACATCTTTGCTAGGCTCAAACACACCTGACCAATGCTGCGCCCAGCATAGGATGGAGGCTGCAACGGGCTGTCTGGTGAAGTGTCTGGACGGAGCGACACATCTTGGGGAGGAGGACGAGCGGCGAGGCGGTTGTGGGGGATGTCGTGGTCCACAGTCATTGCTGGCGGCTAGAGAGTGGTGAATAGTGAAATGGAGAGAGCGTCACGTGGCAGTAACTGGCAGTTGAGGAAGTGCGACATTTGTCCGATGCGCGACATCAATAGTGGTTCTTATCGCAACTGCTGGTATTATATCGAGATGTGTCGTGAGAAACTGGTATCTGGAGGGTGGATCATCGAGGAGTAGACAAATTTGGGGAATGGAAGAGCACTTCAATTAGTCTTGAAGTGAATGTACAAAATAATTAATTTGCAGCCATCAACATTTTTTTGCTCTGATTTCAATAGTGCCTTAACATAGATTATGAACCGAGTTTCATACAGTATTTTCCCCATCGTACTCTATATTTTGGCTATTTGTTGCCCAAATTATAGACCTGGTTAGTGTAAGAGTAATTCATAATCGACTCCATTTTTCTCTTTATCCTTTGAACAATTGGTTACGGGGACTATCTTTGGGGTCATGTATATTGAGGGCGCTACCAAACATGTCAATCCTGTCCTTTTTTGGGTGGAAAAGGCAGAACGAAGCGAGTTAAGATACTATAGAGAGAAAAGTCAGATATACATGAGGCAGAGCGATAAAGGTAGATATAATTCTCTCAACTTCAGGCATGTAATAAGGAGTCCAACAAGTAGATCCAAGTCCTAAATAAACCACGTGAATAGTACAATCTCTTTACTGCCGTTAGTCGATAAGCGGCATGATCCAAGGGCGGTAAATGCATCTAAACTCCAGTTAATACTTGGATCTTAGATGACCAATAGGAGCATCCATTGAGTTGCAATAGACTTAAAAACTTTGACTTGATGTGCTCAAAATTCGGAAACACTTCTCAGTTAGTTGTGAACATTTCATTTGCGGCCAATACTTCATCCTGAATTCTGGACGAGTTACGAAAAGAAACAACGAAACGAAACGGCTTTTATCTACTAACATGATTCCGCGAGCTAACTTTAAAAAATCCACTAGGCAGCTTGAATGATGCTGTAAACTGCGATTAGGCAATTTGTTACAAACGATTAACAGTAGTGGTGACTGCTAATGCGGGATGTTTCAAGAGTATGAAAAATCCTCAATCCGGTGTAGGAGGAAAACCACCATACTCTGCAAACATCCTTATACCATCACGTGCTTGGTATCTCGTGCCATATCCGTTCCGCGACATTTCTCTCGTCAGGCTTAGATCACTCCCTACCGTCCGATCTCATCCCCCTTGGTGTGCGGGGGACTGTGCCACCAAACAGACGATCTCCCATGCGGACCAGTCCCAGATTCCCGTCGCTTCGTAGGCTCGCTTCGGCCCGCCGTCCGCCACTTTCTCTCTACCGCCAGTACCGCTACTTTCTCTCTACCGCCGCTTACTCTCTACGCCACTACGCACCGGCATCCTCCCTACCGCGCCTGCGCACGAGGCTGGTGCTGCACCGCGAGGCGCCGGCCCTGCGAGCTTACCTCCGGGCCCGATCGTTCCCCCGTAGCGAGCCAATCATGCCTAAATGTGGTTTCCCCGCTACTGGGCAGCAGTTTTCCCCACGCCACGCCCCGGTGCATTTGTGGGAAGAATCCAGACATTGTAATATTACATCGTATCAGTCCACAGCAGCTACGCGCCAGAGGACAGAAGCAGAAGCAGAAGCAGAAGAAAGAAGACAGAAGTCGGAAGAAAGAAGACAGAAGACAGAAGAAGACAAAAGAAAGCAGAAGTCGGAAGAAAGAAGACAGTAGAAAGAAGACAAAAGAAAGCCAGACGGAAGACAACTACACGCCACAAGCAACAGCTCCACAAGCAGACACTACAAGCGCCACTCGCCAGACGCTACAACAACTCCAGTTCATCACGCCCAGCAGCTACAAACGCCACACGCCACACGCTACAAACGCCCTATAACATCACCACTCCCGTCATCCCACCCTATGCCCTAGCCTTAATGTACTATGTGGAAAAGCCTCGAAAGATTACTATACGATAACACCATAGAGGAGGAGCACTATCGGAAAATCCGACAGAAATCGTCCTCCAACTCGGCCATCATCGTGGGTCTCGTATCCGCGATGGGTGGCTTCTTGTACGGCTACGATACCGGCTTGATCAACGACATCCTCGAGATGTCCTACGTCACAAACACCTTTCCTGGAAACGGCGTGTCGTTCAGTACCCACGAGCGTGCCATCATCACCGCCATTTTGTCGTTGGGCACTTTTGTGGGCGCCTTGATAGCCCCGCTCATTTCCGACAACTTCGGCAGGAAGTTCTCCATCATCTTGTCCTCGGCCTTCCTCTTCACCCTTGGCAACATGTTCCAGACCATCTCGTCCACCGTGACCTTTCTTTGCGTGGGAAGAGCCATTTCTGGCCTTGCGGTGGGCATCTTGTCCGCCATCGTGCCCTTGTACCAAGCCGAGGCCTCGCCCAAGTGGGTCAGAGGTTCCGTTGTGTTCACCTATCAGTGGGCCATCACCTGGGGATTACTAATCGCTAGTGCAGTATGCCAAGGAACAAGAAAAATGAATAACTCAGCCTCATACAGAATCCCCGTGGGACTCCAGTTTTTATGGGCTTTGATCCTCGCTACCGGCATGTTGTTCTTGCCCGAGTCCCCCAGATACTACGTTCTCAAAAATAATGTGCCCAAAGCACTAGAAAGCTTGGTCAAATTGCGTAGATTGCCTGCAGATGACGCAGATTTGATCGAGGAGTTGGTGGAGATCAAAGCCAACTACGACTACGAAATGTCTTTTGGGAAAACCACGCTTCTCGACTGTTTCAGAAGCGGTGGTGGTAGACACAAGCAGGGTCTTAGAATGCTAACTGGAATAGGTGTTCATGCCTTCCAGCAATGCACAGGAATCAATTTCATTTTCTACTACGGAGTCAACTTTTTTGCCAGCTCCGGGGTCAAAAACTACTACATCATGTCATTTGTCACCTATCTTGTCAATACGATTTTCACAATTCCAGGAATGATCATGGTCGATATCCTAGGAAGAAGACTGTTGATGCTATGGGGAGGAGTGGGTATGTCAGCGTCCAACTTCATAGTGGCGGTGGTGGGAGTTTCCGCCACCAACAAAGAAGTTTCCTCCATCCTAAGCATCATCTTCTCGTGCTGTTTTATTGCATGTTTTGCCAGTTCTTGGGGTGGTGCAGTCTGGGCCATTGCCTCTGATATCTACGGTATCAGTATCCGTCAGAAAGCAGTGTCCATAACCGCAGCCACCAACTGGATTGTCAACTTTATTTTTGCATACATCACACCCTACCTCATCGATACAGGCCAACACACCGCTGCTTTGGGTAACAGAATCTTCTTCATATGGGGAGGTTTGAATGCAGCAGGGGTTATCTTCTCGTACTTTACGGTGTATGAAACAAAGGGGTTGAAGTTGGAAGAAGTGGATTACATGTATGCCAACTGTCGCAATGCCAGAGTGTCCACCGAGTTCAAATCCAGAAAGATCGACTATGCCGTATTTGACGAAAACTACTTGGGACCTATATCTACCATTGACCAGATGATGCAACCACAAACCAGCAGAGACGATTCATCCTCCAATCATGATCTTTCACATGATGCCATCACACCAAGCGGACCAGGAAGCTCGCTGTCGTCACCCTCAAGTAACTCCAAGGAGAGTACTGAAAAACAACTATCATCATCTGAAATCACATGCATTGATGCTGCCAACAAGGAAGCAACAACCACCAACCTTAATCAAAATATTACTATTATCCCCTTAGATGAGATGTTGATACCGACCACGTCGTCAGAGTCGGAAGAGATTTCCTCGTCATTTTCCGGGGTATACCTGGCTACGTCCGGGGTTCCTTCTAGTACCCAGCCTCCCAACGACTACCAGGTTTATTTGGATTCCCTCAAAAAGGACTACACCAGTAATCCAGCACATTTCAACGCAAACCACGAAAGGACTTCCATTCCGATCGGCTCGCTCCACCTTACTCGATCTAGCAGTGGTAGGACCAATAAGTTATTTAGCAGCGACAAGGAACATGAATACTTGAGCGAGCTTTCGAAGAAGAATAGCTCCAGTGTCATCTCTGACCCTGTTCTCTCCAATACAGGTATTGTGAGTGATTCAGTCAGCGGGGAATTGTCCAAGACAGTGATTGCCAAGCCATTTTTCGATCAGCCCCCCAGCGATTCTGACTCTGAGGACGACGAGTGAGTGCTTGGTGGATGAGGCTACTACTGGAAAGTGCCATTCAATTCGGGCCGATGGCCAGGTGTATATAGACAATTAATATTGGGATAGATCGTGTAGGTTGAGGGGTGGGGGCTTAAGGGGCTTTTTCTGGTAACAGAAGTTGTACGAAGACAATGTGCCTTGGGTGACAGCTGTTGGTCTAAAAGATAATAATTTTCATAAAAGTAATGCAAAATGTTGGATATACAGTTCACAGGACATTATTTACTTGGTCTTCTTTTACATGAAGCATCGCTATATTCTCAAATACTGGTATTTAGTGAATTGAGTTAGTAATCTCGATCGGTTTAGTAGGATGCTTAGTTTGAGGCAAGTAATGGCATTCTTTAGCTTTGGGTTAATGGTAATAAACACCACCGTAAGCTGGATGTTTTTTTTATTCCTATTGCTACAGCATCAACCATTGTTGCCGATATAAAGTAACTCTAGAACAGTACCAGATCTACTATACAAAAGTGATTCCATATGAATTTATCGTTCCTTCCCTGGTTCCCTATTAGTAAGCACTTACCAATACACTTTCCCCAACCATTGTCGCTTGGCCTCGGATTCAACAGAGCACGAGCCAAGAAAATACTAGAGCCCAGATTTCCGTAGCCCGAAATCTTACCAGTCCTGTCTCCATGTAATACTGCAGTGACCTGGTGGGCCCATTATTTGTCACGTGATACATCACGTGCGTGAGTATAAAGGCAAGTGGCATCCCCACCATTTTCCTCCATCATGTCTGACAACACCTATCCCTTGCACGAGGCAGTGCGTGAGCACAAGAACCTCTTGGCCAAGAGCCTCATCGATGCCAATCCCAAACTCGTTTTCCAGAAGGACGATGACGACAGAACGCCCCTCCACTGGGCAGCATCTGTCCAGAACAAGGAGATGGCTCAGTACATTCTTCGGTCCGACATTGATGTGGATGATACCATTGATGCCAGTGGGTGGTCACCTTTGCACATTGCGGCTGCTGTGGGCAACGAGGCCATTGTGGATATGTTATTGGCCAAAGACGTGGATGTGGATCTCGAGACGTCTACTGGCACCACTGCGTTGCAATTGGCGGTTTCCAAGAACCATTTGGCGGTAGTCAAGACGTTATTGGAGCACAAGAGCTCGTGTCGCAAGAAGGATCGTAGAGGATCCACTGCATTGCACCGTGCAGCGTCCATTGGGTCGCAACCAATGGTGCAGCTCATGGCTCCCAAAGCTAACTTGAATGGCAAGGACAACAACGGCTGGACAGCCATGCACCATGCGCTTGCAGAGGGCCACGGAGACGTGGCGGTTTTGTTGGTGAATTTGGGGGCAGATCCCACTATTGTGAACAATGAGGGACAGGAGCCCATCCAGGTAAGCGTGGACGAGACGGTGGCCAAGTACTTCAAGAAAGAGATTGTGGGGAACGAGGACGTGACAGAGAAGAAGTAGGACGGGGGCTCAGCTGAATCGTGGTGAGAAAATATCGATATCGCTCCTGGTGCAAACCCTGGTGACTCGAGAGTAGTCAGGACTCAGGAGCGCGCCTGCTAAGTATTGATAGCTATTTAACGAAAATACTCTGGGAACTCTACTGCTAGTGTACTGAATTTTCGGAGTAGCATTGGGACGTTTAGCTAAGCCATTACTGAGGTGGCCGGTTCTCCTGAGAGATGTGCGGGATTGCAAGAAGATCCGGGGTTGGTCCAAGCCATTTTGAGATATTCGGCCAAGTTGCGCCTCAGATAGACGGAGTAGTTCTCTAAGGCGTCAGGCTATCTGGTTGAAATAAGATTAAAAGAAGTTTATTTGCTTCCTCGTCTCATTATCTCGGGAGACTAGTTAAAAAGATTGAAAAAAGTTTATTTATCTCTCAAAGACTGATTGAATAAGATGAAAACGAGGCAGTAAGCTTTGATTGGAATTTCGTCTATTTATCTCCAGAGAAAACTAGTTAATGTAGTTAGAAATGGGTTTTTGGTCAACAATCTCCCAGAATCGTAGGTGCTTGAGCCGGTGGTATCAGTTTCACCGTTGGAGGAGCTGCTCGGATGTAACATCCTTTTCAGTGGTATAGGCAGAATATCAATATCATTCAAAATTGTCCAAATATTGTTATCATCTGTTGGACGCATCATAAGTCTAGACTGAGTAATATCACTCCTAAAAGTGACCCAATCAAGAATCAATAGACTCAGGCTTAAACTGCTGATTGTTCATGAGAGACCCACGCCCATAGATCTAAAATTATTCAAGAGTACGAAATCATCCTCACTGCGTAGTCTGCCCACTATGAGAGTAACCTTCGTAATTTACCAACCAATGAGTACCACTACGTGAACTACCGATTATTTATCGTAGAGTCAACAGCTCCTAATATTCACAATTCTAGAAGAGTCACCATCAGCTCCGTAATCTGCTATTATTTAGCCACTACAAACACTGCGCATCCGCTAGAGTGACGGGAATCACCCCGTAACTACCAATTATTCAGGTTAACGGGCTCACTGATGATTCAAGACTCAGAGTCCGTAACTACCAATTATTCCAATTATCCATGCAGGTCAACAGGCCCAAAAAGCCAGAGCCAACCACAGTAATCTCTTAGATACTCACGTACAAGTCACCAGAACACTAGGTAATCTACCAGTTGTTCCCAAGTGTCAACTTCCTAATTATTCCCTACGCCATCTCCTACCAATATTCCGTACCACCCATCAGCAATATTCAACAACATCCTAAACATTACATGAAAATCGAAATCATCATCATAAGTTGCTACATTAGGCGATTTATCTAACATGTTCACTCTGTAATCTAGCGTTGTTGATTTTCAGGCTGATTGCCAAGCACACCCATTCTATCACCCTTTCTGCTATTATTGCCCCAGATTGTTGCCAGAAAAACAACCGCACTGTACTGGTTAGACGCGCGTAGGCTTCGCAGCGGCTGCAGGCGAGACGCATTGCCATCATGTGATTAGAGCCGTCACCGAGTCCGGGATTGTGCGGTATGCAGCTGTCATCGATGACACACAAATTAGTAGAAGAGTCTAGATAGGAAAAGAGCGATGGGTCGGGCGGAAGGGGCAGGCACGCTCGCCTGTGGACTGGACGACGCCACCCAGGGTGAGGTGGAGCCACCCTGCCAGTGACGGTACGGCTGAACCGGACACTCCGCGCATCACGTGCGACACACTTCTGTACATATGTGTGGTTCGCAGCCGTCGTCCCGATTGGGCAGACGAGGGGCCCAGGCTGACCCTTGCGCCAGGAGCCGGAACCGGACGGTGGCGGCTCCGAGACCCCTACGGTATCGCCAGGTGGTGGGGACAGCCCTACCCACGGCTGGAGCCGCCCAGCACCGACGCTCCCCGTCCCTGGCGCCCTCCAGCACGGATATGCCCTTAATAGGACCCGCCACGTGACCCACCCGAACGAGCCGATTCTAAAATACCCACACTTGCTGTTTCAGCGCTCGCCGTAAACAAGCATGACCGTTGCCTCTTTGGGACGATTACCGAATTCCAAACACGGCCACAAACTGCAAACAATCCCCGACAGCAATTACATGCTGATGACTTATTATTAATGTGGATGGAATGGGAAGGCCCTCCACCTCGGGCCCGGCACGACACCCCATGCTTGCCCTGGCAAGCCCCATGACGCTAGTGACGGTCAATGCTCCCGCGGGCACGACCCTCGTTATATAAAACTGCACCTCCCGCCGCTGCCCATCCCTCGTCTATTCACAGTCTTCACATATACCCTCGACTCCTCACAATGTTGGCTATCGGCGACTCCATCTTACGTCTCGTGAATTTCATCCTCCTTGTCATCGCGCTCGGCTTGACCGGCTCGTTGGCTGCCACCACTGTTTGGGGCAGTAACTCCAGAGTCAACTTTGCCGTGTTTGCCCTGGCCTTTGCCATCTTGACCTCGTCGTTGTACGGCGTGTTGGCCTACTTCGTGGCCGCCTTGGCCTGGCCTGTGATTTTGGCCACCTTTGACTTCCTCAACCTCGTGTTTACATTTGCTGCTGCCACTGCCATTGCCGCCAACATCCACGCCCACTCGTGCAACAACAAGGACTACATCGACAACAACTCCATTGCCCAGGGCAAAACCGGCAGATGCAGAAAGGCCCAAGCCTCGGTGGCCTTCCTCTACCTCTCGTTCTTCATCTTCTTGGCCTCTGCTGTGTTTTCGTTCATTGGCATTGCCAAGGGTGGATTGTTCGGCGGACCATCCAGATCTGCCCCAAGAGTGGGTGTTCCATCCACCTCCCAGGTCTAATTGTTTTAATACCATTTGTAATAGTAATAATAAATGTGCAAAGTGAGTGAGTGTAGCTCGGGCCGCTAGCCTGGAAAGTTTCGATTCCTTCACCCCTAGCTGGTGCAATTCGACTGGAATCCTTCAATCTCTGGAACTGCAGCTGGGTGTGAATGCTTCTACCCCATCCTAGCTCTGGCTATGAATAATTGCTCTACTCTGAAGTCCCTACTCCTTAATTGATATCCGTACTACTCCCTAGTAGCTCAATTCCTGAAGTGGAAACTACCCTGAAATTTCGGTTCTCAGAAAATTCGCCACTTATCGGAAAATCACCTACTTATCGTTCTAGCGTGAGTGAATTTGCCACTAGTGACCAGTCATGCTACAGTAAAGTCGGGAAAATCGTACTAAATTTACCCCAATTGGGTCAATTGGCCTGTAGCTAACAACGTAGCCGCACCACTTGACTCACATGTCCAATTGGGCCAGGGGAGGCCTCCTGGGCCAAATTTCATCCATTGCGGCACCTCCGTTAGGTGCTTTCTACTAGGTTAAATTGGCCCACCAAATCTACAGGCTCCTGGTGTCATTCGACGCCAACGTTGCGGCGTTCTCCGAGAGTGCCTAGACCAGCAGGCGATGACCATCCTTTGCGGTCATCGCCAGGGGGGCGCTACCCTTGCTGGAAACGGCGTTGCTCATCCCCGAGATAACCGGCTCACGTAAGCAACCACATTCCCGAGCCGGCTTGCGAGATGTCACTAGTTTCGCCAAGGGGTAGCTCGGAGCAACAGCAATAGCCGTGAGCAACCGAGGGGTGGCATACAGTCTGGTTGTTGCAGGGAGCAGTAGCCGGTCTTAGGTGGCCACCTGGAGTCACCAGATGGTGTCTGGGACCCGTGTCGTGTGTCGTTATGTCGCGTTTTGAAAATTGGCATCACGAGACTAGCATTCCAATGGGACTATAATCTCGTACGATATGATGCAATCGTAAGTGTAAGTTGGAGTAAAGTGTAAGTTAGAGCATAAATCCGGATGTTTCGTTATTGGGCCCGCATTTTTGGTACAGCGTGGGGCTGGGCTCATTGATCGGCCAGACTGCGCTTCAGTGGATGTTGCTCAAAATCTGGTAATTCGATGCTGTGAAAAGCGATTCGGGTGCTCAGTGGCCACTACTGCCATTTTTGGGCAGTTGGAGCATCTCTTCAAGGCAATTGATAGTAAATGAGTAGATTTTATTTTAAGTGATGATTTCATGACAATATTGAGCAATTACTAGATAAATTGAGAATTGAATTATTAGAGCAATGGTCTTAATCTGGAATATTTTACAAATTTCTATTCGCTGCTGGTCTGTCATTCTTTTGGCCATTGTAGCTCTTAAAAACTCGAAGGGCCGGCTTTGCATAGTACACCCTCCAACTTTAATATCGAGCATCACAGAACGTTTAAAGGGAAATCAACTAATTTTCGTCCCTGATCTCATGGGACTGCTGTCTCTATTTCTTACATAGTAATTTTGGACTAGTATTGATTAATAGCTATAAAAAAGAACAACCTAAAACACTCTGGAAAAAGCGATAATTCATGTTTTTGGACAATTGCACCAAACAAACTTCAAAAACGCATTTGATGAATTGACCAATTATTAGGTATAAAAGCAAAAAACTGTCCAATTATTATTATACTTAGACAATAGTACAGACTGGGGCGACCCAGCCTCCTTTGACCTTGGTACCGACCCATTGGTCCTTGTTTGCGGATTGAGATTTGTTGGAGTTAGAAGAAGTGTTTTGAGCAGCCATTGTTGATTGTTGTCTTAGATATAGGAAAGGAGAAGGCAGAGTGATTCCTATTTATATGCTGGATTTCGAAATTGTAAAGTTTCCCTTCCAGATCTAATATCCGTATTTTGGGTGCAATTTCGCAACAGAATTTCCTCAAATGGCTACCACAATAGCATTTGTCTGCGAAATGCGTAATGGAACACCTGTTCATGTTTCACAACAAGCCAGCTTATACTTGATTTGGTCAAGACTGTTAACCAACCCGACAAATCAATCGTACACTCTAATAAGATAAAGGGGTAGGTTGTTACAAGCAGTTACACACCCTAAATTTTTTATGTCAGTTTATGATCTTCTTTACTTGGAAAAGACCGAGTCAACGCTATTGCGAAGATTTAATTCGGAAAAGAGCAGAAAAAGACCAGTCCGTGTGGTATTTGTAATCAGATAAAGACTAGCTTTGAAATAATAAGCCTCGAACTATTATAATTGATTGCGGGGGTTTCTTTCTATCAAAATTCTAATGGTCCAAACCGGCATTTCTCCCTAAATAATAGACATATCCGAGGTTTAAAGAGCACCCTTTCTTGTACTTGGTATTGCCACCTCCTACAACATGATTCACTTGCTGCAATATTAATTGGTACCAGTAAGTAGTGAATCTTACTTGTAATTTCCATAGTTAATTGTAATACTTTTATTATCTATACAGTCCCGCATTTGCTACTCCTCTCATCCATTATAGACTACTTCTTGTTCTTTCTCATCTTCTTCTCCCTCTCGTATTGATTCTTCTCAGCACCTTCTATAGTACTGATAGAATTGACAATGTTGGCCATCTTTTTGTGGTATTGCTCGTACATTTGCTTCTTCTCCAGAATTCTTTCTCCTGCAACGAAACGGGTTTCTTGTCTGATGTCCTTGAGGGTGGCCTTTCTTTCCTTCTTGAGCTGGTTCTTCATCTTGTTCACCTCTTGTCTTTCTCTGTTGATGTCGTATGACTTCTTGTCAGGGTTGAAGTTCTCTTCGAACTTAGGTGCAAATGTGGCAATGGCTAATGCTCTGTGGTTTTGTAATGCTAATGGTTTTCTGTCCTTGGTAGCGTTGGTCTGGAGTTTGACGAGCTTATTCAAAAGCTCACTACTGGACGAAGAGTCGTATTTGACTAAATGCTTGACAATGACAATGAAGGGATCGATAATTTCAATCAACGAGCTCTGATCCTTCCACACGCCAGTTATCCTGTCCACCAATGATAAGAGCTTCAAAAGAATTTGGTATCTGAACTCGATAGTAGGTTTTTCTTTGACAAGATCAGAAATGCTGATTGGCTGCTTTGTATCCTTGTATTTTTGAGTCTTTGCGAGGTTGAGGTTGCTGTTGATGATGTTGTTAGTCGATAAGAGCTTGGAAGCAGTTCCGATCTTAGTGGGTTCAGGAATCAACAACAAGAGTGACTTTTCCACAAAGTTCACCAATTCAGGACTGTACCTCTTAGAAAATTTCTGGTAGTTCAATAATTGGTCCGCAATGAAGGTGCCCTGGGCAATTCTTTGCAAGGAAACCTTCAGGGTGTAGGTGAGCTTGGATAACACTTCGTTCATCAAAATTAAAGTTGGAGTAACGATCAAATGGTAATGATCAGAGGTGGAAAAAAGGTATCCTACAAGCACGAAGAATACCAAATCTCTCTTGAGAAGGATTCCTTCACTGTCCACAATTCTATCTTGAATTTGGTTAATTTCCTCTCTGACATTCTCAACCAAAACTTCGTTGTAGGCCTCTGCTAGCTTCTTGACGATCTTGATCAATTTTTCAATCAATTGTTGTGACTCTGGTTTTTCTTCTTGGGTCAAGTGGAGGATATGCTGAAACAAAATTCCCACGAAAACGTTCATTCTTTCTTTGTTGCCTTGGGCCAAGTTTGGTCTATAAGTTTCGATGATTTTGTTGATGTAAGATGGCTGCTTTTCGATCTCAATGGCATGGAGTGATTGGATAAACTCTTCATGGTTTGCTGGCATGCTTACTTGTGGCTTTCTTGCTAGGGTTCTGCCGAATTTAGTGGAAGTCAGACCTTCCTCTCCCTCTTCCTCTCCACTACCCGATTCTTCAGCGTCGTCTTGTTCTTCACCATCAATGGCAAAGCCTTCTTCCTCGTCACTTCCTGCCCAGAACTCATCATCCAAATCATCGCCGGTAGCAGCTCTATCCATATCCACACCGTTCATTCTGTTCAACCGGTCTGTTTCCAACTTCTTCATTTTCTCGTCGTGTTCCTTTTGGATTTCTTCTTCGGTTTTGGTTCTGTCTGCTGGGACAGCTCTTCTGTCGTATGTCAATTCCCTGACCTTGTTGTCGTATTCTCTTTCTTCGTCGGTTTTGGTGGAGAACTTGGGGGCTGCTGGGGCCTTGATATTACCCATTTCTTCCATGATATCTCCGAAATCCTCGTCCAAGTCTTCGATATTAGTCTGGGACTTCTGGAATTCTTGCTGTCTTTGCTTCTTGTAGAATTTGGCTTTGGCAATCACTTCCTTCATCACTTCAGCCTTCGTCTTCTTTCTGACGGGTCCTTCTTCCATCTGATCCTCGTCCACGTACCTGGTGGTCGAATCTCCCAACGTGTCCTCGTCGTCCAAGGTCAATGCTTTCCCCGAGTGGGTAAGAGTGAAGCCACCGTCGTCGTCCTCGTCGTCGTCCTCATCGTCACTGCCAAGGGCAAATACGTTTCTCTTCTTAGACGAGACCTGTCTTTCCCTGGTGAATCTCTCCAACATCTTTTCTTCAGCACTCAAGTGCTTGTTGTTTTCTCCAAATCTTCTATCCTGCAATCCTCCTGTCTTGCCCTTGGTCTTCTTCTCCAAGTCGTATTGCATCTTCATGTTCTTTTGCACAGCAGAATGGGTTCTGGTGGCATCGTTGTGCTGCTTGGAGCCCATTTTGACGAACTTACCTCCCTGGATGATCGACACATCGTGCTTGGTTCTATTTATCCTCTGGTCGAACTGGTTGAACTGGGTTCTGATTCCACCAAGGATCTTGTGCTTATCGTCTCTTCTTGTGTCATGGGGAGTCTTTGATTTTTGGTTCTTTTTTTTGGCGTTGGTCTGGCCGATCAAGCCCTGTGACTTCAAGGCTGCCTTGAGCTGTTTCAACTGAGATCCGGCCATGCTGTGTGGTGGTTCAGGTAATAGCTGATGGGGTTGGTGAAAAAAAGACTATATCATCGTGCGGCGTGCACTTGCCTAAATCGGACTGAGCTGCGATGGAAGTGAGTGTGCGATGGACTATGTCAAACTGCCAAAGCAGGGGAAACAGAACGTGATTGATGGATGGAGCCAACCAGCAATTCAGGGTAAGTAATTGTGGAGGAAAGTACGATTACTTGCAATTCAGCGCAATGTGTATGCAGAGTTGCTTGTAGCCACTACTGGGGCTATTTCTCCATTTGCAGCCAGTCCTAGACTCGGTGGGTTACTTTATTGCGGAGAAATGCTTGGAGGAGTTTACCAGAAAGGTTTAGGGCAAAGAGGTTCTTCAGCTATGTTTGCTTACTTTTGTTGGAATTTGTTATTCGACAATTAGACGAGTTCAATGTGGATGCGAACCTGGAAAGTTCATAGTCGAACAAATATGGAGAATCTGTCAACCTAGCATGTTCGTTCAGAATGCCAATATGGAAATTATAGACCTAGTATATGCCTGGAAAAGAAAACGGGATATCAATTCTTATTGGCTCTCTGACACATTTTAATTTTAAAATCGGGTGTGTGAAGAACAGCCATTATAAAGGCACCTTCCTTTTACATACACGAGTATCTGTAATTCGCTTGAAATGTGAGCAGAATGCCCCTCATTATGGTTTCCATCACCAACTGGGACTGTACATATGAGTGCTCCATAATCAAACTAACCTTGCTATACAAATTTGGCTGACTGTTCATTGATGTCAACTACTAGCTTTACCAGGAAAAAATGAAAACATGCAAATATCTACAATCATATATAGGTAGAAGGATTAATTACAGATCCTTCTACAAAAGTGTTTGAATAACATGCAATTAGTTAATGAAATAAATATGTTTCCTGATGATAAGATAGATCTATCAAAGATGGCTATCAATCACCAGTCTTATCTGTTGATATCTTGTTTGTAGAACTGGTTTAACATTCCTAGAACTCCCGATTTCTTGCCTTTGTGATACTCATTTTGATCCAGCTCTTCGAACTTATAGTTAATATTATATGTGGACTCACTCAAGCTATGGCTAAGCAGACTGTTTGCATTGCCTTGTCCTGGGTATATTAATGAAGGCGATGGGTCGAATTGAGAATGCAGAGCTTGATGATTGACATCCTCACCAATTTTGGCCGCTTGGAGTGGAGTAGGGGCAAGATACTTTCTGGCCACAGGCTTACTCTCTGGGGGAGTCACTCTAGCATTCGCATTGGTTCCCCCATAACTTTCTAAGAAGTACATGTATGACTTGATCATCTTGTCATCTTGGTAGTAGTCATTATTCAATCCTGTGTCACTCGCAACTTCATCAGAATCAGATGCCTCGGAGTCGCTTATCTTAGCCTTTTCATTACGGTTGGGTCTGATGTTTTCAAGCTCTATTTCTCCTGGAGTCACCTGCCGATTTGACTTTGTAGTAGCAATTTTCGATTTACTGCTATACCTGTGCCTATGAGGCTTCTTCTTGTTCAAGTCATACATCATGTTCTTATCCTTCTCCTCGAAATTGAACATTGCAAAGTAGCAGACGTATCCCAACCCATCCACATGGATGGAGAAGTCCCTGAAAAAGTCAATCACCGCACCTGAGTTGTTCAGAACCTTGAACCAAAGGATGAATGGTGTCAAGATCAAGCTTAAAATTTCATTCACAATTATAACGATTTTCAAGCTGTATAACTCACAAAATTCATTCTTGACACCCATGGTATGGAGTCTTCCGTTCCAAGAGCTAGGCAAATAATGGGTGAATTGGGAAACATAACGCAAGCTAGCTTCAGGGTCATACACGAACGACGAAGTGTTCGTGTTGGCATTTTCAGAGGAGTTTGTTGAGGAACTGGGGGAGTCCATTGAAGTTGATGTAATTGCCCACACGGTACCAAAGAAACTGATATAGAATAAACTCGATTTTCCTTCAGTAATTTCGAAAGACCAGAAACTGTGTTCTTCATCCTCAAACCAGAGTCCCATAATGACTAGAATGGCCATAATCGAACCCAGTATAAAATTAACGAGGTACATCAAATTGACCACTATGAAGCCTCTTGGGAACTGGTTGATATATGTGTTCGCTGGACCAACAGAGAGATGCAATCTTCGGATAAAAAAATGTGGCAACTCGTTGAACTCTCGCAATTTCCAGTGTGCAAATGGGGTGTACTGTCTCAAGCCAAGCAATGAAGAAGGATTGGACTTGTACTCATTGAAATACCTGAAAAAATAAAGCAACACGAAGTAGATCACAATAAATGGACTTAGTATAAGGTTGATAATCGCCGCCATTTTGAACCGTGAATTGAGCTCTCTAGACAATTGATTTCTATTATGCTCCTTCAATATATTGGGATTGATTTGGCCCTGTGGGTTAAAAATGAAATTATTAATACATAACTTCAAATTCCACTCCAAGGTTTTTGTCAAGATAGACTTGCTATTGATGACCAGAATTGATTTGAAGGGAAGATTCAACGATAAGTCTAGGACCTCCTTGTTTATCAATGCAATGAAGTAATTTTCCTTCCTCATGATTCTATTGGCAATATCATGAGCATTGAGACGGACTTTCGATTTCAAGTCGCTGTGGTAATGATGGTCAGGGTTGCTTGGCTCGTTGGTTGATGTTAAGCTATTGTAGTCCTTGAGAAGCATTAGCCTTTCCACGATCGTTTTCCAGGAAATGGTCATCAACTCATTGTCGTTGGCGATGCCTATGAGATGGATGTAGAAGTTTCTGATCTCCCGCAACTTGTAGTTGTAGTCGAAGTACAACTGGATCAACCTTAGAACAATGTAGCCAAAGAAGCCGAGGAGCAAGAGCTTGACTCCCCAAGGCACTTCGTTGATGATAAAATGAGGAATAATCAAGTCTCCAAGGGTGATTTGGGTCTTGGTCTTGTAGTTATCGTAGAAGATCTGGTAGTTGATGCCCCATTTGAGGAAAATGGAGAAGTACAACACAAACACCAAGATGACGAGATCAACCACCCTGGTGACCACGATATTGAGAAGGCCCTTTCCTCGATAGTAGTAGTAGATATCGGTGAGAAACTCGTCCATGTTCATGATGTTGGCCCACAAGTAGAGGGCACGTTCCTTGGGAGGCACCACGAACTTCTGGGGTCTCTTTCTTTGGAACAATTCGGTGTTGGTAGGAGCCACAGGCTCCTTGGGGACTGGTTTTCGGTACGAGGAAGCCAGTGTGGCCCCAGGAGCTGTGTTGAAAAGTGGCAAGGGAGGCTCCCTCGACTTGTGGAAGTAGTTGCGTGGGTTGGGGATGTTGAATGTGAGCTTTCTGGGCTTGGGAGGACTGGGTCTGTTCAAGCTGGTCAACAAGTCGTCTTCATCGCTATTGTGATCGTCGTGCAACGCAGCCTGGCCCACGTTCCAATTGATGTGGCCAGGAGGCAGTCCAGCGTGGGTCTTCTTTCTGGTCTTAACAGAGTCAGTGGCGTTGAGTTTGGGCGATCCCGACGCCGATGGCGACAGTGACAAGTCCAGATCGGACTCCGAGTCCAATAGGGTGTTGTTTGTGGCGGTAGGAGCCAAAAGAACGCTTTCTGGCTGGATTGGGACTGGATTGGGACCATCATCTTCTAGTCTGGAGGGACTGTTTTCGAGGTCAGGATCGTAGAATTGGTAGTTGTCATGGAGCTGATTGTAGACTGAATGGAGACCAAACACACGCGAGAGGAACGTGTCGTTGGTGGCAGACGCCGAGTTGTGGGGAGGGCTGTAGCCAGACATGGTGTGGAGGAGAGGAGGAGGGCGGTTGAAGATACGTGATGTGTGACACGTGATATCGGATCACGCTGTGTTTGATAACGTTTGGTGATAAGGACCGGGGGGTAGGCGACACGGAGCCGCGACATTGGGCCGGGACGACCTGATGGGTAGGAGGGCAGGAACTGGCAGCTGATGGAAATTGATAGTTGCCCAGTGGCCGAGGGTCTCCCGAGACTTAGCTCAAGATCACGGTACGAAAGTAGTATGTATAAATTTATTTGTGTATTTTATTCTATAGGCTGGTAACGGTTAGACTAGTCAAAGTGCCGCGAATTTGCCAATTTGATACTTGCCCTCTTTACTAGTATCTGGGATATATATACTTACGTGCCCAATGATGGCTATTAGCGAGATGCCCAAGAGAGTAGTTGACTGAGTAAGCCTATGGAATTAGCACTATAAATTGGCAAAACACTGTGGTTTTTGAAAGAACTGCTACTTAGTAAAGATTATAGTCTTGATAGCTGTGACGTGACCGATAGAACGCTTCATCTCCAACATAAGTTCCGTAGCATTATTATTAATCATGCGATAATTATTTCAACAGGTAATGGTTCGGTTGGAGCTATGCTAATGCGCCATGCTGTTGCGACATCTGGGATATGGGAAGTGATATCGACACACCTCAGCGATCACAATGAAACGACAGTCCAGGTAAAAACTGACGATGTGACTGTCAAGGCATCTAACAGAGATGGGTCATCCACACGTTCTAAAAATTAAAGCGAATATTTTGTAGTATTCTGGAAAGATAATTGTCAATGGAAGCAACATGTTGAGTACTGGAACACCTGGGCAAACAGCTTCCCATAATCCTGAGACTTCAAAGCTGATAAAATTATTGGGGAAAAGGAAACTACGATTTGGCCCGAAATTATTACTACGAAAACAAAAAAAATGAATTGCATACTCACTAGCTCACAATCTGTGACTTGAATTCAATCCGATACAAGCAGCAAGCTTATTAGAATATACAAATTTAATCAAGCATGATTGGGAATTCCAAACTCTTTTAACCGGTTTCAAGCATACAATAGTGGGCAGGGCACAAAAATGATCAAGTCGAGATCCAGATTGTATTCAGTCTTTCTACTTCGAGTCTGTTGTCCAACAAAGTCGATAGAAATTCTACTTTTTTACCACTGAATACGTTACTGAGGATTAGTTGAACCTATTAAACCATATATGAAATATGAAGCTAATTTAATACTAATTCAAAATATATTAAATTTCCTGCAAGTGTGGTTTTAGCATTCAGTTATTTAGATTGACGCCAACTGAATATTCAAAGGGAAATTAATTAGTATTTCCAGTAAAAAAAAACGATTTTCATTACTGTTACACGATGATTTGAGGAGGTAATTTTATAGCAACTAACCTATTCATAGAAGCCCGTGATAATTACTGTTGCATAGGGGAATTTTATAGTAACTAACCTATTCATAGATGCCCGTGTTATTACAATCAAGAATCATAATTCAACTGTTAATAGAAAAACAGCTTTTGCTGATTTTAGTTATATTAGTTAATGGTCTCATTCGATTGCCTGCACGCAAGCTCCCGCCAGAACCAAGCGAATGCGTGACTTTCTTCAGGTGACGTGCCCCCCGCGAGTCCCCCGCTGATGAGCGTCACTGAGGGGTCCAGGCATCGGCGCCATGGCACCAGAAGGTGACACCAGACAATGACACCAGAAACCGACACCGAAAGACGACACTAGCAAGGGCGACATTAGTAGGGCAGCGCACGCCCTGCTGACCCGGTCCCCTCGCTAGGCGTCCCGAGTCAGAGCTCTCAGGGTCCTGAAGCGTACACCCCGGGCAGAAACGGTACAACGGTGAGCGCAACGGCGAGCCTCCACGCAATAATGACCTTCGGCGGTAGGAGCGTGGGGTGGGGCGGAAGCGACGCCACCCCATTGGGGAAGTCACGTGCGCAGAGAGAGAGGGGGAAGGATTGCATTGGCCAGGAATCGGGAGGCCCCCTGCCTAGTTAGGCGAGCGATTTGCGAGGCGCACCGCACCGCACGTACCGCACGCACTGCAGGGCTGGGAGCTTTAGTGGGACGGTGGGGGTAAGGTGTGTGGGGGCCAGGTGTAGGAGTGGGGGAAGGCTGTGGGCGATGGGACGACGGATAGGGCACCACCTTCTTGCCCCCACTGGCGCCAGAGTCTCGGAGCCTGGCGCTGGGTGCAGACTCCCGCCGTGGGCCACCCCTCCCCCCAGGCCCCCCCCCTCTTTCCCCCACTGTACCCCACCTTTCTAGTCACTTTACAAAAATGCGGGGTGGCCATCGCACAAAAGCGTCCCCTCCTATTTAATAGGACGGTGACTGGCATACACACCGCCAGATTGGCACATTCGTATATAGTTGCTGAATCTGCACCGGTAGTTCAGTTTGGCAAATTAGTCAAGATAGAAAGATAAATCAGCAGAAACAAAACGACCGCCACACTAGACGGCCTACAGACAAGACGAGACATTCGCTGGAGCCCCCACAGACCTCCAGTCACTACAACTGCAGTCACCATATCTCCAGGACACCTGCAGTCACTACAAGCACCAAGCGCATCCCCCCATGGCAGACCCCGTCTCCCCCACCGGCCCTCCCTACCCGGAGGACCACCCCAGGCCCAACTACGGCTCCAAAACAGCCTCCGGAAATCCCAGAATCTACAATTGCAAGCAGTGCAACCGCGCCTTCACCAGAGAGGAACACCTCACCAGACACACCCTCTCGACCCACAACAAACTCAAGCCGTTCACCTGCGGTATCTGCCAGCGCCCGTTCTCCAGAAGAGACTTATTGCTTCGCCACGCCAAAAACCTCCACCAGGGCTCCGAGTTGGCAGTCAGCAGGATACGCAAGCTGTACCGCCGCAACGAGTCGCACACAAACGCATCCGACGACTACTTGGACGCTGCAGACACCAGCATGGACTACAAGGGCGACCCGCACGACACTCCCACTACCCGCAGAAGCATAGACAACTCCGACTTGATGCCCACGCCAGCGCCCCCCGCGTTTGTGCCGGAGGCGCCTGCAATCTCCGCAGTGATCCACGCCCCCTCCACTGCCAGCTACACTCCCTCCACGCCGCTCCAGGCGCCCCCGCCACCAGGATACGAGGACCCCCAGAAAAAGCGCATGAAGATGTCTGTCAATATGTTGGTGAGCTAGTCTTGCCTGTGTATAATACCATTGGGCCCCCGCCTGTAATGAATGTCACGTAACTGGCGTAGGGTGGGAGACCGCGTGATCCGGATCACGTGAAGCATTACGCCCTTCTCGTATGCCTCTGGTAGGCCACGGGATTACATATACTTAACTTATTCAATCCAGAGCAAAGAGCACCTGTAATAGAGCCTCTTGTAACTGCAGTTTTTTGTGGCAGAACAGCGGTTTCAACAATGGTACAATAATTACTGCGGACGGCTAATGAACATTACTAGCCTTTTAATGGCATTTTACGATAACGCAGCATCGTATGGATTTCGATTGAAATTAAAGTTACGCAAATTAAATCATTTCAGATTAAAATTGGGACCATAAAAATTATAATATAAATACCCTGCTTGTTGCCAAAGTATGAGTTTAACCAAGTTTCTTAAATTAAATTTTGCTGGTGTTAGTATCGGCCGTTTACTGATAACGCAAAATCCATGGAAGCTAGCTAGGAATGATCCAATATTTGATTAATTTGATTCTAACTAAACAATACAGCCCCCGTTTCCCCGTACCACACCCCTTGGCTTGCACTTTGGGTGGCCAGTATTTTCGCAGCTATTTATGGAGTGCATTTGACTTTTTGATGCTGCCACATATGTAGAGATACCTCCATCTGTACATACGGATTTCGATAAAGAATTAGGTACTAATCTACCTTTGTTGCACCTGGAGCAAAAGAAATTATTGCTCAACACAAGAATGTAAAGTCCTAAAATTTTAAGACCAAAATACGTTACACATCCTAGCAAATAATGCCTGGAAGACAATAATAAAATTTCATTCTTTTCATATGTATTTCTTACATACTGGTTAGTCTTAATTTCTTCCCTGAGAGAAACTTCGTTACCCTCTTGTCAGAAAGGGCTGTTAGCAAATTTTTTTTTATAAAACGAATATTAAAAGTATTTCACCTCCTATCCACTTATTAACCACTCTAACGTCTACCAGCTCTAGAGGTACAAGTGTGACTAGGTACACCAAACATCTTTGGCTGCCATATTACAGTTGAGTTGTTGAATTTAGATCTTTGCCTGCTGCTAGGGTTTCTCTTTGAGAAATAGTATTTTTATGTAGTTAAGTACTATAGTAAAATCTTAACCATATTTTAGAGTTAAGGTACTCACCTAATACTATTCGACATGCTGATCAATCACTGAGCATGCTGATAAATCACTAAAAAAACCGCTATTATGTAGTATCGTTCTTTTCTTTTTATGCGATTCATTCAGTTAATTTTCACAATAATCTCCCTCTCGATTTCTCCCCACGAATTGAGTTTCAGCTCTTAAAGTCAATCATTGGTCCAGTTTCTTTCTTATCATTACCCTGACTGCTTCTGATCTGAGATCAAGAACACACTCTGCTATTACACCTTCGATCCACACATTCGGCACGTGCCATATCGCGCGTGACTCAACATCGCCCATCGTTCTTCTTGATTCAACCATGTCTGTTGGAACTCCCCAATTGCAGTACCACGTTCCGTATTACTCCCAGCCGCTACAGGATGGTCAGGATGACATTCACAGTCACTGGCACGTGATTCTAACCACCACAGGAAAGCATTTCTACTTCAACAGCAAGCTCAAAACTTCCCACTGGCAACTACATGATATCAAGACAGTATACGGGTTTGAGACCGTGGAGTGGGACGAATTCGTGAATTGCATAGAGTATGACGAGGTGGCAGTGCTAGCTGCCAAGATCCGTGGCTTGAAAGGTTTGGGACTTCAAAACCAGAACCAGCAACATATCGTGGATGAGAAACAGGAAGAGGCTGTTCCAGAGAAGATCACTGAGCACTCAGACAACGAAGCCAGTGCAGGAGAGAATAGTGACGACAAGCATGATTCAGACTCAGAGGTTGACGAGGAGGCTCGAGATGAGTACATCAGCAATCTCCTTAAGGAAGAGGGCTTCATAAAATCTCCTGAGCCGGAAACAGAACAATCAGATGGCGAGAAGCAACATCCTGCTGGTGGTTTGGTAGGCTACTCGTCAAGCGAAGAAGAAGAAGAAGAAGAAGAGGACGAAGAGGAGAATGAAGAGCTTGAAGCATCCGCACTCGAGAAAGATGGTAAACAAATTAATACAGGTGATGTGTCTGCGCAGGACTCAGAACAACGCCATGTGGAGGAGGGCTCAGATTCGGAGGACGAGGTGAATGCAGATTTGGACTTGTCGCTTTCCGATGGTGAAGATGCAATTTCTGGAACAAGTCTGAGAGACGAATTTGTAAGGCTCTTGGAGTCTCTCGGAGGCAAAATCTCCATCTACGATTCGTGGCCCATGATAGAGGAGGAATTGATCTCTGAATTGGTGCAGCATGCTGAATTTTACTCTGTCAAGAGTATCCAGGAAAGAGAAGAAATATTCAATGGGTGGGTCCAACAGCAGTTGGGTGAGGTCAAAGCCGATTCCCCGTCGCCCATTCAGGAGCCAGAGCCACAAAAGTACCCATCACCTCCTATTGAATACTTCCGAATTCTCCAGGACTTCAAATCTGACATCAAAAAGATGTATTATCAAGAGTTTTTCAATCAGCATCAAGAAAGACTTCAAGAATTGGAGTTAACCAAACGAGAAAAAGAGAATCTCTACAGAGAATTCAAGGTGATGATCACCGATTTCTCGCAATACGAACGCAAGATTAAAAAGTCCAAGAGTTATGACCCCAACCAGAACTTGAAGAAAGCGGAATTGCTTAAGTTTCTCAAACAGAGGAGAAGTACTATCCAGTCGGTCTTAGCGGCTAATTCTGCAGCAGAGGGCATGCAGGTCAACGACCATTTCGCAAAATGGATACTGTTCCTCAATGCCAACGAGTTTCCTGCTGACATCGCAGAAAACTGCACCAATTTCATTGTTGGTGACGAGAAGCGATTACAATGCTACGAGGAGGTGTTCTGTGATGACAAATAGAGAGATCGGTGAAACACCTTCATAGTCCCCGTGACTCTCCAAGCAGGGCTCGGAAATTTATGTTCCGCGGAGTTCCTGACACGGCTTGGAAATATCCCAAAATGTGAGGATGAGTTTGAGATTAAAGGTGAGATATATCGATATTTTTACGCTATGCAGCGCTTCAAAATTTCTCAATAAAATTATTGGACCAAAATAGCACATCGATATTTTCTGTATGGTCTATTAGCGCGAATCCAAATTATAATAGATGAAACGAATATAAGCTGATGTTTGTTATAAAATATTTGCTCAAAGCAGCCAAGCTGCTGGGGGCACGCATGCATGAGCGAACGCATTGTGGGACTTGTATCCAGGACTTATATTCCGTCGGTATTTTGCGGATATGCGCATTCATGCAACCAGTCTAATTGAAGTTGTCAAAAAGGAAGCACTTCCGCATTCGGCTGGGTACAAACGAATGGAACGAGGAGGTGTGCTATTGTTGCAGCACCAGGCTCAAAACAATCCATGGTGCAATAGTATAGTCGGGTCCAGGCTCAGGGATCGCAGTCGCATATTTCCTTGTGGATGCAACAATGACTTACCCAACAGTTTGTCGCTGGTCAGCTGGAAGGTTTTGGCGATAATTACGAGCGTATATCTGATGGTAGATCCGCAAGATGCGATCTCTTCGGCCCTGACGGAAATAGGTCAGTTCTTTTGACCGAAAGGGACAGGTGAAGTGACCCAACAGCGCTACCAGACAAACCGGTGAAAGCCCTCAAATGGATAAGATACTCTGGCAGTGTATTGTAGTATGGGTGTTCCACTATCTGGATCGATAATTTTTTCATGGTTGTGAGAACCGTCTGGTGGCTTTGGATGTTCCACAATCGAACTGTAGCGGTGCAACAGGGGAGAATCCACCTGGTAGTCGTTTTCCGAAAGCCACTGCATTGCGATCTGGCTTGCTAACGCATCTAATTTGGCCCTGAGATGATGCAATGAGATGCGAATAAACTCCCGAATGCTTAACTGCTACACAACATGCAGATAATGGCACCATGAGTCGGAGCAAAGGGATCCAGCGAGGCGACGCCAGCGAGGCGTAGACATATAGCGACAGCTCCAGATATTATTATGTTTATCTTCTTATCTTTAAGTTTGTTACTTAGTGGAAGTAGACACAAAGGTTAATCCGGGTACCTCAGATTTCTGCGATTCGGACTCATGCTTTTTAGCTTCTCGACCATGTAGGAGTTTGCCTCATAAAGAAGCCAGATATTGTTGGTTTCGAGAGGGTCCATACGGCAATTGGAAGCGTTCTAGAAGCAAAATAGGGCTGTTCCGAGCGTGGCAGGCTTATCGTGGCTGCTGAGAGCGTTTTTGGCCTGTCACGGTTGGCAGATATCCGCGGGTCAATGTGTTATCCGTGGTTGGACTATCAATTGGGACTGACTCAGTAGAAGCTACTACAGGACAGTTGAATACAGAATTACGGGCAGTAGTGGAAATGCCCATCAATGGTAGAAAGCACACACAACAGCACTCAGTAGTGGGGTTTCCAGGCAAAGTATCCAATTGAGAAATCAATTCACAGGGAACTGCAGATCTGTCATTAACTCAATTGGACCATTCCTCGAAATAACCGCCATAAATGCCAATAGCTTCTATACAGAAGACCAGCATCCATATTGCGTACATCCTTTCAATGCTCCTCTAGCACGAACCACTTGAGTTCGAACTTCTCCTGGAATCACCAGCTTCGCTTCAAGCATTGGATTTAGAGGCGAACTGTAGTTCGTTATAGAGGACTGACAGAGGCTTACAACGAATAGTTGGCTGGAAGACACCAATTGCTTGGCCTGGGTGGGGCATGGAGCACCCCTCGCTAACACGCTAGTTTCTTGAAAATACCACCACGCACACGCGCACTCTCGCTAACCCAGTGCCGCTCTCGCTAGTTGCCACGGTAGGGGCGACCACCGCGCCCGACGACGCCTCAAAATCTTCTCGCTAGCTGCGCACGATCCTCTCGCTAGCTGCCTATGGTCCTCTCGCTAACTTCCGCCCCGCCGCCCGCACTACCTCCCCATCTTCCCGCTAACTCCTGCCCTTCCCCATCTTTAATACTACTCCCAATCTTCACCATCACCTACCATGTCCCGAGTAGTTGTCACTGGGCTTGGAATGATCACGCCACTAGGTGTTGGCGTTACTCCTACCTGGGCCAACCTTCTTGCCGGAAAAAGCGGGTTGGTTTCCACTAAAACACTTCCAGACTACCAGTCTGGCGGCTGGAAAGACATCCCCTGCAAAGTGATAGGAAAAGTACCTCAATGGAACAGCGAAGATCATCTAGATAAGGCAGAGTCCAGGCGCTTGGCTCTCTTTGCTCAGTACGCCATGGCGGCTACTCAGGAAGCGCTCACAGACGCCAAAGTTGACATGCAACAAACTGACAAAACCCGTTTTGGCGTGGCAGTTGGTAGTGGAATCGGCTCCTTCCACGACATCCATGACAATGCCACCAGCTTCACTACTGGCGGCTACAAGAAGGTCCAGCCATTGTTCATTCCCAAGTTGTTGACCAACATGGCGGCAGGAAACATCTCCATCAAGCACGGACTCCAGGGACCCCTCCACACGGTGTCTACCGCGTGTGCCACGGGTCTACACGCAGTGGGAGACGCCTACAACTTCATTCAGAATGGCTATGCCGACATCATGGTGTGTGGTGGTACAGAGAGCTCGATCCATCCGTTGGCTTTGGCAGGGTTTGCACGAGCACGATCTGTGGTGACAGACTTCAACGACGACCCTGAGGGTGCCAGTAGACCCTTCGATGCCCGTCGTAACGGATTCGTCCTCAGCGAAGGGTGCGGAATCATGATTCTCGAGAGCTTGGACCACGCAAAGGCTCGTGGCGTGGACCCCAACGCTATCTACGCCGAGATCAAGGGCTACGGGCTCTCGGGAGATGCCCATCACATCACAGCACCAAAGGAGGACGGCGACGGTGCGTTCCGTTCCATGGAAATGGCGGTAAAGCGTAGTGGGCTCCAGCCCCATCAAATCGACTACGTCAACGCCCATGCCACGTCAACCGTGATTGGTGACCGTGCCGAGAACAACGCCATCGTGCGGTTGTTCGAAGGCTGTGACGATAAACAATTGTCGGTGTCGTCGACCAAATCGTCTGTGGGCCATCTTCTAGGGGCAGCCGGCGCCGTGGAGTCCATATTCACCATCAAGGCCATCCATGACTCGGTGGTGCCGCCTACCTTGAACTTAGACATCGTTGGCGGCCACAAAGGAGGCGACGACCCGGCCAAGTTCGCCAAATTCGACTATACGCCCCACGAGAGTAAGAGCAAGAACATCGACTATGCCTTGTGCAACTCGTTCGGGTTCGGAGGCGTCAACAGCACGGTGTGTTTCGGCAAGTACCAGGCATAAATCACATATTGCACCAGTAGAGATGTAAAATAGCCAATATGAAGAAAAGTAACATGCGGTTGTGGGCATCCAAAAAGTAGTTGGAGATGATGGATGGGAGGTAACAGCAGAGACGAAATCGACAGACGGGGCAGATTGCTATGTCCTGGCTGAAATTTCTAGCATTCAAGACAGAGTGGTTTTTATTCTAGGAATTTCCAGAATCGGCCAAGAAGGTACATCTTCAGCGGAGCCATTGACTGTGCAACTCTCCGCAAGACTTCAAGGTAAATGGGCTAGTTAGATTTGAATTATTGTCATTTCTGGCTGGCTAATTTGCAGTCGGGTGGCCGAGTTGTTTTTCGGTGATTCGCGGCTATGATTGCGTTACAGTTAGGTGTCGCTTATACTTTACTAAGGGTATCTATACTAACCATGCTTTTATGCATTCAGCTTCGCTACAACCTTCCCAGTCCCTTGCGATCATATGCCCATCTCGTTCCAACGGGATTCATAACTAATTTCACAACGTCCAATTTCAGAACACTAATTTAACTATAGACTAATTTCAGAATCACTAATTTCAGTCCAACCAATTCCAAAGGGTTTTTCAGCCTAAACTCGCCGTTGAAATAGTAGGATGGTCCTTAAAGTGTGTCATCTAGACCACCTTACTACAGACTATTTTCGAAAGAGCCAAGACTGGCTCTGGATCCAGATCAGAAATCACGTTCAGAATATGTTCGGTGGCTGAGGACGTAAAATAGACATACGACGGATGTCTGATCCAGGAATGTAGCTGGATCCGATAGTAAAGCTTGGCTGCTCGACCCTTATGTTGCGGCTATCAATCAATGAACAGCTTTCGGCAACATTGTCTAATTTACATTAGTGAAAAAGGCTCTCCAAATCCATGAAGACAACGTCCTTTTTTCTACTCGGATATACTTCTACTCACCATCGCTATCGATTTGGAACTGAGAGCTCCCCTCGACGGGTACGTCATCGAGCTCGTATTCGGCAGCTTCGATGTCAGCACCAGTCGTGCCCACCCTGGTGTACTGCGTGGTCGACCCTCTCCCGACGAGCTTTTGCACAGCCTGCGAGGCTTTTGCTACCCTCAGCCTGAGGCTTGAAAACAAGACTCTCCGGCCGTCAGTTCCTACCATCAACCACACAATTATTCCAGACAAGAACATAAAGATAAAAATGCCGTACCACCGGTGCGGTTTTATGTTCCACACCAGCTCGCCGTTGGACGACGAGTATTGGTTCTCATAATCGAAAAAGTGGTACTTTTCATCACCCCTGGGTTTGACAAACTGTGGTCTAGGAGCAATTCCATCCTGCTCTGCTCCAAATTTGTACACGTTGGGAGAGGCGGTATGGAAGAAGCCTGGACGCTCGAGCAAGACGCTGTTCTCGTAGTTGGGGTTTTGCTCTTCTTCCGACAAATTCATTTCCTTGATGGTGTAATTGTTGAAGGCTTGAATGTACTCATCGTTGGCATAAAGAATGGCCCGTCCTAGGGTCCATGAGAACGACGACCCTTCCAACTCCTCTACCAACTGCAATGACTTGAATTTGTTGTCTTTGTTGGGACGCTCGTCGATGCCAAAGCGTGGAAACCCAAGCCCCAAATGCAAGAAGTTCAAGATCCACGATGACTTGAAGCAGAGCTCGGCGAGCTCGTGCTCCTCGAGCTTGTACTTGTCCTTTTTTGCGTCGTTCAATTGCATCAAAGAGATGAACGACTTGGAGCAAACCTTGGTTGTTTCTTGATAAATCAACGCGTAGTCGTAGGTGTCCTCCTTGGAAGCGGAGGAGTTGGATTCCTCCTTCAGCTGATCCTTGTTTTTGGATTCTTTTGAGTGCTTGGACCTTTTCAGTTGGTCGTTCGTGCTGGACTCTTCAGACTGCTGCAGTTGGGACTTGGACGGGTCTGTATCGTGAGCCTGCTGGTTCTCCACTGGATCCTTCTTGCCTGGTGCCTCTCCAGTTTCGTACGACAATAAATTGGTAATTGCATCCCAGTAGCCACTCACAGCTATGAAATGGTTTACGTCAAAGTCAAAAGCAGGAATCAAATCGTTCAACAAGCATGTGCTGACCTGGTTGTCCTCGCTGAACTGCTTGCAGCTGGAGTCCTCGGTGGTGTGGTCGTTGTGCAGAAGAATAGGAAAGATCTTCTGCATGCATGTTAGGAAGTTGCTCGCACCAGTGAAATCAAATGTCACATCATTAATCTTGATGGAGGTGGTGTATCCGATGGGAAGGCATGGGTCGGGCACGGGAGAACGGAGTCTCGACGTGTGGCCATTTTCATCGTGGATGCCGTGCTCGTTCTTGTACTCGCTGACTAAAGACGACAAGTATCTGTTGTGTGCCTGGTACATTCCGAATCCCAAGAACGAATCGGAAAAAACATCAAAGTGGGTGCTTTCAGGCAAGGTGTAGTGCCCCACAGTGGGCCCATCTTGGGAAGGTTGGACAGGCTCGGAAGTACTGTCGCTGGTGCCATTGTCCGTGTCGCTTTGCGCATCTTCACGTCTATCAGCTGTCAATGCACCAAGCAGCATGTCCCTTTTCTCATCTCCGTCTGGGGTCTTGTCGCTTTTTCCATCAGACGTACTTTTGACAGGCATCTGGCGCAACTTGATCTTATAGAGAAAGTTCCGATGCTCGTCCGTCTCCGTGGAATTGGGCTGGAACACCACCTGTGTGGACGCACCGCCCATGTCCAACAACCCGTAAGTGGTATGGTTTTTTCCATGCTGGTGCTGGTCAGGATGATCGAGTGCTCCATTCATGTAGTTGATAGAGAGCCAGCCGTAGAGTCCCTCTACATCACCTGTGAGCACGTTGATGTGGGTGGAACACTCTGGCAAATAGAAGTCGGAGTTCCCAGTGATGTAAGAGCAGATGCTATCTAGAATCTCCTGCTGGCCTGTGGGAGTCAAGAGCCTCATTCCAGCAGTGGAGTGGACAAAGATGGGCGTTCGGTGGTGCTGGGACTTGGGCACCACCGCACTGGCCAACTGCAAGATGTCCTTCAAGTGGTGCTTTCCGATTTTCTGCGGACTCTCGCTGAAGGACGAAATGCCTGGTACGATCTTGCGGTGCCATTTCTTGTGGCTGGCTACCTTGGGCAACCGCACGGGGTCGGGAACGTCCAGACCACTGGAAGCTGGACGGATGCTGGCCTTAAAGTCGAGGCCATTCTGCAAGGCATACGTGGGATTGATCCAGTTGTAGACATACACCCGCGAGCCTTTGGATCCGGCATCGACGATGACGATGTAGTCGTAGGGAATGGTGTCGTCCTGGTAGTACAAGGGCCCGGGCTTGGTTTTGGGCTTCTTCTTCCGGGGTTCGACCGGTTGTGTGGAGCCCATGGTAACAGGGGACGAGGACAGCGCTATGTGAGGCCCACGATTGCAACCTCCTTGGCTGGGAGCGCGACACAGGTGTCGCAGTGTCGGCCAGAGGCAGAGGAGCGAGATGGCCAGTATTTCGAGGCTACTGGAACGGAATTGCCCGAGTTATTGCTAGTTGATATTTTCTGTCATGTCATAAACCACATCAACCTGTCACCTCATGTAAGATATTACCTCCAAGTGTCATGAAACACATCTGAAAATATGGCCTAAACAGGTGTGCCGTGTCGGCCATGACAGCGAGGGGCCGGACATTACGAGGCCAATACTGGGGTTTTTCGTGCATGTAGATGATCCAAAATTTCTGCAGCTTGTCATAAGTCACTTAAACCAGGCATGCTGTGAAAAAATTTCTAACCTTGTCATAGTCAGCTCTACTTGAAAAAATTGTCGGGCATAAATAATATCAGCATATTGCGGGCATGCTACCACTGTACCAGGCTGCAACTTCGGAAATCGCAATTGAGCAAGGCACTGTTACATACAATAAAGGTTACGCTTAGCGAGTGCTCTTGCTGACTATGCCTTGTATGTTGCAGCTTGTTTCAGTTTTTTAGTGCAGGTATGAATGAATTAAACTGTACATGAAAATTAGTAAGGAGGTCTGCAATACTGTCTATCCAGCTTGTAGAATCCTAGTACCAGCCCTGCCAAAGCCAGGAGAGTTTGTTCTTCACGAGGTACTCATGACAGCATCTAAGCTGCAATGGCTATTCGTAAAATGGTGTAGGAAAATAGAACCGGATGCAGATCAAAATAGGAAATCCGTCAAAATTCAACTCGTATACACCAGGAAACGTCATTTGGACAGCCTAGCAAGATGTTTAAGTGTTCCGCTCGTCCGTAGGGTTTTCTTTGCCTCATAAGAGGCTCTAAGAAATTTTCTTTTCATGATGTGTCAAAATAAACTATACCCTGATATAGGTTATTTTGCATACGGTAATACATTAACTAATTTTAATCTGCTAGTGGCACATAAATCCACAGCAGATTAATATTAACCTCCATCTTCCATCCGCTGGAATATCCCAATTCGATAGCTTGCTCGGTGCCCAGGTATGCTTCGTGTAGTGCATGGAGCCGTATGGTTTTATTTCCCAAGTACATCTTCTAGAAGTCACCTCGTAACTATTTTCCCTAAAGAGACAGCATTTCCGTGCTCGCTTCAATATTCTTGAATTCGTACTTACGGTCCGATCTCGAATCCGCCAATATCTTCTCGAAGGCTCGTATCTCGCAGTCGACTTTGTCATTCATCTGGACACCTAGTAAAATGCCAGTTCTGTATAAGTCCGCCTTTGGGTTAAAATAACCTCGCTGTTCGGCTTGAAAGGTGACGTTATTTTATTCTGTGGCATAATAAATATGTGTATGGTACATAGACTGACTCCAGGTTGGTTCGTGGTGGTCGCTTTCCTTGGTCATTGTAGTTCGCCAGGCGAGTCTCTTTTGGAGCACTCCATCTTGTTACTTTTCCAATAATAAGACCAAGTGCGAGACGCTTGAGAAGATACGATGGCTTTCTTGATTTTCCCAAATTACCTCTCGACCTGTCCTCACCTTTTTTTAGCCAAAGGCCAAATGGCCAACAGGATGCAAAACTGAATAGCGAATTCTATGCCTTTGATTGCCCTTCTGTTTTCCCAAAGATCTCTGAACCTCCTGGATACTTGGCTGGTTTTTTTTTCCTCTTCTTGCTCTCCATATTATCCGTCTTGTCAGGCCCTTGTAGCGTATTCCTCTTTTAGCTCATATCTGCCCTGGATTATCTTTTCTCGTACCTGGAGGAAGCCAGAGAATGGAGAAAGGCACTAATACAAGGCAGAATGGGAGCTCCAGACTTGCAGACTCGACTCTACCAGATTGAAAGCTACCATATGGAAAGCTACCAAAGCTGCCACGCTGGATGCTACCAAATAAAAAGCCACTGAGAGCTACCAAATCATGGAAACACACCATTAAGCTCAATAATGGAGGTAGCCTCCTAAGCAGCTCCGTGGAAACCGCCTCGAAACACCCCATCTACACTCGTCACATAACAATAAATAACCAGAAATCTATACAAAGAAACCGTGAATCATTAGCACCCAGCCATCACATGATGGCGCATTTGTCGTCCTGTTTGACGGTGGGGTTTTGGATGTTTTCGATGGCCTCGAGCAAGTCCTCGAACGCACTGTCGATGTTCAAGTTGTCCTTGACCGACGACTCGAGAAACTTGCACTTGAACGACTTGGCCAACGCCTCGCCCTCGGCAGTTTCCACCTGCCTCTGGTAGTTCAAATCGCACTTGTTGCCCACGAGAATGAGAGGGATGTCGTCCGTTCCGATCGAGTTCAAGATCTTGTCACGGATCACCTCGATGAGCTCGAACGACTGGCGCGACGTCACCGAGTACACCAACAAGTAGCCGTGGTTGCCGATCAAATGTTTTTCATTCATGATGCTGAATTCGTCCTGGCCAGCAGTGTCCAAGATTTCGATGGCGTACTCCTGGCTGTTATAGGTGATGGTTCTGGAGAAATGGTTCTCGATGGTGGGGTAGTACGAGTCCACGAACCGGTCTTCCACGAAGCGAACAGTCATGGATGACTTACCTACTGAACGAGAGCCGACAACGGCCACCTTGCGGGCTTTGACCATGGTAGGGGGGACAGGGTGGCTGGGGTTAGTTCACCAGCACAGAATGGGAAAATGGGGACCAGTGATAGGATGGCACAGGGAGGTGCAGGGTATGATACGTGTCACTAGCAAGATAAGGAAGCGATGCCGATAAGTCGAGAAAGATGTCCGAGCGATATTGGCTGGGCACGACGGGTGGACATTTGTCGTGTGCGCTTAGCGAGGCGCGGGGGCTGCGTGGTGCGACATCCTGTGGTTGCACTGGCTGCACTAGTTGCACTGGCTGCACTAGTTGCACTACTTGAAGTGGGCCCAGCGCTAGCGTGCAGTACATGCACTAGTGCAAGTTAGACTTGCCGTGGAAGATTTGCCCGAGATCTGGGCCGATATTATCAAGCGAGAATAGTGCATGTAGCCAAGAGACAATCGTGGAGGATCCCCCAATCCTGCAAGGCTGGCACAGCCTCGTTGAGGGGCGGTTGGGTAGGGCAGCGACGCCCATCCATTACGAGCAGGACTCTCGCGGCAAGAGCCGTGGAAGGGAAACCCTTGCGAGTACCACATCTGCATGCCCCATGCTCCACCAAACAGAAAGCGCCGCCAGCACCACATGCTGTCGCTTATCTCCTCCATTTAAAGTTGAGTCACACTGTCGGTTGGAACAGCCGACAGATCTCACGACGCATCTGGTGCTGGATTTACGGCTCGCATAATAGAGGCTCAGGCTGTCCCCGTGCAAAGCCCGGCAAAACCCCATGTGGTCGATGGTCATTGGGGCATCTGGGGCGGCTTGGATCTTCGGCAGTTACTCAATACGAACCGAAATGCCCAGCCGCCGGGTCGTCCAGTCCGGGCTGGATGGGCCCAGGTGCCCGGTGGGGCAATACGCTTCCTGCACCAACTACATGCTGGCGGCGCTAACTCATGGTGGGGCACCAACCCACAGCTACAATAGTGGATTGTGTCTGGCGATTATAGGCAGCACCGCACTAGAGCCAGATCCATTATTGTTCGGTGCAGCAGGAACCAGAGCTCACCAGAGTGAGAGTCACGTGGCCTCCAGACTGGACCGCCAGTGCTATGGAGGATTGTTAACTGTGTGTATTTAACTGTGTATTATTAGGTGCGGAGCTCGCATAGTATACAATAAGCTATAGAAGTATTGTGACAGATATTAATGTTACAAGCAGGGCGCAAGCCCCGCTGATTCTGGTTGCGCCAGCCCGAAAATGTTATGCCATGACGAACTGAACAATGCACAATGCACCCGCCTACTTGATCAAGTTATGCACCGACACTTTGGAGTCGGTGGGGCTTGCGCCAGAATGGTCACCAGTACCATTCTGGTCCTTGGAGGCCTGCGCAGCCTCCTCCTGCTCCTGGAGCGGCAGCAGCGCCTGGTCGTGGTCGTGGTCGTTGTCGTCGTCCTCGCCGTCCTGGAGCAAGTCGAGGCTGGTGTCTCTTCTCTTCTTGTTGCCCAAGCCGTTCAATTTCTCGTACCCCAAGCACACCTTCTTGGAGCGCTCGCAATTGAAGCAGGTGGGCTTGCGCTCGTCGCATTTGATTCTTCTCTTGCGGCACGTAAGGCAGCCAGTCCGCGTCCGTCTCTTGATGATGCGGCGCTTGTTGATCAACGCGTTATTCTCTTCATACATTCCTGGCGCCATCTGCATGCCCACCATCGAGAGTCCGTTGTCCATGGTCTGGGACATCATGCGGGGCGGCATGCCGGGGTGGTAGTACCCAGTTCCGGGGGCACCTGCAGGGGTTGCCCCTGGCGGCACCTGGTACATGTATGGCTGCTGGACATGCTGGTGGTGGAGGACCTCGCCCTGCGGACCCTGCTGGTACACCGGTGCCACCGGGTAGTAGTAGGGGTAGCCTGGTGGAGGGTTCATGTCGTGGGGACCTGGCGCATGTGGAGCCTGCGGCGGCTGCGGAAGCGATTGGGGGAACTCGTGGTAAGGGTAGGACGCGCCTGACGTAGGCAGGGTGCCTTGGCTATGGCTGGGGTGGGGGTACTGGGGAGCTGGTGGGAGGTTGGATGCGCTGGCCACCGCCTGGGTCTTCATGGACGGCGAGGAGTTGATGGTGGAGTAGGTGGTGGTGGAAGGTTCTCTGGTGAGCGGGTCGATGGACGAGGATGTTGACATGCGTTGGTTCAACTGGTAGTTGACAGGAGGGTGGGGGGATGCGAGTAATGCGACTGGTTGAAGTAGTCGGTGCTATGGGGGGTGTGGGTGTGGCCTGGTGCAGACGCCGGCGCTCTGGCCGTGGGTGGTGCAGGGTACACATGCTGGGGCACACTATGCGCTGGCGCCTGGGGCGTCTGGTTGTACATGATGGAGGGCTCGGTGAGCCTGCGGATGGGCGCCGGTGGGGGGAGGTTGGCCCGCGAGGACGAGTAGTTGAGCTTGTTGGAGAAGGATGAGGAGGACGAGATCCGCGGTATGGTGGAGGGCGAACGGGGCGCCGACACTGGCTTGGTGTCTGCAGGGAGCGGGAGGCTGCTGGTGGGCGAGCTGTCTTTGGAGGACTTGATCATCAATTCCGACACTGAAGGAAGTTGAGTCATTATGGATGGGACATAAGGTTGGTCAGGTGGATGAAAGGTGCGGTGGGGGATCAAGGTGGTGGTGAAGGACAAGCACTGCTTAGGGTGTGGTTGGGACAAAAGTCAAAGTCAGGATACTGGTGGTGGAGGCTCAGGCAAAAATTGACATAGAAATAGTTCCGGATATATCAATATATATTTAATGGAGTTATAAATTTTAGACAACCGTAATGCATGTTCCGACTTCGTTTCCGACCGCGACCACTACAAACCGCCACGCCAACTGGTTAAACTTGTTCTTTAGCTTCTTTTACTTTGAGTTCTTTGTTTATTTTGTGTGCATTTTGTAGATTGATAATTTATTTTTTAGAGGCACGTACAGGTTTTCACATACTTCCAGGAATATTTCGGGGGCAGGGTTGAGTTTTCGCTGGTGAGGGAATGAGGCCATCTGGAGATTGCTGGGCACTCGGCTTTGTGTCGCATAGGGGTTCGGACCAACCTGTGCTAACAATCTCGTTGCCTGAGCTCTGTCAGCCCTCTCGACACCCACATACTGAAGTCACACACGGCTTGAAACTGTACATGCAAGCTGTGGGTCGATGAAAGGAGAAAAGAAAGCTTATACTAGTTCAGATATATGAATCATACAGATAAAATATAATATATTATTCACCACCGCAGGATTAGGGAGCACTGGATATGAACACCAGCCCCACCACATCTTACATCGCGCATTTTTTCCATTTTGTGCAGTTAGTACAGCTTGCGCAAACATTTCAATTCTAACCGAAACGTAACAATTGCCTCATTTTGTGGATATTATTGCTTAACTATTAGCCTAAATATCATCGTGCAACCGATTGCCACCAAGGCGATGGCCCACATCGAGTCTCATCCCCATCATTTATGGTTTGTTCGAAATAGAGTTTGGCAAACCTTGTTTGAAACATGGGTTCTCCTTAATCCCCGTGTCAATATCGGAAACCCTTAAACTGCATTAGAGGTTTTCGTATTGGTGCCTACTAGCGGAGTTATCCGCATACTGTGCAGAATACGACAATGCATCTGGCACCACCTTTTTACCCTTATTGTCACTTTGCAGTTGTTGCGCTTCTAACTCAAGTCTTGTCCAGGCTGATCTTTTTGTTGGTTATGCGCTCTTGTCATGCACAAATATTTCGCGCCTATTCTTGCCTGCTGGATCTTTTTGTAATTATTTTACTTTGATCTCATCCGCTCCTATCCTTACTTCGCTTTCGGCGATGTCACAGGAGCCTAGTCGAAAGGCCAAGTCTCTGTTTCAATATTGCGTTCCTGAAAGAAAAAATACTATTTCAATCCCAACAATATGATGATAACTGAGAATTGTTCATCATCAACCCAAAACAAGAAATTTCACCGTGCATACAATCTGCCCATCGACTAACGATCGCTCCTCAAACGGTTTGGACGGTAGGATTACCAGATCATTTATATATATAGATATACGTCTCTTTCACCTCTAGTGCCATGCGCCTGGATGCCTCAGATGTGGTCTCCTGGCTCCTAAATTTAGGGTTTTTCCCTTCCATAAATTTTATGGCAATCTACGAAGGGCAATCTGGCTAAACCTTAGGGCCCCCTGTATTTTCTTGGTGGTAGGGATTTCTGCAAGCTACATATATCCATGCCGAAGTTAAGGATGCGATTGTCCAGAATACAGCAAAGTAGCCCAAGAACTATATGGCCCAGCAGTACCATTTCCGAATCCGATCAATAGAAACGGAACACCAAAAAATAGCAAGTTTATGAGATTTCATGATGTCGCAAATTGCGGAAATGCATGTAGACAACCCATACTTTGCGTCAAGGGTTATGTAACGCCCTGTCATGCCATGCCATGCTATGTATTCAGTTTCTCCTTGCCCTGATCGTTTGTGTGTAACAAACGCATGGGAGTGTTCGTTAGTCCTTCGTCCGTGGGCCTCGCGCGCAGGGTTTCACCACCAGATGTCAATTTCCACTCTTGTCTATTCCGGCCTGGTTTCAGAATCTGTAGATCCTGTTATTCCGCACTTCGGGTTTTTGTCTATTCCGCACCGGTTGCCACGGCGGTTTCATGTCATTTTGTTGGGAGAAATCCCGAAGGCTAAGAAATCAGTACCAGGAGTTAAAATATTCCAAATTTTATACACCTCCGCATTACATGGAATAGAGTTTGAAATCGAAGGTTATCAAAGTTAGTTTGAGTTCGTGTATCTAGGCTCCGTAAAAAAGAACCCCCACGCTATTTCTGTAGGTGAATCCGGTTAAAATATTCTTATGCACTAATAAATATTAAATCTGCATTGCCAGTAAATCGCAGGGACAATACTCTCGCTCAGTTTAGCGATTACATAAACCTCATGATCACATTTCGTAATTGTGGGCACCATCTCCGAGAAACAAAGTTTAGCTAGCGTTTCTTTTCGCCCCCATGCGCTTATTGCCGGAGAAGCACAACTAAATGAAATTGCCAACCACTCAATCCGGCTGCTCCCCTTGAGCATGACGGTCCAATTCCAGATCTGCGGAAGGTTAGGCACGATCCTGACACAAGCACTAAATCCGTGGAGCTGCAGTGCTCGTTTGGGACTGATGTCTCAGCTCCAAGCACCAACCTGCCCAGGCATGATTGTTGCACCTGTCGCCAGATTCTCTTGGGTGCATAGACTGGTCATGTCGATGTAGCTTATTTGGCACCCCCCAACTCTATTGGACTTGCGGCTCCGGCATCATGCGTAGGCTATTTCTCCCGTTAGTGCACGGTTATGGCCCTGGGATGCTGCCAGAAGCGCTCATTCCACAGTTTCACCTCTGATTGTACGCTTATTGTTCCTATTTCAGCTACATGAGGACCCCGCTGGTATTGTGATGGGATATTATCTCGATTGTCGTAGGACTAGGGGGGGAAGCTATTGGTAGCTGCCGTTTAGGCGAGGGCTAGCCGTGAATCCGCCCGGCGCGTATCACGATAGAAGGGCTATGCGTGATCCACAGCTAGAAGCGGATGGCGATAGGGAGCACATGGCGGCCATGGCCTGTTTTGGCGTGGGGGACCGAGCCCGGCCACGATTGTTCGGCCGCATTGAGGTAATCCCCGCTAAACCCCCAGTAAACTCCGCGTGTCCGTGGAAGCCTGCATGCGGGCCACACATATTCGCTAAACCCCCAAACATCGGAGAATGCGCACCCGGCATAGAACCTGGCAGCCTGAAATCCACTCTAACTGGTGCATGAGATTTACCATTTCACTCGCTGGAATCCTGTGAAAATTTGGACCAAGGATCCGTGGTGCCGGTTTAGATTCTTCGGCATGCGCAATCTATTATCTATTGTCTACACCATCGAATTTTCTGGCTCTCGCTTCCCCTCGTTTAACATTTTTTGGGCGGTCGCTTACCTCCGTGGAGGCTTGTGCCAAAATAATCTCGGGTCAAACCTTTCCTACTTGGGCATTAAAGGTGCCTGTGCAGCAGTTGAGCCGGTGAATTCCACGCCAGTGCCGATACGGCGATAAAGCCACCCTGGTACGGCCTCCTCTACCTGGCCATCCTCCCCCAGCCTCGTGTTCGATCCGCTCGTGCTGGCTACGCACATTAGCCTATCTGCGTTCTCCGTAACCAACTTAAGCTTTCAGTTACTCGAACGCGCTTCGCTGCCTTTATGTTATCGGCTATACTATCTCCGGAACATGTCGCTGTTTAAGCTTCAAAGTTGGCCCGAAACTTTAGTTCCACTTGAATCCCGAATCCCGGAATGGGGCAATGCTGACACATGCGCAACTGGGCATGATAGCCGAACCTGGGCCTGATCCAGGGCAGCACCTCGCGCCAACCCCTTGACACAACGCAGTTGCGCTTACAAGCGACGTACCTCATTCACGAGTCTGCCTCGTACAAGTGGCAGCTTGATCTGGGAGGGCGGTCCTGTCACGTGTGGGCCCTGTTGGGGTCATAACCAGCTGTCACTGCCAATTCCAGGATGGGCCCAACCTGTCAGCGTCGGGTGCATGACAGGGCTGCCGCACCGTGTTTACTGGTTGCGATTGGCTCACTTTAGGCATGCAATTCACATGACAATAACATTCTTTGAGGCTGAATGCTAGATTATTTGCAACCTCGTCCCAAATTGGCAGAACACCAATCAGACAACCCCCACCACACCACCCCTCGGTGGGCTGCACAATACACGGCCCATGCTTCCATTTCCAACTTTTAATATTTTTTGCTATTATCCCCGGGTATATACCACTAGCACTATTGTACAATTAGAGAAGAGGGGATCCATATGCTTTGGGCCCCTCCCACTTCGGTTTTCGATACGTTTTGTCAACAACTCCGAAAAAATACCGAATTTCATTTAAACCGTATCGGTACTAATTTTACCTCATTTCACTCGAACGCACCTTTATCGTGACACCCCCTCAGATTTTGGATGTGCCTGATGAAATGCACCCACAGTGAGACTGGAATTGATTTTCCAACGGGAACCCTCGAACTTCCTCCCAATCGTATTTCCTCTACTTGGGAAGAAATGCAATCACTCTCCTTGCCATTCACCTTTCTACACAAGTTTGGGGAAATGAAATTTATTCTTCAATTGGATGTGCCCACCCTTGCGCTTTTTAGGCCCAGACTCCCTTCTGTGCTGCCTCTGCTTTCTGGAGTCGCCATGATTCGAAGTCATTGAGCTACTATAAAAGAGTCGATCCTCCGGCGTGCACCTACCGCTGATACCAAGTTTCGTCACGTGATGCTCCCCATTAATTTTTCACGGGATGAGATGAGATCACTTCCACAACCATGTCTGATAGTGAGCTGGATTACGACATTACCAAGTCGCTTGCGTTAGCAAACGACTCGGACAGCGAGTACTCGTCCGAGGAAGAAAACCAGGAAATTCAGGACATAATTTCCAGCGACGACGAAGACGAAGAACAACAAAAACCATCCAAGAAGAAGCAGAAGTCCAACCATGGCACAGCCATAGGCCAGTCTGCGTTTCCATCGTTAGAATTGTCGGACAACGAGGATGACGAAAGCACAACCAAGCTGGAAGCCAAGGACTTGAGCGCATACTTCACTGCCAACAATCCCCAAGCCAAAAAGGCCAAGGCAGGCTCTTTTGCATCGTTCGGTTTCTCCAAGTTCTTGCTCACCAACATCTCCAAGAAGGGATATCGTCAGCCTACGCCCATCCAGCGGAAAACCATCCCGTTGATCATGGAAAACAGAGACGTGGTGGGTATGGCCAGAACCGGTTCCGGTAAAACTGCAGCCTTCACCTTGCCATTGGTGGAGAAATTGAAGTCCCACAGTCCTCGTGTGGGTGCCAGGGCAATTATCTTGTCGCCCTCCAGAGAATTGGCCTCGCAAACTTTCAAGCAGGTTAAGGAATTCAGTAGAGGAACCGACCTCAGATCCATCGTTTTGGTGGGTGGTGAGTCGTTGGAGGAGCAGTTCTCGTCGGTGATGTCCAACCCCGACGTGATCGTGGCCACTCCGGGGAGATTCTTGCATTTAAAAGTCGAAATGAACATGGACTTAAAAACGGTGGAATATATCGTTTTTGACGAGGCTGACAGATTGTTCGAAATGGGTTTTGCCGAGCAGTTGAACGAGCTCTTGGCCGCATTACCCCCACAGAGACAGTCGTTGTTGTTCTCTGCCACTTTGCCTCGGTCGTTGGTTGATTTTGCCAAGGCTGGCTTGACGTCGCCAGTTTTGGTCAGATTGGACGCAGAGACTAAGGTTTCTGACGAGTTACAGATGGCCTTTTTCACCTCCAAGAAGAACGAGAAGGAGGCCAACTTGTTGTACGTGCTCCAGGAGGTGATTAAATTGCCGTTGGGTACGCCTGAGCAGTTGAAGAAATTAAAAGACATGGAAAAACGGTCCAACGACGAGGACGAGGAGGAGGAAGCGCAGGAAGTCAACGGAAAGCGCACCAGATTCAAGTTCAAGAAGGAACGGTTGCCTCCTGCCAACGTGCTTCCTTCTGAGAAGTCTACCATCGTGTTCGTACCCACCAAGCACCACGTCGAATATATCACCACCTTGTTGAAGGACGCAGGCTATTTGGTGTCGTATATCTACGGTACGCTTGACCAGCACGCCAGAAAGAACCAACTCTACCAGTTCCGTATTGGAGTCACCAACGTGTTGGTGGTCACCGACGTGGCAGCTCGTGGTATCGATATTCCCGTGTTGGCAAACGTCATCAACTTCTCGTTGCCAGCATCCTCGAAGATTTTCATCCACAGAGTGGGTAGAACTGCCAGAGCAGGTAACACTGGTTGGGCCTACTCACTTGTCAATGAGAAGGAGTTGCCCTACTTACTTGATCTCGAGTTGTTCTTGGGAAAGAAGGTGCTATTGACGTCAATGTTTGAGGAAAAGTCCCGAATTCTCAAGGAAAAACAGGGAAGTGCCTATGTGGCTCCAAAAGTGTCGTACATCGACCGTTTGGTGGTGGGTGCCATCCCCAGACTCGACGTGGAGACCTTCCAGGAGTTGTACGAGAACTTGCTCCGCAATGATTACGAGCTTGGAGTGATAAAGGACGTTTCCATCAAGGCTGAAAAGTTGTTCTACCGTACCAGACAAGCTGCCTCGCAGGAGTCATTGAAGAGGTGCAAGGAAATCATGGAAACCGGCTCGTGGGACGACCAGCACTTGTTGTTTGGCCCCAACTTAGAGAAGGAGAAGGAACGGTTTTTAGAAAAATTGAACGCCAGATACTCGAAGGAAACCGTGTTCGAGTTCAACAAGAAGGGTAACGACAGGGACGAGAACAGCATGGTGGAGTTTATGAACAAGAGAAGAAGACAGCTTGCTCCTATTCAGAGAAGAGCCAAGGAAAGGAGGGAATTGTTGGAAAAAGAGAGAATTGCCGGCTTGACCCACGGTATTGAAGACGAAATCTTCAAAAAGGAGTCGGGAGAAGTCGGTTACTCGGCCCAGGTCAACGAGGACGAGTTGCAGGATGCTTTTGAGGATGCTGATGACATCATCGAGTCCAAGAAGAAGGAAAAGAAGTCGTTCAGAGATCCTCAATTCTTCTTGAGCCACTACGCCCCAGCCTCGTCCATCCAGGACAAGCAATTGACCATCAACTCCTCGTTCGCCAACGAGGCCTCCAACGCAACCTTCGACTTGCAGAACGACGAACTGTCGCTGAATAGACAAGTCATGAGATGGGACACCAAGAAGGGTAAGTACATCAACTCCCAGTCCACCGACAAGAAGTACATCATTGGAGAGAGTGGTAACAAGATCCCAGCCACCTACAGATCGGGACGGTTCGACGAATGGAGAAAGCAACGGAATCTCCAGCCTGCTAGAAACGGAGCCATCGAAAAGACCGATGCAGGTGCCAACGACAAGAGATTCAAGCACAAGAAGACAGCCGCTCCCAAGTTGCCCGACAAGTTCAGAGACGACTACCACAAGCAGAAGAAGAAGGTCGAGAAGGCCATGGACTCGGGAATTAGGGTCAAGGGATACAACAAGCCTGGACAGCAACAAGAAATCAGAAGCACCGAGCAAATCAGAAAGAACAGAAACATTAAGGAGAAGAGAAAGGAAAAGAATGCAAGGCCATCCAAGAGAAGATGAGCTTGCTGGCGCAGCCTGGACCGCTGGCCTTTTTATAGACTCAATATTGGTAATAGAATTCTACTTAGAATTGGACAGTAGACCGATCTGTAGTATGGCTGGTTCATAGGATACACTTTACAGGTCAGCAGGTTCCTCGAACATCCAGTAGAACTTATTTTTGCCTTCACTCTACTCATCTGTTCTGCTCGATGCTAACAATCATGTTCACTATCGGTAGAGGTGATGAATTAAGGGCAATTTCCATGTCTGCTTCATCAATTTATGTTAAAGGAAATTACAGATTACATTCATGATTTAATCTCTCAACAATAAAGTATGGTTATTGGATGGACTATTTTTGCGGAGGATCATAGATATCTGAATCCAATGCCACGAGGAAAATGTTTATCTCAAAGATAAGTACACCATATTGATCCAGAATTACAATATCTGAAACATAACTTCTAGCTTTCGTAATACCCCGCTTGGATAATGACCTATTCCTTGTTCTTTTCTACATACAATTCAAATTTATTATTATGCAATCTGACCAAGATTATTTTCATGTTCAATTCATGACAGTATTCAATTCTTGAAAATAAATATGTATCAAAGCTTAACTGTTATAATTTCCATGCTTCAATACACCCGAAAGCGAGATACCTTCTAAAGCACAGGAGCCGTTACAACTCGTGATTATGTATATACAAACTGCTTACTATTTTTGGGAACATCTTCTCATAGCCGCATTGAAAGGCCATGTAGAATCTACATACTGTCATCGACCAGGAATTTTATTCATTATTTAGTTTTATTGGCGATCTCTTCTTCCACCTCCACCTCCACCTCTGCTGTATGGATGGTATCCTCTGTCTCCTCTGTCTCTCCCACCTCTTCTGTGTCTTCTGTTTCCGTTACCATTACCGTTACCGTTGCCTCCAGATGGACCAGATGGAGGTGCTCTTCTTGGTCCCTTGGGCAAGTTGTTTCTTCTACCGTCTCTGTGGGGGTTATCATAGCCATCTCTAGCATTACCTCTTTGATTCCCGTTTCCGCTTGGGCCACTTGGGGGTCTTGGAAAGTTAGACTGTCTGGATTCATGGATTGAATCGCCTCTGGGCTGGTTGCCATAGTCGTTTCTTTCTTCAGATGCTTGTTGTTGAGGGTTCAAAGGTTGTTCCTGTTGGTCTTGACCCTCTGCTCCATCAATAGCACCTGGCTGTTGTCCTTGGGCAACCTGTTGCTGGTACATGTACCATTGTTGCATTCTTTGCCAATATTCTTGCATCATTTCTGGGGTCATATTCATAGCTTGGCCGTATGCAGCCATTTGCTGTTGTTGTTGGGGATACTGGCCCTGTCCATACGGGTTGTAAGCAGCCGCATAGTTGTTGTACTGATTGGTTTGTGGAGGTGGTGGCGCCTGATTCTGTTGATGCTGGCCTCTTGGTTCAGCTCTCTTAACTTCCATAGCCTTTCCCTTCAATGTCAAGTACTTGTTGACGGTGACCCTGTCAACTGCATCTGGCGAGTCGTAGGTGATGAAACCAAAACCCCTAGATCTTCCGGTGTCTTTGTCGATCATCAATTGGGCATCAATAATGCTACCGAACTGAGAGAAGAAATCGTTAAACTCCTTTTCGTTGACCATTGGGTCAATACCACCGACAAAGATCTTGCCGACCTTGTCTTGCTCTTCTCTGGCAATGGCTCTCTTCGGGTCGATAAGCTTACCGTCCAAGATATGGTCTGTCTTGATGACCTCGTCCACGGACTTGGGATCCTTGAATGTCAAGAAACCAAAACCACGAGATTTTCCAGTGTTGTTGTCTCTCATAATGGTGTAGTCAAGCACTTCACCATACTTGGAAAAGTATGACACCAAGCCTTCTTCACTTGTATCCCAATTGAGACCTCCGATGAACATCTTTCCGCTTTCCTTGCCGATGTTGGATGGCTGGTGGACCACTGGGGGAGGTGGTGGTGGTGTTTGCTGGAATCCTTGGCCAAATTGAGGCTGGCCAGGGAACTGAGGCATGGCTTGTCCTCCGTGGCTAGGAGCTGGAGGTGGTGCTCCGTACTGCGATTGGCCCTGTGGCTGGCCGTATTGTGCATCTTGTGGAGGTTGGTTTTGTTGCTGGCTGTTCTCGCCTTCTGGTTGGGTTTCAGGGTGGGACTGGGCTGGAGTTTCTTCGTGGGTGTTTGGGGTGTTCTGAGTGTCTTCTGGAGCAGAGGTGTCCTTGGTTTCTGGCACGTCGTCCTTTACCACTGCCTCGTTGACTTCTGGTTTAGATGGAGCTTCGGGTTCATCGGCGCTAAATGGTTAGAATGGGATGGATGGAACTATCAAGTCAGTAATACGCACTAGATATCCTCAAAGAGGGCCTCGTCGTCATCAAAGGTGGACATAACTGGACACTAAACTAAAGTACGGAGCTAATTATAATACAAGATCTCTAGTTTATTGAGTGTTATACCGTTATAAAACTAAACAAAACTATGTATGATTCACGCTGGCGTCTGGGGACAGCGATGATGGTTGCTTTTATAGTGGACTGGGGGTTACCCGGCCGTGCGCCTGGGTCGGTGGCGGTGGCCGGTGGTGCGAGAAACTGCCAGGGAGTAGCCGCCGGGCGTGGTGCGAGCGTTGGGCGGGTTTCTCTCGCTAGCGAGAAGTGGCGGTGCGAGCGTAGCGAAGATTGGGCGGTGCGCCCTCGCGCCTGGTGGAAGAGACAGGCAGTTCGCCAGAAGCCACCACAAGAAGGGACGCAAGGAATGGGGTGGGCATTTGAGGGTGATCACTGAGTGTGAGTGTAGGCCGACTAGAGCGGATAGTCTCCTATATTAATAGTTTTCCTATTTTTTGTTGGTTTCCACCTACTTGCTATTTTTGCAATAATTCTACAATTTTGAACTTAGCTGAAGATAAATTTCCTTCGCTACTAGTTAAAGTAAAAAGTTGAAAAACCGGAATGGGGCCACGTAGGAAGAAAGAAAGTGGAACCCCATGCATTACACGTATTTGGTAGAAGTACCGATAGTTTAAGGTTCTTTCTACGATATCTCATAAGGTGCTACGGGTGGACTTCTGGCTCAGTATCGTTCATGTAACCAGAAATTCGAATAAGTCCTACAAATATGATCTACGATCACCGCTGCTGGGGGTGTATCACTAGGTAATATTAAAGGACCCAGCTGACAAGAAGGGGGAGATGATTCGCCCGAACGTCTTTGCTTATGACATCTTATAAGACGGGAGTGAAGAAACTAGACCCAAGAGTATTACAGTGTGGATATTAGTAGGGCTACTCATGTAAATACCCTTCATTCTGCCTGTGGTGACAGTACTGTTCCAGTTATTGGCCCATTTACGATTATCTCCCACCACTTTCAACACTACGCCTCCAAAAATCAGGTTGGTAATCCACCAACACCTCATCACAAGCACTATCTAAATAGTGATTCCCTCCCTGGTACTCCAGGCTTTATCTCCATATTCCCGTAGCCTCCAGTCTATTTGGCTCGCGCACAACCCGATATGAAAATTGAGATGAGCACCATAACCATCTCCACATCCAGCCATGAAGGACTACTTGATATACTTCGCGCAGGCGTACCCCAACTTCCGCAGGGCCGAGATCGAGTCCCTCGCCCAGTTGCATGGCATCTCCATCGACATGTCCCACCACGATGAACAGAACCCATTCCTCATCGTCCAGTTGGAAAACGACTTGCAGGCCCAGCAGATAATGGAGAGATCAGTGCTAGGCAGAGGCATCTACGAGCTCTGGGGCCAGGGAAAGGACTTGGACGAATTGCATGCTAGTGTCAAGGAGTCCTCCCACGACAAGTTCGAACTCTACAAACAAGCATCCTTCAAATTCGACTTCATAGGCTACATGGGGTCCAGAAGCAACAAGACCAAGTTCGCAATGATCGAGTCCTTCTCGTTCCTTGCGTTCGAGGGACCTATCCGCATGAAGAATCCCGACGAAATATTCACTGTGCTCGAAGAATACAAGGTAACTGGTAACGACAAGGCCACCACTCCCGAGAGAATGTGGTTCGGCAGACAGATCCAATTGAGTGCCAGGGTGGGCAACATCTTGGACAAGTACGACTTGAGAAGAAGAAAGTACATCGGAACCACCTCATTTGATGCTGAATTGTCGTTGGTCAGTTGCAACATCGCCCAAGTTGACCAAGGAAAGTTCACCTACGATCCGTTTGCAGGAACAGGCTCTTTCTTGGTGGCTGCTGCCAACTATGGAGGCATTTCCATCGGATCAGACATCGACATCAGAACCCTTCGCGGAAAGAGCGACCAGTGTAACATCAAGGCCAACTTCAACCAGTACGGTACCTCACTCCAGTTTGTGGACGTCTTGACCATGGACTTCACCAACAACGCTCTCAGACAGAGCTTGTGCATTGACACCATTGTGTGTGACCCACCCTACGGAGTGCGGGAAGGTCTCAAAGTGTGTGGAGCTAAGGACCCCGAGAAGGCTGCTGGACGCGAGAATGTGGTTATTGACGGCGAAAAGGCCCACTTGAGAAGAGACTTCATCCAGCCCAAAAAGCCATACCAACTCTCCAATCTCTTGGACGATCTCCTTCGATTTTCAGCGTCCAGACTTCCTGTGGGTGGACGTCTTGCCTTCTGGATGCCCACAGCTAACGACGACTTCGAGATCAACCAGATACCCCAGCATGCCCAACTTGAGTTGATCTATAACCTCGAACAGGAGTTCAACAAGTGGTCGCGTAGGCTTCTCGTGTATGTCAAGCGTGACGAAAGCTACGTTGGTCAGACTTCGAATGGATTGAAGAGCCAGGGCATCAAGGACTTCCGGGAGAGGTACTTCAACGGATTCAGCGAAAAGAGCAGGTGAGTGGAGACAGTATGGCCATGATAGAGAAGACTTGGAGTAGGGAAGACCAGCTAGAAATAGAAAAGTTATTTACTAGGGAAGACTAGCTTTTTGGAAGTTATGGATGCTTTCCCACGATTTTCCAATCCCCCCATGCCATACTTCGTGGTGAAAAAGGCGTAAATACTGGCTACATAGGTGAGTAACAAACATAGAGCGCAAGCACAGCATTCCAAGACCTGTAGGATTTGCTGAACTTTCTGGCCAGCCAATCGTTTCCCATAGCATCCTACTAGCCATCCTACTAGCGACAGGTAGAGCACTACAAGCCCATATCCTGCTCAACTCAACTTAAAATACCCTTCGAGCTCTATCGGGGATCAATAAGTCACAAAAATCTTGGTCAACTGACTAAATAGACTTCTTCCTCTCCCAAACTTAATCCAAGTCTAGGAGTAACGATATTTTAATGCAAGGGATTGAACCAGCATTAAATGCATAAGAGGCAAATGTTTTAACCAATTAAACTATCGCAAGTCTAGATACATAATAGCCACCGTAGCAATACCCAAACCTGCTCGAATCTGGAAACTAATTTATGATGACCATAATGCAATTCCCCATAGGAAACTAACCATAACCTCGATAGTCAGTCGCCCCAACCTGGAAAACTCCCCCTACCCATCTCCTAACCTCACCTAGTTAATAATCAACTCACCAATATACCAGGGCCCCAACACAGCAACCGGTTTCCCCTATGCGCATACAGCGACTTGGTCCCTGATTCGTCCCTGATTCGTCCCTGATCGCCATGCGATTACAGAGTTTATAATAGTGCGACATCAATAATTTGCACCCATCAAATGCGCTTGGAGGTCTTATCCGGACCCTTGTGGGCCATGGACCCGCGAGCAAAGGCTCCCATAACGCATGGCCCAGCCCTGATTGTATGCAACAAGAGGGAAGGGGGCTTCACGACTGTATGATCCAACGGTATAAATACCAGTTGGAGTGATTACTATTTCATAGTTTATTGCATAGTCTTTCGATAAGATCAATTGGTTTAAATATACAACCATACTCACCATGACTCCTCCTACCATGCTCCAAAGTGCCCCAGTGGCTGAATTTCAGGTCCGCAAGCCCGACACCACCATCAAGATGTCCTCGGAAGCCGACAACGCCTCCATCCAGTTCGCTGACTGGGACAACTTCCAGTTCGCACCCATTCGCGAGAGCACAGTCTCTCGTGCCATGACAAGACGCTATTTCGCCGACTTAGACAAGTACACCGAGTCTGACGTGGTCATAGTGGGTGCTGGCTCTGCAGGGTTGTCTGCAGCGTACGTGTTGGCCAAGAACCGTCCCGAGTTGAAGATCGCTATCATCGAGGCCCTGGTGTCGCCTGGCGGAGGTTGTTGGTTGGGAGGCCAGCTCTTCTCAGCCATGGTGTTGAGAAAGCCAGCCCACTTGTTCTTGGACGAGTTGGAAATCGCCTACGATGACGAGGGTGACTACGTGGTGGTCAAGCATGCAGCCCTCTTTATGTCCACCTTGTTGTCGCGGGTGTTGCAGTTCCCCAATGTCAAGTTGTTCAACGCTACAGCCGTCGAGGACTTAATCACTCGTCGAGACGAGGTTTCAGGCCAGTTGAGAATCGCAGGTGTGGTCACTAACTGGACGTTAGTGGCTTTGAACCACGATACCCAGTCATGTATGGACCCCAACACCATCAACTGTAATGTGGTTTTGTCCACCACTGGGCACGACGGACCTTTTGGGGCGTTTTCTGCCAAAAGACTCGAGGAGTTAGGTAAGGCCCCCAAGGACGTCACAAGAGGCTTCAGAAACGACCCTTCGCCTGCCCAGCCCACTGCTGACGGCTTCCAGTTGGGAGGAATGAGAGGACTCGACATGAATAAGGCCGAGGACGCCATTGTCAAGGGCACCAGAGAAGTTGTTCCTGGATTGGTGATTGCTGGAATGGAGTTGGCCGAAGTCGACGGTTCCAACAGAATGGGACCCACTTTTGGTGCCATGGCCCTTTCGGGAGTCAAGGCTGCCGAAGCTGTATTGAATGCTTTCGACGCCAGAAAGAAGCAGAACGAGACTGGGTACGGTTCCGCCAGAGTTTGATTTCATAATTTCGCAGCCAATATATGAGCCATGTAGTAAAGTGAGGACACGTAGAGAGTCACGAGAAGGGAAAATAGAGACACAGAGAGGAATTAGAGAAGATAGAAGCGTCCTCTGGTTCCAGCAGTCTGGCTTAGATGATTCCACATTTCGTTTGGCACTCTTTTTCATATTCTATGTACAATAAGGAAGCGCATTCAAAAATCTGAAGTCGGCAACATCAACACGGATCTAGATGTAAAGAAAATGTACTAAATGTCTTTTGGGTCAATGCACAAGATTAATAACCAACGTTCAAGAGTGTTTTAACATGGAAAACTGCTTATTTCCATAATGTCCAAACCGATGGAGTTTGCACTGTTTCTAGGTATCAATGTGCCTAAATTTCACACTGAAGAGTATAAAAACGTCTTAACGCTGCTTATCCCCACCCTGGCGGACCAGAATTTGTTACTTGTTTGACTACCGTGCTCGAGTAAAAAATCCTTACATTCTACCCATATTTTTTCAATTGCTCCATAATAAAAGACTCTTGGTCCAATAGTAGAAAATGATCTACCTAACTCCATTAGCCGAGTCCTTTAACGATTATTCCTGGCCTCACTGATGTATGGATGTTACTGGGCCTTCTGTTGTCTCCGAATGCAAAAATGTCGCGCGACACACTCCCTCACTCCGATCTTCATAAAACCCATTCACGTTCTATCCACAATAAAATGGCCGACTTTCTCAAGTAAGTACCCCCAAGGACCGCTGCCGGTACAGCAACACATCATTCCCCTCTAGACCAACATCAACTAACATTAGACCAAAAAATTCCAACCCCAGAGGCATTCCTGAGGCCCCATTCATAGATAAGGTGGAAAATGTGGTGAAAAATCCCGAACAGGACTTCGATAACACCATCAAGGCGTTCCAGGACCGTTTACAGCAGTACAAGTACATGGAAGCCTCCAAGAGACAGCAGTTAAACGACTTGAACACCAAAATCCCGGACATCGAAAAGAACCTCGACATCATCAACTACATGAAGGAGAAGAAGAACGATCTTGAAGAGGACGACGACGAGGAAGACAAGACCATCATCACCAACTACGAGTTAAACGACACCCTCTACACCAAGGCCACCATTGATGTGGAGAACTTGAATTCGGTATACTTGTGGTTGGGGGCAGACGTGATGTTGGAATATCCTTTGGATGAGGCAGTGGAGTTGTTGAACGAGAGATTGAGAAAGAACACCGAGCAGTTGAAGTTGGTTAAGGAGGACTTGGAGTTCTTGAAGGAGAACATCACCACCATGGAGGTCAACACTGCCAGACTCTACAATTGGGACGTGGAAAGAAGAAAGAAGGCCAACGCCACCCAGAATTAGGGCCACGATATATCATGATATCTCACGGTTCATTGCCGTACCTATGTCCTCCTAAATGTATCTAAAAACTGCCTTCCCAACGGCCTAACCGGGGTTTCGGCACGGATCTGTCTTGCCTGCGCCGTGCTTTCATCCAACAATTCGTCATCTTCTTCGCCATTTTCCTGTGGTTCTGCACCTGTTACGGGTACATCATCTGCTACTGGGCGGTACTGGTTCCCGAACCGACTGCCCACGGCCCCAATGGCCTTCTTAGATGCTTTGAGAGGTGCGATAAACACCTGGAATACCCAGTTGGGGATCAACCACGCCTTGCTACCAGGCAACAACTCGTAGGTATGTAACTTACCAATAAACAAACCCAGCAACGCAGGAATCACCGATTTGAAGCCATTGTTCAACAAGAGCAACGTGTAGTAGATATGGATGGGGAAGTGGTTGGTGAGCTTCAATTCGGACGAACGAAGAGTGTCCTGCCATACACGAGGCTGGCCAGCTTCCTCAGCAGTGGGTTTCCGGAGGAGTATCGCAAACAGGTACGAGGTAGGGATGTAGGTGCCATAACACACGTACAAGGACGATAGTATTCCGACGGGGCCAGGAATCACCTCGTTGAAGATGGTCAAGTAGGAGAAATCAGGCACAACGGACCTGAATAGCACCGACTTTATGAGGTAGGTGGAAAAGTACACCATCAACTGGCCAAACGTCATGAATATGAAGCACACCAACGAGTTGTATAAGGCGAATGCAACGATGGTGGACAAGTACTTTCTTGGGCCGTAGAACCTTTCGAGATTCTTGAAGTAAAACCACAAGAACATCACCAAGAGGAAGTCCGACTCGTTCACCACTGAGAACTGGTAGGTTATGATTCGCCAGTATTGGGAGTATTCGATGATGAAGGGGTCGATGGCAAGCCTGACGTAGGGCTTGAGATCAAAGATCGAGAGCGCCAAAGACAGCAACGTGACAGCAATGCATATTGACTTGGACACCGGAGTATTGACAAAGCCTTTTATGGGGGTCAATTGGGTCATTAGAGGGCAAATACTGGGGTAGGGTCCTGGCGGCAAATGTGTAGTAATCATCACGCGTCTGTGCACGTGAGAGAGCACATGACCGGATCACATGTATCTGGGCCATTAGGGCTGGAGCCCCGTCCCCGCGTCCTGAATCGTAGGCATCCTGGGACGCACACGACCGTGCGCATCCCGTCTGCCACCACGAAGATTTTTCAATATATATTATCCATCCAATCTTCCTCAGTTAGTATCATAGACCAAACACATCAAAATGGGTAGAGATCACACCACCAAGCAACACGCCAGATCCGGTCACAGAGAAGCTCCAAAGTCCGACAACGTCTACTTGAAGTTGTTGGTCAAGCTTTACGCTTTCTTAGCTCGTATGTATCCATATCACAGGACTGTAAAGAAGATGGACTACACTGGAGACAAAGTCGCCAGTCTAATCAAAAAAACAATTATTGGCTTTCAAACACAGGTGATTCAGTGGTAGTTGACAAGGCAGATACCTGACAGTGAAGATACCGTCAAATAGGATCGGTCAATAAAACACCACCCGAATGCCCGTGAACCCGCTGGCTGGCCCAGACGAGGACCTCCTAAGCTGGTGATACAGCATCGAAGGAGAAGTGAAACCCATTCTGCGAGTGCATTCCCCGTGTCTGTGCGTCTTCTGAGCAGAAACAAGTCCGTATACTAACAAAATAGGTCGTACTGAGGCTCCATTCAACAAGGTCATCTTGAGATCTTTGTTCTTGTCCAAAATCAACAAGCCACCAGTTTCTGTTTCTAGAATCGCCAGAACCTTGAAGCAAAAGGGTGCTGCTTCCAAGACCATCGTTGTTGTTGGTACCGTCACTGACGACAACAGATTGTTGGAATTCCCAAAGGCCACCGTCGCTGCCTTGAGATTCACCGCTGGTGCCAAGGCCACCATCTTGAAGGCTGGTGGTGAAGCCATCACTTTGGACCAATTGGCCCTCAGAGCTCCAAAGGGTGAAAACACCTTGATCCTCAGAGGTCCAAGAAACGCCAGAGAAGCCGTCAGACACTTCGGTTTCGGTCCTCACAAGGGTAAGGCTCCAAGAATCTTGTCTAAGGGTAGAAAGTTCGAAAGAGCTAGAGGTAGAAGAAACTCCAGAGGTTTCAAGGTCTAAGCGTCTTGACTTCTGATTCTCACATATAATTCTCCTAATTTAATGTATAATATATGAAATAAATACGGAGTATACGAGTGTAGGCGAAGCAAAGGGTCTATTGGGTGCAAATCCAGACCCTTGGTTGCAGCTGATAGGGTAAGAAACAACCTTGCTACCCTACTTTGGAAATGTGCTTCTTATCTTGAAGAACATTTAGAGGAATTGGGAGGTTATCTGGGTCTATATGTAGAACTTGTTCGGAATTTTCTGGCTGTAGTGAAGAGGTTTTTGAACACTGGCACATCATGACTGGTGCCCAATTGTTATAACAATAATCACAATAGAACATGATTCTTCATCAATTGATGTCTGAATGCTTTAACTACGGAGTATCATTCACTACGGTGTGGGGCGGTTCAGTGGTATCTACTGTCATCTCTGTTTAACTAGTTAACTCTTTTTAGCCATAAATGAGTAATGAAGCCTATAGTATAATTCACTAGAAATACCACTCAAAAAGAGGTATAATCAATAGTGGGTAGTACGAGGTGTGGCTGAGGTTGATCATAAATTTCTTGATATGAATTAATCAAGGGAGACTAGGAGAGTAGTTTTCATGTTTTCAGCGGCGTACGTTCTGGTTAAAATTCATTTCTATATAATTTATCCTTCTACTACGACGATCTCTGACCTACTAATATATATCAAAAAGGCAGAAATTTAATGAAGGAATAGGAAGTTGTTGGGAGCAGAGAATGAACCGACACAGGTACTAAATCGGAAGATATCGTAAAGCACCGAGATTGGATGGTCATGGAGAGCTAGGGATATACTTGACGAATACAGAGAGCCGAACTAGGCGCTTGAATCAGCGAAGTAGAAATCGTGAGCTCGAGACTGTGATGAACATGGAAATATAAATTGGAAGAGGAAGACCAAACTGAAATCTACAATAAATAAATGGAAATAGCAAGTTGATGAGAAAGAGCAGATTTTACCCTAATATACCACCACTGGAATGAAAAACAGTAGAAATCAAAATTGCAACACAGTAGAAAACATGTTCTAGTCAATCATCCTTGTTAAGCACGAGACTGGCCATTGCTCCACAATTTCACTGCATACAAGGGCCCTTCACACCACCACCAGTTCCTAGCCTTGTTCTACCCACATGAGCTTAGATAACAGTAAGTTCAGTAACCTCACCTATAATCCATCTCATCTTCCCTTATCGAATGGTCGCACGCCCATTCCCGATCGGGCCCAACCAGATTGCGATTGCCTCCAGTGGTGAATCATTCGCCACCATCATCACGGCTCCCAATGGTGCCACAACGCCCCGAGTCCCGCTACGGGAGCCTTGCAGAGCTCCCGCCCGAAGTGGTGCTCCGAATTGCCCGTTTTTGCATCGAGATCCCCGCCTCCAGCACTGCACCATCCTATACCCTCGTCCTTAACCACCTCCGGGTGGGCCCCCGCTACGCCAGCCTCGTGGCGCTCTCGAGCACATGCAGCTACCTCCGCAAGGTGCTAGGCCCTCTTCTCTTCGCCAACCTTAGTTTGGTCCGCGAGAACCAGATCGACGTGGTGCTTGCCACTCCGGCGGTAATGCAGCAGTACTCCGACAAGAAACGGTACCACCGCGAGTTCATCAAGGAAGTGTTGCACACCAACATCACCGAGTGTGCCAATGCCGAGTTGGCCAAGACCAGCTTCAGAGCAGGCATCAACGGCGACCCGTCGTTCCAGTGCAACTACCAGACTTCACTTGGCATCAACAACTATATCACCTATGTGGAGTGCGATAACTCCACGGTCCAGGGACCAGACTTGGCGCTTTTTCCCCGGCTCGAGGCGTTGAAGGTGCTCGACACCAGCATGGCAGAGCCGACGGATGTGTCTACGGCTCCGCTCTACCGCCAGCTAGCAGCGCTTCGCTTCCTCTCTATCAACGCCTCCACCCTCGTCCACGCGCGCGGGTTGGAATCAGTTCTTCCCCAATTGACTCGTTTGGACTTGGGATTGGACTTCGACGACATGGACCCCGTTGCCGGGCTCGGAGGCTTGCGTGACGCCTTCAAGAGCTCGCGGCTCCGCGAGCTCAACCTCTTCATTGACCGCAGTCCTTCGGTGGCGTACGTTGAGTTTCTCGCGTTTATACAGCATATCGCATACCAGTGCAAAGAACTTTGCAGCCTTTATATCCGGGTCATCAGAAAACAAAAACCCATGGCGGCTCCACGCCAGACAGCCAAGGGGCGCTGGAGTGTTCACCAGGGACGGCCTCTAGGCTCAGTGTACGTGGAGTTCTTGAGCAAGCTTGGGCACTTGCGGAACGTGGGCTTCGATTTGGCCATTCTTCGCATGTTTGAGTTCTCTGCTGAGCCCAGCACGGAAAGCACCAAACCAGCAGCAGAGTTGAGCTTGACCATTGTCAATGTCGCTCTGACAGGCACCAGGTTAGAACGAGGCCCTCTCAGTGGGCTTGTCAGGTTTATTCGGGCGCTAAAAGTGACGGAAATCAGGCTCCAGTACGGAGAGGTGGTGGACAATTCGCACCTCCAGGCGCTCACCATGTTGACGGGGTTGGTGTCGGTGGTGTGTTCGTCCGAGACCTATCCCTACTACGACGGGCTCCAGCGAGTGTCGTTAGAACGCTGCTGGTCGGTTTCGGACGACTCGTTCCGCAGAAGGTACTACTACGTGGACCTCGACCTGCTCCCTCAAAGCGACCACCAGTTGCGGGCGAAATTGGCGGCTGCAACTGTGTGGGGCCGGACCCAGTTCAATTCTCCCCGCTACAAGGTACGGGAGTCGTTCCAGGTGGTGCACACCGAACACCACGACCACCGCAGCTCGCCGCATCTCAAGGCATCCGACGATGGCACCAACAGGTACGGGTCCAGCCGTGCGTTCTGGAGTGTGGAAACCTCGTTGGCCGAGTTGGAGCAGTACGGGGTTGTCCAGCGACACTCCCAGTTGTGGGGCTAGGTTGCAGCCAATCACGTGACATCAGACATTTTGTGCGACACTGCGCGACACCCGCTTTGTGGCAGTTGTCTCCGGGACTGTTTTCAGGCACTGCACGTGCTGCGTGTGACTGCTTTTCCTCATCGTCCCCTCGCCGCACGAGCACTCCCATCCTCTCCCACTCCCAGCGCGAAAATTTATCAATCTATAACACCAGACTTCTTTCATTACCGTAATATCAATATAGACAATATGGCAGGTGCTTCCGTTAGGTATGTTATTGTCGACTGTCGTGGTGGATAGCGAGTACTTGTACTCAACCTCAATACTTGAAAATGCTGGATCAGTAGTCGTCCGAATGGTCCATTAGTGGTAAGTCAGAGACTCGTGAGACCAGTATTCTATCCATCGGTTGTGTGATCCCCTACTAACAATAATAGAGACGTCCCAGCTCAAGATTTCATCAACGCTTACGCTCAATTCTTGCAAAGACAAGGTAAGTTGGAAGTCCCAGGTTACGTTGACCTTGTCAAGACTTCTGCTGGTAACGAATTGCCACCACAAGAATCTGAAACTTGGTTCTACAAGAGAGCTGCTTCCGTTGCCAGACACATCTACTTGAGAAAGCAAGTCGGTGTCGGTAAGTTGAACAAGTTATACGGTGGTGCCATCAACAGAGGTTTCAGACCACACAGACACGCCGATGCTTCCGGTTCTATCAACAGAAAGGTCTTGCAATCCTTGCAAAAGATCGGTGTCTTGGAAATTTCTCCAAAGGGTGGTAGAAAGATCTCCGAAAACGGTCAAAGAGATTTGGACCGTATCGCCGCTCAAACCTTAGAAGACGACGAATAAATAGTAGGGTATATTGTATAATATTTCATGCAGCCAATCTAATAAAAGGGCTAGCGTAGCTAGCAATGTGTAATTCACACCTAGTACCAGCTCTGTGCTGTATGTACAAATACACATTATCATCTATCAGTATGCAGACTTTTCACGATTTTTTGTGGGTTCAATGCCAAAAAATATGTTTATGAATGCTACTATGATATGTGCTTACTCCGCTACTGTGTTAGGGTAAGGGCTGTTATGTGGCTACACAGGACGACTATCTATCTTTGCAGTTACTGAGACCCTTTTCTATCAATTTTCTCGGTGTTGCTCAATAAATTATGTGAGCTCAGCCTTATTCTTGTACCCTCTTAAGCTTCCTTAGTAAACTTAGTAGTCTCTACCTGCGTTATCGTATTGAGTCTGAATTTCCATATCCATTTTATTTGGCCATATTTAAAATAAACTTGTTCGTTGGCAAAAATATATTCGCAGCCATAGCGGTGGATAATCGTAATAGCATCCGGGAAGGTGACATATTCTCCATCTTTATTCAACTTAGCTTGTTTTTCCCACTAGAACCGAGTAGCAAAATGCCACATTGGCCCCCACTAGATCTACAACACTCCACGGACTAGTTGTCCTGATGTATCTAAAGATGTACATTAAATTTATGAGATTATTCTGAAATCTCCTCGAGTATACACAACACAGACTTTGCAACCTGTTGCCCTTGCTTCTCGCGTACTAAAACATCCACTTCTTCATCTAGTCCAATCCAACCCAATGGAGTCTTGCCCGGTAATTCGGCAATCCAGTTCTTGTAAGCATCAATACTGAAGCCTTCAGGAAGTACTAAAACATTCTCCTCAACTTGCGTCAAATTGAAGCCGCTATCAAATGATTCAAATCGGAACAAATGCGCAGCTAAACCACTGATGTATCTCAAATCTTCCTTGTCGTCAATCTTTCCCCCATATGTAATCTCACCTATCAAATAACTCAAATGCTTCCAAGGAACAGCTTCAGCAGTCACATTGGAGTCCAATGAACCGAGCTCGTCTTGAATCACCTTCAATCCAGCACTAAAATCGGAATCATTGATATCGTACTTCTTCTTGAACGAAATGGGGGTAAACCTCAATCTCTCTTGGATTACTGAGTGGAACCATACAAGTAAGAAGATGACATGCTTGAGAATACTGGAACTTGCAGTAAGCATTTCATTTGGTAATGAAGCAAATGTTTCAAGCATTGCATTCCTAAGACCAGGTTGGTTTTCGAAGACCAACACCTTAGACTTGCTCACTAATGCCGATGGGATATTGGATGTCAAGTTGCAGGTCAAAAATATCTTGAAATTTGAGTTTCCACTGTAAGTATCCAACCGTCTCTCAAGATAATTCAACCAATCCACCGCCAACTGTATGTTTTGGATTAATATCCAGTGACCCTTGTTAGAAGCAATGCTAAGCTCCTTGTTGGCTATCTCAATACCTTCCTTGGAACCCATGGAGACAACGACTAGTTTTTGCTTAGAATCCTGAGCTAGTTTTTCAACTTTAAAGGTTCCATCGTACCCATCAGGCGATGCCAAAATAATAGGCATAACTTGACCAGCAACTTCCTGATCGGAAGTCCATTCCTTCAAGCTGTATCTTGAGCTGTAGTCTCCAACTCCGGTAAACAAGAAAGACGAAATATTAGAAAAGGCATCCATGAATGCGTCCTTTTGAGAAGACTGAGTAGACTTTATTAATTGACCCAATAACTTTATGGTATCGTTATCGGAGTTTTCCAGGACAATACTATCGATATCTGTAGTCTGCTCAAATTTGGCATAAGTTGCTTGTAAAATATCCGTAATATCTACCAGACCTTTTACCACTAAAAAGTTCAAGATTCTTCTTATTGTCTCAATGACTTGTTGTCCAATTTCCAATCCGTAGTAACTCAAACTTAAACATAATGCAAAAATTATTTTATCATGATGAACCAATGAACAAGAAATAACAGAAAATGCCTCCTTGTAGAGTTCATTTATCATCTCAGTGATGTCTGCGGTGTTCCCACCCCTAAGCACTTTCGAATACGTACGAATGAATGTTGTTAACGAAAACTTATAAAGCTTACCCAATTTGTCCATTTCTTTGAACACATTGAAAATACGAGTTGAATGCTTTGCCACATCTTCATACGTATTTCGGATTGTATCCACAGTTTCCATTATTGTTAATGATTCTTTCATCTTTTGATCAATTTCATTTGATTCAGACTTTAAGTTCTCTAGAGTGTTAACCACCGAATCATTTTCAAGGATGCTTCCCGATGAATCTCCAAGAGAATTCAAGAGTTCCTGTTCAAGCTTGTATAATCTGACTTGATATTCACTCTGTAATGACGCCATCTGCACTCTCTTTTGCTCGATTTCGGGGCGGGTGTCTTGCAAGGTCATATTGAGAACCTTGTTCTGTAAGCTTCCGCTAGTTATGGTAAAATTGATGATGGAAGTTCTGGAGGAGACAAATGGAGACAATTGAAGTTCTGAGTCTGTGGAATGCAAAAACAACTTGAAATCTGGCGAGTAGTCTATCTCTTGTTCACCCAAGTTAATCATCATTCTACCACCATTTCGATGGATTTCCAGTCGCAAAATATTATTCAAAACTGGGTCATAAAACTCTGCATCTTGGATAATAATAACCCCTCCAAACCTAATGGAATTTTCTAATTGCTTGACAAAGCCCTCATTCAAGAAACTGGTAACGATTACCTTCCTTGGTGCATATGATTTTACTATCACGTTAGTGACGCTATTAGTAGGATCGATAATGATAGGGGTTTTTGATAATTTCATGATTGTGAAGTTCTCCACATTCAAATCATCAAATGCCAAACCGCTCTTCTCCCATTTCAATATTTCACCGCTTTCATTCAAATTGTCAGCGATCGTGACTGTTTCATCGTACAAAATTCCTGAATCCATTAATTTCCGTTTCCATTCCTTCATTAAATTTTCTCGTCCACGCTGATCATATATTCCTGAATAAACCAAAAATGCTGATGAAAGGATCGAGTTACCAATAAGACGTTCTCTTTGAAGTCCAAATCTTTTGATGCTGACTTTCCATCTTTCTCTTTCAAGAGTTAAATTGTCAATCAAGGTCAAACTCCGTTTTACTCTCTCTTCAACTCCTTGCATTTCTGACTTTATGTTCTCAGTTTCTCTGATTAAACTGCTGTATTCATCCTTGTAGTTATTAATGCTAAGTTCCAATTCTTGGATCATCTGATCAATAGCAATCAATTGAGCTTTAGTTTTCTTCGTCTGTTCTTCCAATATCTGGACCTCTTCCCTCATCGGTCCAATGTCTTGCAAAATTCTTGAGTATGTCAACTGAGTTTCAACCCATTGTAACAAGGGACCACAGGCTTTACTTGCACGGTAGACTGTCTCGTAATTGTAATCATCTCTTGAAAGGTAAACCTGTTCCATATACTCCCTGAGCTCAGCTGAAAGTTGTTCTTCAGTATTGAAGTTAACGATATTAGCGATGAAGTCATCCTTCCTAACAATCAATTGAACATCCCTCCAGCTGCTAACTTCATAACCAATCAAGATACATACAGACTCCATAGCCATTTTAACGGCCGCAGGGGGATTGGCCATACTTCTGATTTCTGTCAAATGCTGCTTCTTGATATTCTGAACACCTCTTTGGGCTTCGATAACTGCAGGTTCAGCCTTCTCTAAATCCTTCATAACCTTAGCTCTCCTTCTTTGAATTTCGACTTCTTGTTTCTCCAATTCTTCTTGAGTAGCTACAGAAAACTCCTGCTTTCTTTCGGCTTCGTTTTGATTGGTAAGCATCTTATTCAACATAACTTTGGCTTCTTGATCTTTCACTCTGAGACTTTCTTGCTTCTTAGAAAGCAGAATTTTCAACTCGCTAACCTGAAGAACCGTTTCTCTAAGTTTATCGAGACCATTACTGATATGTCTTTGATTTTCTTCGAGTTCGAATTGCTTGCTGTTGAATGTGTTGATGAAATTTTGAATGAGGGACACGAAATTACTGGGTGTTTTTTGATAAGATAGAGTAGTTGCATATCCCAAAACAAACCTGTGGATAAACACAAAGGCATCCACAACGACATCCCTGAAACCTGTCACATTGTTAGAAATGAACTGATTGAATGAAGCAGGAATTTCATAGCTGGACATATCTAAGGGAACCGTCTCAATCAACGAAGATGCAACATCCACTAAGGAATCATTCGACCAATCACCCATCCAACTAAGCACACATCTATTGAACAAAGCTGGAGATGATATAACTGCTGGTCTGTTAGAGTTTGAGGTACCGCTCTCGGTAATATTGAAAATAACATGAAGATTTTCACTAATTTGTTTGGTGAACCATGAGTAGAGCTCTTCATCACTATCCAATAGCAATCCTTGACTATTGGATTGTTCCAAACATAAGCTCATCAAGGAAGTAAATTCATCTCCTTCAAACAAGCCCGGAATCTCTGCATTTGCTAATAATGTATTCATCCTTTCAATAAATGAAGTATCCAAAATGCTGGACTCATCAATAATAAAACAAACCCTTTCTCCTTTAGCACATCTCAATAAGATTTCTTTCAACTTAGAATCGAAGTTTTCAATACCATAATTTTTGTAGACATTCAACTGAACCACCTTGAGTCCATTCATCCAAGCAACGAACTTGCTTAGAGTGGTTTTTCCACTTGTACTTGGACCTACCAAAATCATATGACCTTGTGGTTGTCTCAAAACTCTATCGATTCTTAAAGAATGATCGAGCAAATCGCCATGAAGGACCAAGTCAACTTCAATCTCTTCTTCACTGAATACTCTCAAACGCTCTGCGATGAAGGCTCTTAATTCCCTTTGATCAACAGATTCGTAATTAGAAGACAACCAAGTGGAGTATAGAATTGGTTCCTGAAGTACTGTTTCTATGTCAATGTTTTGAAAGTACTTAATAGTGACTTCTTTGAACAATTCTTTAGTCCACTCTTTCTCTTCCGTTCCTACCAACCGATCGTAGAATAATCGCAAACCTTCATGGTTCCATAATCTGACAAATGACAGGAGGTCTGAATACTCTGAAGCCTTAACACCTTCCAATATACTTCTAGCCCATCTGGTTAACTCACGAGGCGAGTATATATAATGATCCTGTTTCTTTGAGCCAAGATGTTCCTTAGTCCGCAAGTAGATTTCAATCATCGCTTCTGTTGTCACTCTAGTATATCCACGCAAGTCTGGAGCACACTTCATTACCGCTAAGTTGAATGTCTCATAGATTTGACTCAATGAATTCTTACCTGGGTAATCAACCATTATAAGAGAAACATGACGCAAAAACCTTTGGCTTAATTTGTTTCTACCAGGATCATTGGGCGAGTTACATGCCCCAACAAATTGGATATTTGATAATGATACCCACTGGCGGTCTTTTGGTCTCCAGAAACCTTTTTGCTCGATCATTTGACGTAATAAGGATATAACAGTTTGAGTTCCATATTTGTCAACAGCTGGTAAATTGATTTCATCACAGAATACGACCACCCACTTCCCATTCACTAATGGCGTAAGAACTATCCCATTGTTCGTTTTCTTGTAAGTGCAATGTTGTTCAAGCGATTTCATCAAGGATTCGGGTGTAGTATCTTTCGAGAAATTCAAAGATAAAACGTCTAAACTTGGAGAACGTCTCAAAGATTCTAATAAGGTCATAGTCTTACCGGAACCCGGTGGTCCACAAAGCAATAATGGTTTGTGTTCGTTTAAGATTGAATAAATCAAGGAGTCGTGTCTCACTGTGTCCAAGGTGGGCACAACTGTGTTTGGATTCGAAACATGTTGAGGTTCAAGCTCGATGCTTTCAACTTTCAAATTCCAATGTTCCCATTCAAAATCTGGGAAAGATATGTCAAAATCAAGAATATTGCCCTCGGCCTGATCGATATTAGACAATGTTTCAATCCTTATAATTGCTAATGCAAACTTCTCTCTCTGATTCAAATCAGTATCACCAGCAAATGCCCATGCCAAAGAGAGCAACACAGCTTTTCCGACAAACTTTGAGTAGTTATCTAATGGAATATCACGATTTTCTAACTTATAAATTATCAAACGACGGAAATATGATTTAATCAATGCGGCAAACCCTTGAATTGCCCTTTGGACCGTGAATTCCATAATATGTTCCAAATTCTTTGCTTCTTCTATCACTTGTGTAAGAGTATCAGTTTTGATGAAGTGGCCAATTTCGTTGACTAAAGTCCTTTGTATGGCAAGAATTTCATTCAGGTCACTTGTTAGATCATCGCGTATCTCTATGGCATTATTGGAAATATCATGGGTGAAGTCTTTTATTAATCCTTCAATTGGGATCAATGAACTGTCAAACCATATCATTCCACATCTACTGATTGTTGCAGGAGTAGTGAACTTAATGGAATCAACTTCAAATATCAAGCGAACATTGTCCGGTAATGCAAGACGTTCCCCGTTAGGCAAAGTCAAGATACGGTTGTCATCAAGGACACTGTTCAAGTTTTCGGCCCACTCTGGATCAATATCACCGTCAAACACAATCCAAATTCTTTTATTCAATTCTCCTCTCAAGTTGGCCCTAATCTTTCTTAGGATACTGGTGAATAATCCATCAGTCCAATCTCTTGTGATTGAATCTAACGAACCATAAATTTCATTCTTTGATAATACCTTGCAATCTATCACATAGGATGCGTGATCCATTCCATCCAATTCTCCAAGGGATTTCAAGACCAGATTCCAGATGACAGACTTCCCCGATCCTGACTCACCCACCAACATGATACCATGGTTTGTAGTCTGTATTTGATAGAGTTGAAGGGCTTTTGTCATCCATTTATCATCGTGATAAAATCCATTTGTCTCCATGTGTTTCTGTAACTCCAAGACTAGATTGGTATTATCATCAGTTTCATAGCTAACACTAGGGAAATATTTAGCAAGTAAATCTTCTAATAGGATTTCGTCTGACTTGATCAATTTTGGTGCAACGGTTTCCTGAATGCTTCGTAAGATTAGCCTCAATTCCACCTCCCTGGAGCTCAAATCTTCTTTCTTGTTTCTTTTGATTAGACCACATCTGATGAGTGTGTTTTTCAAAGCTCTTAAACCAAAATCGTAATGTGATTGTTTTGAACAACATGATTCTAGTTCTAAGAAAAGTGGAACAATAATCTTTGCAATTTCTTTAGCAAATTCAAAAGTCTGAGAAGTCAACAAAACCTCCACGATAATCTCTCTGTCAGGCTTCTCCATGGAAAAACCTCTGAATAACTTTTTCAAATTTTCAGGTAATTCATATCTGCCAACATATCCTGGATTCATGGTAACAAAAATTCCGGTCTCAGGATGTACATTAATCGTCTTTCCAGAGATTTCCACTTGTTGACTCGAGGAACTCAAACTTAACTCAATCGCTTCAATTTGTGACGAAACAGCACTCAAGATATTCTCGTCTAATCTATTGAACTCATCAAAACATCCCCAACTCCCAACTTTGCATAAACCTAAGAAGATCCTACCCATAGCTTGAAAATCAAAAGAGTCGTCACAGTTAAAGACTAAGACCATTTTACCCAAATTATTTCCAAGGGCTTTAATCGACTCTGTCTTACCGGTACCAGCAGGTCCAAATGGAGAACCCCCTAGTTTTTGATGTAATGCCTGGGTCATTGTCAAGAAGCATTTTCTAATAAGAGGAGTGTAAGCTAACTTCTCTGGAATGCCTAAGTATTCAAAACCATAATAAAATGATGCATTTGCTTGTCTGATAGTCAAGCTCTGTAATGGATCACTGGAAGAAGTATCGTAGTAGAACAACTGCTGAGTACCCCAAATTAAATGAACATCTTGATCTGATTTAGCATTCGACAACGACGCAATGATGTCTTTGTGGTGAACAATCTCAATGGTAAAATATTGACACTTCTTTCTCTCAAGTGGTGTCGTATCATTTGCTAATAATTCGATCAAGTATTTCATTAAACGCCCATACTTTTCTTCCAAAGCACTGAAACTCTTTTTATCAATGGATTCTTGGGCAAGTTTGGTAAACGTAATCTGGGCAACAAGCGTTGAAACTTGGGCAGGAAGGGAAAAAATAAGATCCTTCAACTCCTGGCCTAAGGAGGGCGACTCTTTTGTGAGTTCAAGTTCAAATTTTGCAATTGAACTCTTGACTAATTGAGATATAGTCAACTTTATCTCTAGCTCCAATTCTTTGATCCACTCATTTAATTTTGGATATTTGATAAGCGAAACTGGTTTGCTCAAAGTGACGATCTCATCCTCTTCACTTCTGATAGCCACGATAGAACTACTCTCCTTCTGATAATCGACTTTGGAAACACCACTAAACATTTTCTTGAAATGTCTGTTGATTCGTTCCACATCCATTGATCCTCCAATGATTTCTAGTAAGTCCTCATTACCCACAAAATAAAATCTTGGGCATAACTCTCTTTGTTTCTCGAGATAGTCTGTCAATGACTTTCTAACTTTGGTTAAACTCTCAGATAACTTGTCCATGATGACTTGTATGTCACCGACTAATAATGATTCTATAACCAAATTAAACTTGTATATCCGTTTCAAGGTATTAAGAAATTCATAAGTAATATTTGTGAAACGGGCTGACTCTATTGGTAATAGATTCTTGATGTCATTATTCTTATTTCCGAATACGCCGTCAAGATATACCCATTGACGTTGAACATCGATCCAAGTATCTAGTAAAACATATAGCTTGTTCAATTTACCATCCAAACTTGAAATCTCTTGATCGAAACTATGGTAATATGGGGATGAGCTCATACTGGATAAGGTATTAAGGTCATTGTTACATTGATCGAATAACTTGTTCCAGTTTTTGACCAATCTAGCTTTATTTTCATAATTGAACATTTCAAAAGTAATGGTGGACCATTCTTTCTTAATTAGCTCCAAGTTGTCCTCTATCGTCTGTTCATTATTCGCTTGTATCAAAATTGCCTTCAATGCACTATCATTAAGGCCAAAATTGAGGTTCCAAACTTCCCCCATCGTCATCGAATCATAACTGATAGTTTCAGCTCCTAACTGAACTAGTAAAATTTTCCAATGACGGGGTTTCATAGATTCACTCTTTAATTCAGAAACAAATGAGTGATTTTTCAAATACAACTTAATGACATTTTGAATCTCATCAAAAGCACCATATTGTCTGACTTTTAAAGGTAACGACCTTGATTTGGCCAATAAATCATCTAGATCATGACGAAGACCCCTTGGTTGAATGTCAGCCCACTTCAAGGATCTTAACTTTTCCAAATAGTCCCATAACGTGTTGATTGATGACCAAACGGACTTGAGATCATATATTTCCTCGAGTACCACTTCTAAATTGTCATGCAGATCTATCGAGATATCAAGAAGCTTCGAAACATTGATAATTGAGGACTTTTCCTTGTCTAAAAGCCTGCATCTTTTTTCGAAGATCTCTAAGTGGGTAATGGCAACTGATGGATTTAGACTTCCAGAAACTGGTTTTTTCACGGGCCACTCCTTTATTAAAGTATCAATGGCTTGACTTGTTCTTGAGGCTTCCACTTTGATCTTTGAAGCGAGGACCTCAAAGTTATCTTCAATTAAACTTAGCTTCCTTCTGAGTAATGTAGTTACAATCGATACCAAGTTCTCTAGTTGCTCCACATACATCCAGTTGTTGGGAAACTTGAATCTCTGGTTAAGAAGGAGAGTTTGTGCTCCCTCCAAAACTTCAATTTGGTTGGTCCAGTTTGCCATTTGATTACTATGCTGCAAGTATTCATCTAGATTGGCGACAAGTATCATGCCTGCAACTTGGAAATCCAACTTTAACTCTAACGATTTTTGTGCTTTGATCAATTCGTTGCTAAGCTTTGATGTCTCCACATTTATCTTCGTGCTGAAAAGTTTCAAAAGTTCTTCTTGGAAATAATCGAACTTTAAATTAACACGATTCTGCACTGAAGAGAAATCGATCGTGAGGACAGTACCGAAAATAGTGATAGTGTCGGATCTATCGAATATGTATCTCAACCCAAGAATTTCCCTTATGGACTGAAGCCATTGGGTGAGGCTTGAGTCTTTGGGAACAACCTTGGCCAATTCTTGTTCCGAATGCAAGTCCAATTCCCACAAATTTTGGATTAGCTTCCACTTATTGAAATAATCATTTCCTTCATTCAAAGTGCAATCTATCTTGATCAAAATTTTCGAAATGAACGAAGTTAACGTCGTATCAGAGTAGACTAAGTCGAAGAAGCTTTCATCAGAAGAAGACAAATCGGACTTTATCACTAGTTGTAACTCAACTATTGATAAGTATGAGTTTAACTTTTGAATATTATGCTGCTTAGTGGACGATAATTCGGGTGAAAGCTTAAAAATTTTGTCCTGAAATACTATCGAATGACTTTGTGGAGGTTCGAATTGCCCCTTGGCTTGCGTAACATAAGGAGTCTGATCATCAGCATCATCAAGGGAGTTAGAAGTTGTAAGTGTTCGTTCCCAGAATTGAAGTTTGTCAGCACACTTTTTAGCTAGGATAAGCTTAATTTCTTGATTGATCAACTCGCCCAATCTATCAATTGCCTCAAAATCTTCCAATAGAAGTTTATTGAATTCTTCTTGAATAGTAATTAATAGTTCCTTGATTGTTTCAAAATTGTACTCACAAGTTTTTAGCTGATGATAAATAATACTTAGGAAGTTTTCAAATTTACTAAGTTTATTCAGCTTCTCGTATAGCTTGTATACTGCAGATTGAAACCCATTTAAAATGTTAAGTGATTGAATCTCAACCAACTCCTCATTAGATGTATGTTTTTTTTCTGCAGAATCGCCAATAGATTTCAAATCAAGGGCCTGTGATAGATAAACCCAATCGACAGATATGAGATCCTTCAAGCTATTCATAATCAGTTGCTTCTGTTTCTCAAGGAGAAAGCCAAACTTTTGACCATATGAAGTATTAGCCAAATCGTTGTTCAATAAATTTCGGAGTATAGTGACATTTTCAATGAGACTCACAATAAAGGGAGTGAGTTTTTCAACTTTTCTGTATTTTATAATCACGCTAACAGGCACCTTAAATCCTAACGAGGTAATTTGAATTAATTGCTGAGTAATTTCTATTAATGATGTATCGTAATTCACAATTAAATCTCTCATTTCGGATTCATTCGGTTGAATAATTTTGACAATCGAACCTGACTTTTCTAACAGTGCTACTTTTGACGTTATGTAATCCAACCAAGATTGAAATAATTTGTCTGGATTAAGTGACTGTGTCAATGTGGAAATCTCTGATTCAATTTTGCTTCCTAAGGAATACTTATTCCAGTTTGTTCCCAATAACTTCAGAAGGTTTACTAAATAAAAGTTTAATTTCTTAATCATGCTCAAATTCCACTTTATTTCAGTTACCACGGAGGAGAAATCCTTATTGTCAGAGCCCTCAACTTGAGTACTGTGGAACTTGTACAATCTTTGAGTTGATTCCATGTATTCCACCAAAGTCTTTCGCGAAGTCAAATTCAACTTTATTAATGATTCGGTCTCTTTGTTTGCAGTAGATAAGATCTTAAGCTTGTATTCGTCGTTGATAAGCAGGTACATCCCCTCCCTGTCTGAAGCAGCAGTAGAAGAATTACCATCAAATATGCTGAAAATTGTCAAGAAATCATTAAAGCTGTTACATGAATCGAATAAAGCATTTAGCTTGAGCATTATCACCGAATTCAATTGGTTATAGATAGACATATAACTCTTTTCATTCATAGTCCATATCCTCTGTCCTTGTTTAGACATATCAAGCACATTCACTGGTAAAATATACTTATTATACGCTTCAACTAGCTTGTTTGATTCAGTGAATCCATCATTCTTCAAAAACTTTTCCACGATAGTTATTAAGTCCTGATGATTCAAACGAAAATCTTTCAATGCTTTGAGTCTATCTTTTAGTTCATTGTAAGCAATCTGGTTTATCTTAATGATAATAAACTTCTCCAGTCTTTTTCTAAGAAGCTCCCTGATTAAATTAATCATGAACTTAATATTTTGATCTACCAATTCAAATATTTTGAGGACTTGATTCTCATAAATTTCCAAGAATTTGGAAAGACCTAATGACATTAATGAGTGAGTGGAAAGAATTGATTTGAACTTGTCTGTTATATCGTTTAACCCAACTTCGATTATTTCGATAGCTCTAGGTAATGGAAATGAATTCAAGTTTTTCAATTTTGATTTAAAGTGGTTGAAGAGGTTTATAATGGAGATTTCAAACTTGTCCAAATCTTCGATGTTGCTCGATACTGACATGAGTTCATCTATTGGAAGCTCTTTCAATAAAGAATTATAGAGCTTGGTGGTGATCATTTTTTCGTTGACTCCAGTATCATTCTGAAAACCAAGGGTAACGTGGAATCTCTTTGCCTTGTTCAAAAAATCGATTGATACCTTGACAAGAGGGGAAGACATCTGCTGGGTTATCGAGAACAACGCCAATTCCATTGATTTCCAAAACTGGACTTCTTCTGCGAGCGAGTTTCCATCCAATGGGTCATGATCGAGTCTGGTGATGGATTGAATCTGCTTAATCCAGCTGTTGACTATGCGGGTAAGTTCGTTGAGAAACGTGGAGTCAGTGACCAAATTATTGACCGCAGACTCGTTTAATTCTTCGCCATCTTGGCCCTCGGAATTTTTCACGATGTCCTCAATTTTAGGGTGGACGCTGACCAACAAGTCAGGGATCTGGATGCGCTGTTGAAGGTGCTGCAACGAGAGAGACAACTCGTTGAGCTTCTTCTTTGCCATATTGACGGAATTGATGGCAGAGCCTTTGGATCCATCCTCGAGATCAATGTTGGATGTGTTGGTGGCCGAGGTGATGAGATCGAAGTAAGGCGCTATTCCAAGATTGACCAAGGTCCGCAACTTTTCGAACATGGCGTTGGAGTCCTTGGAGTCCATTTCCTCGTCCAGAGTGGTGATGGGGATGTTCAAGATATTGAGCTGGGTGGTGATGGATGAGCCATTGTTCAACTGTCCCTTCAGCTTTATCAAGATGATCACCGACTGGATAGCGAGCTGCTCGCCCCCATTGAGGTCTGGAAGCACCACAAACTCGTCAAGCAGGGTCTGTACGACATAAATGGTGTCAGGGTTGTGATTATGGATGAAATGACTGATGATCTCCAGTCTGGAGACGGTGAGGTTGAAATCGTCCGTGGACACCAGAATGTAAGAGTGAATGAATCTCTGGAGGCTCTCGGGGGACAAAAGTGCCCTGGGGGGGAGAGAGATGGCCAGAGTGTCTGGTGAATCTGCCATGGAGGGTTGAAGGTGTGGGCGGTAGGTTAGTGGTGGTGATTGATTAGTGTAAACAGTCGCGGTTGCAAAGCGCGCGTGGCAGACTGGAGAGTTTAGGGAGAGACTAGGGGGATTTGGGCGAGAGTCTCGCGAGAATTTAGCCAGATTTGCGGGAGAGTCCCGCGAGAGTTTAGCCAGATTCGCGCGAGAGTCTCGCGAGAGTCCGCTCAACATAAAGAGAGTTTAGAGGAGCAGGATGAGGATTCGCGCTGCACAGCGAAGGCCCCGCGGAGTGCACAGTAACTTAGTGAAAGCCTTCAACAAGGTTCAGACATTGTTAACAAGGCTGGTCCCAACAGCTACGACAGGCGGCTGCCCGCAAATTTCAGGCCGCTCCTGGAAGCATGCTTGCTGTAGTCTGATTTCAAACTTGACACAACTGCTTGCTTTCAGGGAAAATCCCCAATTGGGGCAGAGAGACCACTCTGAATTGTCAAGGCCAACTATCTGGATTGAGAGAAAACTACCCAAGAAGCTCCTCCATGAACTGTCGTGGATTTCACTCCGATTGTCTATCTGGAAACATCCATAGTACCGCGCTTTGGAGGCTCCGAACGTGGAAATGGGGCCAGCCGTATCAGAACAGGCGCGGCTCAGATGAAACAAAGAAAATAGTAGTTTTTGCGTTTTGCCAGAAAATAAACAAATGGTATAGAAATTGGCACAGACAATCATCCCCAGAACAATTGTCGAAGAGGCAACTATTGCTCCAGACCCTGTATAATAGGCATTCTTAGAAAATACATAGCTTTCATCTAGATTGTTATCTGAAATTAGCAAAGGAAGTGTAAGTGTAATCTGGGGATTTTCACAGGTCAGTTGCCCCTATCCTTAATGGGCACCAGGGTGGAGATAAGCTAAAGTAGGATAGCTAGGGTAGGACTAAGATAGCTAGGGTAGGACTAAGATAGCTAGGGTAGGACTAAGATAGCTAGGGTAGGACTAGGATAGCTAGCGTAGGACAACTCATAGCTACAGCCAGTGTGGACTAGGCTAGGAGCCTCAATGGCATCGCACCCCTTGGAGTCTATCCCCAGCATGCTGGAGAACGATGCCCCTGACACACTCAAGTGTCATAATAGAGCAAAAGTCAAATTGAGATTGTAGGCAGGTGGGTGGAGCCTGGAAAAAATCTGGCCGGAATTTCACCGATTTCACCCTGAGAGGTGACCCCGCTTCTGCAGACAATCGGACCAGACAGTGCGAAGGTCACCCCCGGATGGGCCCCAGATCCTGTGGGTCTAAGTGAGACTAAACCACAGGGTGCAGTAGGTACAGCAGGTAGGAGTGATCATTAGTCAGACTCACCACACTGCAGAGTGCCGGCACGGAATAATGTAGGTCCGACCCGGGGTCTTCTAGAAAGTCTGCGGACCGGGACACGACCGGCCGGATTTAAGCTTGCACGCACGGTGCTGCAGTGATCGTATTCAACGGTTCGGTGCTGCAGGGAAATTGACCCTGTGGGGGGAACAATCCCTGGAGGGGGTGAGTCACAGCTGGTGGGGCTGGCCCACCAGCCATTGGTTCCCGCACTGGCAGTCCACCCCCGTGCTAGCCAAGTGTCCCTTGATGGTATAAGCGTCCGTGTGTTATTGGGCGGCTCGTCTGGGGCTCATTGTGGCGGGTCGGGCATGCATGGCACCCGTTCCGACGCACCTCCCTGTGAGACAGCTGCGACCGCGGAATTAAGCGGACACTGGCGGTCTCATCGTATCCGGCGAGCCCTGGCAGGTGGCAGTGGGTGGCAGTGACGGTGTTGAATCACCAGGCACGTGCCGCGACCCTCTGCGCAGCCGTGCTGACCCTTACGGGACCCCCACACTCCGTTCCGGCCGTGTTGCGCCGTTGCTGCGCCCGTATTGTTTGCTGGTCTGGCTCGCTCCCTCTGTCCTCACGTGCGCACCCTCCCCAACACCCGCACTCGTGCATTTCTCCATCGTTCTGCCGCGGCCCTATTAGCCCACCACCCCCCTGGTGGAAACACCCACACCACAACACCCCCAGCAGCCTCCCCCCTCCCCGTCACCGCCACCCGCTCGCCACCTGCCAATTACTCATCTCGTCTCGGGGCCCCCCAACCCCTCCGCCCCCATCGGGTCGGAACCTCCCCAAACGTTCCCGGCAATACGTACACAAACATCTGCGCACTGCGCTATATTTTTCCTGGTATTATTGTCGGGTGCATTTGTGTAACGCCAATCTCTGGGCAGCGTGGAATTTGCCTTCGCTATATATATCCAGTTTGCTGCTCCAATTAACCGCCTTTCTCCTCAACGACACTCATCATGTCTCTGTCCGGTAAAGAGTCCCAAGAGGACCAGTACAAGGACGTCAATTCCGAGGCCAACTCCATTGCCGAGTACCAAGGATTCGACGCCCAGGCCGAACATAACATTCATGACCTTGCCAGAACATATACCCGTGAGTCCTTCAGGGACGACGACACCAACACCTCGATCGGCTTGAAGAGATACCTCTCCAACATGACCATGGTGCCAGGTGTGTCGCCTTTCAACCACGAAGAAATCGCGGAAGACTCGCTCAACCCCGACAGCGACAACTTCAACTCCAAGTTCTGGGTCAAGAACTTGCGTAAGTTATACGAGTCGGACCCCGAGTACTACAAGCCCTCCAAGTTGGGAATTGCCTACCGCAACTTGCGTGCGTACGGTATTGCTGCCGACTCGGACTACCAGCCCACCGTCACCAACTTCTTGTTCAAGACGGCCGTCAACACCTACCGTTCCATCAAGAAGCGGGACGAATCGCACTACTTCGACATCCTCAAGTCCATGGACGCCATCATGAGACCAGGTGAGGTTACCGTGGTGTTGGGAAGACCAGGGTCCGGTTGTTCCACCCTTTTGAAGACGATTGCTGCCCACACCTACGGGTTCGAAATCGGCGAGGAATCGGTCATTTCCTACGACGGTTTGAACCAACACGAGATCAACACCCACCACCGTGGTGACGTGATCTACTCGGCCGAATCCGATATCCATTTCCCCCACTTGACCGTGGGTGACACCTTGGAATTTGCCGCCAGATTGAGAACCCCCCAGAACAGAGGTCCCAACGTCGACAGAGAGGCCTACGCCAAGCACATGGCCTCCGTCTACATGGCTACCTACGGGTTGTCGCACACCAGAAACACCAACGTCGGTAACGACTTTGTCAGAGGTGTGTCCGGTGGTGAGCGTAAGAGAGTCTCCATTGCCGAGGCCTCGCTTTCCGGCGCCAACTTGCAATGTTGGGATAACGCCACCAGAGGTTTGGATGCTGCCACCGCCTTGGAGTTCATCAGAGCCTTAAAGACCTCCTCAGCTATCTTGGAGGCCACCCCATTGATTGCCATCTATCAATGTTCCCAAGACGCCTACGACTTGTTCGACAAGGTCGTCGTCTTGTACGAAGGTTACCAAATCTTCTTCGGTAAGGCCGACCAGGCCAAGGACTTCTTCGTCAGAATGGGTTGGGAATGTCCTCAAAGACAAACCACCGCTGATTTCTTGACCTCCCTTACCAACCCAGCCGAAAGAGTTCCTTTGCCAGGCTACGAAGACTCGGTGCCTAAGACTGCTAAGGAATTCGAGCAGTACTGGAAGAACTCTCCAGAATACGCTGCTTTGACCAAGGAAATCGACGAACACATTGCATTGACTGACAATGGTGACACCAAGCAAATGTACCACGACTCCCACGTCGCCAGACAGTCCAAGAACATTTCCGCCAAGTCCCCATACACCGTCTCTTTCTTCATGCAAGTCAGATACCTTATGGGCAGAAACATTTTGCGTGTCAAGGGTGATCCTTCCGTGTCGATTTCGTCGATTTCGGGTCAAGTGATCATGGCTTTGGTTTTGTCGTCCGTTTTCTATAATATGAAATCGGTCACCTCCTCGTTCTACTACCGTGGTGCTTCCATGTTCTTTGCCGTTTTGTATAACGCCTTCGCTTCGTTGTTGGAAATTATGTCCATGTTCGAAGCCAGACCTATTGTTGAAAAGCATAAGCAGTATGCTTTGTACCGTCCTTCTGCCGATGCCTTAGCCGGTATCATCACTGAATTGCCAACCAAGCTTTGTATGTCTACTGCCTTCAACTTTATCTTCTACTTCATGGTGAATTTCAGAAGAAACCCTGGTAGATTCTTTTTCTACTGGTTGATGTGTGGTATGTGTACTTTGGTCATGTCCCATTTGTTTAGATGCTTGGGTGCTGTTTCCACTTCTTTGGCCGGTGCCATGACTCCAGCTTCTGTTTTGTTATCTGCCATGATTATTTTCACCGGTTTCGTTATTCCTACTCCAAAGATGTTGGGATGGTCCAGATGGATCAACTATATCAACCCTGTTGGTTACGTTTTCGAAGCTTTGATGGTCAACGAATTCCATGACAGAGACTTTGAATGCTCCAGTTTTGTTCCTTCCGGTCCAGGATACGACGACCTTCCACTTGAAAACAAGATTTGTAGTGTTGTTGGTTCCGTTCCTGGTTCCCCAGTTGTGTCTGGTACCCGTTACATTGTTGAATCCTACAAGTACTACAACTCTCACAAGTGGAGAAACTTTGGTATTGTTGTTGGTTTCGTCATTTTCTTCTTGGCTGTTTACATCTCATTGACTGAATTCAACAAGGGTGCCATGCAAAAGGGTGAAATTGCTTTGTTCTTGAGATCTTCTATCAGAAAGGAAAAGAAGAAGGCTAAGAAGAGCGCAGCTACCACTCAGGATATTGAAAACGGTAACATCAACGAGAAGGTTGAATACAAGGACACTGTTGAAGCCAACAGTTCTTCTTCTTCTTCCACCAATGAATTGCCAGCTTCCAAGAAGATCTTCCACTGGAGAGATTTGACCTACCAAGTCAAGATCAAGTCCGAGGATCGTGTTATTTTGAACCACGTTGATGGATGGGTTAAGCCCGGTCAATTGACTGCATTGATGGGTTCTTCTGGTGCTGGTAAGACTACTTTGTTGAACTGTTTGTCTGAAAGAGTTACCACTGGTGTTATTTCAGATGGTGTTAGAATGGTGAATGGTCACTCATTAGACAGTTCTTTCCAAAGATCCATTGGTTACGTCCAGCAACAAGATTTGCACTTGGCTACTTCTACTGTTCGTGAAGCTTTGAGATTCTCTGCTTACTTGAGACAACCAGAAACCGTCTCAAAGAAGGAGAAGCAAGATTATGTTGAGTACATTATTGATTTGTTGGAAATGAAGCCTTATGCCGATGCCTTAGTTGGTGTTGCTGGTGAAGGTTTGAACGTCGAACAAAGAAAGAGATTGACTATTGGTGTTGAATTGGTTGCTAAGCCTAAGTTATTGTTGTTCTTGGATGAACCAACTTCTGGTTTAGATTCTCAAACTGCTTGGTCTATCTGTAAGTTGATGAGAAAGTTGTGTGACCACGGTCAAGCTATTTTGTGTACTATCCATCAACCTTCTGCTTTGTTATTGAAGGAGTTCGATCGTTTATTGTTCTTGCAAAAGGGTGGTCAGACTGTCTACTTTGGTGATTTAGGTGAGAACTGTTCCACTTTGATTAACTATTTCGAGAAGTACGGTGCCCAAACTTGTCCAAAGGAAGCTAACCCTGCCGAATGGATGTTGGAAGTTGTTGGTGCTGCCCCTGGATCTAAGGCTAGACAAGACTACCACGAGGTTTGGAAGAACTCTACCGAATACCAAGATGTTCACCAAGCTTTGGATGATATGGAAGTCGAATTGGTTAAGCTCCCTCAAGATGAATCCCCTGATGCCCACAAGAAGTACGCTGCTCCACTTTGGAAGCAATATCTTATTGTTTCTCAAAGAGTTATTGTTCAAAACTGGAGATCTCCTGGATACATCTACTCCAAGATCTTCTTGGCTGTCTCTACTTCTTTGTTCAACGGTTTCTCTTTCTTCAAGGCTGATAACTCTATGCAAGGTTTGCAAAATCAAATGTTTGGTATTTTCATGTTCATGATTATGTTCAACACTTTGGTCCAACAAATGATGCCTTACTACGTTCGTCAAAGAGATGTCTATGAAGTTAGAGAAGCTCCATCGAGAACCTTCAGTTGGTTCGCCTTCATCGCTGGTCAACTTACATCTGAAATTCCATACCAAGTTGCCGTTGGTACCTTGGCTTACTTCTGCTGGTACTATCCTATCGGTCTTTACCGTAACGCCGAACCAACCGACGCTGTTAACAGTCGTGGTGTTTTGATGTGGTTATTCGTTTCTGCATTCTTTGTCTATGCGTCTACTACCGGTCACTTGTGTATTTCGTTCATCGAAATTTCTGACAATGCTGCTAACTTGGCTGTTATGTTGTTCACCATGTCCATGAACTTCTGTGGTGTTTTGGCCGGACCTGATATTCTTCCTGGTTTCTGGATTTTCATGTACAGATGTAACCCTATGACGTACTTAATTCAAGGTATGTTGTCGACAGGTTTAGCGGGTACTGAAGTCAACTGTTCTGACACTGAATTGTTGAGATTCAACCCACCATCTGGTCAAACCTGTGGTACCTACATGGAGAACTTCCTTAAATTTGCCGGAGGTAACTTATTGAATGGTAACGCTTCTTCCAACTGTCGCTACTGTCCAATGAAGACTACTGACGATTTCTTGAAGTCTGTTAATACCCTCTTCTCCGAAAGATGGAGAAACTTTGGTATCTTGATTTGTTTCATTGCCGCCAACATCTTACTCACTATTTTCTTCTACTGGTTGGCCAGAGTTCCAAAGGGTAACAGAGAGAAGAAGAAGGCTGAGAAGAAATAATCCAAATAGTTCACTTCTCGTTTATTTTCATGCCTTCTAGAGCTCATTGATGTTAGATTTAATAATATGCTAATTAATAGGAAACTGTAGACGGTGAAATATACTTCACAATGTGGCACTGACTCGACGGAGTGAATTATCAGTTCTATTTCACAGAGTGCAGCACGAAATCACTTATTGAACAGTCACCTAATTTGCTCCTTCTCGAGAGCCACTCCATTTCGTACCATTGTCAGTTTACAGAGTGCTGGCACACACCAGAGTACCAATACCAGTTCTACTTCATGGAATTTATGGTGTGATCTGATAAGTTCCCTCAAACTCACCTAAATTTGCTAGTCAATTACTGCTTTGGCTACCCTCTGCTTCTATCACCATCTCTACTGCAACCCTACACCTGCTCCATCATCTCCAATGGCTCCTTACCAGTACTACACTTCCACTTGTCTTCACTCGTACCCTTCACGTGCCAACAGTGACATCAGTCTATGGTGCGTTCGCAACGCTTTCGCCCGCAAATCATCTGATTTTCTAGTATATAATCTGGCTACGCCAACTTTTATTCTCCATCAATGGCACCATCAGACAAAATTCACGACACGGCGCTTCCCATCAGGGAGCGTATGGAGGCACTTATCCGCCAGAAGCAGCAAGAAATCACCACAGGCATTGCCGAGTTGGACACCGTCGGCTTCCACACCGACTCGTGGGAGAGAGGTGAGCACGGCGGTGGTGGCCAGTCCATGGTGTTACAAAACGGAACCACGTTCGAGAAGGGAGGTGTTAACATCTCGGTGGTGCATGGAACGTTGCCTGCTGCTGCTGTGGACCGTATGAAGGCCGACCACCGCAACTTGAAGTCTTCCAGTGCTGACGGAAGCTTGAAGTTCTTTGCATGTGGTCTTTCGCTTGTGATCCATCCCCACAACCCCCACGCCCCCACAGTGCATGCCAACTACCGGTACTTCGAGACCCACGACCCTGAAACCGACGAATTGCAGTCATGGTGGTTCGGAGGCGGTTGCGACTTGACTCCTTCGTACTTGTACGACGAGGACGCCAAACACTTCCACCAGACCCACAAGGACGCGTTGGACAAGTACGACACCCTGCTCTATCCCAAGTGGAAGAAGTGGTGCGACGAGTACTTCTTCATCAAACACAGAAACGAAACCAGAGGTGTGGGAGGAATCTTCTTCGACGACTACGACGAGTTGCCCGCAGACGACATCGTGCGCTTGGTGGAATCGTGCTTCGACGCCTTTTTGCCTGCCTACGTCCCAATTGTCAACAGAAGAAAGGATACCGAGTTCACCCCCGAACAGAAGAACTGGCAGCAGATCAGAAGAGGCAGATACGTGGAATTCAACTTGGTGTTGGACAGAGGTACCCAGTTTGGCTTGAAGACCCCTGGGTCCAGAATCGAGAGTATTTTGATGTCGTTGCCTGCCACTGCGTCCTGGGTGTACGACCACCATCCCGAAGAGGGTTCCGAGGAAGACAGATTGTTGAAGGTTTTGGCCAATCCAGTCGACTGGCTCTAGTCACCCAAGGGCAAGACCCTGAGGGACGACCAGTACCTTGAAGCACGCTTAGAATACTTCAAGAAACGGCTGACCACCAGCACTCCCTGTACATAGAACGATAACATGCTTAGTAACGACACCACCACCATGTAATAGAAGAGTCTCTTCCTTGTTCTGTAGGCACTTCCCTGTTCTACTCTTCCTTGTTCTCTAATGTTTCACACTTCCCATCCATATCCAATCACGTGCACCAGACCTCGGTAACCCCACAATAATTTGATCTCTGGCGTCAAGGAACAACTTCCATTTCACTACTCAACCACGCCATCATGGACAAATTAGGACCCCAAGCAAGGGCCCTTATGGGCCATTCCTCGTCCCTTGCGGTTCCCCAGGAGTTGGACTTTTTGATTAACGATCTCAGAGCACCAAAGCCAGACGTTACAGTCTCCAAAGTGCTCGGCTACATCTACCATTACCTTCCATTTGTGAAGCACGAACACAACTTGAGGCTAGTGGTGGCCAGCTTCTTGAATTCACCAGTATGTTTTGGCTCTGTCGTCCCTTCTTTCGAAGATAACTACTTGATAATTGAAGTGTTCAAGTTGATTCTCGACAAGAAGCTCAAGGTATCGCAACCCACCCTCGACATCAAGACATTTTACACGGTGCTTTTGAAGGAGCTCACCCATTTCGTGGACTTCAATCCCTACCAGAACAGCTGGAAGGTGTTGCCTATCATCTCCGGTATCCAATTGGCCCTGGAATTGAGGGATCAGCTTTACTCCAAGAACAACTTCATTCAGTACGGCTGGTTTTTCCGTGACTACGATAGTAAATTGAGGCAGTTATTCCAAAGGGCTATGCGCTACAGTATCTCGCCCACTTTTGACGACAACGTCATTAATCTTTCATTATTAAGTTTGGCAGTGACGTTCAAGAAAGATGATAAAATAGAAGACTTCACAAAGGGCATTTCTACCCACTTCTTGGCCCAGAGGACGTTTGAATTATTATACTTGAACCACGAGAGCTCCAACTTGATCTACTCCAAGTTCTACCACTTTGCATTGACTCCAAACTTGGACGAAATAATCCAGAAAGAAATTATGCAAAAACCAGTCATCAAACATATGAACAAATTATCGTTTCTCCTTGAAGCTTATTTCGAAACTTTGGATTATAACAACGACTCCTACGAGTTGATCATGAATATTTGCCTGCAATTGCAGCACTTCAACCGAGGCTTAAGCTCGTCCGTCCAAAAATCAATTTTCAATGATCCTAAAGGATCAAGCAATCCACAGGCCCCATTCCAGCATTTCTGGTTTTTGATGAAAGGTATATTGTTTCTGGAGGTGATTATTTTCCAAGGCATATTGACACGTTTTCTTTCCTCAAAGAACAGAAACTACTTACCGATACTTCAACGCAACCAGAACGAGGTCAAAGAAGCAGAGTACAAACAGATTTCACTCAAGATATTGAACAATTTATACTACCTCAACTTTATCCTACTTTCAATTGGACAAGGTGGGTTTGATAATTACAATTTTGTTTACTACTTGGCAATTGAAATAGCTTTATCTGGTGGTGTATCATTTGAAAAGTTCACAATGCATTTGATTGGGGACTATAATGAAGTCAACTTGTATGCTGATGCCTTGAATAAAAACTATGTGGGGAGATCCAAGGTGTTATTCGTCTTAGGTTTATGGGAGAACTATTTACAGCTGGGTACCAAAAATATTGACTTCACTAAAGGAGAAATCTATGATTTGTGTATCCATTTGGCTGACGATGCCAAGTACTCTGACAATGACTTGATTGAGGCCTCGCACTCGGTTCTTCTCTTGTGTTTCTCGGCACAGGGAAATATTCAAGAGTACATCCAATATGTTGAGCTTTTATTCGGACAATTTCCAAGTAGATTGTCCTCAAACCAATTGAGTATTGCTATTGAGACGTTGGGAAAGAAGATCCTCTCTAACCCTATTGTTTTACATGGCAGTAGAACATCTGCCGATGAGTTCCTTGAGTTTTTATTAGCAAGAACTTCAGAACTAAAATCTGGTATTCCCATCAAAGCACCATCTGTTCAAACTGATACATTCTCCTCTGCCCAACCAATACCAGAAATAGAAGCAAATTCCACTCTTCGTAATATGGGCGAAAAGAAGAGAAAGGAAAACGATATCATAAAGGCAAACAAAAGAAAGAAGCCAAAGGATTTGATGAGGATCGACCTTTTGCCTCCGGGCAAGGTAGCCAAAGATTACGTTTTCCGGAACAGGATCATCCTGGAGACTACCAGAGAAGCATACATCACTTCTTTTATTAATGTCGTACCTTACCTTCCGTTGTCCGTTTTTTCTTATTGGTTAGACAACATTTGGGAACTTATCCAAGAAAGTGATCCAGAAGAGCGTAACTTCTTGACGTCTGTCTTATGGAGAGTTCTTTCGGAGAATTTGGATTTGAATAGATCTGAATTGGCATACAGGTGGTGGTACCTCGAGAAAGAAATCCCCCAAGCCCCGCAGGGCGTCCACTTATAGCATGTAGAACTTTAGAAATACAAAACACTACGGTTAATGGTAGATAGAATTGGAGCTAAAGATAAGACGGCTGAAGTTGAGTGCTGGGCCCAAGTAGCAAAATTGTATTTTATCTCACAGCCATTCACGGATTGGGGAGTCAATTGACACCCCTTCTCGTAGCAGATGGACTTTCTGGTCTCAACTATATCATAATATGAGGTCATTAAGACTATACTAATGGACCAAATAGTTGTAGCTTTCTCGCCTTCGCACGACCCGACATCTCATCTCACTAAATTTATCAAATCGAAGTTATACTCATCACAACCAAAATGGCTAGAAAGAAGTCTGCTGCCAAAAAGGCTAGAGAAGAAGCAGAAGCTAAGGGTATAAAGGCCCCAGCTACTGCTGCTCCTACTGAAACCAAAGTGGAAGAGGTCGAAAAACCAGCCAAAAAGACTGAAAGCACTCAAAGTACACAATATGAGGAAGACTCCGACTCAGAGTCCTCATCTTCTGAGGAAGAGGATGAGTTTGGTGACTTGATCACCGAGGATGTGGAAAAGGGTATTGAGCAAGTCCTCCAAGCTATCAAGACAGACCCAAAGAAGCTTTTGGATCCGAACACGAAATTCTTTGATGACCCAGAAAATGTCACTGCCAACGAAAAGAAAGAAAAACCATTGTACTTGAAAGACTATCACAGAATGAATTTGTTGTCTGGAAACTACAAGGATGACGATGATGAAGAATTCAATACTGTCGATGGAGAAAAACCATTCGTGGTCACTCAAAGAGAGGAAAGAAACCAATTGCTTTCTGATATTAAAAATGCATTCGATGAGGAAGAAGAAGATGACGATGACGATTTCTTGAAGAAGGTTGAACCAAAGGAGAAGTCTAGAAACGAAGAATTGAAATCCATAAGATTACCCAATCCAAACGAGGATGGAAATGAATTTTTAAAGGCTTTCCTTGATAACCAAGCGTGGATTCCTAGTAAGAATGATAAGGTGCTCAACTTGGACAGAATAGATCAGGATGATGAAGAGCAATTTGATGATGCCGTGGAGAAGTTCGAACATGCGTACAACTTCAGATACGAAGATGCTAATGCCGCAGAAATTGTATCGTATGCCAGAAGTCAAGCTACCTTGAGAAGGTCTGCCACTAATGCCAGAAAGAGACAAAGAGAAAAGGAGCAAGAGGAAAAGCAGAAGGAGAACAAGAAGAGTGAGGAATTGGTGAAGAAGAAGAAGACTCAAAAGTTGAATAAGGTTATAGACAGATTAGCACAAATCAAGGAAGCTGTCGGAGACGAGGTGAGCGATGAAGTGATCCAAAAGGTGTTTGGTGACTCTTTGTTGAACGATGATTTCGATGATGGCGATTGGGACAGCAAGATGGCCCAAATCTTTGACGAACAGTACTACGGGGCAGAAGACGTCAAGCCTGAGTTCGACGACGATTTGGGTGATATAGTCAGCGATGCCGATGAAGATGCAGATGAAGGAGATGAAGAAAATGAGCATAACGATGAAGAAGACGTTGGCGAAGATATCGGAGAAGATGTGGGCTCCGATGAGCCTCCTAAGAAGAAGTCCAAGAAGGAACAACTTAAGGAGAAGAAGTCTTCCAAGAAGGACAAAGAAGCATTGAAGGCCAGAGCCCAACAGATCGTTGAGGCTAATGCTCTCAAAATCAGAGACGAGGTTGACGAAGAAAGAGGCCGTAGCCGTGCATCCGAAGATATCAAGTTCAAGTATCGTGAGGTTTCACCAGAAACATTTGGTTTAACCACAAGAGATATCATATTGGCAGATGACAAGCAATTGAACACGTTTATTGGAATCAAGAAGTTTGCTCCCTACAGAGCCAAGGAGGCTAGATTGAAGGATAAGAGAAAGTACACCAAGAAGAAACATTTACAAGAGTGGAGAAAAGAAGCTTTTGGTGACAAGCATGGACCCAAGCTTCCTGACGGCGCCAAGGAGAACGAGATCTGGATTCCAGCTGAGGAGGAGGAGGTCAATTCCAGAAGGGAGAAGAGGGAGAAGAAGCACAAGCACAAGAGCAAGAGAAAGTGAGCCGGGAAGTGAAAAGAGTATCAAATTTTCTCATATCTCCAGAAGATATCCAGCAGATGTGTTCTTCCGCTTTTAGTCGTTTCATACTAGGGCGATATTGTATAGAATTATAGTCAATACAGTCAAAGCGTTGTGCAAAGTAGAGGGAAGTGTTGTCGCGAGATTGAGGTCTTTAATAATATCTGACATCATTGCCCTAAAGGTCATTTGTAGAAATTGATACAAAGGAAAGGAAGAAAATAATCCTAAGCACATGGAAAATTCTCCTGCTATATCAATCGATACACACCCATCTTGTTTCAGTTACCGAAGACCAAACATAGAGCTAAATTGAACGTTTTATCCATTTTCTATACATCTATTAATTTTCGATCAAACGATCATACTAACATTACAAAGACCCTATTCAACCTGTAGGGACACACATTAAAGACCTTTGGCGTATTCCACTTCTTCTATTCATTGGCGCTCACCGACCACTTCTACTTCGAAGGGCCTATTCATACTTGTTGGGGAAACTCAACACCGACTTGGCAGCCGATTTCCGCAACCCCAAGCTCTTGATGGACCGTCTCGAGCTGGTGTTTCCTTCGCCTCCGGTGGACATGTTCTGCACCCGTCTCAACCAGATGTTGGCCACCAAGATGGCACAGAGGGCAATAAACACCATGACACCGAGAATACCAAAGAACCACTGGAGAGTGCTACCGTCCTGGCCTGGAACGTGTACGTTCATCCCGAACAAACCTGTGATCAAGTTCAAAGGCACCAAAACCGTACCGATCATGGTGACCTTGGACAAAAGCTCGGTGACATTCAAGTTGGAATAGAACGACTCAACCTGCAACTGGGCCAAGTAGTTGGCGTGTGATCTGCTGAAAATCTTTTCGTACGCCAACAAGTTCTGGAACATGGTCACGACGTGATCCTGGATATCTCCCAAGTACAACGCGATGTCGGCACGGGGCTGGGCCACTGGGCCCTGGTTCTGGTAGTGCCAGTGGTTGCTGAAGTTGTTGGCAGAAGCACCAGGCCCTGGACCAAAACTCACGCCCCCAGTTCCTCCTGGGTTAAATCCCACCGGGTAGAGGTTGGAGTACGAGCCAGGGATGCCGTGGGTCAACCCTGGCGTGCCGGTTCCGCTAGACCCAGAGGCTGGTGGCTGCGCAGGCTGTTGCAACGATGGCAAACCGTTGTGGTGGGCAGCTTCGTCCTGGCACCGTTTGGCAAACATCTTGATGACGTCGGCCTTGCCTGACAAAAGACGCATCAACGTCATGACCTTGCGTCTGGACTCTCCGATGCGCTGGAGCATGTTGCTGAAGTCCAAGTCGCGCGCCACAAACACGCTGTCTTCGATGGCGTCTGCCTCGTACTCGATACTGGTGATGATGGGTGCAAAACCATCGGTGATGTCATCAATGAGGGCGTAGCAGATCCAGTCGGCACTGACATCCACGTAGTCGCGCAACTGGCGCACTCTGCGCCTGACGTTAGCTGGATGCGACATAGGCGAGAAGTGGAACGACAACACCCCGTCGCGGAACACCACGAGGTACACGTTGATGGGCTCCAAGTAGTCTTCGGACTCCTTATCGGGCTCGAAGGTGTGGAAACACACAAAGTAGTAGTTGCGGAACAACTCGACCTTTTCACGGGTCTCTTGCATGCGGATATCTTCTGCGGTCAACGGGTGGATGCCGAACGCCTTTGCGAGAGTCTTCATCTCGGCGTCTGTAGGACACACGCAGTCCAACCACCAGGTGCTCTCGCCGTTGCGGAACAATTCGCGCACACTCTGGCCTGGCTCCACGAGCGATGGGATGTCAGGTGCGTGCACGGTTTCCTCGGACTCTGACGAGAAGAACGAGAACCTATCGGGTAGGTCGGCGTGGCTGTCGGTGATTCTGGTTCCGCCAAATTTAACCTGGCCGGAGGAGGATGAAGCGTCGTCGCGGAGGTGGTGGCCTCCCGCGGGAGGTGACGCCTTCTTCTCGGGGTAGTCGTCTTCGCTGACTGACGAGTCGGATGGTGGCTTCGCATGGAACGAGCCTACCGAGATTTCGTCGCTGCCGCTGGCACCTCCTCCGCCTACCGAGCCTCTGCCTGCGATCCGGGACAAAATGTGTTTGGGGGTGTACTTAAGGGCGGCTGTGCTCTGGCCGCGCACAGACCCGGTGGACTTGGCGGTGCTCACACGGTAGGCTGTCTGGTCAGCAATCACCTGCTGCTGCTGTTTGACCAACTCGTCTTCTTCTCTTTCGGCCTTGATGAATTCCTCGATCTCATCAAAGTCAATGCCCTTGATCCGGATGTGCTCCCGGAGCATGGGGAAGCACACGTCCTCCTCGGTCTCTTGGGACGACCGCGAGGCATGCGAGTCGGCCTCACTGTCGATGGACAGCCGTGAAGGTCTGCGCTCACGCTCGCGTTCACGCTCACGGTCCCGTTTGACAAACTTGTCGTCGTTGGCGCTGTCATTGGTTTTGGACTTGGTCATGGGGCTCACCAAGTCGGACTCCAAGTTCTCCACCCCCGACAGACTGCGACGGTAGCGACGCACCGACGGGTTCTTCATTAAGATGCTGCCGCGAGGAGGCTCCTTGGGGTTGCCCAACGACTTGATCTGCTCGGAAAACGACTGTGACCGGCCGGTGGCGCCACGGCCGCGCCTGGCGGCTGCTGCCAACGAGCCAGGAACGCCTCTGGGAAACGCAATTCCAGCGTCGTTGGGGTCGAGGTAGGGGTCGCCCTCGTAGTAGTCGTCAGGATTGGCGTGCAAGTTGTAGTCGCGGCGCAACGAGTTCATGAACGCGCGCGGAGCTCTTTCGCCACCAGTTGGGGCAGGAGTGGACTTGTGGAGGGGGTCGTGATGGATATCGTGGTGGAGGTCATGGTGGGTGGACGAGGGACGGTGCTGGCGCTGGCGTGCCGCCTCGTCGTCGTCGCCACTCTCGATGGCAGACTCGGGGTGGGCGATGCCCCGCACGGGAAGCGACACCTGGTGGCGGTGGTCGTCCAACACCTCGTCGGGGTTGGTGTTGCCCAAGTCTCTGGCGGGAGACGCTGAGCGGTAGCTTTCTGAGTCGGACATTTTAAGCGAACAAGCCGGCAATCATGCTTTGGGGAACACGGAAGGGTGTGTTGGCTGATCTGGAATGATGAGTGATGAGTACAACCGGGTGGCGATACAAGCTAATAAATCCTCAGGCTGGATTCATGTATGGACAGATAGTGCGCACCAATTGCCAGTGGCTGGTATATATAGCAGGAAAATTTTACGAGCCCACATGCGATGGGTAGTGCAACGGCGACTAGCGAGGCTTGAGACGTTGCGGCTGGGGGCATTTAGGAACGTTGGCAGTGGAGGGGGTGGAGGGGGTAGAGGGTGTAGAGAGGTAGAGGGTGTGGACACTGGCAGTAGAGAGACATTGGCAGTGCGACAGACTGCTCCCAAGAGAGACACTCGCTGTGCTCTGCCTGTTCCTCAAAGATGGCTCTCTGGACTCAATCTGGTTGCGGTGCTCCTTACCGTCCTGCGCGGGTGAAGGGTGCATGCATGGCGCTAGTGATTGAGTGATTAATGTCTGGGCTGCCATTGACCAGAAGATTACTGCGTGGGCCGTCCGTTGGGGCTTACGTCCGTTGTTGGTGGGGCTTACCCTTTTATGTGGGCTTAGCGGATTGTCTACCAAAGGTTGCATGCCTTTGGGCCGGCTGATTCGTCAAAACCTGGGAGATCGCCGCCTCTCCTGGCACGTGTGGCCAGGGTAAATCTCTGTGATCACATGAACATGCACGTGAACACACGTGGGGATTCCCGTGCGGATCACGCGACGAAAATTTTTAGGCCTACAAATCAACCCATTGACACTATCAGTCGGTTCACTCCCTCCCTCCTATATGTCCGTCTCCTTGTAGCCACCATCCCTCATGCTGTTGCGACAGTTTCCCCTAAGGCACACCTGCAATCATATACACCTCAACATCCGCCCTTTCAAACCCCGTCAAAGGCCTACGGTTTTCTTCACCCATTCATTCTCCACGAATTCTCCATTACAGGACACTTCCTACACTGATTGGTTCCTTCAAAAGACCAAGTCCATCCCCTCCAAACTATTCAGCGCCTCAAAGCCCACTTCCCATGAGAATAAACAAATTGAAGCCGATTCTAGTACCAAAAATGCCCCAGCCTCAACCATCCATTTGCACCCTCCAAATGCCCCGGACGTGACCCCACTGATGTCCCAGCCCCAGCTTGAGTTCATGGAGACCATCTTACCACTCATACTCCAAGGTCACACAGAGGACATCCGCCTCAAACTCTCCCAAAATTCACACCTTGTGGACTCCAATTTCCTTCTTTACGTCTTGAACCAGTGCTTGCGAGACATACCCGAACGGGAGTCCTCCGAATGCGAAATAGAGCACCCCTACTATAGCTCCTCAAAAAGGCTAGGACTCGAATCGGCCTACTACAATCATATTTATGATCGCATACCCCATCTTTACAACATATGCAAAGACTTCGATCATCATGTGGTCCGCTCTAATGCACCACTTCAACAGCATTACATTTGGCTCTGCTACCATATGAATGATCTAAATAAATTGGAATCATTGGTGCACAGCTACTTGCAAAGCCCGAATTTGGACACCAAAACATTGGGGTACATATTTAGCGGTTTCATTCTCAACTACGAAGTGGAATTCTCAAAAATCTTGTTCCAGCAACTTTTGTCTTTAAAAGCTGATTTGGATACTTCTTTACTAGAGATTGTGATATACCAATTGATTAAGGTGGATGCATTATTTGAGAATCTCACTTCTTTTTTTGAAACCTGGACTTCAATACCATCCCTTCCTACTCCAACACCAAAAACATGTGCTTTGTTACTCAAAGAATTCCATAAATTTGCAACTCCTGAAGAATTGAATGATTTTTACCAAGTCATAAACTCTTTTGATTATCCGCAACATCACTTAATTCAAGCAGTGGAATTACAATATTCCATCATCAAAAGAGAGCCTGCTACTTTCCAGAAGCAGGTTTATGATGGTGACATGTACCGCATGGAATTGGTTTCAAGCAAGATGAAGAATCGCGAAGATTTGCAGGATTTTCATCACAGTTTCCTTCGGTTTTTTGTATATCACTCTAATATGGACAAGATACAATATCTTTTACTCAACATGAACCATGATGGTATTGAGTTAACAAACAGTCATTTCAATCTTATCGCATCTTACTACCTAAAGCATAATATGTTCATTTACTTGACTAAGTACTTGGAATCTTCATCTTCTAAACTTCAGTTCAACGAGGTGTACTTGAAGAAGTTGTTTGATACCTTTGTGAGAACATACCCATACAAGGCCGTCGATTTTGCCAACAGATTTCATTCATGGCTCAAACTGCATGAATCGTTGTCGCCATCACAAAAGGCAAAGCTTGTTCTGGCCCTCAAAATTGTCAAGTTGAATTCTCAGCTAACTCCATACCATTTGGAAAATAATATTCTTGAAATCAAAAAGCAAAAGTATGACTCAAGTCATTGGAAATCCATTGATTGGAAACAAGACAAGAACGGTAGAATAGTTCGTTTCACCGATCAAGTTCAGTATAGAATTAATAAGGGATTCTTCGATGTGCTCAGAAAAGGTGTCCGGCCAGATATATCCTTGGTGATCAGTACTTTTAGGAGACTGGATATGAACAACAAGCTCGTATTGATCGACATCTTGAAACGAGTGCGGATGTATGAAGAAAGACGCATCGAATTGGAGTTGATAATGTTACAAGCAAGAAATACCAAGCAGTCTCTACTTGACTTTTTCGAAAAGACCGACTTGGAAGAAATGAACATAAACGATAGACTCAAATTTGCCAGAATGTTGATGAATAAGAACCTTTTCAGGCAGTCATTACAAGTTCTTGAAGGTATAGACCCTATTGATCTTGATGACAAGTCAGAGATGATGAAGCTCAACCTTCAGCTCAGAAACTATTGTATCTGCAGCGATTTTGAAGGCATCATCAAAACCATTAACAACTTTGCCATCAATGATGTAACCCTTAGTCCATACATCTACAACCAGTGTTGCTTCATAGAGAAGAAATTGCTCGGGAAATTGAAGTATCTTGAAGGGAAACATCAAGACGAAAAAGAAGCATCCATTGCCAGCACCAACCCTGTAATCGAAACAACAGTGGAAAAGCTTCAGGGGCTAATTGCTGATATAAGACTTCGTTTGGAAAAGGATGAGCCAGATATTACGGAGGCCGTGACTTCAATGTTTGAATTTTTGGATACCTGGATCGAAAAGTCTCACGAGGACCAGGGAAAAGTATAGTTGAGCATGTAACATAGTGTAAATAGACTAAACGCATATACATAGACAAATATCAAAGCAGCATTGCTGATATAATTCTCGATACGTAATGAAGATAATGCCCGAGTTCCAAAATGACATTTGGTCATCGAGCCTTGTGTCAGTTTAGTTCTCTAATAAGTGCTAAAATCTTCGACGTACTGCGAGATATAATTAGAGAGAAACAAATCGAAATTGCAATTTCTGAAGAATAGTGTCTAAAAACAGGCTACCGAATGTCCTCTTTAACTGGCGCAAATTTCTGTCCCCATCCCCAGTACATTTTGCCATTCATAATGTCAAAAGTTAATGAACCAAGAGACTAACAAAAAGCTGCTCCCTACTTTGTAGGAAGTACTATTTTTAATGTAAAGAGTATAGTTCCTTGTTTAACGCATCTAGTATTGCTAGTCTATCCAAGAATCGTAGCACCCAATATCCATTTGACTTTTCGCAGCTACTGCTGAAATTACCAGTAAGTGGTTACAGCAGACTGGCAATACCCACCCAGCCTCATCTGGAACGAGAGGCAGACAGATGCATACATGGTCCTTGTCGTTAGATAGTGAAGCTGCTTAGTACCCCACCCGCACTACCTGCCCCCACGATTACGATCATGATCACGATCACGATCCATCCTAAGATGCTCCCTGCATACAGCCCTTATCCCCTTCCCAATTATCATCCATTTCTCCATACCCTACACCATGGCCGACGAGGACCTGAAACTTTGGCATGGCATAGTATGTGTGCCTGGAGGCTCACCACAACTCCTTCCCAGTACTAACCGCAGGACCATACGCTAACCAGCAACCTTCTAGGCAAGATCACCTCAATCATCGAGTGCTCGATCTGCTCTGAGACGATGCATGTCCCGTTCACCACGGAGTGTGGCCACTCGTTCTGCTACGAGTGCATCACCTCGTGGTTCCTGAACAAGCTCAACTGTCCCAGTTGTCGTCACGAGATCGAGCACCGTCCCGTGATGAACATCCAGTTGAAAGACATCGCCAAAAACATCACCGACTTGATAATAGAAACGAGGTCCGACCAGCTGGAGCGCGACCGCATCGCAAAGCACCGCAATGAGTGCATCTCAGGCTATGAGTACGATGTCAAACACAACCGTGCGTTTGGTGAGATCTTCAAGTCCGCGTTGACGTTTGTGGATACTTCTGATGGCGTGCCTCGGTGTGGCAACTGCCACTGGGAGGCCAATGGAGACGTGTGTTTGCATTGTGGCACCAGGTTTCGGGTGCCGCAGGAAGACGAGTACGACTCAGCGGACGACGACGACTACCCCCACGAGTTTGGAGGCGACCACCCTCGCAACTCCGAAGACGAGTATGACTCAGCTGACAGTTTTGTCGACAACAGAGGCTTTGCCGAGATCAACCGCGACCGAGCGAGGGACTCGGACGAGGACATATTGTCCAGCGACAACCTCTCAGCTGACGACTGGAACGGATTTGGCCACGAAGGAACCGAAGGCAGCCCCATAGAGCTCGGAGGCTACGACGACGACGGAAACGAAGACTACTACGACTCAGACGACTTGCGCGAAGCGCTTGACGAATTCCACGACAGCCACATACAAGAGTCCGACGACGTGCCCATAAGCACCAGGGTCAGAGGAACCAGGCGACCTTTCGTGATCACCTTGAGTGATGAGGACGAATAGGGGGACAGACCAACAATAAAAGTGGCATTTATGATAGCATCGGCGTCAGCACCGCCACCCGACATCAACAGTAATGATAACGACACTGATTGTACCGTTTGTAGTGGACTCCCAGACCGATAGGTACAGTGGGAACCGGGGTTCGAATTACGTAAGCGCTGACAAATCGCACACAAAAGCGCCAACCAATAGGACGAAAATTCATTCTCTGAAAAAAATCAACTGATATCAAATACATAAAACGTAAGTTTCGTGTTACCTTCAGGGAATTATCTAACATTCAGCACCATGGACCCACAAAGAATCATCAAGTTACAAAAGCAATATCAAAATTCCACCAAGCCTTTGTGGTTGAGAGGTAAGCACGCCAAGTACGTTGTCTACCCATTCTACGCTCTCTTCACAGTCACCACTGCCTTGCCATTGTACTACACTGGTAGAGCCATTGCTGGTATCAAGGACGAATAAGGGTCCAGTTTAGCATATAAGCACATAATATACATTGGTTAACGTGAACTAATGATGGAGTGTCCGAGAGATGTCATTCGAAAGAACCAAGAGCAAGACAATAAGACTTTGAATATCCCAACTTTACCATGAACGGAAGGGGAGAACCTCTCAGTCTCACTAATGAATTCTTCAACTCGTCAGCTGGTCAATCGGACGACTGACTCGAACGACACACCCACAAGTTGTAGGCAGTATTGGCACGTGACCACAACCAAGTAGCAAATCCCGAACCCAAAGCGGGCATTCCTCTACAGAAGGGTCCATCTTCGTGTCAACTACGGTGCTTTAATCTATGAATTAGTGCTGTGTTTGCAGACATTGAGGTGTTTTTAACGGAAAGTAGACCATTATACCATTGAGTTGGAACCTGTCCAACTATTGTAATAAAGCCTCTGTGACCTTTCCAATTCGCCCTTGAAGACCATCAACATCCTGGCCATAAGTTTTTAGCCGGTCCAACAAGTCCAGCTCATCTATCTCAACTTTTTCCTTGTACTTTCCTCTCACATATCCCACAAATATCAAGTTATACCCAATAAAATGCTTGACCAAATCATCCTCTGCATTCCCCAAAGACAAGATTAACTGGATATTTTTGTTTATATCATCGAACAGTTCAAGCTCCACTTCAATCGCCTCGGGAATATTTATGAGAAGCGTGAGTAACATTAAAAGTATATTCGTATCCCTCTCTGCAGCTTTCGAAGATTTGACTAGTTTCAAGCAATAATTGACCACTTGGATCAACTTGGGTATGTACTCGTTGCAATAAAGGACTTTCCTTACTTCATTATTGTCGTTGTAGTTAGCTAGAAGTATCATTATGATATTCAATAATTGCGCTTCAGTCTCTGAAAACTCGAAGTTCGGAATTGATTCGATTGTTGATGGAATCAAGATGGAAAGTATCCCCAAACTTTCAAAGAATTTTTTGGAAGTAAGATACCCGTCAAAATAATTCAATATTGCTAGTTTATCTTCCTCAAAATCTAATTCCAGATATAAGTTTCCTGCGATTTCGAATAGCTCCCAATTATTTATAGCGCTTTCGCTTTGCATTGCAGAGATAAGGCTGACCTGTGCAGATTTTGGTTGGATCCTTTGCTTCACCTTATTTATCCGTGCTGTTAGAATTTTCAGAAGCTGTGTTGTTGACACATCTTTGGCTAATATTTTGAGAATATCAAACAAATATTGGTTGAGTTGAGTGGTAACTTCTTTTGAGTTTGGTGAGTTTTTGGTAAGATCATATAGACAGATAGCAATTAACCATTGAATGAGATCCTTCAGTTCATCCTGGGACTTTGCAAGTTTTGAGTAAATGGACAATAGTCTATCGCATGCAACCATGCTATTCATTCGGAGAATCTTAGACACTTCTTCCTCCAAGACGATATCTAACAATGTAGATACGAGCATTGAATTTGCCTCCAATATTTTTGACTTACTAGCTCGTTTTAGGTGGAGTCCATCTAGAATGTAATTCAACGAGTCTCGCTCTCTATTAGTCATGCCAAGTGTACGCAAATCGTGGATATTTGAGACTTCTTTTGAATCTGATAATTCTTGCTCTGCTAGTGGCGGGTGATCGTCGTCTTCCTTTAACAAGAAGGATCTTTCTTCACCGTACACTAGAGAAGATGACTTTAGTCTGGATTTCCTGGCTTCGCTTACTGTTTGCCTTTCTTCACCGGGTATAGCCTCTTGTTCAAGTTTTTCGTAAATGGAGTTGATATGTGCCAAATGCAACGGTTCTTCGGTTTCTTCCTCTGATGAAACATACTTAGTTGGAAGCCCATCTTTGGCGATATTTTCAAAAAGGCTATTCCATGCATCTTTCTCCTTAGGGGTGATTGGAGTGCTTGGAATGGAGGAGTGCTTTTTAAAAGGAGAATTGGTAGAGGACCTGCCCTTTCTGGAGGGAGTACTGGGGGCATTGGAGTTGTGATTTAACTGACGGGAGGGTTCTTTTTCTGGCAGCTTGGACTGTTGAGCTAAGAATGTCAATTCCTCATGTAAGGATTTGGGGCGAGGGCCTCGAGGAGAACCAAAGTCGCCCAACAATGACTTCAACTTTCGAGGAGAGGTAGTTAGGCTATCCTCGAAGAAGTCGCTGGTGGGTTTTCGTGGAGATATGCGTTTGGTCTGGAATGGTGCAGAAGGCATCAACTGTTCGGTGGTGGTGGTGGTATCATCATTGACGACAGAGGTGAGGACTTCTGGGGTATTCGAACTGGACTCATCGTCACTGGAGAAGATTGGGGTTTGTGACGAGAGCCTGGCTCGTTTACGGCTTTTCCCATAGACTGCCATTACCTGAGATTACCAGAGAAGTGAGAATCCACTTTTGGCCGCAGGACAAAATATCTGATAGGTAGTTGTAGACTAATGCATGGAAGCAGGAGAAAGTCTATCAGGAAGCAGCTAGGCTGACAAGTGTAGAAATGTCAAAGCTAGCCGGGGGTACTTCATTTGGTATATCGGGGATAGGTTTTGGGCTCATCAGACTGGGGTTTTGCGAAGTCTGGCCATATTTGGGATTATATCCGAATTAATACATGCTTGATCGCTAGGTCTCTCCTGGTAGTCCTCTGTGTGTTTTCTTGAATTAAAATTTCACAGAAATGGCATAGTCCTAGCTTAAATATTTCACAATCGTAGCCTTTTCTGGTGGAAATTCCGAATCAATAGTCAAAATATAGACAACGATACTGAACCTAAAATGCCGTTCGAGCGGACATATAATAAAATTCTCTCCTTCAAAAGTACAGAAACATATATACTTCTTGGGTCAACCATTGAATCTGAGAGCAAAGCTTACTTTCTCAAAATAATTCACTGATTAACTTAAGCGAATTTAACAATCATGATCTCGTGTGAAGAATGGACTTCATTGATGGTATCGGATTGAAAGATCAATAGCATCTACGGTCTGGAAATGATTCAGTTGCACAAACTGAGCCCATGTTACACTGATATTACTTGGGACTTTCAGTATGGCGCAGCACTAGGGTGCTTTTTTTGCACCTTCTGTTTCTTCCACGGTCTCCTACGAGAAAACGACCAAAGTAAGGACAATATCATGGCTTGCTTGTTAATGGTGGTGCTTCCTGGTCCAGCACTTTCGGAAGACCATCCAATGTATATGGTGACACACCACCCATTTGTGTCTGCCCGACTGGTGTCAGTCATGCATATAAATAGAACACGCAATAGACACCGTGTGCTACCAGCCACTCTCGTCGAAAAGGGCACCCAATGGGTACATCGTTGCTGTGTCCCGAACGTCCTTACGGCCCCAGTCTTCCCTGTACATCACAACCTTCTCCGTACTAAATTGCCCTCTCCGCCAGTTGTAGCTTTGATGGAGTCAGTCTAGCACGTGACCAGATCCACTCGACACCAAATCAATAAACGATACACAATTCTGTCTCCAGCCCAGTCACCATGTCGTTGGAAAAGAGAATCAGAAACTTTCTCAAGGGCCCAAAGAAGGGCGAAACCTTCGAATTGAAGAGCGGGTTGGTCTCCCAATACAAGGGCGAAAGAAAGGATGCCATCCAGCGTGTGATTCAAGCCATGACCGTGGGTAAAGACGTGTCTGCCCTCTTCCCCGATGTTTTGAAGAACATCGCCACCTACGATCTCGAGCAAAAGAAGTTGGTGTATCTCTACTTGATGAACTATGCCAAGACCCACCCGGAATTGTGTATTTTGGCTGTCAACACCTTTGTTCAGGACACCGAAGATCCCAACCCATTGATCAGAGCTCTCGCAATCAGAACCATGGGATGTATCAGGGTCTCGAAGATGGTCGACTACATGGAAATCCCTCTTCTGAGAACCTTGAAGGACGACAATCCCTACGTGAGAAAGACTGCTGCTATTTGTGTGGCTAAATTGTTCGATTTAAACCCAGAAATGTGCGTGGAGTTCGGCTTCTTGGACCTGTTGAAGGCGTTGTTGAAGGATCCAAACCCCATGGTCATTGCAAATTCGTTGAACGCTCTCTACGAAATCAAAGACATGAACAAGGACCCAAACTTGGATGTATTGCCCATCACTCAAGATCTTATCAAGAATTTGTTAACTTGTCTTAATGAGTGCACCGAATGGGGAAGAATTAGTATTTTGACTACCTTGACAGACTACCATACTTCAAATGTCGAAGAGGTCAACCACATTATCGAAAGAGTCATCCCCCAGTTGCAACACGTCAACCCTTCTGTTGTATTGAGTTCTATCAAAACAATCATTCATCACTTGGATGTAATTCCATCTCAGGCTCAAAGAAGTACCATTCTCAAGAAATTGTCTTCTCCGTTGGTATCTTTGGTCAGTTCTTCAATTCCTGAGGCTCAATATGTTGGGTTGAAAAATATCAGAATCATTTTGGAAAAGTACCCACAAATCTTGTCAAAAGAGCTTCGTGTCTTTTTCATAAGATACTCTGATCCATTATACTTGAAATTGGAAAAGCTCGAGATCATGATAAGATTGTGCAATGAGCACAACAGTTCATTGTTATTGAGTGAATTGAAAGAGTATGCCATGGAATTTGAACCTGCCTTGGTTTTGAAGTCCATCAGATCCATTGGATCGGTAGGTATCAACTTGATTAGTTGCGTGGTCAAATCAATCAACTTGTTAGGAGATTTGATTGACCAAAGAGGAGGAGACTTGATTATCAATGAAGCAGTCATTGTTTTGACCAACATTTTAAGAAGATATCCAGGAAAGAATGATTTGATCACTTTAGTGATTCCAATCATTTCCAATCATATTCAAGAGTTGGAAAAGTCTGAAGCTTTATCGGGGTACATCTGGTTGTTGGGAGAATATCCAAAGTACTTCTCAGGTTTAAAGGAAAAATTGAGTAGTTTGCTTGAAGGATTTTTGGAGTACGAGTCGTCCTTACAGTTGAACATTCTTACCACGATAGTCAAAGTCAATCTTAAGGTTCCTGGTCAAGCATATTCTGGCCTTCTTCAGAAGGTTTTGGAATTGACTACCAAGGAGTGTGAAAATGCAGATGTTAGAGATAAGGCCTATTTGTACTGGAGATTATTATCCTCTTCGTCCGATGACTCGCAACAAAAGGTCATATTATCGAAGTTACCTCCAATCAAATCTACCGTGTCTTCTTTCAATCCGAACGTCTTAGAAATATTGATTCAAGAATTGTCGACCATGTCCTCGGTTTTCCACAAACCCGCATTTACTTTCATTGAATCGCCTAAAGCCACAGAAAAGAAGAGGGCCGGGTCATCTGCTAGAAATATAGAAGATTTGAAGAATTTGGCCAAACAAGAAATCATCAACAATGTCAAGAACGAGAACTTGCTCGATTTTGATGACGATGATGATGATAATGATCAGAATGGAGAGTCTCAAGGTGGTAGCAGCAACTTGTTAGATGAGTTGAATGATTTGTTCAATACCCCCACTGTACCTGGAGGACAATCATCTCAAGGCTCAGGGTCGTCTAGTGCTAATGATATCTTGAGCTTGTTCAATGCCCCAAATCCAACTTCGGTAAACGGGGTAAGTCAAGGTGTAGGCTCTATGAACTTGAACAGCCAGCCAAAAAATAACACCAATAGCGATATTTTGGATCTTTTCTGATGGTACAATAACTTCAATCCAAAATCATGTTGCTCCACACTTCTGGGACAAACCTCTTTAGTTCAATCATATAATACATTTGTCATACGTTAAAACTCTGTAATGATAAGTGAACGTAGTGGAAAACGGCTACTTCAAAGCGTGCTATAATTTGAATAACTGTTATTACAATACTATACATTTTTTGCCAAAAGTTCCCGCACTATGTCCTCCTTAGTTTGCTCTATGCTGGAAACCTCCTTTTCTTGTTCATTCTCCTCCACCTTCTCATCTATCATTTCTGTCAATTTTAGTATCTTAGCCTTGACATCCACGCTTACCAGGTCGATCTTGGCGATCTCTTCCTTCTTGGCGTCAATCTGTTTTCTCAACAACATTATCATACTCTCTCTTGACTGATGTGGTCTATATGTGTTTAAAAGATGGTTGATATTGATTAGTATGAGTGATATGTCTTTCATTTTAGGCTCGAACTGCTTTGGGTCAATGGAAGCTATTCCAATCAATTCAAGAAAATTTAGCAAAAGCGAATCCATCAACTTGTGCAATTCTTGGATCTTGGTTTCGCTTGTTATGGACTCGTCGTCGTCTTTGTAGAGTTGTTCCCAATTGGCACTCTTGAGGCTCGGTAATTTATCCTCAAATGCCCAAACGTTACCATACCCTCTGTAATGCGTTCCCTCGGGGGCCTTTGGTGGAACCTGTAGTTTGAGCTCTCCTGGTGGCAATGGTGGCTCTTTGGTTGTATCTGCTTCTTCTGGTTGTTGATCTTGGGTGGTGAGCGTTTCCTCGTCCTGCTTCGTTTTCCATTCTTGGAACTTCTCGATGTTTTCGGGTGTGAAGTACTTATAGTACACGGGGGGAGGAGGGTACAACGAGGAGATGAGGTCTCCGTCGACGCCAGACATGATATGGTTGTACTAACTAGTGGTGTACAAATTAATTGTAGGTAGTCATGTGATGGTGGTCACGACTAAAGTCATGTGACCCAGCACGCGAGCGACCTTTCAGATCCACAACTACATCAGTCTTGACTGAACAAGGCCCTGCCCAATTTTCATAGACTCAACCACCACATACAACATGGCTGATGAACACGACCGCATGGATGTCGACAGTGGTAAGTTGGTGCCAATTCCGCTGGTGGGAGCCAGAATCAATCGTCCAACAACCGTGATTACTAACATAGCAGACACAGAGATAGTAGAGCAAAAAGAACAAATACCCAAAGCTAAGAACTCAAAACAGAGGTTTGAAGTCAAGAAGTGGACAGCTGTGGCCTTTTGGTCATGGGGTACGTATAACATGCCAATCAGTGAACCCGAAATGTACTAACCTTTAGACATCCAGATTGAGAACTGTGCCATTTGCAGAAACCACTTAATGGAACCATGCATAGAGTGTCAGCCTAACGCCATCAACAATGTCGACAAAGAGTGTATCGCTGCCTGGGGTGTCTGCAACCACGCGTTCCATTTACATTGTATCAAGAGATGGTTAAAGACAAGAAATGCCTGTCCTTTAGACAACACCGAATGGACATACCAGAAGTTTGGCAGTTAGTCTCAACCAGACCTTCACATTCCCTTTATCATTCTATGATCGATCCACGGATCGCTCTGAGATGGCAAGCCAGCTCAGATGGACCCGCCAGCAATTTCGTCCTCCACTCCAGCGGGTGCTACCGAGGTCACCACGATCTACTGTAGTAGCTTAGCTACATATGATTTCTATACGATAACATTTTCTATAATATATATACAGTCCGTTTGAGAGCCTAGAAGGGGAAGTCTACGTCCCGACCCGCCAGGAAGTTGTACAGAGGGGTTATTCATTCAATTAGAATTGTATCTCCAACTTCTTTCAAACGTCCCTAACTCCACAAAGTTCAAGCAAAGCTGCTCTGCCTTTTCAAGCCCAGATTTCACTTGTTTGCTCTCGTCTGGCTGGGCCAGGATCTCCACGAAGAAAAGATACTGCCACTTCTTCAAATGGGAAGGTCTGGAGTTGATCGAGGTCAAATTGACCCCGTACTCCCGGAAAACATTCAACACGTCGCAAAGAGCACCAGGGTCATTGTGGTTAAGAGTAAACATGACTGACGTAATGTACGCCTTTGCTGGTGCCGACTCCGGGGCACGATATGGCAAGGGCTGGCTACCCAACACCAAGAAACGAGTGGTGTTGTTATGGTTGTCCTCAATGCTTCTGTACATGATGGGCAAGCCGTATAGCTCTGACGAAGCTTCTGACGAAATGCATGCAGTCGTATTGGTAGCATCCTCGTTGACTAGCTGGGCAGCCTTCGAAGTGGAAGAAGTGTCGATCTGCTTGACGGATGGTGCCAACTTCAACGATTGCAAAAACGAGGACACCTGCGTCCAGACCTGTGGATGCGAGTATATGGTGGTGATGCTGTCGATGTCGCTGGCACGGGTGATGAAGTTGTGGTGGATGGCAACGAACTGTTCGGCCACAATGCTGAACTTGGGGACATGGGAGCCTGCGTCGGACTCGGGAAGGAACCAGTCCCGGAGCAAGTCGTAGGTATACACCACCTGACCATTGGTAGAGTTTTCGAAAGGCACCACGGTGTAGTCCACTTTTTTCGATTCTAATGCTTCAAAGCAGTCTCCAATGGTCTTGAGAGCTACGATCTCCACCTGAGAACGATCATTTCCGAACTGCTGGATGAGAGCCTGGGGTTAGTACAAATAATGCTGTGAGTGGACGAACGGCGTACCTGATGGGTGTATGTCCCCTCGGGACCAAGGAACCCGACTTTGAAGGGCATTTTGTAGTGTAAAGTTGGATTACCAGTGGAGTCTACATACTATGTTCCAGAGATAATCTACCACGTGACTCCGGTTCCGGCACAGTCATGGAGACCGGCGAAAGGATCGCAATAGCGAGTTCCGTTACGGCCCATGCCGTACTAGGCCAATTCTGGCATGCATAGCCATATCTGTAGCACCACTCCTAACTTCTCCTGCTGAAACCATTCGGCAGTAGATGTCAAAAAAAGTGCAACGGACGGGGCTTATGTGAGACAGATTATTGCGTGAAAATAACGGTAGAGGCAAGCCTCCTATTAACAGCAATAACCCAGTGTCTCGCGAAACTACGGTGGATCGTTGGTGTCTCTTTATTGTATTGAGCTCGATAACAAATCCACATGATGAGACAGGGTTAACCCAAATGAAAAACCAGATTGACTATATAAACCCTGAAACAAAAAATTAGAAAGAAGTATAGATATATTAATACACAACATTCTGGTTTGTTTATTCGTCTTGAACGATGGTTCCACGTTCGGAAACGTAAATACCATCCAAGAACTTACGGATATCCTTGTTTCTGACACGACAGATTTGTTGGATGTCAGCAGCGTTTTGGGAAACGTCTTCCAAGGAGTTACCGGTAACAACCAATTCATCCTTTTGGTTGGCAGAAGCTTCGATGGTGACACCGTCGAAGATCTTGATTTGTCTGACTCTCTTTTCACCCAAGAAGTTTCTGATTTCAACGAATTGTTGACCATCGATTTCAACGGTGTTAACGTTGATTGGGAAATGCGCGTAGACGTATCTCAACTTGTACTTGAAACCCTTGGTGACACCAATGATCAAGTTGTTGATGAGGGACTTGACAGTTCTCAAGGCAGCGACGTGCTTTCTGTCACCGTTGTGAACAATAATCTTGACGGCTCTGTTGTTGACCTTCTTGAAGGTAACGTGGATGTGCTTCAAGTCCTTGGTCAATTCACCTCTTGGACCAGTGACCTTGACGGTTCTGGCGTTGATGGAGACTTGAACACCTTCTGGGATTTCTAAGATTTGTTCGGTTTGGACGTACTTCATTTTTGAACTTGATGATGAAAAAAACTTCAGCGGGGAGATTTTTTTTCACCTTTATACTGGTGCAGTGAGATGAAAAATTTTCCTGAAAAATTAAATGGGTCGTGTGAGTCCATGATGTTTCAATTTTTCCATCGGTGCGGTTTGACATTTACTCGGTCTGGCAGTTACCATCAATGGTAGGGTAACCCTTTTAGCTACTAGGTGTAATGCCAGTGTGTCGAGTTGAGTCCGATGGTAGCATTTAGCCACTGTGACATGGTTGGTTGTACTCGAGTCTTAAAAAAGAGTTTCCGTCGGGTTTGACCGCTGATAGCGATTTATCATAGTATACATTTGGGCAATAATTATCGATTGGGGAAGAAATATACCTATCGTAGTATGGATGCGAAACCTTTACCAAGTAGTTAATTTTGTGTTCTACAATATACGAAGATTCCACGAGGATATGGCATTCTGCTTAAGTACTTCATTTGTGCATCCCTTTCACTTGGATGGTTAATTCTCTTATAATCTAAAGAATTACTATCAAACCCTTTAGAAATATCTTACTACTACAATTTTTGTACGTGACAATCGTTCAGATGCATTTTTTTAGAACTATACCCTGGTATGTCCGGCTATAAAGTGTTTTAGGGAGCAAAACTGGTTTACTCGTCGTCCTGTTCGTCAAGGGTCTTGAATTCGAAAGGCTTGGAGTTCTTAGGGAAGGTGATACCTAACTCCAACAAAGTGCTGTAAGCCTTGGAGAAGTCCTTGAAGAACAAGTCTTGGTCTTCAGCATATTCCTTGACGTACTTGACGAAGTAGGAACCGTGCTTCAAGGCCATGTCAGCAGGCAACATCATGAAAGACTTGGTCTCGTCATCTTCGTATTGTCTGTTACCGTTCCAGTCTCTGATGTGCCAGCCTTGCAACAATCTGACGTAGAAGTCGTTGGTGAACATGTTGAAGGATGGGCCCCATGGACCGTCAAACCCAGAGTTGTGGGAGTGGCATCTACCGAGACAGTGGGCACCGATCAAAGCGACGGTTTCTCTGTCGTTGAAACCCATGCGGCTGAACACACCTCTGACGTATTGAGGATCTTCCTGGGAGGCGTCGGGCAAACGACCGTTTTCTGGAACAACCTTCTTGTCGTTGCTGTCCTTACGTCCTGGTCTCCATGGGATCTTTGGACCACCAGACTCCTGAACGGCCACAACACCACCCAAGGTCCACAAGTCACCTCTGGAGATCCAGGGGTACTTGTCCTTGAACTCCATGAGGAAGTCACGTCCGACTTCCAACCCCTTGTTGGCGCCATCAAATGCTTCGGTGGAGTACATCATGGTACCAGGGTACGAGCCTCCGGTGTTGTCGGACTTCTTGTAGGTTCCGGACGAGTGCCATGCCAATCTGCACAACATACCGTAGAAACCCGAGTTCTGGTCGAATTCGAGGTTGTCGGCAACCTTTTCAGCAATGTCATTGTAGACCTGCTGGTAGTCCTGGAAGCCCTTGCCTTCTGGCACGGCAGCGTGGTTGACGATGGCAGAGCCTGCCATCAAGCCCAATGCCTTGGATCCGTTAGACCCATTTGAGTTGTTGTTGTTCTTGTTGTAGAAGTAGGCAGCCAAGGCGGAGGAACCCACCAACCCAGCGGCCAAGAAGCGGGACCCGTTCTTGAACTGCTTGGAGGTTCTTGCTACTCTCAATGGCTTCAATGCAATAGTCGACATGTTTAGTGGCGGTGACAAATGGTGGAACTGGCGCGGGGTGGTGCTATTTATGTGTTCAGGTTAGTGGGGAAGTACATTTGCTGGCCATAACGTGATCTAGGTCTGGAAACTGGGCCACGCTTACGCGATAAGAACTCCGCGATGAGCGCACGGCAAACGCGGCAGGTGCAGATGTCGGCGTCAGAGCCCATTGCAGGACGGCAGTGGCAGCTATTGGCTGGTGGTCGGCTACGGGCAGGCTACGGGCCACGTTGAGACCAGCAGGAGCGCCAATGGCTCCAGCACTGATCTTTGATCATTTTTGCAGCTGGAAGCCTGCATGGGAGGGGTAGTAATTGCGCTGGTGTGATTGGTGGCGGGCTGATGGGGAAAAGAAGTCGTGGGCGGTGCTCGCAACCCGTGGGCTGGCGCTGCTGGGGCGATATCTCCGGCCCGATGTGTCAGCTGGAGCAGACATGCACGTTCAGGGAACCACGATCTAGACCCACCTGTCATCTTGTAAGATTGCATTAGTCATTTGTTGGGCCATTTCAGGGAATGGAAGGTAGTGGTCAGGCATCCCGGGGTATGTCAGGTGGCAGGCAGCTCGGGGAATGGAAGGTAGTCAGGCATCTCGGGGTTTAATGCGAAACGGTCGCTCTGTATGAATGAGATTGCTGTACAGGTTTAAAATACTGTCCTTTTAAACTATTTAGTCCGCATTTGTTTTATTGTTTAGTTTAATTGGATTGGAACCATCGGGACCTCGAGGTAATGGACTATGTATAATGTGATCGTTCATTGCTGCGGAGAGTATGTAAATCGTTCCATCTCTCTAGATATCCTGGGAGTTGCACATCCATACTTCAGTAGCACCATCTCCCATGCCTTTTAATTCGGGGTTGTACAACATTTTTCTAAATTCTAGGATGGACTCAACCTTCAATGTCCAGCCTATCTCACATGCCTTTTATTTCTGGGTTGTAGAACATATTTCACTCGCCATGATCAACTCTGGACAAAATCATCACCACTGTCACCAGAACCGAGAATGACTGCATCATACTGTAGTGATTGAACTCAAGTTCCAGAGATGTCCGCCCCAGTGATTGGACTGGAGGGATTTAAACATTTATGTTCATCCCGCATTATTCACCACCAGATACGAGACTGGAAGTGGTACCAACACCGTTCAAGCCAACTTCGCTGACCCAGTATTCTCAATTTGCCTTCCCTTAGATTCATTGTAAAGTAATACATTATATTAATATATACTTACACTTCAATATAGAATAATAATACATTAGGCGTGGCGGTCAAGCACGGCCTCGATGGCTAACGCATCTGTGTACACGAAAGACCCCTCTTCGTTGTAGGTTTTGGCATTACGGCACATGATTCTGACCTCCTCCAAAAAGGCCTCAAACGTGTCGAACTTCTCCTGCTCAATCTGCTTCTTGATTGAAGAAATGGCCACGGGATGCTTGATGATTTGGTAATAGTCAGGGTACAACTTGCGGGAAGGCAACTTGAGGAAGATTTCAGCCACACTGTGCCCGTCTTCAGGATCCTTGAGCTGCATGATCTCGTCAATCACCCCGTAGCACTGCAAGGCAAGCTCATCCACTACCTTGCCTGAGTCGAGAATACTCTCGTCCACCTGGGGGGTCTTGGCACGCCTGATCTTCTTACGTGGCTCCTCGCTCTCGAAGTCGTCCTCATCAACCGCTTCGTCGTCGTCAAGAACGTCGTCGTCAAGGTCTTCGTCCGAGCCTCCATCCTGTGCTCTTCCTCTCTTTCTTCTGGCAATGCGTGCTTCCTTACGGGCTATGGCCGCTTCCACAGAGTCGTTGTCATCGTCCATTGCCATCAACCATTGCTCCTCCGTCAAGCCATCGTCATACTTGACCTTCTTCTTTTCTCTTTTGCGTCCCAACTCCTTGACGTTCTTTTCAAAGTGCTTGGATACGTCTTCAGTGAACACACTTGGCAATTCGGCTTTTTCGATCAATCTGGACATTCCTGATGTCTGTTCGGCCCTTCTTTGTGCGTCGATTTTGGCAAAAAGCTCCTTTTCGGCATCATTACGAGCCAAAAGCTCATTGAGCTCCTCGTCATTCAAGGAGTCATTTTCCTCATTCTCATCTCCATCGGCCTCGGCTTCGAGCAATCTCTTCAAGTAAGCTTCTTGTTCCTCAGCAGTGGACTTGTTATCGAACTTACCTGCTTGGATAACCTTACCATCAATATCCAACTTTTGGTGAGCCCTTTCCAAAATCACTTCTTCGACCGAATCATTGGTGATCAATCTCAAAATTCTGACTTCATTCTTTTGACCAATTCTATGTGCTCTATCCTGTGCTTGCAAATCTTGGTGAGGGTTCCAATCAGTATCGAAAATAACCACGGTATCGGCTGTTTGTAAGTTCAAACCTAAACCACCAGCTCTAGTAGACAAAAGGAAACAGAAGTAATCGGAATCTGGAGCATTGAAAACCTTCAACATATCTTGTCTGTCTTCGGCTTTGGTTGCACCATCCAATCTCAAATACTTCATGTCTCTCCACCTCAAGAAATCTTCCATGATATCCATCACTTGAGTCATTTGAAAAAACATCAACACACGGTGCCCACTGGCTTTGAACTTTGGCAAAACACGATCCAACAACTCGAATTTACCACTGACTCTCCAAATTAAATCATTAGTTAATCTAGTCGAGTTAAGTACTGATTCAACTTCTTCAAAGACGAAAGGATGGTTACAAATCTTTCTTAATTGCATGATCTTGTTATTCAATCCCTTGATACCAGACTTTGCACCACCCACATCAGCACCAACGAACAATGCATTATGCTTCAACATTTGTTGATATAAAATGTATTGCAATCCGGACAAATTACATTTCAAGACTCTTTCCACCTTGTCAGGCAAGTCCTTTTCGACATCCTTCTTCAATCTTCTCAATAAGAACGGTCTCAAAACTTTATGCAATCTTCTGATAACCAATAAGGATTCTTCTTCTGTTAATTCAATCTTTTCCTGAGTACCTGTGTTTGCAAATGGAGTATTAAACCATTCATCGAAAGATTTAACAGAATTAAAAATTCTAGGTAAGACGAAATTTAAAAGGGCCCACAACTCTGGCAAATTATTTTGTAATGGAGTACCAGTCAAGATCAATCTGTTCTTCGTTCTGTAATATTGGTTAAGTGTGATGGACAACTTGGAGTTTGCATTCTTCATTCTATGACCTTCATCAATAATCATATGGGAATAATGGAATTTACACAACAACGGTCTTTCTCTGATGATATACTCGTACGTTGTCAACAAAACTTGAAAGTTTCCCAGTCTCACTTCCCATTGCATAGATTTTCTTTGTTGAGGAGAACCCTTGTATACAATGACCTTCACAGCTGGGGCCCATTTTTCGAATTCCATTGTCCAATTTGTGATGGTCGAAAGAGGTACAATCACCAAGAATTTATCTTCTCCCTTCTTCTCAATCAAATGGGTAACCAAAGAAATAGATTGGATAGTTTTACCCAAACCCATCTCATCTGCCAAAATACCATTCAACTTGTTATTATACAAAGAAACCATCCATTGTAAACCTTTCAATTGATACTCCTTTAACTTTCCACCAACAAGAATTGTAGGTTGTTCAGTAATTTCTTCTTTGATTCTATGTGCGACCTGGTAATAATCAATCTTTTCACGTAAATCGTCAGCCGTGTCTTGTTTGATTTCCTCCTGAGGAGCTTCTGCTGAGTTATCGCTCTCCATTTGTTGGGCTCTCACTTGCTGAGACAAGGTGTCCAAGAACTGGTTAGTTTGCTTCAAAAGATGAGTAATTCTATGATCCTTGGTTTGATCCAATAACTTGATATAAGCTTCTTCATCGTTAGCTCTCAAGGCTTGCAATCTTTGCTTGGCAGTCTTTTCCAACTTCTTAGATTCTTCTTTTTCTGTATTTTGGTGGAAATTAGTGATTTGTCTTGCCAAAGTGGTGGATCTATAAAGTTGACGCAGAGATTTAAAACTGCGTATCAGACTTGAAGTCTCCAAAATCTGTTCAATCTTAGCAACATGCAATTGATGCTTCAATTTCAGAGCCTCCAACTTCTTGAGTTCTTCCAATTGAATAGCAAGCAAGTGAGGGTTATTTATTTCCAGCTTGGGTCTGACATTAAAAGAACGTTTTTCCTGAAGTGCCAATGGGTGGTTCATCAAACTAGGCAAAGTAAATTTGGATTGGGTGGCTTCATTGACAATAATGCTGTGTTTCAACTGTTTCTGTTTTGGAAGTAAGCGCAAAGCTTTCAATTCAACAAGAGCCTTGATTTTCAAGTCGTCTAATTGATCAGTGTTCTCGCCTACATTAAAGGTACCCAAGTTGACAGGCAAGTTTTCCAAGGTTTTTGTGTGGTTGGCAATTTTATTGGAAATGAGTTTTTCGGTGAGAAAGTTACCAAGTTGTCCTGATACTGGGTCTGAATTAGTATTAGTTTCAGGAATATTCAAACCTAAGCCCTTGGCCTTCTCTTGGAAGTCGACATTGTTGAAATTGGCCAAATGGTCGAATATCTCTTCCACGGAGGCACCCACAGATTCTTGTTCTACTTCGTCTTTCAAATACGATTGGTAATCCCTTTGTAAGGATTCAGGCAAGTCGTAGTCCTTGGAAAGTAACTGTAAACCTGCAAGTTGTTTGCCAAAAAACTCGACGTCCAACTTATCCTCTTTCGGTTGCGAAGAAATTTCCTCAAAGAGTGCCTCTTCTTGTTTCTTGAATTCATTTTGAGCATCCGATATCTTCTTCAATACCTTCTCAATCTGTGCCCTTTCCTTCTCGGTAGGGTCCACAAAAGGGGTGATCGAATCTATTGATCTCAATTTATCGAAGCCACTAGTGATGTCACCTCTCAACATTTCATTTCTAGACTCGTAGTCTCTCTTGTGGTCTCTCGAGGTTTTGAGTAATCGGTAGTACTTGTCAAGCAATTCATTCAATTGTTCCTTGGTGGTAGGGACCGCCAAGGACTTTAAATGGGTTCCATTGCCATTGAACGACTCGCTATACGTTCCATTTGATGCTGTGCTTGCTAAATGGGTTCCATTCATTTTGAGCACGAGCGAACACTAACTCAACGAACGGTTAAAATTCTTGTAGACCTGAAAGCTCGACACGTGGCACTGGCTGGGTATACCGACTGTATATACGGCGTGTATAAATAGTGCTGGATTTAGAAGGCCAATAACGACGCGCTTCTCGTTTGATGGAACTGATTGATGAAAAACTAATCGGTCGTGGTTGTTTATTCATGGTCCTTTTTTCATGAAGGAAAATTTTTGGTGCAAACTGCAACACCTAACCTGTAAGTTCCCCAGAGCATGGCAGATTCCCACTAGAATAGTAGGGTTATGTTGGTGGCTAGCTGGCTGGGATGGTGGGTGTAATTTTGTCCAGGTACGTAATTCTGAATTTGAGGATGTTGTCTTCTTTCCTCTTGTGTGGCGATTAGATCTAGCTCCGTGTTTTAGTGTGACAGTTCGGAGATTGTGTATTACTGCGAACCTGATAAGTGCGCGTATGGTTCCATGTTTGGTAAGTGGTTTGACCCATCACTTATTCTAGACAAGGAGATTACAAAGGACAGCAGTCGAGAATAATTCGTACACTCATAAACTGCTTGTTTTTTAATATCTTTGTGTTTTTTGACCAGTCTTGTCGGATTCACTAGCATTTCAGGATTTAGAACTGAAATGCGACAATCGGAGAAATCGAAGCACCTATAATGCCAGAACTCCATAATTGGAGAATAATTGTCTTCAAAACATGGCAAATTATTCGACACTCTCTGTTGGTCCTCCCAACAAGTACCATGTGATGGTACCCAGTGGTGGAGCAATCAGACCATCAGCAGTCACGTGCCAATTGTCATTCAAAAATTTTCGTTTGAATCAGCTTCAACTACCCCCAGAATCTATTCTTCCTAATTCATCCCTACTCATCCCGAGACCACATCATTCACGATGTTCAGACAGATTGGTATCAATGTCAGAGCATCCGCATGGAAGCAAGTCCGCTTCAACTCCACCAATAGCACACCAGCTTTGAACTGGGTGGACTTCTTGAAGTTGAAGAAAGAAAACCACGTGATGAATATCACTGCCTCTGTCTTCACCACCCTTGCCGGTGGTGTGGTGACGTTGACCTACTTGGGAAACTACGAGTTCGATCCCGAAAAGCCAATCTTGGGAATGGACCCTATCATGATGATGGGAGGAGGTGTCGTTCTTGGAGGGTTCGTGGGCTATTTATTCGGCCCTACCATTGGCACCAGTCTCTTCCGCCTCAAGAACAGAAGCATCTTGAAACAGTTCCTGCAAAAGGACAGCATATTCTTGACTAAGATCAAAGCCAACAGAGTGGATCCATCGTCCCAAAGTTTTTCCAACCCGGTGCCGGACTACTACGGTGAGAAGATCTATTCTTTGAAGGGGTACAAGCAATGGTTGCGTGATTGCAATGCTTATAGAAGAAAGACCAAGGAGTTTCTTTAGAAATACATGTACATAACAGAAACGAGTAGGACATAGTGGAGTTGAAGGTCGAAAGGCGAAAAACTGAAAAGGGCCATCTGAGTGCTGAAACTGGGCCCTTAATTGGAGACATTGTTTTGAGCCTAATCGGTAATGTAGAATTCAAGTTGATTGTTGCCATCGACTGCAAATAACGAGTCTTGGTGTGGCATAAACATCATACACAGGATGCTAGGCAAGGAAAATCAAGGAAAGGAAGGATGTGAGGTGTTCAATTGTATAAGTCGGGGCTTTGAAAGAATTGTTGCTCTGCTTGTAAATACTTAGAAATCTGTAGCGCATTTTAGCAGTCAAAAAGCTGAACATTCTTAATGTTTGTTGGGCAACAAAAAAGGATAATATAGTGTACTAGAATAGTTGGGTATAGATGCTATTGAGAGATGGGATATGGGGTGCCAATTGGTATTTAAGGGAGAATTTGCGTAGTATTATATTGTCATAGTTCATTCTGAATTTTACAGAAATTCTAGAATTTTAGAATCTCTTTCCAAGTGGGCAGTAAGACTAACAATTTCATCTACTACAAATCATGCATGAATAAAGCGGTTGGCCAAGATCGACCAAAACCATGTCCATAGACTCGAACTTGAAGCCAGCCAAACAGAAATCTATAACATCGGCGAAATCACCGTAAATTTGACACGAATTTTAACGGAATAGTGGATCACGTTCTGGATGCGGAACAATAATGCTGAAGAAATCCCAGGATTACAGAAGAACTTGAAAGGTAACGAAGCCTCGTTGCTTCCCCAGCGAAGATCATAAATGATACAACTATCCTCAAATTGGACAAGTTGATTACGGGACTTCGGAGGTTATGGAGACAACGACAGACCCAAGCTCGTTCTTCAACTATCAACCAATTGTCTTTCTTCTTGTCCACAGAGTGCTTTTAAGTATTAACGTGATTTTCTTCTACAAGGTGTCACATAGTACACCAAAAATAAAAAAAATCATCGCCAACTTTCATTCTTTGAGTTTAATCCAACAGTAGGAATTGTAATCCAAAAAGCATCTTGATTTATATAGGTTAAACTTAATCTATCAAAATGAAAATTTAACGGTATGGTCTCCGTAGCAATACGTATATAGTCAATTCCAATATATAGTACCTCACTAGAGAGAACCATCAGAAGAAAGTACGAATAGATTTCGATAACTGTGGGAAATTTGGAAAGTTCACCAATCTTCTACGTTATCGTTCCTCTCCTAAGCTTGATAAAGAAAAAATTGAACGCATGCGCATAAAAATTAGTATCACAGATTAGTTGGGTATTCAAAAAGTTCATTCTCGGATAACTGATTATCTAGACAAGGAGAAGAAGTTTCTTTTCTTGTTTAATGCATTTGTCGGTTTCTTTGGCGAGAAGAAGTTTCTTTTCTTGTTTTATGCATGGTCGGGGCGCGAAGCCGAAATAATTAGACACACGCACATGGCTAAAAAAAAGATCTGTTCATTTGATTCGCTAAGGAAGTACCGAAGCATTCGGTTCTTTCGGCAAGAAGCCGAAATAATTAGACACACGCGCATGGCTAAAAGAATCTTTTTTTCATTTGATTCGCTAAGGAAGTACCGAAGGTAAAAATAGATAGTTAATGCATATGCACTTCGAAGCAAGAATCTATACGCAGCTGGAAGGTTACGATGATAGTTCTCATTTTGAAACGTGAAGAGATTACAATAACCCTGTCTACCTGTCCTGGTCCAATTGAGAAATGAGCAATCGAAAGAATTGTAAGACTTGGTGTGGTAAACTCTTCTTCTTGAAGGCAGTTTTTCAAAAATAAAAGTTTTTTTGGAGCTTTTATTTTTTTATGAGCTAGCGATTTTATTTTATATATTCCGAGTGAGCTTCAAGTTATGGCAATGAACCTGCCTAAATTTGAGCTATGTGTTATTCGTTGCACTTCATCTTGCAGTATACCCAAGATGAAAGTCCGTCCTGCAACTTCAGATGTTGCATTGTCTATATTTATGTTTCCGAAACCATATCATGTGATAGTCTGCTCTAATATGTAATACTGATCTAAAGATTCCAAAATTTAATTGTAAATTTTTGATGTTGCCTTGAAAGCTAGCATAGTTAAATTCCAACCTGTGTGAAATTCTTATCATTTTAACTCAAAGGATTTAGTCAGACCAAAAGAATTTCCCTCCAGGCCAAATATAATATCATGTGAACCAATAGTAATTTATCACCTCCTTATTAATTCTCTTCAATCACCCTTAAAATTCGAACTACATGAAAGCGCAATTCTCTTTCATTTGGAGTGAAGCTCGCTATTGAATACAAGTAATATTCTCATTTCAAGTAGAAGTGCCAACGTCTTGCGAAATTCGAAATAAAGATGGCAAAGTAATTGTTAGATGAAACAGGGTTCCTGCTCTTGACGAAAATGGTATCGTTGATTGTTTGCCCTTGGCATCTCTTGCAGATTTAAATACTTATGGGTCTATTAAAAAGTCTCTACAGTCCAGTCCTAATGAAGTTAGAAGATACCCCTGAAGATATCCAAACAACGAAGAGAGGTAGAAGTTCCAATTCCGAAGCCAAGAGGAATGACTCATATCTCGAGCTTAATTAAACCCATGGGGAGTTCGTCATGGCTGCATTTAATAAAAATTTTCAACTGTTCTTAATGTAATGTTCGATTCCATTCAAGCTTGCTTGTAAACACAGAGAAGAGCTATCCCTAAAAGTTTCCGCCAGTTCATTAGTCATCGTCATGTTCTATATTTTCCTTGGAGTTGGAAATTCCACCCATAATTTGTTCAATACTCGTGACCTCAACTACAATATTCACTAATATTTTTGCAGAAAATGCATTTAATAACGAAGCTGCATCCCAAAAGCTTTTAGCTGTAGGTGCCCCTATCTATAGAGGAGACGGATTTAAAAATATCTTTTAAGACACGCATGAGCAGTACAATCTATCTGTAACTTCAGTGGGAAACTTTTGACTTCACGGAATCATACCACACAAAAGCCCCACTCAATAGCATAATTGTTACAGTACTGCAAATGCGAAATTTACGGACGGAGTCATGCTTGGTCTAAATTTTTTTTGGAATTTCTTTACCTGCACGGATGTCTGAGAATATTTTTTTGAATGCATATGGATCGTATCGCTCATTGAATTATAGAACACAGAAAAATTTATAGCCTAAGCAGGTTTTTCAATATGCTGGTGTGATTACGAATAGTCTATTGCAGATGAGCATTAGATCTGCAGTTGCAATGACAATTGCCGTGCCTTAAATAATATAACACACTGACAGAGATGCTATATTAAAAAGTCCCTGTGTTCTGATATATTCAGCAAACTATTTAAGAACCTTTAATTCCTGGTTTTGTTCGTTGTGATATCTGACTCCAACAATAATCATGAAATTGCTGAACATAGTGTCCATTGCTGGTACACTTGCCTTTGCCGCTGGTAAGCAAGTCACTGGTGTATTTACAAGTTTGATTCTCTTGTTTCGAAACCCCAACCTGCTGTAAACATCACCACCCCTGCTACTCCAAGTTGGGTTGCAAGCTTGAGTTGGGCTATGAGTGCCAATGCTGTTGTTCCAGGTGATACTTTTGGTCTTACTATGCCATGTGTTTTTACTTTTACAAATGGAAACAAAACTTTTGATTTACAGGCGGAAGGCAAAACATATGCTACATGTTTGTTGACGGCAGGAGAAATGTCACTTTCATATTCGTCTGTGCAGTGTACTGTCACCAATGAAATAAACAATGGAGATGTTGTTGACGGTATCGCATACTTCCCTATCACGTTCAACGTTGGAGGGTCATCCAATCCAGTCGATTTAGAATGCTCCACAAGGTTTAAACCAGGGATGAACACTATTACGTTCAGTGATGGGAAAAACTCTCTCTCAAACACTGCTATATTTAATGGCGGCGAAGAGATTAGTCGAATTGTACTGGTCCAAGAAGGAAATAATCTGGTACTTGCAAATGAAACCAGCCACGTGAGATATCTTCCGCAACAGGGTGTTTATCAAGGGTTCGAGGTGTCAGAAGATTGTGGTGAAAACGAAAGCACCTGTGTCGAGATGGGCCTCTTCTTGAATGGTGGCTCTCTTAATTGTTCTTCACTTAATGTTTTTATTGCCAAACCGAACGAGTTCAATGAGTGGGGCTTTCCTACAATTGCCAGAAAAGTTAAATACCGTTTGTTTTTTTGTACCAATCAGCAAGTAACCCTCAAAGTCGACCAAACCCCTCCAGGATATCGTGTATACTTCGATATCCAGTTTAAATATCCACCAGTCAGTCGTATCGGAACAAGATCATTTGCATCCACTTTTTGCGGATTAGATAATCATTACTCCACATGGGGTAAAACCATTAGTTCACTAAAAGTGGGAGAAGCTGGATCCAATGGTCATATTCTCAAAAACTCTTCTACTACAACGGTCACATCAGGCTGGACTGGTTCTTTCACTACTACTGTGACTAGACCAGGAAACGGAACCAACACTGTGATCGTTGAGACTCCTGTCCCAACTACTGCTACTGTTAC